ACCCTTCCCACACCCAAAAAAAAAAAACACACACACTCGCAATTTTCATTTCATCACTTGAACGTTTTAAAAAGAAAGGGAAACGACAAACCACAGCATGGCATTTTATGCAATTTTTCCATTTCACCCTTCACACTTTCACCGCAACAGTAGCTTGCAAAAAATAAAAATAAAGAGAGAGTCAATTTCACCCACACACATGTCTCGAGTATTAAATTTGCAAATGTGGGAAGGGATTTTCGCCCTTTTTATGACTTTTACTTATGTCAATACGGATGATATTGATATGATTCCGTTGAGCATGCAATTTAAGAGAAATTACAAGCATATTTTATGGAAATGAGGAAGACAAAAAAAAAGATGAAATCTGATGAGTCATTTAAGAAATTGCGATTTTTTTAGCTTACTTTTTTTAATGATTTATTGAGAATAGTTTGAAGCACTTTGGGGTTTGAAACTGGTTTGAGCTACTTGAAAGTAGTTTAAGATAATAGTTCTTTGTATTTAAGGTACTTTCAAAATGCTTAAAGTCAAGTAAACTCAAATAGTTATAATTCAATTGATGCCTAGTCAAGAAGCTTCTTTTTGTGGCTCAAAGTAGAGAAGCGTTAAGTCAAGTAGCTTCCGATCAAGTAGCTTCTGATCAAGTAGCTTTTAAAGAAGTAGCTTCTGATCAAGTAGCTCTTAAGCAAGTAGCTTCTAAACAAGTAGCTTCTAATGAAATAGCTTTAAGTCAAGTATCTTTAAGTCAAGTAAACTCAAATAGCTTCAATTAATTTGGTGTCAAGTCAAGTAGTTTTATACAAGTAACTTCGATTCAAGTTGATTTTGGTCATATAGCTCCAAGTAAAGTAGCTTTAAGTCTTAAGCTTCTGATCAAGTACTTTCTGATCAGATAACTCCGATTAAGGAGCTTTTAGTCAAGTATTTTTAAATATTTTAAAGTCAAGTAGTTTAAATTCAAGTAGCTTAAAGTCAAGTAGCTTACAGTCAAGTAGCTTAAAGTCAAATAGCTTAAAGTCAAGTAGCTTAAAGTCAAGTTGCTTAAAGTCAAGTTGCTTAAAGTCAAGTAGCTTAATGTCAAGTTGCTTAAAGTCAAGTAGCTTAAAGTCAAGTAGCTTAAAGTCAAGGAGCTTAAATTCAAGTAGCTTAAAGTCAAGTAGCTTAAAGTCAAGTAGCTTTTAACCAAGTAGCTTCTAATCAAATTGATGCTTGCTATTGAATCAGTTAATAATCAAACTGCGTCACAATAAATCCATAATTGACTTTTCAACTTAATTCATCTAAACTATGCAAATTTCTTCCATTCTTCTTCTCTCTATGACATAAACAACAATCGATCTGAAGAGGAGGAGGAGAAATTTCATTTCACTTCAATCTAAAAAAAAAAAATTTTTGCGAAGGGTTCCAATTCTTGTTTATTTGTTGTTGCTGTAATTTTCTAATTTCTTTATTGTTGCCTTTTTTATTGTCACTGGTTGGCATTGAACGTTCACTCCATGAGCAAAAAAAATTAACATTTTCGCACAAATGGAATCGATTTGAGTCAATGAAGCGGAGAAATTGTTGCATTGTTTGCCGAGCATTGTGATTTAAAATTGATCAATAAAATCAGAAGTAAATTAATGAATTTGAATTGAAATTATTTAGAGACGAGAAGTGTGTCGTGAATTGAGTGCGTTAATGAGGTTATAATGATGTGTCATTTGGGATGCAAAATTTAATTTTTAAAATGAATATCGATTTTGAAATATTCAGTCATTCCAAACTGGCTATTAGCCAATACCCCCACCCAAACCTCCAAACCTCATAAAATATTCAAAACAGTTCTCAACTTACGTTTTCGCATCCAATTTCAATCTACAAACAGAAACCACACGATGCTCATATTTTTTTTTTCTTCTTTTATTCCTCATTTAATGATAAATGGAATTGAAATTTGTTTTTAAATGTCTCAAAAAGTCGCGGGGAGATCTTTCTTGAATGGCAAAATGAAAAATTATTTATGAAGCCAATTTGAATGCGAATTGAGACAAGACGAGGAAAAATATGAGATAAAAAAATATATATTTTTGGAGATTTTTCGGTGTAAGAAGCATGAAAAATAAACAAATAAATGACACTTGAGGAAAATGATCAATGAGGTTCGAGATTGTGGATGTGGATTGGGGTGTATTTTGAATATTGGGGTGAGTTTGGACTTTTTTTTTAATATAAGTTGGGGTGCAAATATGAGTTTTTATCGATATTCTGATAAAAAACTTTACAAAATTCCATGAAAACTACTCAAAAATCATCCAAACCTCAAAATCTAGTCAATCCTACCCACTCCTACCCATCCTCATTCACATCCATCACCTGAAAGCATTTTATTCACATAAACAACATAAATACCTGTAAAATCAACAATTGAACATGTTGTATGCTGCATGATGCATAACATAATCGAGAGAATAGTGAATGCACATAAAAAGTTCAACATTTTTTTCTTCCTCAATTGATTTACCATCAATGATAAGCATCACGATTGTATTCAACTGAACATTCAAATTAAGATCACATTTGTTGAAATATGAATTCAAATAAGTTATGTTGATGTTGAGGTGGGATTTGTTGGTGTTAAAGCGCATTTTTGTGGAACTTTGAAAATGAAAATTTAGTTTTAAATTAAACCACTGAGCTATAAATAGAGCAACTGAGCAAATATATTAAATAACTTAGCTTAACATTGAGTAACTTAGCCTTACATTGAGCAACTGAGCCATACATTGAGCAACTGAGCCATACATTGAGCAACTGAGCCATACATTTAGCAACTGAGCCATACATTTAGCAACTGAGCCATATATTGAGCAAATGAGCCAAACATTGAGCAACTGAGCCATACATTTAGCAACTGAGCCATAATTTGAGCAACTGAGCCAAGCATTGAGCAACTGATCCATACATTGAGCAACTGAGACATAAATTGAGCAAATGAGCTAGGGTTTCTGAAGCCGTTAACGGAAACGGAAAAACGGCTGTTTTTCAGAGAAAAATAAAAACGTAAAACGGCTGTTTTTTTCTAGCCGTTTTTTCTGTTTTTCTTTTCTAGCTCGTGAAAATTTTAGGTTCAGAATAAAATAATATTAACTCCAATAATTCTTATATACTCATTAGATTTAAGTAGAAGTATAAAAAAGTGATTTTTTGGCTCACTAGTAGCTTAGTAAAGAAATTAAACTTAAATGAAAATTTTGAATTTTTTAACTTAATTAAAGAAATTTTGCTATCTTCTCGATTTTATTTCATTGACAATGTCATAAGGCATTGAGACTGATACTTAAAAAGTTGAAAAAGATTAATTATACTTTATTTTTGGTAGTAGCTTAGTAAAGATTACAAAAAAATTTCAAGTTCAAAAAGCTTTACTAAGCTGGTAGCTTAGTAACGAGTAGTAGCTTATAACGAAAAAACAGAGTGTGAATAAAAGTTTTTTTTAGACAAAATACATTGGAATAAGTTCGTTTTTTGACAAAAATTACAGTGTGTGACTAAAACCGTGCATAAAACACAATTTCGGTACAATTAAAAAAACGGACCCTTTAACGGCCGTTTTTTGGAATAAAACGGAAACGGCCGTTTTTTAAAAATGCCGTTTTTCAGAAACCCTAAAATGAGCCATACATTGAGCAACCGAGCCATATATTGAGCAAATGAGCTATACATTGAGCAACTGAGCCATATATTGAGAAAATGAGCCATACATTGAGCAACTGAGCTATATATTGAGCAACTGAGCAAAACATTGAGCAACTGATCCAAACATTGAGCAACTGAGCCATACATTGAGCAACTGAGCCAAACATCGAGCAACTGAGCCATACATTGAGCAATTGGACCATATTTTGAGCAACTGAGCCATAAATTGAGCAACTGGGCCATAAATTGAGCTAAATTAGCTATAAAATGAGCTAGTAAAGCCATAACAACTAAAGAGACACAAGTCAAATAAAAATCAACATCAACACACAAACTGACTCAAAATCCTCCTCAACACTCCAAAAATCCTCGCTAAAAACTCAACGAAACACAAAATAAGCCACAAAAGAAAGCAAAAATAAAAAGTTGGGTTTGGCATATTCAATTCAATTTCTATTGTGCAATTTTTTCATTATCATCACATGTGAATCACATTATGCAGGCTTCATAATGAATCAATGTGTGGTTGGATGTTTTATGGCATTTTATTGTTAGAAACATTTTTTTTAGGATTGGGTTTCGCTCCTGGCCATTTTATTGCATTTTATGCTTTCAATTCTGCATTGAATTTGTGGGTAATGAAGAGATTTATGGTAAATATCTGCGGCTTATGAAATTGATACTGAATCGAAGTTATGCAAAATATGAGTTTTTTTTTCAAATTTTTTAAAAGTGCAACTAGTCAGGTTTGATGTCCAGGTTCAATTGAAAACTATTTGAATTAGTCTTACACGCAACAGCATAAAGCAGATCCGTCAGATCTATTAAATTTCTTACGATCTGTTATAGATCTTGAACATGCTTGAAATTCTAATTTCTATAGCATCTGGAAGTTCGTTGAGGTTTTTCGATGTTGTGGTCAATTTGAGGTTAGGATGATTCAGCAAGAATTTCACAGATGATGTCTCATAATGTTTATTGGACAGCTGGACAGTTGAATTCATTTGAACATTGATCATTATTGGCATGTCCAACGAAGGCTTCAGTTTCATAGCAAGCATCACCAGCGATAAATCCACGTTTAACTGGCTTGCTGAAGATTAATTTTCCTGGATTATTTCAAAGTTTTATAGATCCTCAGAGGGCCAAGGCCAGCAATTAGCCAAATTTTATGTAATTTGCATCACCCACAGTCTCTAATAGCTTTAGTTCCACTTACTTATGCGATCTATCTATACCGTAAGATTTTCTCTTTAATATTCCCAATTTTACAAACTCAATTTTATTAACGGTTTTATGGAAATTCAAAAGTTTTTGTTTACAAGTCGAAAAAGTCAATTGAAAACAAAAACAAAGTTTGAATTAATTTTTCATTAAATAAACTAACTTAATTACAACAAATAAGCATGTCATTCGTAGACGACGAAGATGATTTGTGTCCACCAAATGAAGAGGAAGAATTAAGTCTTCCAAGAGCAAGCATTAATAAAATAATTAAGGAAATTGTGCCAACAATTCGTGTAGCCAACGAAAGTAGAGAATTAATCCTTAATTGCTGCACAGAATTTATTCATCTCATCAGTTCTGAAGCGAATGAAATATGCAATCAGAAGAACAAAAAGACAATAAGTGGTAAGTGACTAAGTTTAGTGAATTTTCAAGATCCAGAACTGAAAAAATAACAATTTTTACTTCCAGCTGAACATATTTTGGAAGGACTGAACAAGTTAGGATTTAGTGATTTTACAAGAGATGCTCTCAATGTCCTTAATGACTGTAAAATGCAAGCGGCAAAGCGTCGTCGTCAAAGCACTCGATTAGAAAATTTAGGAATATCGGAAGAGGAATTATTCAGGCAGCAACAAGAGCTGATTCGACAAGCCCGAGAGCAGATGAATGAAGAGTTTCAGCAACAACAGTTTGGCTTACAAGCACAAACAATTGAGAATAAGGAAAATTGTGATGATGACGACGATGATGATTATTAATTAAATGGAAATAGGAATAAAACTTTAAAATTTAATCCATAATCTTTATTGCTGTGAATCTTCATGTCCACAAAACCACAATAAAAGTTATTTTTTAGGCGGTTAAATGTTTATGATCTTTAACATGACTTCCTTCTATACCTTACCTAAAGTTGACCAAGATCTAACTTAGACTTGCCAAAGATTTAGTCTAGACCTGATTTAAACCATAACTTACTCCTTACGTACACTTTATCTATTCCTAACCTAATCCTACTCCAAACCTTGAACTGACCTAGACTCAAACCTAGAACTATAAGCAACCCTTGACCTAAACCTAACCTTAATCTGACCTAGACCCGAGCTCGACCAGAACCTGCACTTGACTTTACTTGACCTAGAAATGACCTAGACTTAACCTAGAGCTGAGCTAAAGCTGAGCTAGAACTAAGCTAGAGCTGACCTAGAGCTGAGCTAGAGCTGAGCTATTGCTGTGCTAGAGCTGAGCTAGAGCTGAGCTAGAGCTGAGCTAGAGCTGAGCTAAAGCTGAGCTAGAGCTGACCTAGAGCTGACCTAGACCAGACCTAGACCTGACCAAGACCTGACCTAGAACTGACCTAGACCAGAACTTGACCTGACCCTCATCATACCCATTCATTACTTGAACTAGCAATATCTTCAACCTCATTAAAGCATTAATAAGCATTCTTATAAACCAAATCTCATTAATTCTCAACTAAATCATATTCGAAAAAAATCTAAATTCCATCAGTACATCCCCACATCCACATCATTCAACTCTTATCCATACCTCAAATCCATCACATCGAATTTCCCAAGCGAAATCATCAGAAAATGTAATTACAATTCGATATATTCATACATGACAATTTCAATCCACTCTCATTGCCTCGACTTCATGTTCCTCCTCTCATCGAAGCTCATTTGCATATGTTTCTCATAAGATATTGCTATAGACTTAATACACTTCACCATCTATTCTTGCATATCTCACATTCGCACATATCGAATGCTAATCAATTTTGTTTCTTATTATTTTTATTTAATGTTATGTGTTGTGTGTTGCTCATGAGAGAATGAAGGGCCTAAAGAGAATTTTATGGATTCAATGCCAATCACCCCCTTATTTTAAATTTTTTACGTGCATATGAACATGATTTACATCTATTTTAGTCAATGTGATAAGAAGATAATTCTCTATTTTGCCTACATCTTCGTTTGCTTCGAGGAACTCTGTTGAGGATTTATGTGTTTTTGGGACTAGGAGTTGTTGCTCGTCTTGTATGGCAAAGCAGTGCAATTTAAAGCTCATTAAAACTGAGTCAAAGCTTCAATTGTGTCAACGCGTCTATTGGATCAACACTTCAAATTTAAATCGTCGCTTCAAATTTAAATCGTCGCTTTAAAACTGAGTCAACGCTTCAACTGAGTCATCGCTTCAAAAATGATTCAACGCTTTAGAAATGAGTTAATGCTTCAAAACTGAGTCAACGTTTTAAAAATGAGTCAATGCTTAAAAAGTGAGTCAGAATTGTTGACTTAGTTTCGAAGTATTGACTAAGATTTGAAGCATTGACTCAGTTTTGAAGCGTTGACCCAGTTTTGAAGCATTGACTTAGTTTTGAAGTGTTGACTAAGCTTTGAAAAGTGGGCTCAGTTTTAAAGCATTGACTTAGTTTTGTAGCGTTGACCCAGTTTTGAAGCATTGACTTAGTTTTGTAGCGTTGACCCAGTTTTGAAGCATTGACTTAGTTTTGAAGCATTGACTTAGTTTTGATGCGTTGACCCAGTTTTGGAGCGTGGAATCAGTTTTGAAGCGTTGACTCGGTTTTGAAGCGTTGACCCAGTTTTGAAGCATTGACTCAGTTTTGATGCGTTGACCCAGTTTTGAAGCATTTACTCAGTTTTGAAGCATTGACTCAGTTTTGAAGCATTGACTCAGTTTTGAAGTGTTGACCCAGTTTGAAGCGTGGAATCAGTTTTGAAACGTGGACTGAGATTTGAAGTATTAACTTAGTTTTCAAACATTGATTCCGTTTTGAAGCGTTGACTTATTTTTTTTTCAAAAAAAGCCAGCAAACATCCTTCAAAAATTATACACAGTCCCACACACCATATACAGCATATACAGCCGATATGAATGAACATGTTGTACGTGATTCTAAAACCTCTCGATTCACACAATCCTCAATGAGTAACAGTTCTCCCTTCTACTTCGTCATTTCCATATTTTGTCAAATTAGATCTATAAAATATTTAAAATTTATGGGTTTTCGAATTTTATCGATAAATCTATTGATGTCTTATTTATATCCTTTTGTTGTCCCACATTTTTATTTTTCTCATTCTCGTACGCAATGTTGAGGGGTGACGAACATGTAAACAACATTGATTTTTTTTTCTTCTTTTGTTGGGGACGATTAAATGTTTTAAATTAAATGCAAAATCTTTCTTGAAATATTAATGAGGTGGTGTGCACCTGAACCTGGTTAGTATGTAGATTGTGGGTTGAAGATAATAAGTCCAGTGTGAAGGCAGGTGATTGTAGAAATTGTTAGTGTAAAAGCATCTGATCTTAGCAAGACCAATGTGAAGTTACCTGAACTAAGGTCTCCAGTGTGAAGGCACCTGAACCTAAGATTTAAGGGATACTGAAATGCAGAAATTACCGGACTTTTGAAACTTAAATTTGTAATCTTCACATTGTTGCTAACGCCATCTGCATAAACTAAACTGTAAGAATCTTATTTTCAGTACAAATCACATAAGAATTGATGCATCATAATACAAACATAAATCTATTGTTTAAAGTTCATAGTTCATAAGAAAGTTAGTAAATCATTCTTAATCATTAAATATTATTCAGATTAGGTCAGCCTGATTTTTTTTTGTTCTTTCTCAGTCTTGTTTAGCGACACTTTGAAGCAAGAAGTTGAATAATTAATTTTAAAAAAATGTCCAAAAGAAGAAGTGAATCTGAAGCGGATGCAAATTGCAGCAGTAAAATTTTATTAAAAGTTATTGAAAGTAAAGATGTTGAAAATGTGAGTTTAAATTTTAAATTATTGATCAGAACTGTGATGGCCTGTCTGGTGCGTAGCAAGTGGGTTCTTGTCAGCTCCTTAAACGTTTAGAACCGCAGCGTGAGCACGGCCTAAAACGCTTAAAAGGGGGACAAGACCTTCCTGGCTACGCGACTGTGGCCTATCCATGAATAGTGCTTCGTGAAACAAACCGAAAGTCCCACAAATCGAACACTGTGTGAGTTTTGGGTCATGGGCAATAAGCTTTCCAACTGCCCACTTTTGAGCAGGACAGCCCCGTTTTTAGCGCATTTTTGAAACTTGTTTCTAAAAGGTAGCTTAATAATACACTTTGTTCGGCTGTTCGGGCAAAGAAAAACTTTTGAACCAGACATCGTAGAGAGCTCGTGTTTGTTTTATTAGCTCCGTTACTATCAATTGATTGGCCCATCGAATGGTTAAAAGTCTCTAAATCATGTATTTATGCTGTAATTAATGATTTTCTTTATGTTTTCAGTGTAACCTGCTCAAATTTTATTTTACCTCTATAATTTCAACATTACCTCTATAATTTCAAATTTTTTCTAGCCGTTGTAAAATTTGAATTTCAAAAAAACGTTAAATGATAAACCCTTTTTGTATGGAAATTCATTGGAACAAATTATTTAATTATACTATAATTAATTTTTTCGTAGTGCAACTTTTAGCGACAAAATTTCAAATTATTTTTTGACCGTTAAATAATAAATCCTTTCTATATAAGCACTCATTGTAATTATTTGTTAATTACATTAAAATAAATGATCTTCTAATCTTCTAATGATCTGTAAATGAACGCAAAATAATTAAATAATCAAATACTGATCGCTTACACAAAAATGCGCTTAAGTCCCTCGATCAATAACACGAGGACTTCTGTAATTTTTTTAAACAAAGTCCTGCCTAAAATCTTAAATGTCCCGCACCGTTTTGTTGAACTTATTCTTTATAATTTAGTCTGTCCCGCAAAAATGTTTGATTCCTGTTAAGGCGATTTTATATGAACCTTTCTTTTTTCAGCACACCCACCTGCCAGTTGAGATCATCATGCAAATATGCAGCTACCTTAATGACATCAATGACATTCACAATTGCATGATTTTATCGAAGGAAGTTCGAGACGCAATCTTCAGAACTCCACAAATTATGCGAAGAATGATAACAAAAACTCATGAATTCAATTGGAAATCCTTTTTAGTGCTCATTAGTCACAAAGGTGAATTTCTTCGAAATGTCAGTTTTGATTTTAGAATTTTGAATGAAAAACAAATGAAATTTGCCTTACATCAGCTTCCAAATCTAGAGCAACTTACACATTATGCCAATTTCGATGAATTAGATTTGGACTATCGTGTTCCTCTTTCGGAAGTCGTAGATGTTCCTGAGCCAGCTGACATGAGACATTTAAAAACTTTACTTGTGGGGCTTGAAAGATCAGAAAAACTGACAAAATTAATGAAAAATGTTAAAAAATTAGAGAATCTATCCTTTGATTTGGATATCAAGGAATCATTTGAAATTTTCACAAATTTTGTAGCTCAACAAACAAGTTTAAAGGTGCTGAAAATGAATTATTGTGATTGTGAAGACAGTCAAAAGTTTCCAAGTCGAGATATTAGCTTGGAAGTCAAATTTAAGTTGAAAACATTAAAATTAAATAGAACTTATAATAAAAATCCAAATTTTTTGACATTTTTAAAAACTCAAGCTCAAAGTTTGGAAGAATTGAAACTTTTGGACACTCCTGACGAGGATATTTTCGAAATTATTTTCAAAATGTGCAAGAATTTAAAAAGATTAAGTTTAAATCGCTCAAATTCGGCTATTTATTCTGAATTTTATCAAAATTTTAGGTTAGAATCTTTAAAATTTCTCAAGGATAGCCAATTTTCAACAACAAATTTGACTAAAGCTATTGAAAGATTCCCAAATTTAGAGTCTTTAAAATGTAAAGCCTTTGAAGACATTGCTGGAACTTTTGAAAATCTTTGCAATTTAGAATTGGGGCATTTAGATGTCGACAAGTTTCAGGATGTGAAACTCCCAAATTTAAAAGAATTGATTATTGACAGCTTTAAAAGCTCAGCCGATGACAATAAATTCCTAAAATTCACCGAAAATGTTCCAAATATTGAAAATTTTAAAATAAGTTATGTTGAAGTTTATTTGGAAAATCTGCAAATTTTTAAACATTTAAGAAATTTTCATAGTTTAAAACAATTTGATGCCTTATTTTATGAGACATTTGAGCCTTTATACATACCAGATGGCGATGACTTCCTCATACATTATGAAGATCCTTTAGAACAGAGAATTTTAATTGATTTTGTCAAGAAAATTGTCAAATGCTTTACAGAATTATTTAATTACGAATTATTGACGGACAATTTTCAAGATTTTAAATTTATTGAATCAAAATTTAGAAATTTTGACGTCGAAAAGCTTTCTTAGAGGGTATGGAAATCCTGGCAGGATTTTCCAGGATTTTTTCATAAAACCCCGGCAAAATTAAGAATTTTTTGTTTTTACAAAAATTAAAAAATCAAATTTGAGAGCTCAAAAAATTATTTTTTTACTTTTTTAATTAACTTTTTCAGCCTTCTTATTACAATTAATTATAACATTCTTTAGTTCTTATAAAGTTCACATATCTCTCATTTAAATGTCTAAAAATCTTACAATCAAATTTGCATTTATCATAAATTAAAGTTTTATCCACCAAATCAATAAAAAAAGCTACTGTGCTGAATCGACAGCATCTATTCGACATTTGTTTAAAAGTCTTTAATTTCTTAAAATAATCTAAACTTCTTAAAATACTAAAGAAATCCGAAGGTTCACCAGTAAATGCCAAATTCTCAATTTCGGTAAGTTCCTCTTAAAATGCTTCCAAACGCATCCTTCGACTGAGTTAGCAGTTAAATTTCTGAGATTTGGAAGTTTGAATTTGTTGAGAATTCTGAAGTCAAGATGACAAATTAGCTTGAGACTCTCCAGCTTATTGAATGTTCCTTCACATGGCGCCAAATCATTACAATCCAACGAAATTAAATTTGGGAATCTTTTATTGATTTCAGTAAAGTTGACCACTGAGCGAGTTGTAAAGTGCTTCAAACTATCCAAAACCCAGTATGGCGGGTCATCAGGTGTAAAGTCACATTCATGATTAATTATCAATTTTTCTAACCTTTTACATTTTGTAAAAAATGTGTTGATGACATTGTAAGTTGGATTGAATGTTATTGTCAGTTCCTTCAAGCTTCCTGCTTGATTTTTGAAGAAGCTTTGGAAATTTTCATTAAAATTATTTAAAGTGTATTCAAATTTTGTTAATTTAAAGGTAATTTCGTTGCTGATGTCTCGAGTTAAGAAGGAATGTGCAAGGATAAAATCATCAATTACGGTCAGTTCCTTCAGCTTTGTCTGTCGACTGAGGAAATTTGTCAAAAGTTCAGCTTCTTCTAGATTGTGTATGCAAAATTTTAAAGTTTCTAAATTTTTTATGTTGACTTTGTCTAAAAGAAACCAAGCTTCGCACGAAGGATGATACTTAATATGCTTTAAATGCTTTAATTCAGGCAAAATAATCCATTTTTTGAATTTAGCGGTATATATATTATTCTATGATAACTTTTATATTTGGAACCAAACCTAAAATTATTTTTAATTGCTTTTCCTTATAAAATTCAACATTTAAATTTCGAATGAATTTTCCACGTCTTTTAATAATTGTCAGGTCCAGAAAATCATTACTGCAAAGACGAATGGAAAATTGAATTTTTCTCATAATTTTGGGAGTTTTAAACATCAGCACTCGAATTCGTTTGCATAACAGCATGCAGCTTTTGAAATCATTGATTTCATTTAAATGTGAAATTATTTCGAGAATCATTTCTATTGGAAGAAGGCACAGCTGAAAAAAATAATACAAAAAATAATTAGAATTGATAGAAATGTGGTCAGGAACATAGCCAGGAGGACTTCAACCCTCCCACCCCCCACCCTGCTAGGACTTTTTGAGAGAAAATTTTTCCGATTATGCAATAAAAATCAACCCCAACTCAAATTAAAAAATTTTCAGGCTACGCCCCTTATGACCTTCGTCGAGATGCATAGCTGAGAGGACAGGGGAAGATAAAGCGACAAATCTACTTAGTCAACAGAAACTTGTTTATTTTTTTTAAAAAAAAATTTTTAACCCCCCCCCCCCCCTCCCCCCTTTTCAAATTGTAGGCTGCTCTTCTTTGCCTCAAAGTTCAAGTCAACCATTCAACCATAAACAGACAAAAGCCGTCGATGCAAAATATTAAATATCCCCCCTCCCCTCCTACGTCCCTGTAATGCAAGTACCAAAAAACATGAAGTAAGGGGGAAGAGGGGGGGGGGGAATTGGTTTCTATTCTATTTTGATAAAATTTCTTCAATTTGCTAGGGGTTTTTTTAAAAACAACATCCCCCCGTCCCTCCAAAAAATCAATCAAAACTCCACTAGTCTTTAAGGGGTTGTTCACTTATTACATAACGCTTTTAGAGGGAAGAGGGGTCTAAGATTTTGTGACAGTTCAAAAAAAAGGAAGTTTTTCTTCGTTCAACTTTTATGACAAGGCGGGAAAGGTTTCTAAAAAGTAGCCTTTTCTTCATTACGTAATAAATGAACGGCCCCTAATCTACAAGAAATTATCTTACCTCTCTATCCTGCATATGATATTTATTTTCTGCATCTTCAAGGTCAAATTTACACTCACTTCTCCCCTTTTTTTCAAAATATTCAACTAAATAAAGAGCGATAAAAAAACTTAAATGAGCTATTTTTTATGATGTGTGCTCTTAGCCGGCTAGACTTATTTTGATATTCTCTTTTCTTTTCGTCTGTGTCATGTGTTTGTATTTACTTAAAATTGTGAAATCATTTTTTTTTTCATCCTTTTTGTTGATGTAGGTCAGGAATTTCCTAGAAATTACACAAAATAAATCAAACAAGTGTTTGTGGGATTTTTTTTTTAAAATTTGTTATCAAATAATTAAAATTCATGCTAAAATTAACGGTTTTTGACAGTTTAAAAAAATAAATTAATATAAATAAAGTGCTAGATTAAGTTTCTGAGTTAATTAAACTTAAATTATGTTGTTTAATATTTTAAAAATATTCAAAATCACAAAAAGAACCGAAGATCCTCAAAATTCTTCTAATCTAATCTTAATAGATTCCCAAGAACCACAAGTAATTTAAATAATTAATTTATTGTGATTTAAAAAGTAATAAAATTCAATATTTCACAAGATTGCATCACTTCCGGATGAGCTGATTATTGAAATATTTTCAAAATTACATGACATTGAAGACCTACAAAGCTGCATGCTAGCCTGTAAAAGATTCAGAAATTTAATTTTAAAATCAAAAAAAATCATGAAAAATGTTTTAATTACTTTCGAATCTGAAGCGAAATTGGATGAAATTTTGGATTTTTTAAACATTTTTGGAGGTTCAATTAAAAGTTTAAAAATTAATAATTCTCAATTTTTGACATTTATCCTCAAAAGTGTGCCAAACTTAGAGGAATTGAAGTTTTCAATGAAAGAAAAGCTTCCAATAAATCCAAGCTCATTTAATCTACCGAATTTAAAATCTTTGTCACTTATCGGTAAAATCAGCAGCTTTATCAGCCACGCCAAAATTGTCAACCACCTGAAAACCCTAAAAATCATCAACTACGACTATAATGACAGCGAATTTTTGACAAATTTTGTAGCTCAGCAAGAGAATCTCGAAGAACTGTCAATTTATGATTATGAAAGTTCTGGACATTCAGCGCTGTTCCCGACCAGAGACATCAGTCAAGACTGCAAACTTTCAAAATTCCTCAACATTTCACATTTTTGTCGTGGCTACAACGAGAATTTTCCAACATTTTTAGCATCCCAGCTGGACACTTTAGAGGAACTGAACCTTTTTGGCGTCCTTAGTCCTGAAATTCTCGAGATAATCTTCAAAAATGGCAACAAAAAATTGAAAAAATTAATTTTAAGTTTAAATTTTCAAAGTTTTGAGTTGTGTCAATTTGATGAGCCACACTGGGTGCTGCCCACAGTCCAGCAATACTCAACACACAATGCATCGGCTGTTGAATTCCATCGAAGTTTAAAAAGATTTCCGAATTTAAATTCATTGAGGTTCTCAAGATTGAGTGACGTAACTGCGACATTGCCACAAATTGAATCTTTTTACTTGGTTAATCTTTATTGTGATAAACTTTTGGACCTTAAAATGCCAAATCTTAAGTTATTGACAGTTCAACATCTTGATGAAAATGGCATTGAAGAATTTAGTCAAAATATTCCAAATCTTGAAGTTTTTGCTTTTGATCAACATTTTGTGAAGAATGATTTAAGTTTTTTGAGACATTTTAAAAATCTTAAAAGATTTGAGTTTCATTTTGGGTCGCCAAGTTTATTAAGAATTCTCGTCAATTATTCTGAAAAAATTGTTTATTCTGACAGAATTTGTTCTAAAAATTTGGCAAATTATCGTAGAAATTTTGTAGATTTTAAGTTTGTTCAAAAAAGATTTATAAAATCTGTAGGTTAGAATGTTAATGAACTGGAAATTGGAAAAAGTTATGAATTTCTGATAACATTGTTATGTCAAGAATTTAAAAATCTCATATCCGTTAGCATTTTGGCTACATTTACTATGTTAGCAATTAAGAATTGAATTCTTTAAGTGCTTAAAAAACTGTAACGATTAAAAAAAATTCAAATTAATTTTCAATAAATTTTCTAAATGCTTATCAACAAACGGCTCAACTTCATTTTTTAAATTAATTTTAAATGATTTTGAAACTTTCTTTGAATTAATTAATTTGTGAATAACGAAAAATTCCAACCAAAACAACATTGAAGAGTGAAAAAGTGTAAAATTAAATTCAAAAATCAAATAAAACTGCAAGAATTTAAATTAGTGGTAAATTTAAGATTTAAAATTAAAATCAACAGTCAAGCAGATCATCATAAATTACATTGAAATGCAAGAACCGAAGGAAACACTTGAAAATTCACAAAAAATCTGCGAAATATCAAACGAAGACAGCAAAAAGCAGGAAAATGTAAGTTTTTAAGTTGCTTAAGCTGAAGTATCTGAACTCTAATTAGCGATTTAAATTTGGTCATCTTACCAGAAATATAAAGAAACTAGGAAAGCAAAAGTTGGTTAATTGATTGGCGTTCCTCTGGTATGAGGCCGAATTCAAATCGGATTCAGCTCCATGCCAGAGTCTTCGATTAACCAACTTAAGCTGTCCGGGAGAGCTGTTAAAGAATAAAGCTAATTTTCCAAAACTCTTTAAAATTGCTTCAAATAAAACGATAAAAAGAATGAAATATGAAAAGAATTCCACAAACTATTTGCGTTGTGCTGGTTACCACCAAGGTGGACCATTCCAAAAAAAGGTTGCCAACAACTGATCTACAGCCTTCTTTATATAATGACTACCTTTAATAACAACGAATTCTATTAAATTTTAATTTATTTCTCCTAAAACAGGTCACATCCTGCCAGCTTCCTATGGAACTCATCATCCACATCATATCATTCCAAAATACCATTCAAGATCTTCACAACTGCATGCTCATATCCAAAGAAATTCGCGATTCGATCTTTAAAACACCAGAAATTATGAGAAAAGTTTTGATCAACTTTAGGGAATGCAGTTGGGTTAAAATTCACACAAATCAGCCAAATGAATCAAATTTACAAGAACCAACCTCGAGTAACATTGAGACTTTATTGACAAAACCACACCTTGAGTTCCTGGAAAATAAAGGAAAGTTCTTTCGATGCCTGGAATTAAGAGTTGACGAAAATAATTCGGAAGCCTTTAAATTCATCATGAATCGAGTTGAAAACCTAGAGGATCTTAATTTTGAGGTTATAGAATCACAAATTGAACTTAAGGAAGCTAATACATCACATGAAGACATTCCAGACCTAAAAAGACTTAAAGCTTTCAAAATCAACCACAACGCCTTAAAATTTTTCGTCAAAAACACAAAAAATGCCAAAAATCTTGAAAATTTTACAGTTATTGCTCCAAAAATTGACAGCCAGGAGGTCCTTACAGACTTTATCGTTCAACAAGACAACTTAAAGGAATTCACATTAAAGCTTAATACAGCTATGGACATCATCAACTTCCCAACCCGCGACATCACCAAAGAAGTCAAATTTAAGCTCAAAAAGTTGAATCTTTGCTTTGTGAACAGCAACAGGAAGCATTTTATGGACTTTTTGAAGTCACAAGCTCCAAATTTAGAGGAACTAGAACTAAACTATAAACCACATCATGAGATTCTTGACATTGTCTTTAGATATTGTACAAAGTTGACCAACTTGAGTCTCAACACTTATGGCAACTCACCAGTGTTCTCAGACTTGTATCCACACTGGAAGCTTCCAAACTTAAGGAGGTACTCTAACAAGAGCTTCTCAGCTGTGCAGCTGGATAAAGTTTACATTAGATTCCCAAATGTTGAGTCTTTAGTGGCATTTAAGATGCTTGACAACAATGGAACTTACAATAAGTTAAAGACATTGGAAGTTGGCCTGCTTTATTATAATCATGTGCAGCATTTGAAGCTGCCAGAGCTCAAAAGCTTCAAAATTTCATTATTAAGTGGAGACGGAAATGACAAAACCTGGATAAACTTAGCGAAAAACTTTGAAAATTTGGAAAATTTGACAGTTAAGGACTTCCAGTGGGAACACGATGTGATGATTGTGGTTCAAAATTTGAGCATTTTTAAAAATTTAAAAACTTTCAAGTTAGGAAGTTTGAAGAGAATTGGATATGCTAGTGCTATGGGAGTTGTGCTGACTACTTTTAAAGATCAGCAGTTCTTCAACATGATCATTGATATTGAGAGAAAAATTATTAAATATTCAAGATTTATAGAAGTTAAGTTTCCAGAGATTTTTGATGTTTTAATGGATAATTTTGATAATTTTAAGTTTGTTGAGTACAATGTTTATAAGCCTAGGGAAGTTGAGGAGTGTGCACGCAATAGTAGGTACAATAATAAGGTTTGGGATTTCATTAAAGAAAGCAACTAGTTAAGAACTGATTGCTGACCCTCCGGGATTAGGGGACACACAACTTGTAAGCTATGCAGATAGCAAAAGTCGGTTAATCGATTATAAAGCTTTGGCATGGTTCTGGCATGGCTCTGGCATGGCTCTGGCATGGCTCTGGCATGGCTCTGGCATGGCTCTGGCATGGCTCTGGCATGGCTCTGGCATGGCTCTGGCATGGCTCTGGCATGGCTCTGGCTTGGCTTCGGATTTTCGATCAATTAACTGACTTGTGCTTTCCGGGCTTAATGTTGCAAAAAGCTTTATATCCTAATGTTCCATCTATTTATCTATAATCAGTGTTCTTCAAACGATTCTTTCATCATAGCCAACGTTGGATGGTACCAAGAGCTGGCTGCCGTTTGCCAAATCCTGTTGACTCACAAGTTCGTCTTTTGGCTTTCTGGCTGTTCAAAAGTCTCACAAGTTGATCTGTATGGATAAACAAAGTTGCAGGTGTTTACCAGAGAACCCTTTTGTTGTGCCTTATTACTCAGGTTAAGAAACTTTTCCCTTAAATACTTCAAATCATAACTGTAAGAAAGCTGACTCCAAAATATAATTCAAATAAATATTTCAAAATTCCATTGATTTTTAGTTTCCAATTTTATTTATGTTTTCAGATTTTATCCAATTTTTGAGCTTGTTTTGTTTCATCTGTCTTCAATGGCGAGGACACACGAGAGTTCTGTGCCGCTGTTAGGATTCCTCGTAAACTGTTTCTATATATCGATTCCTTCAGCCAGGTCTGATTACCAACACATTTGAGTCTTTGCTCATATAGTTGTCAATAAGCTTTCTCAACCTAACGATCAATGCCCTGCCTCACCTTCCACACAAATCTCAAAAAACTCAAATCCTTCATAACTTTTAACTAAAATATCCAGGATCTCCTTGCACTTTCCAATAATATGTGAGCTAATTTTGACAGTCTTTTCATTAATGTCAATCTCAATCTCATAGAATTTATATCCAGCTGGAATTGTCTCGTTGAAGTTCATGATGTCCTCCCTGCCAATACCCGGATTGTGTAGAAAACTGAATTTTTGTAGCTTTTTAAACGACTTCAAATTGTTAAGTACAATCGGCAGATTCTCAATATTCTCAATTCCTTTGATCGCTAAAGTATCGATACTTCCAACAGTTTCAACGAATTTCAGCCAAGCGACCTCATCATTAACTTCCATAAGCTTCTTAACTGTCAATTTCTTTAAATTGTCCATCCTCACATGTTTGAGGTTAGATATTTTGAGGTTATTGACATCCAAGTCATTAAGAGTCGTGAAGCATCCAGCAGAATTATTCAAGTAAATGCACTTCAGTGTGACTAAATTAGGAAGGACATGAAAAACATTAGTTAAGCTTACACCAGACGTATTCATGTCCTCAAAGTCAGTCACAACCTTCAACTTTCTCATAAAGAATCGAGCATTCCTGATCATCATTGACGTCGAATCAGTTTGCAGCCTAAATTTCTTTAAATTTTTAAATCTATAGAATATTGAGACTAAGGTTCGGTCCGATGGCGACGAGTCAAACTCAAGCTCCTCTAAACTATTAGCTTGTGTCACTAGGAATCGATCTAGCTGCAAATTGCTGATTCTTTTGCGGTTTGAAAGGATTTTGAGGGTTTTCAGCTTAAATTTGATGTCTTTTGTGATGTCTCGGGTTGGGAACTTGACATCTGGTCCCATTACAGCCACTGTTATGTTTAGTTCCTTTAAATTGTCTTGCTGCAGGATGAATTCAGTCATGAAGCTTTGATCAGTCGATGTTGAGATAAAAATTGACAATTTCTCCAATGTTTTTACTTCCTTCGTAAACCTGATAAAGTATTGCAAGTCCCTTAGTTCAATTTTTAAACTTTTTAATCCTGAAAGTGGAATTGCATGCCACAATGGCATCCAAAGTGTCATCCAGTCTTGAACTAACTCTGGAAGCACTCGACTGTCTTTATTAGTCAGCACAAGTTCCTCTAATTTTGGTGCTGCAATGAGATACATCCTCCAGATTCCATAACTATTTAAATCGTAAGTTATTGTCATTGACTTGACATGTCTGCCTTTAAATCTCATAAAATTGTAGGTTGCTTCTGGATCTTCAATGCAGTCAAGGTTGAATTTGAATTTGTTGATGATTTTTGGTGTTCTGAATATGAAGCTATTGACATCTTTTGAGAGAAGCATGCAGTTTTTGATGTCATTGGTGTCCGTTAGGTTTGTGATGATGTTTGTGATTATTTCGACTGGAAGGTATGGGAGGTTGAAGTGTAGCTGGATATGGAGAGAGAAATGATGAATGGATTAATATTTTTGGATGTTTATGGACTTTGTTGAGGCTCAGGTGCTTGGTTTACACTAGAATATGGTTTCTAACCAAGCATAGGGACTAGATTCATAGTTAAGAGTTTGAACCTGATTATTTGAACTTATTAAAAGCTAGTTGATCAGTTTTTCATTTTTAGGTACGGCCTTGACGACCTTAGCCATAGCCAAAGGATGTATCCAATGCAACTAGTGCCCAACACTCAAATATGTCACAACTTACATTATTGTTGACTTCCTGATCAGTTTTTATTGTCTTTCGAATTTTACTTCTATATGTTGAACTTCCTTTGACAATTCTTCTTTTTTGCATGTTTATTTTTGGCAATTTTAAGTCTCAAAGTTTAAATTTAATATTAAAATCCTTAATTAAGATGATTTATTGATCAATAATCTTCAATAAACAGTGCTGGAATGATGTAAATATTGGAACTTGATTGAGATTAAATATTGTACGATTTGAGATTAAAACTTGAACTTTTTGCTTTAAAAAACTTTTTTCAAAATATTTACAAAAATTTGAAGAATTTTGAATTTTTTTAAAGGTTTAATTTCTTTATTTTGATTGAAAACTTTTCTTTGACATTTTGAGATGTGGTGCTGAAATTGTGAATTTAGTGTCTAGGAACAGTTTACCGGACTTCATTTTGGACGTACGTCTGTAAACTTTTGTTGTTGTAATTCACTAGAGTTTAATTGTGTTGACATGATTCTAAGAACAAGCTAGAGAAGGGATGATTGAGCATTAAGCAAACTGTGAAACCAGGGGAAAACAGCTTGATGGAAAATTTCTTTCTCAATATGATTTTGTATTGATAACTTATTTCTGAAGTAAAACATCTACATCAGTGACTATACAGCAAGATACATTGACAGAGCTTAAATAAAACTTTAATTTTGAATTTCTTAAGCTCTTGTTTTATTTTGTCAAACTTAACTTCGAGCTTTTTGATCCAAAAATGCCCAAAACATAAAAATTGACTTTTTCTCGTTTATTTAAAAATCAGAGTAGCTTAAACTTCAAATTTAAATAGATTTGGATATGGTCGGGTTCAAAGAATTAAACATTGAGTGTTCCTAGATCCAATTTGATCCCAAATTACACTTCAAAGCAACTAAACTACTCAAATTAGATTCTTTACATTGGAAAGAAAACAAACTAGTACAGAAGCTGCCGTTACAGATGTGAATGGACGAATTAATCACATTTTCTTTGCATTCACCAGTAAAAATGAACTAAAAACCAACATCCAGGAGCATTTAAGTCAAATCCGGAACTTAATAGCATGATCCATTTGCATATAAATCATGTCCAGAACTTAAAACTAGAAGCTTGTGGGATATAAAAACCAATGAGCAAGAAAAAAATTAATCACATTGAAAAATGAAAAATTTATGTTAACGGTTTTTTGAGATTTAAAAATTAACGGTTTTTTGAAATTTAAATCCATTGGATAAATTATCATATTTGATTGATTGATTGATTGATTTGGTTTTATTATCCCTCTCGGGTAGTTAAGCATAAAAGCTAAGAACATCATACATGTTTCGATATATATAAAGTTGTTTAGTGAACATTAATTAATTAAAGGCAATACAAATTGCAAATTAAGTATGATAGTGAATAAAATAATGTACGTACACACACAAAGTTGGTAAGTAGCAAAAAAAGAAAATATTTAAAATAGCAGTAATAAACTAAGTATCGCAATATAATATAACGTGTCAATAAAATTTGAATTTAAGCATCTCGTTGATTAAGCTGATTTGAACAAGTTGTTTACATCCAGTTTGCAGCCCCTCAAAAAGATCAATTTATTTTCCAAAAGAAAAATTTTCAATTTTAGTTTAAATAAATTAAAGCTACTAATCTCTCTTTATTTCAGAAGCAACTGGTTACATACTTTTGGACCAAGGCAATTGAGATCATTCGCCAGTATAGCTTTGCGGAACCTAGGAAATTTCAGCTATAGAATGCAAAAAAACTAGAAGTCTCTAAGTACTTCCAGTTCCTAGTTTTTAAAGCAGCCAGCCAGCCAAAGTGGACATTTAAGCGCATTTTTTGCTAAGGAAAATGCAGAAAAAACTTAGTAGAAGTTAAAGCTTGATTATTTATTGTCATTTTTAATTTATTTCAAGATTCTTTGTTCCAGCACAAGAAGCACTCGTCCTGATATTAATTTAAAAGAAATCCTGATTGTATGAAACTTTTATAAGCATTCTCAATTTCCTCAATTTATTAAAAACAATGTCTAAAGTTGAAATGTCAAGCGAAAAGTCAAAATCCAGTTCCTCTAAAGAATCAATTTGTGCTAGTAAAAATTCATCTAAATAGCCATTGACAGCCATTCCATTTTTTGTAAAAATTTTCAATGTTTTAAGCTTAAATTTAAGTTTTCTTGCAATGTTCCTTGACAAAAAGTTGACTTCTCCGTCTGTTTCAGTTACGATTATGTTCAGTTCCTTTAGATTCTCTTGTTGTAGGATGAATTCAGTCATAATCTTTTGATGCTTTGACGAATGAATGTAAATTGTCAATTTTTCTAAGCTTTTAACTTGATTTGTGACTTTTATGAAGCTGTACAGGTCAGTCACTTCCATTTCTAAAACTTTCAGCTCTGGCAGGTCAATTGAGTTTGAATTCAATGTCCAATATTCTTTAAATGGCACGCTGTCTTGTTCTTTCGTTGGAAATGAGCAACTTCCACAGCAGACACATCCAAATGACACATTTGTGAATGTAAAGTCTGTCAAATTTGGTGTCTGGCTGAGGACAGTCTTTAAGATTTCTGTACTTTCTGAATTGAAGCTTAATTTTATGTTTTTTATTTCATTTCCTTTGAATTTAAGGAAGTTTGAGCATTCATCTGAGTTGTTGGTGCAATCAAGGTTGAATAACAATCTTGTCAAGATTTCTGGTGTCCTAAATATGCAGCTGTTGACATCTTTTGACAAAAGCATGCAGTTTTTGATGTCGTTGGTGTTTGTAAGGTTTGCGATGACTTTAGTGATGATTTGGACTGGAAGATGTGGTTTGGTGCTTGGTTTTAGATTACTTACGTTGTTGTTTAACTCTTGATTGGAAGATGATAACTTCTGGAGCTTAATATTGTCTTTGAAGTCTTCAAAACTGATTCGTCGTTTGAACATTTTTTTTGGATTTTTTAGGTTTTGACAGATTTTGTTTCAATTTTTTGATTTTTTGATTTTTTTGATTATTTGATTAAATTTTTTGATTTTTTGTTTAATATTTTTGATTTTTTGTTTAATATTTTTGATTTTTTGTTTCAAATTTTTGATTTTTTGTTTCAATTTTTTGTTTAAATTTTTTGATTTTTTGTTTAAATTTTTTGATTTTTTGTTTCAATTTTTTAATTTCTTGTTTCAATTTTTTTTTGTTTGAATTTTTTGATTTTTTGTTTCAATTTTTGATTTTTTGTTTCAATTTTTTGATTTTTTGTTTCAATTTTTTGATTTTTTGTTTCAATTTTTTAATTTTTTGTTTCAATTTTTTTTGTTTAAATTTTTTGATTTTTTGTTTCAATTTTTTGATTTTTTATCCAATATTTTGATCTAGAATGTTAGATTTTTGAACAAACTCTGGTAAAAGTTTTGAAAAAATCCTAAATAGCCTCTAAAAAATTGAGATTTTTTGCAATAACTTCACAAACAATTTAAAGTTTTCAAAAAATTTTCAAACGTATTTTGAATCTTCAAACAATTCCACAATAAACGAGAGATTCTCAAACCCAAACCTTTGTTTACCTCAAAACAGTTTCAGAACCACTGGAAATCTCATTCAGTATTAACTACAAATCATAATTTAAGTATAAATATTGCGATAGATCAACGATTGTGCATCAAATCAAGTTTACTCATCTCTGGAAACTGACTGTCAATCAAAATATCATCAAATTGTCAAAAGATCTTCAAATCAATCTTCCAAAATTGTTAAAAATTATTTAAAGTTTTTTTTGCTAAAGTTGATAATTAAGGAACTGACTTAGTGTCATGACAAAAAGAATGATTGAACTTAAAAGATTAGTGTCCAGCTACAAAAGACAGAAAATGTCAGAATCAGATGATAATATGGAGACTGAACATTCTGTAAGTATAGATCAGCTAGATTTAAGAAACTCAGTGTCCATGACACAACTGGATCTTAGTCAAACCAAAAAATACTAACTTAATCTTTCATTTCTCCCCAAAAATCCAGGACCAACCACCAACCCTCCCTCTAGAAATGATCCTCAAAGTCATCTCAAACCTAAATTCCATCGAAGACATCAAAAACTGCATGCTGCTCACAAAAGAGATCAATACCTCAATATTTAAGACACAAGAAATCATGAAGAACATCAAAGTTCAGCTTAAATGCTTCTATGAGTCAGATACAGCCAAAAAGGTCCTTACAGAACATGGCAGGTATATCCGGTGTCTCAGCATCTTAGCAAAAGTCAACTCACCAAAATTATTCAAAGATCTGCTGCCTCTAGTGCCAAATATGGATGAGTTCTTGCTAGAAAGGAAGATTGTGTTGTCTAAGCCTACATATCCATGGTCTGTTGTCTATTCAAGCTGGTTGAGTGACTTAGTTTATGAATCTGACAAGGATTCGTCCGATGAAGAGGATGAAGATGAAGATGAAGACATTGATGATGATTTGTACATTCCACCACCAAATAAGAAGTTGTCAGACTGTTGGAATGACAATGAAGATTCACTGGACATGACTAAGCTTAAAGCATTAAAGATTGATGTCAGAGATTTGGAGTACTTCCTAAAAGCCACAAAAAATGTCAAACATCTTGAAAAATTAATAATTTTCTCACATGGATCAACTTATGATGATTTCCTGTTTGACTTTATATGCCAGCAAAAGAATCTAAAGGAACTGAATGTAATTAACCAGAAGAATTACTACATCGCGTTCCCAAAAGAAGATCCAACCACAAAAGTCACATTTAAACTCAAAAAATTCAAACTCTTAACAAGAAGCAACCAAGAATTGAATGAGAATTACACAAAGTTCCTGGCTATCCATGCTGAATCTTTAGAGGAACTCGAAGTTGATCACTCGCTAAGTCCTCAATCGCTTCAGATAATCTTCGAAAAGTGCCACAATCTTCAGAAATTCACACTGAGAAGTGACAAAAATTCAGAACTTTATTCTCGCAGCCATCCTGACTGGATTCTCCCGAGCATCAAACATTTTGATGACCAAAACTCAATCGGATTGAATCTCGACACAGTCCTTAAGAAATTCCCAAACATTGAGTCTCTTAAGTGTCAAATCATCAATGATCCAAGTCGAAGACCAAACAAAATTAAGGAACTGGAAGTAAACACCATGAATGCAGTAAGCACAGACACATTTCAATTCACGGACTTAAAACTCATCACAATCAATCAGATTTGCTTTTTTAGAGAGGAAATAATGAGGAATACGCTGATAAATATTAAGAATGTTGAGCATCTGGTGATTAGAGATGCAAGGAACACGCAAATATTGTCGAGAATCTTTAAGCATTTAGACGTGATGAAGAAGATGAAGACATTCAGCTTTAGAGTTAATCCATACACAAAGAGAGTCTATAAAATGGGCGATAATGAGGAAGTTCCAAAAAATTACATGTTTTATAAGATCATGGCTGATATGGAGAAAAAGGTTGTGAAGGTCAGCACATTCATTGTACAGCAGAATAAGGAACTGTTTGACATTTTGGTTGAGACTTTTAAAGGATTTGAATTCTATGAATTCTGCTTTGATGTCACGAAGATGGTGAAGATTGATGTTGAAGATAAGCATGCTGAATGTTAAATTTTGATGTAAAATTTTGGACAAATTAATAAAGAAGAATTAAACAAAGTTAATTAAATTACCTGTTTTTGTTGGTTTAGGTTAGGTATAGGTTAGGTATAGGTTAGGTATAGGTTAGGTATAGGTTAGGTATAGGTTAGGTATAGGTTAGGTATAGGTTAGGTATAGGTTAGGTATAGGTTAGGTATAGGTTAGGTATAGGTTAGGTATAGGTTAGGTATAGGTTAGGTATAGGTTAGGTATAGGTTAGGTATAGGTTAGGTATAGGTTAGGTATAGGTTAGGTATAGGTTAGGTATAGGTTAGGTATAGGTTAGGTATAGGTTAGGTATAGGTTAGGTATAGGTTAGGTATAGGTTAGGTATAGGTTAGGTATAGGTTAGGTATAGGTTAGGTATAGGTTAGGTATAGGTTAGGTATAGGTTAGGTATAGGTTAGGTATAGGTTAGGTATAGGTTAGGTATAGGTTAGGTATAGGTTAGGTATAGGTTAGGTATAGGTTAGGTATAGGTTAGGTAAAGGTTAGGTATAGGTTAGGTATAGGTTAGGTATAGGTTAGGTATAGGTTAGGTATAGGTTAGGTATAGGTTAGGTGTAGGTTAGGTAAAGGTAAGGCATAGGTTAGGATTATTTGATCAATCAAAAAGTCAAAGTATATGGAATAAAAATTAATATTAATTACATTCATTTATTAAGTGATTTATAAATAGTAAGACTGAAGAGAGATAGTTTAACTTATGCATTGATACCAGCTTAATTCGCCACTTAGGCATCCAGAAACCACGATCGGTGCTCGAGGACTAAATTTTGTACTGACTACTATATCTTGATGCTGATCAGGTTTTAGAAAAACTTCAGTAAGCTTTTGTGGTAAAACATTGGATTTGTAACTTGTTGGAAGTATATTTGCCAATTCATCACAATCTTTAGAAAACGACAGTAGTCTGATGCCAGATTTGTATGGGGAACAGATTAGTCGACCATCGTTATTAAAACATAATTCTTTAATAAAGCCTTTTCCTTCATTTGGTTCAGCACAATAATACAAAAGTCGTCGACAGTTTTGCTTAATGTTTGGCCTGCGAACATTTCTTTGATTCAATGATAAAATGCCTGTATTTATCCGATGTGGACGCTCTGTTAAGGTTCGACGACTTCTTTGGTAAAATGGAATGTTTCCAGTCCACAGATCTAAAATTTCCTCTGTATTAATAAGTGATGGCCTTAAAGTCGGTTGATACGGTATAATTTGAATTTCATCATCATTATCACTTATATTCAAATTTTGTCCATCATTTTGTTGTGGCTCATCATCAGGCGCATCAATTTGAATATTTGGATTTCCAAGTCTGTTCGAGTGATCAGTGCTATTTGTCTCATTACTTGTCTCGTCGCTATTATTACTAGCATTACTACTAAATGGAACAACTTCCGAATTTGTCTCACTTCCATCCACATTTTCATATTGCTGTAGAATTTCCGGTATCGGTGGCGATTCCTCTTCCTCTGTGTCGATTTCTTGAATATCATGAACACAAGTCCATTCGCTGCTTTCGTCATAGCTATTGTTTCGACTTAAAACACACCAATTGTATGGATGAACCTTGACAATAATAAAGTGCATACGAAATTAGCATAAAATAGTTTTTATAAAAAAATGTAAGAATTATTTAAATTACCTGCAATGAGCTAATTACTTCTGCATCATTTCCTTTAGGAAAGTCGGAAATCAGTTCAACGCGATTTGATTTTTGATTTTTACTAAAAAGATGATCATATTTTGATGCAATTGGAAGATATTGACGACGAACTTGCATCAATCTATATAAATTGGGCTATAAAAGAGAATCAAGAAGAAAAACGGAAAATAAAAATAAATTTCATGGCTTAATATGCTCAATCAATCAATTATCGATCAATTTCTTTGCTGCTCATTCAAAATTGCAGTGATGGCGAACCCATGTGCCGCGGCACACAAGTGAACCGTGGAAAACTTCCACAAATCGTATGCTGTGTGTGGTTTACCAAGATGTGCCATGACACAAAAAAGGTTGACCACCACTGCAATATTATTGAACCCATGTGCCGCGGCACACAATCGAACCGTGGAAAAATTCAACAAATCGTATGCTGTGTGTGGTTTACCAAGATGTGCCATGTCACAAAAAAGGTTGACCACCACTGCAATATTATCTAGTCTTTTGTACTCACACGAAATCCTTGCAGGTCTCTCGATAAAGTATTTAAATCCAAATCATGAATCAATATTAAATAACCGCCAGTCGTGCAGATTGCAAGCTTTTGTCCATCTGATGTTAATCGACATCTCATAAGTCCCGGTGTGTGAAAAACCTTTTGATACGTTAGATTATTTTCAGTGTAAGAGTTCAAGTCCCAAGTAAAGATAGATCCATCAAAGCCACTCGTCACCAAAAGACATTCGCGCTTACAATATTCAATATTTTTAACCCAATTTGAATGGCCACGCAATGTTCTGATTTTGGATTTTAGGTTCCTCATATCGTAAATTAAAACTGTTGTATCATCAGAGCAAGTTGCAAACAATCGGTCGTCAAGAAATCTGTTAGGTAAAGTAAAGTAAGTATTGAATCTTTTTGACCTTGACATCCGAATGAATGATTCATAAGACTGACAAATGATTGCTCAGATTCAGAATGTCGAGAATAATTCATTCAGATTTCAGGATTTTAATTTACTTTATGCAATTAACACAGTCACTATGCACATCGTCCAAAATCTTTATCGGTTTTCTGTTGGTTGTTTCATATATAATGACAGACTTCTTCTCGCATGCAGCAACTAGAACCGAGCTGGAATGAAGATTTTAAAAATGATAAAATGGTTATTAATGATGAAGAGCTCAAAGGGGTTGTCAACTTATTTGGTCTGTTAAAATAGATGATTCTTAGACCCCTTTTGCCCTTCTTGGAAAGCTACTTGACGTAGAATAGTAATGAAAGAATGTCAGCTTAATGTGCGGACAGAGAAATTGTACAAACTTGGTGACAGAGCCAGCAACAGAGTCAAATGAATAGCTTTTTGTTGTAACCTAAACTCCACATAGGAACATGGTTACAGTTCTTACTCCCCTCTTGGCACAAATCCCTCATTTAAGTAGTCACGAGACCCAAAAAAATTCAGACAACTCCGCCCCCACCCCACTGAAGGGGGACTTCAGTGTAACCACCAGAGTTGTCACCTATCGAATTCCTATCAAAGGCAAAAATCTATCTCAGGCTTTACCTTTGTATAGGCAGAAATTTTTGCCTTTGCCTAGACATGCCTAGTCAAAGGCAATACCTAGCCAAAGGCAATACCTAGCCAAAGGCACTGCCTTTGTAAGATTAAATCTACTATAGAAATTGCCTTTTACCTTTAGTCTTACTCGTTGAGTTTTTTTTTTAAATTTTAAACACCTTTTTTCCTTAATTTGAATTTATTTGAGCATAATAGTGAATCATACCTTCTTTTAAACCAATAATTTGCTACGTCGAAAATTTAAAAAATTTAATTTGTCGTTATCAAAAATTTTGTCGCCTTGGATAAATCAAAATTCGGCGTTTCAGTCATTTGGAGGGGGTCTGTAGTTTTTCAATGGTTCAAACAAAAGAAATTTTGCATTATTGTTCAAAAACTCAACGAGTAAGACTAAAGGTAAAAGGCAATTTCTATAGAAGATTTAATCTTACAAAGGCAGTGCCTTTAGCTAGTTATTGCCTTTGACTAGGCACACTTTTTTGCCTTTGGCTAGGCACACCTATTTCTAGGTAGTGACTGTGTCTAGGCAGTACCTTTGACTAGACTCACTTTTTTGCATTTAGCTAGGCTTGCCTATACCTAGGTGTTGACTAGACAAAGGCAAAAGCTGCCATGCTCCGTTGAGGCACCTTTTCAAAGTACCTATATGACAACCCTGGTAATCACAATGCAATAGTGTGGCAAATGGAGGAGGAAATGGGATGGAGGCTAGAATGTGCTTTAGCATCGCCGTGCAAAAAGAACCCTAACGTAAAGGAATGTAAACTTTAAATTTTCGAATAGGCTACCCAAGAACTCCATCCCCCCACCCCCCTTAAAGAGCGATAGCGTAGCATTAAAAGAGGGTAGTGGACTTAGTAAGCTATGCTTTGGTTTAAAATGCCATAACAAAGAATAAAAAATTCCTAGCAAATTTAGGATTTCACCTTGGGTGAGCTGCACCCCCCCCTATCTCTCCCCCACCATTATACAATTTCTAAGAGGAATTTAGCGTATTCCTTTGCTATAAGCGCCATTTAAGCGGGGAAACCCCTTCTTTAAACTATCACAATGCTTCACAAATTTACAGACCCCCTCTCTTGCTCAATGGTAGACATAAACCCCAAAAAGTACATACCCATCAGATGAAAATTCAAGTCCAAATATTCCTCCATAATTGTTACAGACTCTAGAATATGGACCAACTGTAGAATAAATTGAGCTGTAAATCCTTGCAAAATCTCCCGTTTGATTTCGATTATTTCCAAATTTTTCTCGTCTTTGCAGCCAACTAAGAAATAAAGTTTATTAAAAATCAATTATTTTGTTGATATTAATTTTTTGTTGTCATACCTGAAAGCCATTCTCAGTGCACTTTGTATGTATTATATTAATCCACAATCACAAATGCTACAGCAAAAAAAACTTGATTCACTGAAGATATAAAAAAAAACACAATTCTAGTCTCAATTTTTTTTTTGCTTTAAATCGATTGCTTGATGGAGTTCTTAAAGTCTACGTATCCATTGCAGCTGCTAAGTCATTTGTCAAAATACTGATGGATGTTATTAAGTAATTCTTGAGCGATTGGTGCTTGTTAATGAAATAAAGTGAACTGAAATCTTCTGTGGAACTTTTGTTTTTTTTTTATGAATATTTTACTAGACGAAAGTTTCGTTATGCTTGTTGATAAACAGAGAACAACAGTCTTGATGAAAAATATAAAGTTAAAATTGTTTGATTATTTTTTTTGGGGGTTATTCATAAATGACATTCAGAAATTTTTTGACTCCCCCTCCGACCTCTTTGTCACAAAATTAATACGAAAAAAATGTTTGTTGTTTGAATTTTAATAAAATCCTTGAGCCACCCCCCCACCCTTAATATTAGACGTCATAATTAATCAACCCCATTCCACAATTGAAAGTCAAAATTGTATCCAAATAGCAAGACTGAAGACAGACATTCGATCAAAACTATATTAATGATGATAAGTAGAAGTTAAATTGCATTTTCGACAGACAGAGAAAGCTTTTGGTAGACATGCCAATAGATGGCGCTAATTCATGTCTATTAAGCATATTTGCGTACCCTAAGTAAAGTTTGAGAACCAACGAAAGTTTGGAAAGTCACGAACTTCAACGCTAAGCTAATGTTTCAAATTCAATTCAAAATTCAAAATTAAATTTTTTTAAAATTTTAAGAATTTTTAAAATTTAACCTTTCTTAATCTTTGTCGCAAATAATCCTAAAAGCTACCTAAAATTGTTTTCTTATCGCTGCATTTTAGATTGTTTCAGAAACTTTTTTAAAATATTGATTTAATCACAATTTTACAGCACATAAGCCTACGACCAAGATACAGAATTTAAAGTCTAAGAAAAAAATTGAAAAAATAATTCAAAACATCAAATTAAATAAAGAACTGAGTATGAATAAGTCTGTCAAAATGGTTGGCTCCAAATTGTATAAAGATGACTCAAAGGTATGTAAATTGATACAAATTTTAAAATGGTATAGGATTAATGTTGATTCAGCACACGAGTTCACATCTAAGGCGATCTAAATCCCCTCAAACTAGCATTCATCCTATAGAGTAGGTTGCTTTATATTGGCTACAGCTAACCTTAAACTTAATAGATGTAAAAAATCAGCTTTCATGAAAGGAGTTATCTCTCCATTCATAGTATCTCAAGTTGTACAACAGAACCGTACCAATAGTGTGCCTGCAGAGTCGGAAGTTGTCAACATCGACAGTCTACTTGCAAGCTATGACTATCGATATCAATTTCTGTGGATTGAAAATCGGCAATTAAAAGTTAAAATTAATTTATAACTTCCAACATTTCGTCCAAATTTTTAGCAGTCAAATCCAATCCTCCCGATCGAAATGATCCTCAACATCATCTCTCAAGTGACCAACTTTAAAGACAAACTCAACTGCATGCTGTTGTCAAAAGACATCCGAGATATGATGTTCAAGTCACCAAAACTGATGAGAGGCATCAACTTTCGATTCAACTCTGCAACTTTTGATGATTGGAGGGGCTTTATGGTTAACAGAGGATTGTGCATGCGGAATGTAGTCATTGAGCTATTGCCTAATGTTGATGGAATTATGAGAACTGTACTGATGATGTTGGCAAATATCGAAGAGCTAGAATTGAGGAGAAATAAGAACGTCTTTGGAGAGTATAACTTAATTAGCAGTGGATTGTGCCATAACGATTACCAAGAAGTGTCAGATCAAGGAATTTCATTGAAGACCTTAAAGTCACTAAAGATCAACACCAAAGACATCCAACAATTCTTAAAAATCACCAAAAATGTCAAGAACCTTAAAACATTGACAATTCTCTACGACAGCCCAAAAGATGAAGACTCAATGTATGACCTCATCTGCCAACAACAAGACCTGCAGCACCTGACAATCCTCAATGTCCAAAAAACACATTTGGTCTTCCCAAACAGCGACATCACCAAAAAAATCAAATTTAACCTAAAAACCTTTAAACTGAATATTTCACACTTTACAAGAGAAAATGAAAATTTAGCAAAGTTTCTTGTTGTTCATGCTGCAACTTTAGAGGAACTCGACTTTGACTTCTCAATTCATCCCAAAGTCTGCAAAGTTGTTGCTAAAAAGTTGACAAAGCTAGTCAAGCTGATCCACAGAAGTGACATTTTCTCACCAATTTACACAAACTACTTCCAAAACAGAACCATTAAGCATCTGCATGACAAAAATCCAACAGATTTGTACTTTCCAAGCATCTCACAAAGATTTCAGTGCCTTGAGCATTTAAAATGTCAGTCGGTTAGCTTCTCGCCTGTAACTGCTGACTGTCTAAAGACCCTCGATGTTGACACTTTGGATTTAGAAAATTTGAGGAATTTTGAGATGCCAAATTTGGAAAATTTAATTGTTAATGATTTTTCGATGATATTTATGGATGCTTTAGGCTACTTAAATTCAGCCATTCCTAAGAATTTCCACTTGACAATCAGGAACATTCAAAGTGACAAAACACTGGCAGCAATCCTCAGAAACATGAATTTAATTAATAAGTTGATAACCTTGAATGTCAGAGCTGAACCTTTTAAAGTTGTCGTTCAAAATCTGACAATTCGAGTTGATGATTGGTTCTTTAGCATCAAGTTTGATTGTGATGAGAAGATGTTTAAGGTTACTACACACACAGTTGAGAAATGTAAGAAGATTTATAGTTTTATGGCTGATTTATTGGAAATGGATTTGTATAAGTTCAAGTTTGATCTTGTTGGGGTTGATGAGTTTTGTAAGGTTGTTTAGAAAAAATACAAAAGAGCTGCTTTTTTTGTATAGTCAAAAGAGTCCAAGGGTATCGAAGGTTGACTATGTTTATAAAAGGATTTCCAAGAGTGTCCAAGAGTGTTTAAGGGTGTTAAAAGGTGTCTAAGGATGTCCAAGGGAGTCCAAGAGTGTTCATGGATGTCCAAGAGTGTTTAAGGGTGTTTAAAGATGTTTAAGGATGTCCAAGGGAGTCCAAGAGTGTCCAAGGGAGTCCAAGAGTGTTTAAAGGTGACCAAGGATGTCCAAGGGAGTCTAAGAGTGCCTAACGGTGTTCAAAAGTGCTCAAGGTCGTTCAAATGTGTTTAAAGAAGTCCAGAACAGTAGAAGAAAGATACAAGCGAGTCAAGGGGTTTAGTGAGAGTCCTAAGAGGTCAAGCAGACCCTCAAGATTAAAATATATAAGTTTAATTCAGCTTGATGACGCATAAAACCACAAAAAGTTCAAAAATTATTTTTTTTTTCAAGACTAAGATGAAAGTTAAGGTCGTAGTTCAGTGTTGTCCAAACATTTTGGAGCCAAGGCACACCTGAAGGGTAACCCATGACCGAAGTTGCACACCGTATGCGGCTCATGTCAGTTTCTACGGCAAAGTATTGTGCCGCGGTACACAGTTTGAACAACACTGTCGTAGATCAAATTAATCCCTCTTCATAAATTTCCAAAACCACATCAACGGTTGAAAATAATTCAAAATCTTCAACTTTACCTGAAATTGCATCCAAAAACTTTAAAAGTAACAAACTTTAATTTCTTAAAAGTTTATAAAAATTCGTAAATAATCTCAATATGTTAAATGATATTTAATCACAACTTAATTGCATAAAGCACATCATTCAAGTTCTTACGTTGGTAAACAATTATCAAAGCTATCAAAAACTATTAAATTGTCATATTAAAGTTTAATAAATAATATAAAAAATGCTGAAACGCAGAAGCGAAAGAAGTCATTCGAAAACTAGAAGTAAAATTCAAAAGACTTCAACATTAGCACAGGAAACGAACCACAATGTAAGTATTGAAATCTCAATTTAGCTTATATGAATGACTAGCTCTGAAAGAACACGGCATCAAAAAGTCAACGAAAACAGTTACTATGCCAGCGTGTTTTTGCGACCTGAAGCTCCATGCCGTTCCAATGCTTGCATGAGACTTTTTCTTGCCGTGTACATTAAGTGTAGATATTCAGCTGAAGCTAGTGTCTTTAGCTTCCCAAGACTTCAGGTTCACTTATTGCATAGTAAGTAAGATAGGCGCCATTGGTAGCTACAGAAATGGACACCATACTTTGCCTTCCTTACCTTAAATCAACAGTGACACCTTGTTTGAGTTTTCTCAGGTCAACCTGAGTCAAATCCTTTATAGATGCTCTATTAGCTACTCCTTAAATTCAATACACATTACTTTATTTCCATTTCAACTTTTCTCCTCAAAAATCCAGGTCAACCTCCCACAAATCCCAGTCGAAATCATCACCAACATCATCTCATCCCTAACCGACACCAATGACATCAAAAACTGCATGAATCTATCAAAAGAAGTCAGCAGCTTCATCTTCAGAACCCCAAAAATCGTCCATCGATTCCAATTCAACCTCAACTGCATCCTCGAGTACAACGAGTCTCTTGACTTCCTCAAAAATAAAGGCAGACACGTTAAATACTTAAAAGTTAATTTCGATTCCGATGGCATGAAAATTATGAAAAACTTATTCAGTCACACGCCAAATTTAAAGGAATTTGCAATTGTAAATCAAAGTCCACTGCCACCACTGCCAACTGTTCGTAGATGCTTTTGTTGTGGAAGTCGTCAGTTCCATGGAGTTCCATCAAAACAGCAAGATTGGGTGCGATTCACAAAACAATGTTGGATGCCAAGAAAAGGCTCAGTTCCGTTGCCAGGATTGAAGGTTTTGGAAATTGAGTTGAGAGATTTGGATGACTTTATTAGATCCACAAAGTATGTGAGAAGCTTAGAAGTTTTGGTCATTAATGTGTCAACATTAAGTGATCAAAGGATCATGAATGAGTTCATCATGCAGCAAGACAATCTCAAGGAACTGACGCTACAAAGCATTGGAAGGCTTGGAGCAATCAGATTCCCAACAAGAAATGTCACTAAAGATGTCAGATTCAGACTCAGAAAGCTGAAGATCCTCACAAATGGTAGAATGATTTACAGCGACATGGTTGACGGCTTCCTGCAGACACAAGCTAACAGCTTAGAGGAAATGGAATTTGACTTTTCACTTCGCGACTCAAATTTGAACATAATTTTCAACAGATTCACAAGATTGAGGAAGTTTATCCAGACAACAGATGCAGAGAATGTGCTTATTAGAGAATCAGGTGTGATTTGGAGGACATTGAAGCATGTGGCTTACTATGAAGACATGAATGTTGAAGGAATCAGACTTAATCGAGTTTGGAATTCATTTCCAAAAATAAGTTCAGTAAAATGTAAATTTTTAAACAGTTCTTTTGGTGATTTCTTCATGATTAAGGAACTGGATATCAAAGAGCTGAACATTTTGAACCTCAAAAATTCAAGATTTTTAAACATTAATAATTTGACGGTGGGGAAGCTTTGGGATTGTGAAAATGAAGAAAATTGGATAACATTCATGATGAGAGTCAGGAATGCCAGGAACTTGACAATTAATGGACTTCAAAATATTGATGACTTCATGTACATCATCAAGAGCTTAATCATATTCACAAGACTAGAAAAGTTCAGCTTTAGGTACAATCCAAGAAATATGAAGACAATTGTCAGTGATGACAACGAGACAATCCCGACTGGATGTAAATTTTATAAAATTCTAGTCGACAAGAATCAAAAGACAGTCAAAGTCAGTTCTTATATTGTTAAGAAGTGCAAAGGAATTCTTGGAATTTTGATTCGATATTTTAAGGATTTTGAGTTTTTTGAGTTCTGCTTCAATGTGATGATGATGAAGAAGCTTGATGTTGAGGAACACAAGATTGATATTCGGGAATTTTATGAAGCTAAGGCGGAAGCTCCGAGAAGTGAGAGACGAACTTTGAGAAATTTGCCAGCTATTAATTATAGGGAATCTTTGAGGAACTAGAAATTTGTGGTTTAAGCAGGCGCGTAGCCAGGAGGGTCTTCTCCCCCCCCCGCCCCTTAAACATTTTGAACCGGAGAGTGAGCACGGCCTTAAACACTTAAGAAGGGGACAAGACCCTCCTGGCTACGCGCCTGGGTTTAACCCAAGCAAGTTGAACAAAATTAGGGTAAATGACTTTGAAATTTGCGCAACCTTGAAATTTGCGCACTCGTATGAAAACGAAAATTTTAAAATTATATCTGAAAATTGCACTTCTATTCAGACGATCAATGGGAAATGTCTGCAGAACACAAGCACAGATGTTTTTTCATAATTTTTAGTGGTCTTAAGGCACTAGAAAGCTTAATAATTTATTACCAAAAACTCCCATACAAAACTTAAATTTCTTTACATTTTGATTTTGAGATGCATGCATTGGTATAGATTAAATTTTGGTATCAGAAAATGTAGATCTGACATTGATTAAAATTTTTCAAATGATTCCAATTCAAAATGATACCTGGAACTGCTTTAAAATTCATTTTTAAAATGGCTTGTTTTTGAACCTTGAAATTTGCGCAGATTTTACGAAAAATTTTGAAATTTGCGCAGTGAAAAATAAAGGTCCTTACAACTGAAGAAGAAGTCAAAATTGCAAAGTGGTGTATAGAATCAGCCAAATAAGGCGATCCAAAAACTACAGAAGATTTGAAGGAAACTGCTAAAAAATTAAAGGAACTTGAGGATATGAAAGCTCAAAAATGAATTGACCGAGAAAAAAAGAAAGAATTGCGTGACAAAATTATGAATATTAAAAAGGAAAAACATGAAGCATCAACTCAAGTAATCAGGAAACGAGGTCGGCCAAAAAAGGCAATAAAATGAAGATAGCTTTTAGACTTTATACTAAATTTTAAAATTGAATTACTATGGATACATCATTTTGCTTGTTCCTTTTTGAATTTATTATGTGCTTTTGAACTATTTTGAAACCATTTATCTAGTGTTTTTTTTCCACGCTGGAATTTACTCCTAATACATCTAAGATTATCCTGTTGAACATTAAGCTTTCACGGATTTTCACAAAACTAAATCTAATCATATAATTTGGTAATATACATCATCATTTCCCTTATATTTTGATTAATGTATTTTAAAATTGGATATGGTTTCAACAATATTTTTTCCAAGTTTCAATATTGCTGTCAAAAAAGTGCGCAAATTTCAAGGTTTTTTTGCGCAAATTTCAAAGTTTTCTGCGCAAATTTCAAAGTTCAAACTTGAAAGTCAAATTTCTTGGCATTGACACAGCAGAGCTTCCTATATCCATAGAAAAACAAAAATATCAATGATTCCCTGCATTTCAAGATCGTTAGTAGGGCTCAATTTCAATCCTCCGAAGAGCTTGAAGCAAATGAAATTTTCTTGTGTGAATTTGCGCAAATTTCAAAGTCATTTACCCTATTTGTCAAAAAGACATGCGTTTAGTGCCAATTTAAAAATTTTAATAAAACTTAATTCTTTTAACTTAAAAAAATCTTTTATCTTTTATTTTTAAAAAAATATTAAAAACTTTTCAGAAATGAGCAAAATGTGAAAATAACGGTTTTTCAAAATTCAAAAAATATCCAAAACCATACAAATTATTTTGTAAGGTTCTCAGAGTGCGTTCAGTAATTTAAATGGCTCAAATTTTCACGTGGGAACTACAATTTATTACAAAGTTAGTGAAATTGAAGGAATAAACTGACTTAAAAGGAGATCCGTGACTACATCTTTAAGACACCAAAAATTATGCGAAAAATCGACGTCAAATTTTTTGATTGGAACCAAGACGATGAAGACTACAGACTTCCGTTGATGTTTGACTTTAAAGAATTTTTAATGAACCGCGGCACGTACATCCTCAATTTAAAGTGCAAATTCATCAAATACACAGTCGGTTGGAAGTGCTTAAAGATGATTTTGAATTGTGTGAAAAAATATTGAATCTTTTGCGTTTTTTGTGATGGAATCGAACCGACAGCAGATAAGACTTGAAGAACCAGAAGAGTACGAAGACTCAGATGATGATGAAGACCTACTAAACATCCCGAAATTACCAAATTTAAAGCACCTGAGAGTCACTCACAAGTTCCTTAACATTTTCATTGAAAAAGTCACAAATTTAACGAATTTTTATGTTGGCGAGCCACAAGGAGGAACTGACAAGACCAAGAACATCACATACTTTATAAATCAGCAGAAGAATCTCGAGAAATTCTGTTTCACTAGTGAGGATCATGGATTAAAAAGTACACGATGTACCTTAGTCCTGAAATTAAATTCAAATTCAAGTCATTTTCGTGCGACCGAGAATGTGAAAATTTCGTTGAATTATGTAAGCTTTTAGCTGATGACTTAGACGGAATGTACTTGTACTTTCAACCAGACCCATCATTATATGATGTCCTTAAAAAGTTCAAAAAGCTAAAGAATCTTCGACTTCCAATTAGACCCAGCGACGATCTCTTCACACCAAGCTATACAGGATGGGAATTAAGATCTTTAGAGAACTTCAATCCAGTCCTGGACGTCAAACTAAGTTCATTGCTTAGCAGATTCCCAAATATCAAGTACATCCAATGCACACATTTTTTGAAGGACTCTGGCGTCTTTGAGACAATTGAGACTATCAATGTTGACTATTTTGATCCAAAAATATTAGAATCTGTGAGCTTTCCGAATTGGAAGAGCTTGATTGTTAAAAATAGTGTTTTTGAGGATGACTGGAATCAAATATTTGCTGTAATTCCAAATATTGAAACGAAACTTATGAAAGGATTCAAAACTGCTGATTTGAAACAAAACAAGCTTTGCTCTAAAACAGTTGTGGCCAACCTTTATTGTGTCACGGCACACCTTAGTAGTTATCCATGACCACAATCACACAGAGCAATAGGTTTGTTGGATATCATGGCACATGGGTTGGCCATCACTGACCTAAAACTATTAATTTTTACCGTAACAATTCTTTCATAACTTTTTAAACAATCCAAACCGTTTCCAGAAATTTAAACTTATCTTTACAAACTTAAAAAAATACATTCCAAAACTTTATTGTTGTTAAAAGTTTCATAAATATTAAAATAAACATTTGTCAATGAAAAATTGAACTCAATTACATTTCATTCATTTTGTTTAAAGCATTCAAGCAAGCTCTACAGCAACATTCAAAGAATTCAGCACAACAAGATCGAATTGCCAATTTTTAAAACCGCCAAAATTTGAAAACTGTTAAGCGAATTCAATTTTATGATGACAAACCTGACTAAATCAGCTTCTAATACTTACAAAAGTAACAGACGTTTGCTACAGAAATTGGAGAAGCAGGTAAGCCATAATTTTGTATTTTAACTCTAAATCCTGAACTATTTTTAAGTAAAGTTTTCTGAGGTAAAGTTATTGACTGTAATCACTAATTCATTAGTGTTAAGAAGCTGACCCGGCTAGTACAAGTCTGATGATCCGTGCCAGCCAACTGCTTGATTCGAGTTTTAATCAAGCTTAAAGCTAGCATTATTAAACACTTAGCTTAAATGTATACCAAGAAACCTAATCCTGACCTCGATTCATCAAATTCTAACCATTGCACATGCAACATCCCTAATAAACCCTAATCAGGCATGTAGCCACAAAGGTCTTGCACCAACCTAAACGTTTTGAGCCGTGCTCTCATTGCAGTTCAAAATGCTTAAGGCGGAGAGGGGGACAAGACCCTTCTGGCAACACGCCTGACCCTAATTGCACTCATATTTAATCCAACTCCATTTCTACCCATACAGTTCATCCGCGACCTCAAACTCAGACTCCCAAATGAAATCATCATGAAGATTATCTCGTTCTTGGACAGCCCAAAAGACATCAAGAACTGCATGATGATCTGCAAAGAGACAAGAACCACAATCTTCAGCAAACAAGAATGTATGAGAAAATTTGAATTTAATCTGAATGACATGCTCATTGATTGGAGACAAGGCATTGAATTCTTGCAAGTCAGAGGAAAAGGCATCAGGAACTTTAGATATGAATTGTTTATTGGATCAAGGCCATTGATGAGGCTTGTTTTAAATCAAATGCCAAACTTGGAGGAATTGAGGTTTGAGAAGAAGAAGATTTGGTTGGTTAAGGATAAGAAAGATGCTGTGCACGAGGATTTTGGTGAAGATGATGACTTTAGTGCTAATAACGATGATCGAGACAAGCTTAATGGTCATGATGATGACAAAACTGATCTGAAAAGGAAGAAACCACGATCAAATGGCTGTTTAGATGGAAAAAGTGGTGAAAATGGCAAATTCGGTGAAAATGGTGAATTTGGTGAAAATAATGAGTTTAGTGAAAATGGTGAATTTGGTAGAAAGGATGGATTTGGTGAAATCGGTAAAAATGGTAACATTGATAAAAATGATAGATTCGACAACAAAATTGTGCTATCAAAAACTAAGGAGCCATCTAACAAAATGGACCAAATTATTGAACCTACAACCACCCTTAACACTGATCCCACCAACTCAGACAATCACAGTGACTCAGACAATGGCTTCAACTCCGAACTAGAAACTGAAGACGACAACGACAGCGATGACGATAGCTACAAGGAAAGCATCCACTCAAGTGATGATGATGAGTCAAGCATAGACGCTGAAAGTGTTGGTGAGGTTGAGATTCATTCGGATGAGTCAAGTGATGAATTTTCATCAGATGAGGAGGATTTGGATGCTGCTAAGGAACCAGCAAGATTGTCAAAGTTGAAGAACTTGAAGATAAATTTGGAAGATTTGCAGGATTTTGTTGACAACTCAAAGGATGTTAAGGCAGTAGAGAAGCTTTCAGTAACTTTAAGTGAATTTGAGAATGAAGAAGTTTTGGTGACTTTCTTGAATAATCAAGTGAACTTGAAGGAACTCGAGCTGGTCAAGCACAAACGACTGAAGGAACTAAATTTGCCAACAGCACAAAATCCAAAATTTAACATCAACTTGAAAAAGCTGAAAGTCAAGTTGGACTGCAGAAATTATGAAAATCTAGCAAACTTTATGATCAGTCAAGTCGATTCCTTAGAGGAACTAGAATTCAGCGTCGGTCTGTACAGAAACACAGAAAATTTCATCAATTTTTTCTTAAATGCCGTCAACTTGACAACTTTGACTTTGCGTGAAGGCATAGCCAAATTTATTGGGAACATTGACGACTTAAGACTTGAAAATGTGAAATATTTTGACCAAAAAAATCAATCGATGGACCTTGACACAATCTATTCAATCTTTCCGAACCTTGAGACTCTTAAGTGCTTCTCGACTAGCAGCATAACTGTTAGTAATCCAAAATTGACATCACTTGAGCTGAAAAATTGTGATTTGAATTGTTTAAGGTTCACAGCATTGCCAAATTTGAAGAACTTTACAGTCACGATGAATTTAAAGAATGTCAATGAAGAAAGTTGGACACATTTTGCCGGACTTTGTCACAACATTGAGAATCTTTCAATTCAGACTTACGATTATGAATTCAGCAATGACCAAAGTCAACAAGTTAAAAGTTTGTGCATTTTAGAGAACCTGCGACTGCTTCCAAAACTTCAAAATGTCAGTTATAAAACTATGGCAATGCCTCGAAGAATTAGTGAATTTCAATGTGCTGCTGTGGACACGGAACTAGTCAAAATTGACATAAATGTTGAGAAAAAAGTTGCAAAAGTTTCACAATTTTTAGCTCAAAATCACAGAGGAACTTTGATCAAATTGTTGAATGACTTTGAAGGATTCACGTTTCATGAGATTCGAGCTGATGAACCTAAGAAGATTAAGATTGATCCGAGAATGTTTGTGGGTGGTGAGGAACCAGCTGCAAAGCGACAGAAAGAATCCGAAGATTAACAAAAAACTAAAGTAAAACTAAAATTTGGGTCAATTAATCAGTTAAGTTTCAATAAATTTTATTATTATTTTTCAACTTTTTGTTTTAATTTTTACACAATTTACATTTACACAGAAACATTTACTTTTTTTGTCGAAAATCTGCTTCCCATATTCAGAACTAGAAGTATCTCCAACAACATTGTCATCTGATTCAGAACTGAAACTTTGGTTGCTTCAAGAAGACTCATTTTCAGCAAAGATCTCAATTTCATACTCCTGCATTAAGCTTTGCACCCATTGATGCAATTCTTTTTCCTCAGTCCTGTTTAAAGCATATTCAAGTAAATTTTCGCCATTTTTACTTTTAATTTTTAAATATTCAATTTGTTCGTCGTGAGTCAAAAAACTTTTAATTTCATTCCAGGTCAGTTCCACAATTTCTTTTGTTGGTTTATATCCATTTACAGCAGTAAAAAGAAGATTATTTCCTTCTTCGTCAACATTTTTTATAAACTGCGAAATTTCTAATTTTTCAAAATATTTTCGCAGAGTTTTCCATAAAGTTTTATGAAATTCTGAAGATTTGTTCCACCGTGCTGCTGACTGCAACAAATTTTGATTCCTCTTATTTAAATTTCTCAACATTTGCCTGATTTCATCTCGTGATGCAATCTTTTCTAATTCTTGAATCAAAAACTCAAAAATTTCACTTGATGATTTCCATGCAGCAATTTGAAGAATATTTTGTCCTAATTCATCGACTTCTTTGAGCATTTCCAAATACTTTGCATCTGTTTCACAAAAATCTCGGAAAAATTTCCATAAAAATTGATGAACTTCGATGACTTTTGACCACAATGCAGCATTTTGAAGCAAATTCATTTCCCTCCATCCTTTTGATGTTAAAATTCCTTGAAATTGATCGCTGAATTTTTCTTTAAGAATTTTAAATGTCCACTCAATTATTGCTGGATTTTTATTTGTTTCCACAAGAACATGAACAAAGTTTTTTCCACTCACGTCCATTTGCAGAATAAAATCCTTTAATTCGACTCGATCTTCAAATATTTTGAGCAAAAGTTCCCATAAAGTCTTATGAACTTCAATCTTGTCACACTTGGCAGCATAATCAAGAATGTTTTCTTTCCTTCTTCTGTTTTGTTGCTTAACAAGTTCTTTAAAAGTTTGTGGTAAATTTTGCACTACAAAATATTTTTCAATTTCTGTCCACAAAATTTTTAACTTTTCTTCGTTTTTTTCTTGAACACAAACTTGTAAAATATTTTCTCCGTGAACGTTGAATTTGCTCATTAATTCAATTATTTCAGTGGCTGCGAAGAACTTTTCCATGATTTTTAAGAATTTCTGGACTTTGTGAGCATTTAAATTTGAGGATTGAGTCAAGAAGTAAAAAATGTTGCCTTTATGCCAATCACTGCTCCTCACCATCAATTCTTGTCTGATAAATTCTCGATCAGTTTTTTCTTCTGTTTTTGTCACAAAACCCTCAAAACTTTCAACCTCTAGACTTGATTTGACGATTGTTTGAAAAACTTCTTCTTTTATGATTAAATCCTTCAAGTCTTCGATTTCCAAAAGTTCAAAAATAAAATCTTGAAATTTTAAAAACAGTTTTGAGTCTGTTGTTTTTGCTGCAATGTCTTCCGCGCTGTTTTGTAAAATCTCCTTCACTTGTTCATAACTTCCAGTTTTGAGGATTTCCAGAACCAAATTAACCCAACTTGTTAAGTTATTTGTGAAAAAATAAGAGAACTTTGACATTTCATAAAATAATTTTTTGTGTTTTTGAACTTGTTTTTTAATTCTTGGCAGGATTGAATCTACATCAATCATGTCATTCAGGAACATTCAAATTATTTCAAACTTTTTAACCGTTAAAATTTTAACAAATATTTCGACAACTTTTTCATTAACTTTTGGTTTTTTTAAAGCTTTTGCAATTGCATCAGCCACAAAATATTCTCGGAATGTCTCGTGAGGAAAATAAACTTTTCCATTTTTTATGCTCATTAAGGCACCAGCGATGACTTCTTCCTGTGGCCATTCACTATCATCATAATTGGGAAATAATATTTTAGCCAATTCTGGGAACAAACTTAATATTGCTTGAAATTGATGAAAATTGTAGAAACTAAGCTCAAAAAATTGACTGTCAATGCTTGCTTCATTCCTGATTTTGCCTTTCTGCTCAGCCCATCGTTTGTAAAGAATTTTGATAAATTTAACGTAAATTTTAATTCCTTGCAAGTCATCGACATTTTTCTCATCTTTGAATCCAACAGCAATCATTTTAAACAATTGAGGAAGTCCAACTGAATTATTTCTTGAAATTTCAGCCTTTATGATTATTTTGCGAGCTTTGTTTCTATAATTTTTGTATTTTGGTGACGATTTAATGAACTTGTCGAACTCATCTTTAGATTTTGGCTCATTATTGTCTTTCTGTAAATCCATCAATAGCCAGCTTTTTGCTATCAAGTCAATTCCTTCATCCTCTGTCATCTTCTTTAGACTATAAGCAACATTAAGCTTAAGTTTTTCCATCAAATCAACCTCAAAATAGTCTCGAGTTGCAATCCACAGTTGATTCCCGCCATTTTGTTGGAAGTTCTGTGCCAATTTAGACACAAATTCAGCATAATTTGGAGCAATTTCATCAAATCCATCAAAAAGAATGAAAATTCGGCCGTCCTTGTAAAGTTTTTGAAATATTTTGGCCTCAAATTGATGTTGTGGCTTTAAAATGTGCTCGACCATAAAAGATGAAAAGTCAGGTTCGTCTTGTTGTGCCTTAAACTCGTCAATGAACTGCTTCAAGTCCACATAACTGACCCAACTTGTTGGATTTTGTTCTCGAAGGATTTTTGACAAGTTTTTCATTGCCCAACTTTTGCCATTTCCAGCATAATCTGAGATGAGGACGTACTGCTGGTTTTTGGATTCTTCAAGAAGTTTTTCTTGTGAAATTTGTTCGCTTTTAATTTTTCTTCTGTTCAAATTTATTTTTTTTGGTTTGGTTTTTAAATAAACGTTGCGAATTTTTGTAAATAACCCTTCTGATTTTTCATCCTCCGAATCCTCATCCTCCACATCCTCTCCAGTTATTATAACCTTTGTAACAAAACCTCTTTTTTTGTAAAGCAAGTCTAAATTTTTGTCATCATTTTGATTTGAGTTGATTAAAACTTGATGATTTTCCAGGACTAAGTTCAAAAGCTGTTCATCTGCCAGATCATTAATGTCTTCCTTGTCATTTTCTAGTGCTGTGCTGGTTGCCGGTTCCTTAGTTTCGATTCTGTTCATTACAAGATCCATCAATGAAATTTGTGAATTATTTTGGAAGTTAATTTTAGTTTTCAGCATCAGAGTTTGACTTTCTTCTGTCAAGTCTTTCCAGTTGTAATTTATGTCCAATCTTGTGACATTTTCCAACTCCTTTTGCCTGCAAATTTTATCCAGTTCCTCAATTTGTTGCTTGTTAGACACCACAAAAGTAAACTTAAATTCCTTGTTAGTGAAAATATTTTCCAAATCATCAGGAACGCCACTCGTACAGTCAACGAAAATGCTCAAATCTTGATTGTCTAGACAAATCTGTTGAAAGTCTCTCAAATTTGGTTGATCTTTTAATTCTAAAGGCACAACGAATAAATTATTTGAGTCCATTAAGTTCCCAAATTTCTCTTTTAATTTTTGACAAATGTCAATGAACAAAAGTTGTGGATGATTTGTGGATACAATGACTAATTTGCTGTCGATCAGTTCGCTAATATTCTTTTCATGTTTAACCTTAATCTTATGTTGTAAAATCTTGGGCAACAGTTTAATACTTTCATTTAACCTGATTACTTCACCATTTCTTTGGATATACCTTTGGAGATCTGGTATGACGTAGTCTTGCCAAAAATCGAAGAGGATTTTGTATCTTTTTTGAAGTTTCTTCGACTTATTCTTGGAATCATCAAAATTTGACAGGATTTGGACAACTCGGACGATCAGCTCTGGATGGAAGTCCTTGGTATCATATTCTGTAAAAACTGATGAAATGATTCCATTGCACTCGTCATCTGGATTTGCTGAATCTTTTGCTGACCATCTGTCAATAATTTTGACAATTGCTTCAAAAAATTTCTTTATATCCTCGCTGTCCTCATAGTAAGGCATCTCCTGATTATCATAAACTAGCTTCATGACATAATGACACAGTTCGTGTGCCAAAACTCCTTTGATCTTCTGTTCACGCTGTGCTCCAGAATCATCAATCAATTTAGCACCAATAAAGATCCATTTTTCGATCGTGAACACTGATCCTGAGGCATTCTGTCCCTCCATGCTAGCATTTTCAACCTTTAATCAATAAAATTATTTTTTAAATATAAAATAAGAACAGACATGCTTAATTTAATTTACCGTGTTATTTTCAAAATCAAAAAGAAGCTTTAATCCACTACAAGATGCTGCAACCTTGAGGAAACCTGTGCCATTTTTGATCTTGCTGATGTCTTCGTACCAACTCCTGATCTTCTTCCTATATTCTTTCTCTTGTTCCTTACAAATCTTCTTATTGTGGATTTTTGATCTATTACATAAGGAATTTATAGACATTTCGTCATCAGTCAGGCCGTCGTTGATGTTTTGATTCCTTTGTTGTGCTGCATACTTTCTGGCTTCTCTTTCTGCTTCCTTAAAATCTTCATTTTTATTCTTTGAACAAAAACCGCTGGATTTTAAGAGAACATAAATATTGATCTTTGATGCATCCACAGCTTGCTTTAATGCTGACTTATTGTTGATATTGTAGGCAACTTTTAGGTCCTGATTTGTGTCGATAAATTCTTCAATGTAGTTAGAATTCCCATCACTGATTGCAGTAGCAAAACTCAATCTTTTATCGATGATATCCCTAAGACCTTCATGGACAATCAAGTCATGATTGAAATCCTTTGGAAAAGGAAAGTCAGCAATATTCAGCAAGCGACAGAGGACATCAAGCTGATTGGTATTAAATGCTGCTGTAGAAATTCTAACTTGGTGCTCAAATGGAAGTTGTTGGATCAAATGAGACCAATAATATATTAAATAGTCGATGACATCTATGTTTTGGTTCTCAACAGCTGTGAGTAGAGCTGACTTGTTCATTGCTTGGTCCTGATTATCTCCAAATACGTTACAAATGTATTCATGAGTACCGTTGTTTAATGTTGATTCACTATTCTCGAATGTTTCGTCTAAAGCAGCTATGAATTCAGCTTCTGTGCCTTTTAATGCAATATTCATTATTATGCTTTCAAAAAATTCCTTCGACAAAATTAAGGTGTGCAGGAATCTTAAAATAAAGGCACGATTGTTAATATTTTTTACAAAGTTTAGCACATCCAGTTGAAAATTGTTGAATTTTCCATTAAAAAATGAGCTCAAAAATGACTGGAATGAGTTTGAGTCATCAAGCTTGCCTTGCTGTTGGTCGACGACATCAGGCTTGTCTTGCTGTTGGTCGACGACATGAGGCTTGTCTTGCTGTTGGTCAACGACATCGGGCTTGTCTTGCTGTTGGTCGACGACATCAGGCTTGTCTTGCTGTTGGTCGACGACTTTAAATTGTTCTGTAACTTCCTCTTTGTAGAAGATTCTTGTCACATTTTCATCTTTTGATGCCAATTGTAGAATTATTGGACGAGTCATGCTGAATTTGAGCAACTTTTCCTGGACTTTTGATGATTTTTCTGTCGATTTTGGCTGTTGGTCTGCCGTAAATTCAAAATTGGTGCCATCAATGACAAAAATAAACAGTTGTGGATATTCTTCGGGGTTCAATTCATCGATAATTCCAAGAACTTCCTCAAAATTAAACACAGATGAGAAATGAAGGACCTTGCAGGAATCTTTGACTTTCTTGATGACATTTTCAGTTTCTTTTTTCCATTCTAGGGTGAATTTTTCATTAATTTTGATGACTTGATGCTTTGCCAGGATGTCCCATGATAAATCTTGAGCCTTTTTGTCATCAGGCTTATTAGCATCGCTCTCAGACATGTCAGTGAACACAATAAGAGTAAAACTTTAAATACGCAGCAGAAAAATCTTCCCAAAATAGGCGATGACTAATGGAATTTTGTACAGCACGGCTAAAAGGTTAGAAATTAAATTTACAAATAGTTCTGAACATTCTCGATCACTCACTTACTTTTTTAATGTGTTTCACAGCTTTTTAAGCAGCTTTATTGCTTTAAATTTGAATTTTTTTTAATTTTTTCACAAAAAATGTTTTTATGACACCAAACCACACAGTTGAATAATCGACACACATTCTATCTCTTGATCATTTTTTGTAATTGTATTTGTTATTCTGTGATAACATTTTGTTATACTCAAAATAATTTTAAAAAAATGATTTGTTGTAGAAATTAATTTAATGAAATTTAATGATTTTAAATTCTAATTTTAAACAACAATTTTTACCATTAATTGATTTAATCAATCTAAATTCTATTGAAAAAATTGTTAAAAAATTTGTCAACAGAATATTTTCAAAATACACCAAATAAAAATTGAAAAAGTGAATAAATTATGAACATTTCATAACGGCTTTTTTAAATTCAAATAAAGTTGATTCTTAAAAGCTTTTTACAAATTAAAAAAAAAATGGATCATTCCTTCACTGATTGTCGTTCTTGTTGTATTTTAAGTTAATGATTTTTTTTATTATCTTTTTTGTAATTTTTTAAAATTATTTTGCAAGTTTTTTAATAATTCTGAATTATTTTAAATCTTGATAGTTCAAGCTCAAATGCCATTGATTTTGTGACTTAGAATTAGAAAAATTAAGCATTCATAAAAAACTTAGCAATAGGTTTTCTAAAAAAAAAGGTTAATTTAAAAATGTCAAAAAAAAACAAAAAAATGATTTTTTTTCAAAAATCGAGGAATAAAATTCAAAGTCAAAGTCAAGCATGTTAAGTTATTGTGAGGAGAACTTTACATATTCTTAAAAATAATCTTAATTTTCTGCCATTTTTCAACCACAATCGACCCAAAAACCATTTCTGGTAAATTTAGCTAGAGTCATGCAAGCTTGGCGCTAGATTTTTTTCGATTATCCGATTTGTGTCATTTTGGTTACATTTAAAAAGTTGTTAAGCTTGATTTTAGTTGAGTTAAGTGTGGTAGACCCCTTTATAGCTACACGGCGTCCCTAGAAAAACAATATTTGAACAATACTTGCCTAATTTCGGCCGAATACTGTGCAAAAAGTAGTCCGGTCCCATAAACCACACCTTCGTTTATAAATTGAAAGACTTGAGCATAATTAAATCTACAAAAAGTTAAAAAGCTGCGATATCTTTGTAACAAAATTGATCCAAAACTCAAGTTGATAATTTAGAAGAATTGGAACTGATTTGTGAGCCTGTGTAACGAATCATTTAATTTTTAAAATATTTTTTTTTATCAACTGTGCAACCCCCTTTTTGTGTACATAATAAAATAACAATTTCTCGATTTATTTAAAATCAAATTTTAAATTACATCTTCATTTAATTGAAATACTTTATAAGTCAACAGAACTTAAGTATCAAAAAAATTGTTCAATTCATCAAAATCATGCCGAGGAAAGCAATAAATTCCGACAAGATTTGTCAATCAAAATAAATTTTACTTTAAAAAATACCAAAAAAAAAAACAATAAATTAAATGTCAAAAGTTGTTCAATTTTAAATTCAATTTTAAAAAAATGTCAAAACGCGAATTCAAAACGGACTCACAAGATTTCAAGAGAAAAGTACAAAAGCTCACAGCTGATTCAGGCAAAACAATTGTAAGTAAACGTTTATTGATCAGCTTAGTGTTGGATTTGAGTTCAAATCCATCTCCATGCCAGCGTTACAAGCCGGGCTTATCATTTTTAATGTCCTTCATTTCAGGAGCATCAACAAGTCATTCCAGATGAGCTCATTTCCTACATTTTTACATTCTACAAAGACATCGAGGACATCAAAAAATGCTTTATGCTTTCAAAAAGGATGACTGCTTGGATCAACATTGAACCTTTAATCGCCAATAATATCAAATTTTCATTAAATGATGTCCGAAAAAATGATTTCTTAAAGTTCATCAGCCATAATGGATATTTTGTGAGAAATCTTGAAGTTAATGGATATTGGAGAATTGGAAGTTCAATAAATTTTAGTCAACTGCCAAGATTGAGGGAGCTTTCGATTCAAAGTATGGATTTTGGGGGTCGGCAGAGTGAACTTGATGGATGTAATGGATTAAACATGTTGAACTTAAGGAGCTTGAAGACTTACAACATGACAGACTTAGAAGATTTGATCAAAAAGTTAAGCAATACAAGAAGTTTGACTAGACTTGATGCTAAGTTCGACAACAATGCTAATCATGAATTATGGACCGACTTTATATTCCAACAGAACAATTTGAAGGAATTAAGCCTGAAAATCACCAAAGATGAATTCAACTTTCCGTACAAAGATGTCAAAAACCTGATAAAATTCAAATTACAAACTTTAAAGTTGTCACTTCCAAAAATCGATCAAGGTTTGTTACTTACCTTTCTGAATACACTAGGATCAAGCCTTCAAGCACTTGATCTTCAAATCACAGATCAAACTCACTTTCCATCAAGAAACATCAACTTTGAAGTAAAATTCAATCCTAAAAAGCTTAAACTTTGCATTCACAACGCACACGAGTTGAATTTCCAGTCATTCATCGAATCTCAAGCTGAAAAGTTGGAGGAACTAGACTTGGAGATTGAATCTGACCCGCCGAATTTTCTAGAACGTCCTATAACGTCAATAGATTCTTTAAGAATGACAACATTAAAGTTGTGCCTTAAAACTGTTAAACATCAAAATCTTTTGGACTTTTTGTCAAAAATGAATAATTTGAAGGAACTCGAGCTGTCCATTGATGACATGGACATGGATGAATTTCCATGCAGAGACATCAGCAATGAGATGAAGTTTAAGCTTCAAAAGTTTAAATATTCATTGCCAGACATCAATCAAGTTAGATTTGTGGATTTTTTAAAAGCACATGCTGAATCTTTAGAGGAACTAGATGTTAAATCAATTGATGAAATAAACCTTTTGGATCAAATCTTCAAATATCTCAAAAATCTCAAAAAATTGACAATTGATGCTGATGCAAGTGAGAAGCTTTTTGACGAAAAATTTCCTAAATTTGAGCTGGAAAAACTTAAATATTTTGAGGATAAAAACCAAAATGGAACTTCAATGTCCAAATTATTTAGATTTTTTCCAAACATTGAGATTCTTAAATGCTGTGACACGTTGGATGCACAAGGAGATTATCCAAAAGTTTCAACTTTTGATACCAGCGTGGTCTACTGGCCGAGAATTTTCAAATTTAAGCTCCCAAATTTGAAAAATTTATTCATCAGAAAGATCGATAAAATAAACGATGAATTTTATTGGACGAGATTTCCCAGAAACTTTCAAAATGTTGAGAACATCACTGTCCATAATGTAGGATATGAAGATGAGGACGTCCTTCGAATCGTAAAAAGATTAAAGAATTTTAAAAAATTAAAAACATTCAAAATTAGACACGGAGTGGCCATAAATCATGAGTATGACATGGATGAAAATGAAAGAGTTGAAGTTGGTGCAAAATTCTCTAAAATTCTGGTGGATACGACAAAAAGGATCATCAGAGTATCCACATATATCGTAATAAACCGATTTGACATTATGAAGGTTTTGCAGGCAACTTTCGAGAATTTTGAGTTTTTGGAATTTTGCTTTGAGGAGATTAAAATGAGGAAGATTTGTGCAGAAGAGTTGATGAAGATGAGACTTGAAGCTCCATCTGCACCTGTATAGATGTATTTTTTTATAAGAAACATTATTATTGTTTTTTTTTTTTGAATGAAGAATTTTAATAAAAATTTATTTAAAATTTTTTGGGATACCCTCAACCACCCCCCCCCCCCCCCCCAAAATATTGACTACACCTCTGCTCACAAGTCTTCACCACGGACCAGTGTCTAGTTAATAACCAGAACTAAAGTCGAACGTGGTTGAATCCGAACACCAAAGTCAAATCTCAAAGAAATTAAAAACAAATCTTCAAAAATCCTAACAAAAAAGCTATAAAATTAACTGACAAAAAATATTTAAAATAGTTTTTCAAGTAAAATACAATAAAAAAGACAAAATATAACATTAGTTTTTTAACTTAATTATAGAACATTATTAGACCTTGAACCGCACGTACTGTACAAGTGTACCGAAATAGATCAATTTTACTGTTAGATAATCATCAAAAGACAAGTTTATGATCATCTATGAACATTCTTGATCATATATCAAAACTTTAAAGTTCAAACGAGTTTAACGAAGAAAGTGGACCGAATAAAAATGCTAAAAAGACAAAGCAAAGAGAATAAAATGAAAGAATTAAACAAAAAAATTCAAAAAACGTCACTTCAGAAGGTGGAAAAAGTAAGTATGAATTTATTATCAGTCATTATCAAGGTTGCATAGTCGATGCTGTTACCATGCTGGCCTTTCATTGATTACGGAATGCTTGGGAGAGAAGGGGGAGGGGGAGAGGGGGAGAGGGGGATTGTTCTGAGATTTTGTAACACTTCAAACGAAAGAAAAGTTTCTTCATACAAATTTTGTGACAAGAGGCAGGAGCATAGCCAAGGAGAGGAGGTGGGGGGAAGGGGGAGTGTAGGGGGGGGGGGGGGTCGACCACCAAAACACCCTTCTCTGACTTCGATCCTAACCCTTCTCACACAATTTGTATTGGGGAACTTTTCTTTCGAATAAAATGAAGGGGTCTTTGGTGAAACTTACCCGCCCCTTCCCCTCCCACTCCACCCACCCCACTCCCCTATTTGCAAAGTTTTCTAAAATTTCCAAAAAAAACCCTCCGTCAATTTAAAAGATTCCTGGCTAAGCCTTTGACAATGGGGTGAGGGGGGGGGGGTCTAGGAAGTTGTTTTTCTTGCGTTACGTAATATGTGATCGCTCCCATAATTTCGCTGAGAATTTACATATTTTTTTCTCTTTTGTACAGATTCATCATCTTAGTTCATCTTCAGAACTGACGTCATCTTTGGAATTAAATTTAGCAAAAAAGCTTATGCAGTCCAATGCACCGCATCTTCCTCTTGAGATAATTAGAGATACCGTCTTGTATTTAACAAGCTTTAAGGACATCCTATCAATGTCAATTTTATCGCAAGAGATAAGAAGTATGATCTTTGGAGTTCCGGATGTTATGAAAAAAATCAGAATTAATTTTTCAAATGATATTAATTTTGAGGATGGCTTGATGTTCCTTAAAATTAGAGGAAAATACATTCGAAACATGAACTTTGAACCGATTTGGGGGTCTTTGCAGTGCCTTAATTATATTTGGAAGTTTGTTCCTAATTTGGAAGAGCTTTCAATCAAAACTTTTGAGTCTGAAGCTGATAAAGTTGCGGCTGTGATGAATGAGATAAATAATAAATTGGAATGTAATAGGCAGGATGTGAGTGACTTAACTGATCTGCAAGGATGTGGTATAAACCTTAAAAAAATAAGAATCTTGTCCATTGACGCCCTTGAAGTAGATGACAAAGAAATATTGACAAATTTGATTGTTCAGCAAAAAAATCTAAAGGAACTGACAATAAACATTGTGTCTGTGAATGATCCTGTGTTTCCATGTCGAGATGTCAGCCTAGAAGTTGCCTTCAAACTAAAGACACTAAAATTATCAATTCCAAATATTAATCAAGAATTATTCATCAACTTCCTTAATACTCAAACTCAGAACCTAGAAGAATTAGACATAAGCAGCACAACCAACCACAAAATATTCGAATTTATCTTCGAAAACTTTAAGAATCTCAAAAAGTTCACCATCGATGAGAATGGAAGTGACATCATCCTGGACAACAGATTTCCAGACTTAAAACTAGAAAATTTGAAATATTTTCACGATAAGAACCAAAATGGAACGATTGTAATCAAGTTATTTGTTAGATTTCCAAACATAGAGACACTCAAGTGCTGTGATACGATGCAAGCTACAGGAACTTACCCAAAACTTACAACTTTAGACGTCAGTGAGGTTTATTGGCCGAGAATTAGGAACCTAAAGTTGCCAAATTTGAAGAATTTGTTCATTAAAAAGATCGACAAATGTGACGATGACTATTATTGGACACATTTTGCTGCTAACTTCCTTAATGTTGAGAACATAACTGTCGAGAAAGTTGGATATGAAAACAAGGATGTCCTGAGATTCGTCAAAAATCTAAAATTATTCACAAAGCTTAAAACCTTCAAACTTAGACATGGAACTGCAGTCAATCACGACTATAAATTAAATGAAAATGAGCAAGTTGATGTTGAAAATATTTTTTATAAAATATTAATAGACACGACCAAGAAGACTGTCAAATCATCAAGTCATATTGTACAGAACAGTAAAATGATTCAAAAGACTTTACTCAAAACTTTTAAAGGCTTTAAATTTTATGAGTTTTGCTTTCCTCAATTGAAAGTTCTTAGAATTAATTATGTAATTTAGGTTGGTTGGGGTGTTGCAAGGGGGGTTAAGATGTTCTAAGGTTGGGAAATTCAAGAGAATTGGAATATCAGAGATTTAGCAGTGATTGAAAACCCATGTGCTGCGGCACATTAGTACGCTGCAAAAAAAATTGATATAAAGTGTGCAATTTTGGTCATAATTGCCATGAAACAAAAAAGGTTGGACACCACTGATTTAGATGAGATTTTGAAGGCAATTAAACTTAGCTCACTTTTAAGGGGTAAATTGTAAGGCTAGTAACCCATATCGATAATTTAATCTAGGTTGCAAACTTATGTCCCCCTCAAAGACAAAACTTAGCAGTGCTGCTCAGGGGTGTAGACAGGAATTTGAAGAGGGGGGGGACAAAAAAATTTTTTTGTATGAAAAAATTTAGGGGGGGGAGGGGGTGGTTTTTCCATAAAACCCCTAGCAAAATAAGGAAATTTCTGTTTACGTTGAGGGATTTGTCCCCGAAATCTCCCCCCCCCCCACCCCCCTGGCTACACGCCTGGTGCTGCTCAACCTTTTTTGGTATACGACACATTTTTTTAAAGAAATGTTTTTCAAAGCACAATAAATGCTTTTAATGACTTATTAAGTGCCGCGGTACACAGTTTGAGAACCACTGGGTCCTTAAGTGATCTAAAAGCCTATTAATTGTTTCTCAATTTTAAATAAAAGTGAATGAAATACCTTAAAATAAAGAAATCTTTTTTTTTCATATAAAACAATAGTTTTATTAACTATAATAAAATGTATCGAACAGGTACAAGTCAATGTTAGAAATTAAAAAATTGATGTTTTTTTTAGTAAACCAGTCCCTAACGTAGCAGAATATTGACAAAGCACCAAAACCATTCCTAAGAAAATTTAAATGTTTTTTTTTGTGTGATTGCAGAATTAGATTTAAGTATTTTATTGGAAGTTGAGTATTTTTTTTTTTATAATTTTGCTTTATTCTTCAAAGCACTCATCAACTTTTCCATCTTCATTGCCTTCCTCATGTCCCCGCTTATCTTCAATTTTCCACTCAAAAATGCATTTGCTGGCTTTAATTGTCCACTCAGCATGTTGAAAAAGTCTTTTGAATCCATAATTAAGGTTGCGTCTGGCTGTGAATCTGGTGCTCCCTTTCCAGCCTTTCCTGGTGCATTCTTCAAGTCTATGTGCCATGTACCGGCCTCCTCACCACGAACTTCAAATTGGTAAACTGCTCCTGTCTTCTCGATGACTTCTGGAGTGATGTGACTTTCGATCTTCTTGAATAAGGTTGCGATGGTTCCTTCTTCGACTATTTCCGATGATCCTTTGGATGCTTCAACGTAAACGTCATCAAGGAAGAAGTCAGGCATAAGTTTATCAGCATTAGCTGGATTACAGGCATACTGGAGCATGTCATTGATTCCTTCTGACTTTAGGACCTTCTCATCGATAAAGAAGTTACCGGTGCATGTCTTGGGGTCCTTGACGAGAATTGCTGGAATTAAAATAATGGTCGTAAGACTTAAGTAGCTAAACATTTAAGCCATTACTCACCATAAGCAGCATCACTCATGATATCAGCTTTCCTTGAGAAGTCAGAGCTATCTCCACCTGACAGCATATCCATAGCAGCTGTATAAATAGCAGTCTGTGGCCACAAAGCATTAACACCAATATTCTTACTTTTAAACTCTTCAGCCATACCAAGAACACACATAGACATTCCATACTTAGCCATCGTATAAGCTACATGATTAGAGAACCAATGTGGCTTCATACTTAATGGAGGTGAAATATTCAAAATGTGTGCATGATTAGATTCTTCAAGATACGGAAGGCACTCCTTAGATACTAAGAATGTTCCTCGTGTGTTAACTCCGTGCATTAAATCATAACGTTTCATTTCAGTCAATGTTGTTGGAGTTAAACTAATAGCCGATGCATTATTGACGAGAATATCAATGCCTCCAAATTTATCAACTGCACTCTTTACTGCACTTTTGATTTGAGCTTCATCGCGGACATCTACGATACATGGTAATGCTTTGCCACCGGCATCCTCAATTTCTTTGGCAGCTGTGTAAATTGTTCCTGGTAGTTTGGGCTGGATTTTGAAAATTGGATTTGATTAGTTAAATATTAAGTTTTTCAGTGTTTGGAGGGATACGAATTAAATTTAAATTTAGTTCAAAGACGCAAAGCCTTGTCAAAAGGAGGTCTGGAATGTTCCAGAGACATTTAATCTAGTCCACAGATTTCTATTCTTATCCAAAGACCCTTAATCTAGTCCACATACCTCTAATCTAGACTCCAGCCCTCTAATATAATCCAAAGTCCTCTAATCTAGTCAAAAGATTTCTAATCTAGTCCATAGACTTCTAATCTAGTCCAGAGACTTATGATCTAGTCAAAAGACTTCTAATCTAGTCTAAATACCTTTGATATAGTCCAAAGATCCTTAATCTAGTCCAAAGACCTCTAATCTAGTCCAAAAACTCTTAATCTAGTCTAAAGACCTTTAATCTAGTCCAGATACTTCTAATCTAGTCCAGAGAACTATGATCTTGTCAAGAGACTTCTAATCTAGTCTAAATACCTTTTATCTAGTGCAAAAACCTTTAATCTAGTCTACAGACATTTAATCTAGTCCTAAGACCTCTAATCTAGTTCAAAAAACTCTTAATCTAGTCAGTTGACTTCTACTCTGATCCAAAAACATCAAGTCGAGTCCAAAGACTTCTAATCTAATCTAATTACCTCTAATCTAGTTCAAGGACCCTTACTCTAGTCAAGAGACTTCTAATCTAGTTCACAGACTTCCAATCTAGTCCAGAGACTTCTAATTTAGTCCAGAGACTTATAATCTAGTCCAGAGACTTATGATCTAGTCAAGAGACTTCTAATCTAGTCTAAATACCTTTTATCTAGTACACAAACCTTTAAACTAGTCTACAGACATTTAATCTAGTCCTAAGACCTCTAATCTAGTTCAAAAAACTCTTAATCTAGTCAGTTGACTTCTACTCTGATCCAAAAACATCAAGTCGAGTCCAAAGACTTCTAATCTAATCTAATTACCTCTAATCTAGTTCAAGGACCCTTAATCTAGTCAAGAGAATTCTAATCTAGTTCACAGACTTCCAATCTAGTTCACAGACTTCCAATCTAGTCCAGAGACTTCTAATTTAGTCAAGAGACTTCTATTCTAGTCTAAATACCTTTGATCTAGTCCAAAGACCTTTAATCTAGTTCACAGACTTCCAATCTAGTTCACAGAATTCTAATCTAGTCTAAAGACCTCTAATCCAGTTCAAAGACCTTTAATCTAGTCCAGATTCATACAACCCACATCAAACCCAAACCATATCAACCACTTTAGTCAAGACCTCAACAATTACTCACATGTGGTTCGGCAGTCTTAGCAGCAATGACTATATTAGCTCCATCAGCGGCTGCCTTCAATGCTATTGCCTTTCCAATTCCTCTCGATGCTCCGGTAATAAACAAAGTTCGTCCAGCTAATTTTCTAAAATAATAAATTTAAAATTAATAAATAATATAATCACAAAATGAGCAGTCAGTCAAGGCAATCTTCAATAATGGATTGAAAATTTTCAAAAAAAATCAACATTCCGTAAATAAACAGGTGATAAAAAGATTTGTAAATCAAAGTCCATTTTGATTAAGCTGGCAAATATTTTATTATCTCGAAAATAAAGTTCAATTGAATGGAAAATTGGAGGTTTTATGGATCTGCTGACTATAACTCACCCAGTATTGATCATCTTTGTAGTTTTAATGCTTTAAAGTCTAAATTTGTCTATGTAAAATTAAAAAAACACAATAAAATTTGTGTACTGTAAATTTTTGTGATCACCAAAATAAAACGAGGGGATGGCAAATGTGGGGATTTATACGCTTTTGTGGAGGTTCTGTTGATTATTTTAAATTTTTCTTGTAACTGATTTTTGTTTTGGTGTGTTAGACTGGAAGGTCTTTTGAGTTATGGATTTGTTAAATTTACTTACTGTACCTAAAACTTTAAATTGTTTGTTTTTGAATGAAACTTAAGAAAAAGTTTTAAAAGTAAAATTGTTGCTAAAATTAATACCTAAAGTTAACTACCTAGTTTTAAATATAAAGCTACGATGAAACATTTGGAGAATTGTCAGTTAAGAGTTTGAAGTTATTGAAATTTACTTTCTTTTTAAAAATTAACAAAATTCAAAAAGTTAAAATTAAAAAAATTAGACTTTAAAAAGCTTAGACTTTAAAAAGCTTAAAAAAATTCAAATAAAACTTAAAAAATTCAAATAAAACTTAAAAAATTCAAAAAAAAACTTAAAAATTCAAAATAACTTAAAGAACTTAAAAAATTCAAAAAAAACTTAAAAAATTCAACAAAAAAAACTTAATAAATTCAAAAAAAACTTAAAAAATTCAACAAAAAATCTTAAAAAATTCAAAAAAAACTTAAAAAAAATTTAAAATTCACAAAACTCATCTACAACATCAAACCAAAAAATGGACAACCAGCATCAACTTTCTGAAGTGTCACAATCACTTCCAGTTGAGATCATCATCAAAATCCTCTCCTACGTCAACCACAAAGACTTAAAGACCTGTCGTCTAGTGTCAAAACAATTCTACGACTTAATCCGCACCACATCTGAATTAATCAAAAAATTAAAGTTCGTCGTCCAATTCAGCACAAATATTAGCAAAAAAGAGACATGGAAGCAACGAGCGATTGACATTAACAACAATTCAACATATCAAGTTCCATCAGGAAGACCACTCTATAGACCTAATGATCTTATTGGAGATGCAACATTGCAAGTTCCTCAGCCACTAAACTTTGAGAACATTAAAGGACCTTTCATCCGCAACATAATTTTAAAGTTGAACAATTTTGATGAATTTTCATGGAATTTCATGAAGGAACTGCCAAATTTAGAAGATTTATCGATTGAAGAAACCAGACATGTCACTTATGACTTTATACCAGCACAAGAGGATCCCATCGACCTATCAAAGCTGACGTCACTAAAGCTCACTCAAAGATTACTCAACAGCTTCACATCCAGCACCAAAAATGTAAATAACCTCAAAGCGCTTACAATCAAAGTCACATCCGAAGATCATCAAGAACTATTGACAGACTTCATTGTCCAACAAGACAACTTGAAGGAATTGTACCTCAACATTGATCCATTAATAGATTCAATCAACTTTCCAGCCACAGACATAACCTCAAAAATTAAATTTCAACTGACAAAATTTAAATTAACATTGAGTGCTGTTAGGAATGAAAGTCAGCACTTCCAACAGTTTTTTGAGTCTCAAGCTGGACATTTGGAAAGTCTGAAGCTTAACTTCAACCCAGACGACCAACTTCTCACATCAATTTTCACAAAATGCACAAATTTAAAGCATTTTGGACTTAAATTATCTCCAAGATCTGATTCATTCTCAAGACTTGATCAAGAACTGCAAATGCCGTCCGTAAGATCCATCAAAGACAGATTTATTGATGATCAAAAAATCACATTAATCACTGCACGATTCCCAAATGTCAGGGAATTACAATGTGGACTTATGAGAGACATCCATGGATGTTTTGATAAAATAAGAAAAATTAGCGTTGAAAGCCTCTTTTGTCATACGATGGGTGACTGTGCATTTCCTAATTTGAAGGAACTTTACATCAATAATGCTTATGGATTTCGAGATAAGGCCTGGAGGCAGTTCCATAAGAATATCATGGAACTTGAGCAGCTGAAGATTGCGGAAATTTGCTGAATTAGAGATTTTGGTTTCAGGGGGGACAACAGCTTGGTAATTGTTAAAGTAAAAGATAAGGAACTGATTTAGCCAAATAAACATGTGAGAAAATTAGAAAAGTTTGGTTTAATTTACCATGAAGAAATATATGTGATTTGGACCTACCCCCCTGCCCGATTGCAAATCTAAAAGGGGTTTGCATTTTTAGGATAATTTCGCAACATCCAAATTTTGAGGGTTTTCTGACTTAAAAACCTGAACCAGACCCAATTTCTAGGTCTACCTAAGGCTACCTATGGCAAAAATCAATATTAATGTACTACAATAAGGAATGAATATGAAATTAATTTGAGACTAGGGTAAGGTTCCTTGGTTAGTCCTAGGAACCGGCCCCTTGGCTTATTGAAAGTTTGCTGAAAATATTAACAAAAATTAAGTTTAATAAACAAATAAAAACAAAGATTCCAAAAAAGTTAATTACCTGTAATTTTAGTATTTAATAGTTTTGTAATGTTAGATCATCAATCAGTGCTTTGTGGACAATTCCAGTAAAATATTGGTATCTAAGAAAAAAATTCAAGAAAAATCAAATTTGTCAAAATAATTCAAATTTGTCAAAAAAAATCAAATTTGTCAAAATAATTCAAATTTGTCAAAAAAAAAAAAACAAATTTGTCAAAAAAAAAACAAATTTGTCAAAAAAAACAAATTTGTCAAAAAAAAACAAATTTGTCAAAAAAAAAAACAAATTTGTCAAAAAAAAAAACAAATTTGTCAAAAAAAAAACAAATTTGTCAAAAAAAAAAACAAATTTGTCAAAAAAAAAAACAAATTTGTCAAAAAAAAAAACAAATTTGTCAAAAAAAAAACAAATTTGTCAAAAAAAAAAACAAATTTGTCAAAAAAAAACAAATTTGTCAAAAAAAAACAAATTTGTCAAAAAAAACAAATTTGTCAAAAAATTGGAAAAAAATTAAAATTATCAAAATTAAAAGCAAAGGAGAAAAAAATGCAGCTAAAAAGTTACAACAACTTAAAAATCCAAGATCTTCCATCAGAAGTCATCATCAATTGCCTCTCCTTCCTAAAAGTTGAAGATTTACAAAACTGCAGACTTGTGTCACATCAATTCAACAACTTCATCGTCAACTCACCTCAAATAATGCAGAATTTCAAGTTTAACCTTCAATTTGGCATTATATCAACTATGGCATGGATCGTAAATGGACTGTCTGGGAAAGACAATGTGATTAAATATTATGAAGATTTGCATGATTTGTGGCGATTCGTGAGAGATAATGGAAAGTCGATTCGCTGTGTTGAGGTTATTTTGACCAAAAATGACAAATTTAAATGGTTTTTCTTGAAGCATTTGCCAAATTTAGAATGTTTGATCTTTAATGGAGTGCCAATGGAGGTTCCAGGAGCAATCACAAGCTTCTTCACAACCTCAAATGATTTATCAAAATTAACAACCTTAAAGATCAACTTGTCGCTGCTGAATAGCTTCATGTCAAGCACCAAAAATGTCAATAAACTTGAAAAGTTGACAGTCTACATAACTTCAACTGACGATCAAGAACTTTTGACTAATTTCATCAAGCAACAGAAGAACTTGAAGGTTTTGTCAATCAAATGTGATCGAAACTTGACATCAATCAACTTCCCATCATCAGACATAACCTCAAAAGTCAAGTTTCAACTGAAACAATTCAAACTTTATCAACAAGACATCCGCAACCAAAGTGAGCACTTCCTAAAGTTTATCGAGTCTCAAGCTGGACATTTAGAAAGTTTAAGCTTCGATTTTAATCCTGACGAGCAGCTCTACAAAGTAATAATGACAAAATGCAGGAATTTAAAGAATCTTGAGTTTCAATCTGACGATGAGGAACTCTTCATCAACTTAAATCCAAATTGGACACTGCCGTCCTTAAGAGCCATAGCTTGTGCAGCTGTAAATAGTCGTAGATTGGACTCAATAACTGCAAGATTCCCAAATGTTAACAAATTAATTTGCAGAACTATTGAAAATATTGACAAAGGAACTTACGACAAAATTACAGACATAAAGGCTGTCTATATGGATGGAACTCAAATTGACGTCCTTGCATATCCAAATTTGAAAAGTCTCTGCCTTGAAACTTTCACTGGATCTGTAGAAAATTGGATGAAACTTACTGAAAATCTTGAAAATTTGTCAATTTTAATAGTGAAATTTCGTAACGAAACTGACTTCGACCTGAAGCATTTGGATCATATGAGGAAGTTAAAAAGTGTAAACTTTAAGGGTCAACAACTTGACTGTGCTAATTTAAGAAAAAGTTATTGTTATGGGGAACCGATTATTAAAATTAGGAAACTTTTGTAAAATAAAAATGACTTTTTTTTTGCTATTAAAATTTAATAAAAAATTGAAAAAAAAAATTGTGTCCAATTCATATTTTAGGATGTTGCACTTTATGAGTCTTAGCATATCCAAATTGAAGTCAGATTATGTATGCCAAAGTAAAGATCGAGTAAAATGGCGGTGAAATGGCATCAGTGGTAGAGCGTTGGCCTTCTGTTCCAAAGGTCCTGAGTTCAATCCCAAACCATGTCTAATTTTTGAAGCTCTTTTTCCATTTCACCGATCTAGTAACGAATCTCGGTTCGTGTGTTGGGTGTAGTTTTGAGGTCTTTGGCACAGAATATGCCTCCTTTGCTAGGTATACAAGGATATACTAGCATCTGGAAGACTTCCTTATGGCATCTTGCGCACACGAATTGTGACTGGGTACATTGCAGGGTACATCAGGTCTTATGACGTACTCGTCAAGGAGCAATAAAATATTTTACAAGTTTGTGTTGAAAATAAAAAGGAAGGAAATGTGAAAATTTTGTGGACAGAAATTGTAAAATATTTTGCAGTGCAGACACAAAATTTTAAAGAACTTGTTCATCAACAAAACAGCAGATGGTGTTTTTATTATGCTGCTGATTGTGACAAGATTGAAATTCATAAGACTTTATGGGCACTTTTGCTCAAAACATTTGAAGATCGAGACGAATTAAAGGATCTTATTCTGCAAATAAACGAGATTGAAAACAACTTTGTTCATAAACTTGTAAAAGAAAATAACTAGTAAAGAGGTGATCACACGTGATCGACCGAAGCGCATTTTCTCTGCACAGAATTCGAGTAGAAATTAAAATCTAAATACTCAATATATTTGAAAAATAACGGTCAAAATATTTTTGAAAAATAATGGCCAAATAATATTTGAAGAAATAACACCCAAAAATTATTTGAATAGTTACGTCTTAAAAATATTTGAAAAGTAACGGAAACGTTTAAAACAAAAGTCAAATAAATTTTTACATAAATTACCAACCCTGGAATCATAAATGGAGTCGGTTCTATATTCAGGAACAGCCACTGTTCTGAGCCACCATGAACAGATGCAAAGTTTCTGGAAATGCTCAAAGAACTCGATAAAAAAGGACAAAATATTCTTCAAATTGCTGTTGCAAGTTCATCAGATGAAATTTTTGAGTTTTTGATTCAAGAATTAGAAAAATTTGCATCACGAGATGAAATCAGGCAAATGTTAAGTAATTTAAATGAGAGGAATAAAAATTTGTTGCAGTCAGCAGCAAGTTCGAACAAATCTTCAGAATTTCATAAAACTTTATGGAAAACTTTGCGAAAATATTTTGAAAAATCAGAAATTTCGCAGTTTATAAAAAATCTTGACGAAGAAGGAAATAATCTTCTTTTTACTGCTATGTCTGCAGAGTATGAAACAAATGAAATTGTGGAACTGACCTGGAATGAAATTAAAAGTTTTTGATTACGACGAACAAATTGAACATTTAAAAATTAAAAGTAAAAATGGCGAAAATTTACTTGAATGTGCTTTATACAGAACTGAGGAAGAAGAATTGCATCAATGGGTGCAAAGCTTAATGCAGGAGAATGGAATTAAGATCTTTGCTGAAAATGGGTCCTCTTGAAGCAACCAAAGTTCCAGTTCTTGATTCAGATGACAATGTAGTTGGCGATACTTCTAGTTCTGAATATGGAAAGCAGATTTTCGACAAAAAAAGTAAATGTTTCTGAAAAATTGTGTAAAAATTAAAACAAAAAGTTGAAAAATATTAATAAAATTTATTGAAACTTAACTGATTAATTGACCCTAATTTGAGTTTTTAATTTAGTTTTTTGTCAATCTTTGGATTCTTTCTGTCGCTTTGCAGCTGGTTCCTCACCACTCACAAACATTCTCGGATCAATCCTAACCTTTTTAGGTTCCTCTCGGATTCAACAATTTGACCAAAGTTCCTTTGTGATTTTGAACAAAAAATTGTGAAACTTTTGCAACTTTTTTCTCAACATTTATGCCAACTTTGACTAGTTCCGTGTCCACAGCAGCACATTGAAATTCACTAATTCTTCGAGGCATTGCCATCGTTTTGTAACAGACATTTTGAAGTTTTGGAAGCAGTCGCAGGTTCTCTAAAATGCACAAACTTTTAACTTGTTGACTTTGGCCATTGCTGAATTCATAATCGTAAGTTTGAATGTGACTGTAAAGTTCTTCAAATTTGGCAATTTTATGTTAACAGAGATTTTCATGAAACTTAAAAAAAGTAACTAAATTAAGAATTGTAAACAAGATTCTCAAAAAATTGGTTTTTTGTACCTAAATTTCAATATAAAATGATTATTAAATTTTTAATTATCAATTAGTGCTTAGTAGAAGTCCATCATAGACTTTGCAATTTTATAAATTCACAAAAATTAAAAAAAAAAATAAAATCTCAAAAAATAAAAATTATAAAAATTTAAAAAAACAAATTGTTAAAAATAATAAAATTACAAAAATTCTCAAAACAGACTCGAAAGATGAAATCAACCTTAAATCTTCAACATCTTCCATCCGAAGTCATCATCAATTGCCTGATCTTCCTAAATATTGAAGATTTAAAGGCATGCAGACTAGTTTCACATCAATTAAACACTTTCATCTTCGACTCACCTAAAATCATGAGAAAATTCAAGTTTAACCTTCAATTCAGCATCAAGTCAAGCAACTTGGACAATTCAGAAGATTTAGACACATCCGTTGACCTAAACTCATCTTCAGAATCAATCACAGACTTACAAATTTATGAATTGAAAGATTCAATCACACAAAATCGGCAATTTTCAACTTTAATTAAGGACCATGAAGAATTGCTTCATTTGTGGAACTTTATGGATTCTAAAGGACATTCAGTTCGACGAGTTAACTTGAATTTGAACAGATTTGACAAAGTTTCATGGAACATCTTGGAGCAAATGCCAAATTTAGAGGAACTGTCGATGAGTAGACAATTATCCAATATTCAAGCACTGCCTACAACTGTACAGAACATCCACAACTTATCAAGACTGAGAATCTTGACAATTAACATGAATACACTTAAAAGCTTCATAAACAGCACCAAAAATGTCACCAAACTTGAAAAATTGACAGTCTTTATATCCACAGAAGACGATCAAGACATTTTAACTAACTTTGTAGCTCAACAGAGGAACTTGAAGGAACTGAAACTCGTCTTTGACTCAGAAATGACATCAATCAACTTTCCATCATCAGACATAACCTCAAAAGTGAAATTCCAGCTCAGAAAGTTGAAAATCCACAAAGATGTCATTCCAAACCAAAGCAGCTATTTCAACAAATTCATCGAATCACAGGCTGAACATTTGCGAACATTCAAGATTGACTTCAAGCCTGACGAACAACTCTGTGGAATAATCATCAAGAAATGCAAGAACTTGACAAAATTGGAACTAAGTTCGGAGTCAAATGATGATTTATTCAAGAATATTAATCAAATATGGAAGTTGCCATCCTTAACGTCATTCAAGTGCGATGTCATGGAGAATCCAAGTTTCATCTCAATGATGACAAGATTTCCAAATGTAAGCATGCTGAAGGCAGGACGTTTAGGTTTAATTTATGGAACCTACGATAAAATAACAGAAATCAAGGCTAAACTCATGATGAGTCATCATTACGACTGCCAGTTCCCAAACCTAAAGACTCTACACATCGGAAACCTTTTAGGGATCAAAATTGACGACTGGATGAAATTCTCACAAAAGCATAAGAATCTTGAGCACTTAACAATTTCTGGGACATTCTTTTGTGACGACACTGCCTTTGGACTGGAACATTTGAGGAATTTTGAGAGTCTGAAGACATTGAAGTTTAGAGGAAGGGATATTGACTGTTCAATGTTGAGGATGGTTGCTGAGATGATTTAAATGATTAGACTTGCCTGCTTTTGTGACTGAACTAGGTTGCTGACTTAACTAGCCTGGTTTTTGATTTGCCAAACTTGAATCTTGATGAACTGAAATGGTTCTTTACTTTACGAACCTGGTGACTGACTTGTCTTATCTAGGGACTGGTCAACATGACTTTGTGGCTAGTTTTAGACTAAATTTTGTAAATATATTTGAGAACATCCATCAACTCTAAAGTCTCATAACAACTGAATATATTTTAAATCTTTATCAATTGATATCACTTAAGTGGTTCGGATTATGCTTTTGTAATCTTTTGTACAGTCTTTGCTAAGTCAATAATTATTGGACAATAAAAATAATTAATTTTCATTGAATTTACTTTGTTTTGATTTATTTTAAAGATGCTTAGTGAGTTTTGTGGAGAAGTTGAGAGAATTTTGTGTTGCAGAAATATTTTGGTGACTGAAGATGAGCAGGAGATACCTTTGAAGCATACAAATAAATTTTGGAGTAGCTTTAGGAATGATGAAATGGTTAGTATGACTTTGATGATTGACAAGCTTTGTAGCTATGCTTTATAGACTCGTTGTAAGGTTAAATGTTATTTATTATCTACCTCAAAGTCCAGTGGTGGGCAACCTTTTTTGTGGTACGGCACATTAGATGGTAATTTGGCGTGGAAACTCAGGATTAATCCTGAAAAATCACAAAAATCTTTTTTAAAGCCTGATGCATTTAATGAATAATTTTGGGATTTAAAAAGGATTTCTCACTTTCATGCTTAATGGCTCAGGAATTTTTTTAAAGATTTTCGGGATTTTCACGCCTTGGTGCTAAGCCATGACCGAAACCGCACAAGGCATACGATTCGTGGGATTTCCGATTTTTCCTCGCGACACACTGGTGTGCCCCGGCACATGGGTTGGCCATCACTGGACATAGCTTTACACGCTGATTAAAGGCACTTATACAAATCATAAAATAAAGATTTATTAATTTTTCTAATCTTTATTTTACAATCTAGTTCCACCATCTCGACTATAAAGACAATCAAGAAGGAAAGTTAGTCAATTTGTCAAGCTTACCAACTGAAATTATCATTAAAATCATCTCAAGCTTAGATGACATTCAAGACATTCGGAACTGTATGCTGTTGTCCAAAAACATCCGTGATTCAATATTTAAAACATCAAAAATTATGAGGAAAGTTCTTGTTAGTTTAAACAGTTCTGAGGCTTCTGAATTCCTTAATTTTCGAGGAAATAGCATTCGATGCTTGAAGATTCAAAGCCACAATGAAGACAATTTGAAGCTGATCTTCAGAAAAGTCCCAAATTTAGAGGAATTAACGTTCAAAAATAACCAATTTACTGATAAGTTTACACGCCAAAGCTCCATTATACAACAGGAACTAGACAAATATAATAAAATCGTTGAAGGACTTGACGACAAGCTTCCTTCAGACCTCCGAAACCTTAAAGTTTTAGAAATCAGGTTAGCAAATTTTGAAATGTTCACAAAAAGCACCAAAAATATCACAAAATTGGAAAAATTCACAATTTACTTAACAGAACTTAGAGATGATGAACTTTTGCTCAAATTTCTGAACCAGCAAAGCATCTTAAAGGAACTGATTGTCATTAATATTTCACAATTTCATATCATTGACTTTCCATGCCTTAATTTTTGTGTTGAAGTCAAATTTAGATTGAAAATCTTAAAATTGATAAGAATTAAATTTGATAATTATTTGGCTAGATTTTTGGAGTCGCAGCTTGAAAGTTTGAAGGAACTGGAGCTGACTGAAGTCGGCAATCATGAAACACTTGAAGCAATGTTCATGAAGTCAAGAAAATTGAAGAAATTATCACTTGGAGCTGTAGCTTGTTCCATGATTTTCGCCAATGATTTTCCGGACTTGAGGATGCAAAGTTTGGAAACTTATGAAGACAGGAACAGCAAAGGTGTTGAGCTGGACAAGATTTATGAAAGGTTTCCAAATTTACTCAATCTAAAGTGCCTGCAATTGATGCCAATTAATGGAATATTTGATAAAATTGTGTCTTTAGAGTTATTTGTGCTTGATTGTCAAAAACTAAAGGATTTGCAGCTTAAAAGCCTAAGCATCTTGACAATTATTAAAGTTTCAAGGTTCTCAGACGCAACAATTTGGGAAAAATTCACAAAAAATATCAAAAACATTGAAATTTTAACAATTAAGCATGTTGAAGACCTCCACAACATCCCTCAAATTTTAAAACACCTCAAAAACTTTCAACGCCTGCAAACATTCAAACTTAAACAAGCTTCATATTATGATGATTATGAAATAACAATCGACACAAAGCTCAAAACTGTGAAAACTTTAAGATCAAGTGTTGAGAAAAATCAGGAAATTCTCAAAGTTTTGCATGAAAATTTTGATGATTTTGAGTTTTTTGAATTTAAAAGTTTTGTTGGAAAAATTAAGAAATTTGATATTGTCATGCAATTGGATAAGCATTGACTTGACTAGAGTGATAATGAAATTTTGGAAAGATTTGTGTACCTTAATCATGCAATAGACCCCAAGCTAGGACTACAATTGTCACAATTGTCACTCAATTTGAACTGAAAAATTTAAATAAAAATTTTCCACACTTAAAAAAATCCAAAACAATTATGAAAATATTCCAATGAATTTTAACGATGTTTTGGAATTATTTTAAGTGCTTCACGATTTTTCTTGTTGTTTTCAATTAAAATGTTTAATTTTATTTGCAAGCTTTTCGGTCTTATCAGCCTTCCTATTTCTCTTTATTGCCTATTTCTATCACGATTGTTGAGAAAATTCCAATAATTAGTTTTGTATAAATAATAAGAGGTTTTAAATGGAATAAATTAGTCAAAGGTGGAATAAAGTAGTCGATGTAAAGTTACAGAAGTGATAAAAATTGAAAATAAAAATGAAATTGTTAAATATTTTCTTACTTGTTGCATTTTTTGGTGAGTTTTTAGAGAAATTAGTCAATAATTTAGCTAAATACCAGTGTGAAGGCACCTGAACCTCAAAAGCTTATTGTACAGGCACCTGAATCTAGTAGCTTTAGTGTTAAGGCACCTGAATCTAGTAGCTTTAATGTTAAGGCACCTAAATCTGGTAGTTTTAGTGTTAAGGCACCTGAATCTAGTAGCTTAAGTGTTAATGCACTTGAATCAAGTAGCTTTAGTGTTAAGGCACCTGAATCTAGTAGCTTTAATGTTAAGGCACTTGAATCAAGTAGCTTAAGTGTTAAGGCACCTGAATCAAGCAGCTTTGATAATAAGGCACCTGAATCTAGTAGCTTTAGTGTTGAGGCACCTGATTCTAGTAAATTTAATGTTAAGGCACCTGAATCTAGTAGCTTTACTGTTACGGCACCTGAATCTAGTAGTTTTAATGTTAAGGCACCTAAATCTGGTAGTTTTAGTGTTAAGGCACCTGAATCTAGTAGCTTAAGTGTTAAGGCACATTAATCTAGTAGCTTTAGTGTTAAGGCACCTGAATCTCGTAGCTTTAGTGTTAAGGCACCTGAATCGAGTAGCTTTAATATTAAGGCACCTGAATCTAGCAGCTTTAGTGCTAAGGAACCTGAATCTAGTAGCTTTACTGTTAAGGCCACTAAACATAAAAATTTGCTATAAAATTCAATAAAATGTAGAAATTTCTAATAGTTTCACCATATTCACTTCCAGTTGCAGTGTTTACTCAACTCTCAGTTGCCCAGTCACATGATGATGACAACAATCATAATGAAAATGGTGGACGCCGTCGTCATCACCATTTTGAAGGTGAAGAAGGGGATCATTCCAATCATGGACACCGTAGACGTCGTCAATAAATCAAATTCAAATGAAAACTTAACAAAATAAATCTGAGAATTTTAAACAAAATATTAAAATAAAAAATCAATTCTTTTTAAATTTGGCTAAACTTAAAAAAATTCTTTATTTATTAAATTCTGTTTACATCAAATTAAGCTACACTTAATAAATAGTAAATCAATTTAATTTTTTATATTTTAATTGGACAAAAATTATAGAACGAATTTTACTTTTTTTTATTAACATTATGCATGGATTTTTTTGTGAAAATTTATTTACTCGGATTTAATTTTTGTCAGTGCAATCCTTTCAATAAATGTTCAAGATTAATATATTTATTATAAGTTCAAAATAATTACTTGAATTTGAAATTAATGAGCATCATGTATGGAAGTTTTAATAACATAAAGCTAAATAATAAATTCAACAGGTGCTGCAACCGCCATACATGTATATTTTTATAGTTTAATAGAGACAAGATTTTAAAGTTTGGAATAAAAAGTTAAATTTAGACAAAAAAAAAGTATTTTTTGAAAAGTGAAAAAGTTGAAACTTTTAAAGACTTTTTATAACTTTTCGAAAATTTGTGAAAATTCATTTGATTTTTACAATTAAAAAGGTTCAAAAAATTCAAAATATTTAAAATTTCAAAAATTCAAAAATTTTAAAAATTAAAATTTTATAAATTTAAATCGATGAATTTAAAAATTTAAAATTTTAAACCTTTCAAAATTTTAAACCTTTCAAAATTTCAAAAAAATTTTTAAAATTTAAAAAACTTTCAAAAATTACAAAAAGTTTTAAATTCCAAAAAAATTTTTAAATGTTTAATTTTTTAAAAAACCTCAAAAATCTTAAAAAATTTGACATCATTTTCGAAAAATTTTAAACAAAAATTTTTCAAGTTTTTGGAAATAATTTTGAGCAACTCACACGAAAGCTTATACAAATCTCATACAGAAATGGAATCGATAGTCTTTCCAATAAAGTCCTGTACGTAATCCTCGCCATCAATTGGCAGTACAAACCATTCCTCGAGTAAGGCACGTTCAATATAATAGAAAATTTTAGGAAGTGGAAATCCGTTAAATGGCGATGCAACTGGCAATGTATAAGCTCCCATGTTCTCAAAATACATAAAGTCACCGACATCGGTTGCTACAGGCAACTCAATGTTGTTAATTATTTCATCTAGGGCATCACAGGTGGGTCCGAAAATTGTCGACTTAATCTTTTTCTCATGATGATTGGATTTTTTCAGCAAAATTGGCTTAACAACTTGATGATCGTAGAGCAGACAGTTGAAAGAGGCATAGACACCGTCGTTTAAGTAAAGCATCATGCGGTCAGGTTCATTTGTGGAGTGGTTCATGATGTTCTTCTTGGAAAAGATGTTGGTCACTAAAGTGAAGGCTGAGGCGACGTAGTAACGACCTGGAAAATTAATTAATTGATTTTATTACTTAAAATTCTACAATTAATTAAATTACTGTGCTTACCTGGCTCAGCAATGACCTGAACTCTCTCATCTGGAAAATATCTCTCCAGACTATCATTAACAATCATCGAAACTTCGTCAATGTTCTTATCATTGTCACCAGGGAATCCACCACCAATGTCAACAAGTGACAAATCAAAACCAAGTCCCTTAGCTTCGTCAAAGAGGTCACGGCAGTAACGAATGGCCTTGTTGTAAACAGGATAGTCTTTGCAGCCAGAACCCACATGGAAGCTTATTCCAACAACATTCAATCCCATCTGCTTAGCTGCCTTTAGAAGCTTTGGTGCTTCGGTCAGAGGATCGGAACCGAACTTCTTGCCGAGGGCACATTGAGCAATTTCAGCTTCACAGACGATGCGAAGGACGAGGCTGGAATGAAAGAATTTTGAGGTTAATAATCTGAGTTTTTGAGAAGTTTGAGGTTAGAATCGCAAAAAACTGACTGCTTTGAGGTTAGACTTAAAAACATTTAAAAGTTTTGAGGTTAAAAAAAATTGAGCTAGAAAAAATTTCAACATGTGTTCACAAAACTGATGGTCAAGTCCGTAAAAATCGGGAATTTCTCGTCGAAAATTCAAGTTAACTTACCTAGCATCAGGATACAATGACTTGATCTTCTGCAATTCAGTCTCGCAATCGAATGTCATCATCTTAATCCCCATCATTTTAGCAAACATAAGCGCGCCTTTCGACTTTGCTGGATTTGCGAAGATAATGCGATCAGGTTTAACTCCTAGACTCAAGATCTTGCTCATTTCACCCTTCGACGCACAATCAAATGACGTTCCTAGCAGCGCTAATGTAGCCAAAACTACATCGTTGTCATTGCACTTAACAGCATAGTAAGGCGCAACGCGAGGCATCTTTTCGATCCAATTTTGATGCTTCTTGATAACATCACCGATATTGAAGATGTAGAATGGATCTTCTTGATTGATTGTACCGTTGATAGTCAATTGATTGATAAGTTCAGTCGAGTTGACATCATCGTCCATAATGTGGATACGATCATCCTCATTTTCAGTTGTAAGCTTCATCTTTTTTTTTTAGTGAATAAATTTCTCGATTGATTGGATATTGAAGGAATCACACGAGTGAATTATTGTTAATTTTCAGCGAATTAAGCTTATTGCTGTAATATGATTATCTATCGTAAGATTTATGGAACTAAGCGAACTAGAAAGAAAGGGAAAAAGGGTTTGAGGTTAAAATGAGAATTTTTGAGGTTATGGTGCGTCGAAATGCAACATAGAGACTAGCTGAGGGGCTTATCATCTCTTCGAACTAGTCCTCGACTTACTAGATTCTTAAATCTAATCTTAAAATTATTACTTACTGTGTAAATTTCTTATAAAAATATTTTGAAAGCGTATCTAGATATAAAAAGACTTTATTCCAGATTGTGTTTTATTTTCCCTCAGCAAAAGTGCCTGGTCAGTGCCCACTGTGGGGCTAACTGACCCTCGAGAAATACCTAAAAATAAAGAGAAGATTGCGTTAGTTTTGGTTTTTGAAAGTTTTTGTTTTTGGTGATTTTCAACCAAAATTTTGCTCATTTTGAGAAGTCTGCAAAATTCTAGCCCGTTAAAAAAAAGTCCGCTGAAATTCTGTCGGGTTCTTCTGACAATTGAAATAAAATCTGATATGATCCTGAACAATGAGTCAAAAGTCCGTCAAGATTCTGCAAAATGCACCAAAAGTCCGCCATAATTCTGACAATTGAACCAAAAGTCTACAAACTCTCCAAGTAGTCTTAAATTTGAGAATTTCTTTAACATTATCTCATATTTTCTGCTCAATCATGCCTCAATTCATCAACTTATAATCACTGCAACCTCAAAGCTAATTACTAAGTCCTCAAAACCTTATCAATCATCATAAACCAATCCATGACTCACAGCACAGTTGCTTCACGATTTGAAAATAATTTCTTAATTGCTTTTGAAAATGATATTTTGCTAAAATGACCCTATTCTTACTAGTTTTTATAGTTTATAAATCATGAGATTGCTAAATTCTCCACGAGCCAACCCAATTAAGCTTAAATAATCAGATTTGGAGTAATCAAAATTGATATTTTGCTTATTGTTTATTAAATGTCTAAGTAAAGTGAAATACGATGCGATAATTTAATGGGATGAGAGGAATGAACTTGTACAAATTGAGGATTCATCAAATTTCGTCTGACTTTTTGGTCAAATTAATGAGCTTTTTTACATTTTTATGTCATTATAAGCCAAAAAAGCTCCTAAAGCAATAAAAAAAGACAACATTGAAAATTTGGTTAGACTGGGATTCGAACCCACGTCCACTGTTTAAATGCCCAACGCTCTATCAACTGAGCTACCAAGACACGAGGATGAAAAAAGTTCTAGTTGACGAAATGTCATTATTAAGTTGCTAATTTCCTATTTTTAAGCTTATTAACTAGAAATAATGCAGTTTGTCCATAATTTAGCCTAAAACATGATCAGAAGATACCCAACAGAATTCAGATAACATCTTAAAATTTCAAAATAAATCTCAACGTTCCCCAAAAGTCGTCAAAATTCCACTCAATTCCTCCAAATCAGTGATTCAACAAAGTTGTCAAAATAATCAAAGCCGACAAATTTCCTTGTAAATATTTTAGTCATACTCATGCTTTTGTTTCTTTTTTCTTCTTCTTAATTTTTATTTTGGCTCCGTACATTCTTTTTAAATTTGACTTTCGTATCTCATTTTTACATTTTCTATACGCAATATGAACAAAGTCCACTGTGAGTCACTTGAAACTTTACTGTATCAGTCATAAGCCGCTGTAAACTGGATATAGCAATATAAGAGATAATAGATTTGTTGTTATGGCTATGGGAAGTTTTCTAGGAAATTGAGAGTGTCGAGCAGACTGTGACTTTGATTATTTTTGAAAATATTGTTTAGTCTGAGGAAAATAAGAACACAAGAGAAGCCTTGGCATATTTGAAATAAAAGATCAAGAAGACAAAAATGGGTCAACATGAAGTAAATTAAGGTCCGCTTTTTAATGCTGATGCATTATGAGTTTTAAGCCATAGGCTGTCTGGGAGGCTCTTGAAGCATAGCTAAGGTGCACAAGACTGTTTCTTGGATGTGGCTCTGTCAAACAAGAATCAACGGTTGATGTTTGATCATTTTAATCAGTTTAGCACCTTTGACATGTTATGGTGATTAAGGTATACTCGAAAAAACCAGCCACACAGTCCAGACTACCATTCTTAAGCTTCATTTACCCTCCATTTCCTCAACTAAGTTAAATGATGATAAATCTTCAATAAATCATTCTTAACCCATAATAAAAACCAAATTATGCAACTCAGTCCCCTTTGCATGCTATTGACCAGTGCATGTCCAAATTTTGTGCAACGGGAACTTATCGGAAATGAATTGAGCCTCATGCTGTGTGTGACTTTAATCATCGCTTACTTCTAAAGTGTGTCGTGGCTTGGAAAGCTTGGTAGCACAGCACTGCTGAAGACTCATATATCAGCTTTAAAAAAGAGGTCAATTTCAAGGATCATATGCACGATCATGGCGTTGAACTAACATGAAATTCTATCTGAATAAACAATGACTTGTTGCCAGGAATACATTGTATGAAAATATTTATATTATTCCTCGTAATAGTGAGTCTTATTCGGGACAATGATCCTATTCTGTACTATTTTTTCGTCTTATTATGTCGTTATGTACTTTTTTTGTTTATTTTACCGGCAATTAGATTGTTTTGTGGGACTTTCACCTTTGAAATTGAGGATTTTAAAATTGAATTTTTAAGGATTTGAGGTACGAGGGGGGTTCAGATGGGAATGGCTGTTTAGACTCAAGAGACCCAAAACTCAAGATTTTACAGGAATTGATCGATCAGATGGCTTAACATGGTTCAAAAATGAAAGAATCTACATCATAGAGTACAACATTGTTTAAAAATGACGAGCTGATGCACTACAAACAGGATTTAAGTAACATTGAGCTGACCATTAAGCTGATGCAACAATAACCAGCTCAAATCTATCCTAAACTCTTGGAATTAATTCAAATAAATCTCAATAATCCCTAAAAAAAGACTCCAAACAATCCATGATAAAACTTAATAATTCAACTCACAGCAGTCTCTAAAGGAACCACTTTGAGAAATCTCTTTTCTCACTTGCACAGCTTTCAGCCTGAGCTTGTGCCAACGCTTTAAAAATCACAAAACTAATTGACTAAACTGAATGCTTAGTCCTCTATTTTTATACTCTCAATAAATTCCCTTGGTAATGAAATCTGTGCTTGTTGCATCTTTTTGTGTTGTTGTATGAAGTTCAGATCCCCTCAGTCCTCATAAAACATGGAGTCCAATTTATTTGTTATTTGTTGTTTGGAATTTGTTATGAGGAGATTGAATGTGAGTGTGAATTAACTTAGGAGATTAAATGTTTAGATGTGAGGATGTCTCTTAAACTGAAACAATTGAATTGTTTTATGAAACTAGGTGGAATATTTTTTTGGAATTGATATTTGGATCTTGAGGACTTTTACAGATGTTTTATGTCATGTAGTTGGATATACGACATTAAATGTCATTACCGATAAGTAAACTGTCAAGCAGAATAGAACATTGAACATTAAAATTATTTTATATCACCTAAGATTTAGTAAATGATTTGTAGATTGTTTTCTAGGTAACTAGCCCGGGTGGACACAGCCAGTTAAAGTCCATTATTGGACAATCATTTAACAGTCTTTTAACTTGTCAAAATTTATACGACATAGAGAACTCGGCGTTAACTAGACTTTAACTGGACATTCATGCTAATCAATCAAGTGTTCGAAACTCAAAAATAATTTTCCTTACTTTTTTGACCATATACTTCACAAGCGCTTACAGAAATCACTTATATAAGGTCTACCAAAATTTGTATGAAAATTTTAAGCAAATATAAATGTTTCACGCGCAAGTGTTCGAGACTCAATTTTTACTAGAGATTTTTCATAAGTGATAGTGTACTTTAATTAATTAATTACACTAATACAATAATAAAATTTTACAAAAGAAAAAAATATGGAGAAAAAGACACGTGTTATTTATTTTATTTCGATTTTTTTGTAACTGGACATTAACTAGACATATTTGCAATTCCTATGTCCAGTTAAATGGAAAGCGCAAAATATGTCATTAGTCGTCCCTAAGTCTAGTTGCAAAGGCACGTCAATGGATCCTTACTCGCCATGAATAAACAAGTCAATGGCAAGCTTTTAACTAGTACTTTGTCCACTCGGGTAGCAAGTTGAAGCTGGTGATCAATAAAGTTAAGCTGTTCAAACAACAAGATTCTTAAGAATTAAACAATTGAGAGGTTGTGTGAATAAGTCAAGCTTAAACTTACAGTTTATAGAAATTAATTGAATAGAAATCCAGAAAAAAGCTGACTTAACTAGATTTAAGTTCAGCACCATGCCAAAGGCACGCAGGTTTGGTGCCTGATTTCTATTCAATTAACTGACTTGTGCTTTTCTGGTAAGGATGTGTCTTAAGAACAAGCAGAGCTCATTTCACACTCAGAATCGAAAATTGTCTTGTATAAAGCGAGTTTTTTGGGGAAATACTTAAGAACAATGTTGTTTAAACTGTGTGCTGCAGAAATTTGTGAATGCGTGGCTTTATAAGGTCTGTCATGGCGCAAAAAAAGTTTGAAAAACTCTGACAAAGACAGTTTTTTAAGCAGCCTAGTCTGGTTCTATGAGGAATCCAAGTTTTTTTTTAAAATTGATAATAAATTGCCTTTGACAAAAGCATTGCCTGTGCCAGATTTTGTAATTTTATAGTCAATGACAAGAATTCAACTCTGAATTCTGATTTTATTGATTTTTTCAAGATGAAATCTATAAATTTGAGATTTCTATAGATTTATGCATAGTTGTTACGTATGTTGCTGTCATTAAGTGAATTATAGCTTTAAAATTGTGTTAATTTTGAAATTTACCAAACAAAAATTCACAATTTTATGAAATTAAATCATTAAACCACCAACCCTACCCTAATAGCTGCAAAATTTCAATAAAATCACCAAAAAATACTGAAAATTTCACCAATTTACTCGATAAATTCCCCCATAAACCCCTTCAAACAACCGAAAACCCCCTCCAACTCTCCCCCAGCATAGCAACAGCGACAGAAAATTTTCCATGCATCAATTAAAAAAAAACTTAATCACTTGTTACATATTTGCTGTCTCCGTATGAGAAAAAAAAAGTATATAAAGAAAAAAAAAGGTCTGAGACTAGAGGTCAAATTATGAAGTTTGACTGATAATTTTGAGAATTCTAGACGGAACTTCTGACGCATAATGAAGGATTGATCAAGATTATCATCAAAAACCCTCGTGATTTTAGTTATAAAATTCATGAAATGGCCTCGAAAAAAAATTGAAAAATTTTTTACTCACTATTTTTAAAAAGTTTTTAAAATGGAGATTGTGAAAGGTCGTTGATTCGCTTTGTTAGACGCTCATGGAACTCAATTCACTCGGTTTTGCTTCCTTTATGATGAAATTAATTCACTAGAAAAAGATTTAAGTTTTTTTTTTGGTTTTAACTGGTGAAGCCTAGATGACAAAATAGTTTCGATTTGATAAGTGCTGTACTTACTGAAGTTGTTCCTCGAATTTGTATGTCATGTGTGGATTGAGTTGTTTTCCCCAGTTGGGAGTGGATTCATTGATGTGATGTGTGAGGGATTTTATGAAATAATGTTTAATTAAATTTTTTTTTAAATTAAGTTTTTTTTTTTGGAAAATTAGTTTTCAATTTTTATCGCAGTTTTTGAATTAAAATCTTTAAAATTTCACAAAATTCTTGTAGTTTCTCAAGAACTCTTCCGATTCCGCAACTTTTATGACTTAAACTAGCCTTAAAATTTACTTTTAAATCACAATAATTTGAGATCAGCTACCAAAAAAAAATCTAAATCGAGTGAAACTTTTATTATTGTTGACTATTGTCGTTTTTTGGGGGAGGCCTGAGGTAAAGTTCCATGAGAATCGTACTCATGTGTTTGTTTTTGTTTACAACTTTTTCTTCTATTTTTCATGCATGCAGTCTTTTGGGGATGAAAGTTTTGCGAGTTGATGATGATTAGAAATAAATGCGGACAATTTGAATAATAAATAATTATTAAATATTGATTAATGAGTTAAAATAAACCTTCAAAGATTACAAACTTTAAGGCTCCGTTGCCTTCCCCAATTTACAATTCCATCATGGAGCTTTGATCGATTTTTGGGGTGATTCCTTAAAAAGATTGACATTAAAAATTCAACAAAATTGTTTTTTTCAATATTTTATTAAATTTAAATTCAAACTAGTCCTCATGCTTCAATCCCATACTCCATAGCAGCGGCAAGTCATTCGAGATTTCAACAGCTTCCGACCTGTCATCATAAGTGTTGCTTGTGCTCACAATTCCACCAAATTTCATCAAATGATCTGTTAAGTTCCATTTTAGACCTGTTGTTGTTACGGTTGTTGGCTGTCCGATAGGAATTAGTGAGCACCACATGTTCCTTATTTCCTTGGGAATGTTAATTTCATGCTGACCACTTTGCAGCATCCACGTGACACTTGTGGAACTTAGAATATAGACAGGTCGAGAGATGTCATTCGGTTTTTGGAGATTTTTATGCAAAGTATTGATGTTGGCTAAGATCTGATCTATTCTGCCGGATGTCTCACAAAGTGCAACAATATAGGAAATACTGAGTTCATTTATAAATGGTTCGAGGACTCGAAGACATTTTGTAAAGTCTGTTGCATCCTGGTCGGGTGTCTGGATGATTTTAGTTCTACTGAAGTAATCGAGGCTTTCATCTTTGATTGAATCGAGATCTCCGGTGATGAGAGTTGGATGCTTCAGCTTGTCTTGAAGTTTGTGCTTGCGAAGCCATGAGAGCCATCGGTTGGTGCCGCCATCGACTGTTATGTTTATTGCAGCTTAAAAAAATTGCAATTTAATTGAAAAATAGCAAAAAATGTGTCAAATTAACATTTACTTTAGTTCATGTAAAGTTTAATACTTACAGTGATTCCACAGCTCTTCAATCAATTTTGCATCAGCCTCGATTGGCCTGTTCAGAACCACAAATGCATACTTTAATTTACTGTCCTTAATGTCATTTAAATTAATTATTTTACTTGGATGATGTTTTATCATTTTTTTTATAGAGAATTCTTTTTCATAACAAATGACCTGTTTGACACGAAGCGTTGCGTACCCACTGATATAAATACATGATGTTATTCGTAACCCTCGATTGAGATTGTGCGGGAAAATTTTAAAATTATTTGAAAAAAGATGAGAATGCTTGATGAATGAAAATGTGACTGAGTTTGATTTTGGAAAACGTTGAAAAATTTGAAATTTTTTAAAAAATTTGAAAAATTTAAAAAATATGAAAAATATGAAAAATTTGAAAAGGAGAAAAATTTGAAAAAATTTGAATAGTAGAAAAATTTGAAAAAATTTGAAAAGTAGAAAAATTTGAAAAAATTTGAAAAGTAGAAAAATTTGACAAGTAGAAAAATTTGAAAAAATTTGAAAAGTAGAAAAATTTGAAAAAATGTGAAAAGTAGAAAAATTTAAAAAAATTTGAAAAGTAGAAAAATTTGAAAAAATTTGAAAAGTAGAAAAATTTGAAAAAATTTGAAAAGTAGAAAAATTTGAAAAAATTTGAAAAGTAGAAAAATTTGAAAAAATTTGAAAAGTAGAAAAATTTGAAAAAATTTGAAAAGTAGAAAAATTTGAAAAAAATTGGAAAAATTTGAAAAGTAGAAAAATTTGAAAATTTGAAAAGTAGAAAAATTTGAAAAATTTGAAAAGTAGAAAATTTTGAAAAATTTGAAAAGTAGAAAATTTTGAAAGAATTTGAAAAAATTTGAAAAGTAGAAAAATTTGAGAAAAATTGAAAATTTGAAAAGTAGAAAAATTGGAAATATTTAAAAAAAATTGAAAAAATTTGAACAAATATGAAAAAATTTGAAAAAATGAAAAATTTGAACAAATATGAAAAAATTTGAAAAATTTGAAAAATTGAAAAATTTGAAAAATTGAAAAATTTGAAAAATTGAAAAATTTGAAAAATTGAAAAATTGAAAAATTTGAAAAATTGAAAAATTTGAAAAATTGAAAAATTGAAAAATTTGAAAAATTGAAAAATTTGAAAAATTGAAAAATTTGAAAAATTGAAAAATTTAAAAAATTGAAACATTTGAAAAAAATCGGAAAATTTGTAAAATTTGAAAAAATTGAAATAAATTGCCAATTCAAGAAATCATTATGATAACATCGGAACTAAACTCTATAAACAAACCTTTTACATGTCAAAATTATCAAAACAACAAGCTTCATTTACTCAACTACGGAAAAGGGGAAGTAAATAAATTTCCAATCTTTTGTCACACTTTTCAACACATTCAAGTTTAACCAAATAATTTTATTTACACCATAAATTTTTCGCTATAAAAAAACTAAGCGTAAACTGATTAAAATAAACACGTTTTTTTGCTGTCACAAAGCCGCAGTTATTTACGTTTGACGAATGACTTATTCGGGGGCAAAAAGTGCTGATAATGATAATGATCAAGTCACTCAGACTATTTGACTGAAATTCCATGGCACAATGAGTAATGCCGGAAATGTTGTTTTTGATGAGTTTTGTCATTTACGTTAGAATTTGTTGCAGATTCTTTAGAATTAAGGATTGATTATTGGGTTGATTATAGTGTTTTTAAGATTTTTTTAATTACATTTTTATTCGATACATTTTAAGAATTTGCCAGCAGCCAGTTCCAATACACTTTAAACACGCATGTTCATAACATTGCAAGTCAAGAAAGCTGCATTGCTTCGATAAATAGCTTCATCTCAATGTCCCTACTTTTATGCTATAAATTATCAAACCAGTTTTCAATAAATAACAAAGTTATCTCAACTATAAGACGTCAATAGTACCACACAGATACAGAAAATATCTCACGAATATGATAATTTTATTTTCTAGCTTTCAATCAACTTAACAGCCGAGATAATTTATTTTCCAGGTCGTGTAATTTTTGAGAATGCGCAATAAAAATGTTGTGCGCATTAAAAATGTTGTGCGCAGTAAAATGTTTTGCGCAGTATTAATATTTATGTGGCGTTTATTGCGCACTATTATTTATGTGGCACAGTAATTTCCTAGGCTCTTTATTTTTTTCGTAAAATTTAAAACAAAATTTTGATTTCTTGCAAAATAGTTTAATGCGCATTATGAATATGGCGCAGTATTGCGCACCATTATTAGATGGCGCAGTAGTGCGCACTTTTTTAATCATTTTGAGTCCTTCGCTTGTTTTTAGTCTGGCGCAATAGTTTACTTCGCACATTACTAATTTTCCTAAAACCAACATAAGAATCATCGCAGCAAAAAAAAACCATTAAAACAATTCCCATGCTCAACAAGCAACAACATCAACAACGTTACTCATTCATTCATTTATTTATTCTTCTCACGACTAGATTCACAACATCTAAATGCCGGTCATACACGACAAGAATATTCGCACGAGATCAAAAAAATGAAAACAAAACAAAAATAAAAAGAAGCTTAAAACTTGTTTTTATGTCTTGATTCCAAAGAACTTCTCAGAGGTTCTCCGTTGTGATGACGAAAATGGAAATATAAAAAAATCCCCGGAGCGAGAGAGCAAGACATTGATGTACGGCAGTTTGCAGGTGGAGAGGAAATTTGAATATAAAAAACTTGATAATCTCATTGAATTTGTTCATTCTCTCGCGATCAGTGGACAGATCAAGTTTAAAAAAAATACAAATTATCAAATATTTAAAAATGATTAGACTTAAGAGTTCAATTTTAATAGGAATTATAGTGATAATATTTAATCAGAATGTGTCGTGTGGTGAAGATGGATTCTTTACAGTTGTTGGAAGTAACTTATTAAAATATCAAAAGTCATATAGAGTGTCAGTGGCATATCAAGGATATAAAGACGATAAAATACTCCAAATTGGTGTTAAAAATACTGACAAAAATACAGTGAAATATGAAAATTTACAAAATGTCACCTTATCAGGCGAAGGCGTTCAAAATGTTGATTTTGATGTGAGTTTTTATTTTCAAGTCATTATTTTTTTTGCGGTAAATGTTGTTGTGATATTGAGAGGAGTAAATTAAGTGGGATGCGAGGCTTTCTCTTTTGCATTCGCGCTTGCTGACTCGTGTTTAAGCGAATCTTGTACCTGAGTAAAACTGAACTTGTCCTTAGAACGTAACCATCTTCGATCCGAACCTTTCCTTCTAGAATTTACTTGTCATGTATTAATGAACTAAACTTATCCTCATGCTACGGACACGTCAAAAAGTCCGTTATTTTTTGCTTCGAGTTTTAAAAAACCGTTAAATTTTCATGAATATTTCTTGCAAACACTGGCAAAAACAACGCTTTGGCAAACAATACTTATTCTTAGCTTCGTGTTTAGCTAAGTATAGCTAAAATCATCCAAGAAAAATACTAGAAATTAAATATTAATGCTTAAAATCTTAAAATTGACACATTTTTAACGGTTTTAAAGTATTCAAACGCTAGGTCGACTAAATTTAAACATGTCGAAAAAATTCGACACTGAAATGTCCGTAGCATGCTTATCCTTTTGAATCTAACTTATCTTATTAAGTGCTCTTGAACTAGACTTATTCCCTTAAACTAGACTTATTCCGTTGAACAAGATTTATCACCTTCAACCAGACCAATCACCTTCAACTAGATTTAACCTCTTCAACTAGACTTATCCTTTTCAACTAGACTTATCCCCTTCAACTATATTTACCCTCTTCAACTAGACTTAACCTCTTGAACTAGACTTATTCCATTAAATTAGACTTATATCCTTGAACAAGACTTATTTCTTTAAACAAGACTTATTTCCTTGAACAAGACTTATCCCATACAACCAGGCTTATCCTTTTCAACCAGACTTATCCTATTCAACTAGATTTAACCTATTCAACTAGACTTATCCTTTTCAACTAGACTTATCCTCTTCAACTAAATTTAACCTCTTCAACTAGACTTATCCTCTTCAACTATATTTACCCTCTTCAACTTGACTTATCCTCTTGAACTAGAATTAACCTCTTCAACTAGACTAGTCCCCTTGATCTAGACTTACTAGATTTACCTAAATTTATCCTGTTGGATTAATAAAGTATCCTTGAACTGATCTTTTTCTTACTGAACTGAACTGAACTTATTAATTTAAAATGATTTAATCCTTTTCAACTGAACTTATCGTTCAAAAACTTATTTATTTGCAAACCAATCGAAGAACGGATTTTTTGTGCTATATGCTCCCAACCCTAATCCTTTACAATCCAATCTAACCCAAACTATTCTCATCTAAGCAATATTGACCCTTTCAGTTGAACTCTGTTGAATTATTTCACCATTATTCTCTCTCAATTCATCAAACAATAAATCAACAACATCACAATATTTACACGCATACTAATAAACTCCCGGTGTGCACATAATTATAAATAAACAACTTTATTATTTTATTTAATTTTTTTTTTCTCTTTTATTTTAATATGTTTTTTTTACACAGTTGAAGAGTCAAACAGAAGGCGATTACGTAATTGAGGTCAAAAGTGTGACAGGCGATAAATTTGAGTCATTCAAGAAGCTTCACATGAACACAAAAAGATTCTCGGTTTTTATTCAAACTGACAAGAGTGTCTATAAGCCCAAAGATAATGTAAAGTTCAGGATTATGGTGTTGGATGCTGAGACAAGACCGTTTGAATTTGAGAGCATTGATGTCTATGTCACTGACGGTGGAGACAATCGAGTCAAGCAGTATGAAAATGTCAAGAATAAGTTCATCAAAGGAGTCTTTCAAAATGAATTGCAGCTTTCAGACCAGCCAGTTATGGGAACATGGAAGATCCATGTTAAAGTCAATGGCGATGATGACACAGTCAAGAGCTTCGATGTCGATGAATATGTCCTGCCCACCTTTGAAGTCTCAATTGATGCTAATCCTGATGCAAACTTTAAAGACGGAGTCATTCGAGCCACAGTCAAGGCTAAGTACACATTCGGAAAGATTGCTAAAGGAAATGCAACAGTGACAGCTGAAGTAAGTATCCCACATTGGGGATATAGACCTTGGAGCAGGAACGGCCAAAGCAACAACAAAAAAGTATCAAAAACAGTCGAAGTTGATGGTAAAAAATTCGTTGAATTTGATGTCGTTAAGGAACTAGAAATGAAAGAGAGCAGCTACTATCGAAAAGTCAAGCTCTTCGCAACATTCACAGAGCAGCTCAGCGGAAAAGAAGCAAATGCATCAACAACTGTCGAAGTCCATAAGACACCCCATAAAATGGATTTATCAAAGAGTGCTGAAAAAATCAAGCCTGGACTTCCATTTAAAATCACAGCAGACATCAGATTCCACGACAAAAACACACCAGTCAGTGACAAGTTCAATCCAGTCAACTTTACAGTCAGTTACTTTTATGATGCCCCAAGAATGTGCAAGAGAAGGATCTGGCAACCGTATTATACAACTTATGAGGAAATCACACCAATTGCTATTGCTTTAGATGCAGACATGGCTGATGGACCTGACACAGGAGTATCCTCAGACTCAGCAGTATCAACAGATGCCATAGCTGAACAACCAACAACAACAGAGCCTCAAACAACTACAGATCCAACAACAACAATGATTCCTGAAACAACGACACGAGAGGTCAAATACGAGGAATATGAATGTCGTGAGGAGAAATCCTACGACAAGCAAATTGAAGTTTTTATCAAGAATGGAATCGCCGAGATTGACATTGAAATTCCATCAAATACAACTCATATACGTGTTAAGGTAGGTTGGAGTTGTTTAGTGTATTTTGAACAAGTAACAGGGGTTCATAACCTTTTATGGGTTGTGGGTTATCGAATATTTGGATGTTGGGGTGGATTTGACCTGCTTGGAGGTCTTACTAGTCTTTTAAGTAGCTTCTAACCCTTTACAGCTTAGCAAAGCACGGTTTGACTTATTCTAGCTTCTGTTTACCACTTTAAGGCAATCTTTGTGCTAATTTACTTCTTAACACCTCTCAAAACCCTCTCCTAACCCTAGCTCACCTTAGTATTTTACCTCATAATTAATGAACCGTATCACAAAAGTCGAGAATACCTGCCAGAAATCTAGAATTTAATGGACTTTGCATATACTTTTGTGTATTCAAACGTGAGGGATGCGAGATTATGAAACGAAGATGTACGTGACTAAGATGAGTTTATAATTGAGCTTTTGACTTTGGGATTTCCTCGAATGATCGACGTAGATTTGTAGAAGTATTAAACCGCAATAATAAATGTAATTGATAGTTTTTATATGCAATTTATCAATTGTGAGATCTTAATTGTTTATGACTAGTTTTGTGGAGATGATTATATCTAAGGCAGTGGTGTCCAAAGTTTTTTGCATCAAGGCACTTTTGGTGATAAGTCAAGACCGAAACTACACGGTTATCCACATATCCCATTTTTAACAGCACAAACTAGAGTGCCGTGACACACGGGTTGGCCATCACTGGGTATAGGTTGTCCTTAAGTATGATAAATTCTTCAATAAATATGTCAGGGTATGACTGGTTGTCGTCTCTTGATTTAGAGTTGATCTCAAGGCTACATGACAAATCTCTTAATTTTGAGAACTTCTTGATGATTGTGAATCTTGGTTGAAAGGTTCTTAAGAGACCGAGATCCTGGGTTAAGAGCCTTTGGATGATTGGGATTCCTAGCTGATAATGAAGTATTCTATACTTTGCAGCCAAGACCTCATTTCATGTCGAATGGTTAACAAACTGGTGTCATAGGCTTGTTTTTCGGACTTATCATTCCCATAATACAGATTCTGTAAGGCCAAACCTCCTTTAGCTAATCTTTTACAGCTAAGCCTATGACTAGAGCATGCATAATTAGTAATAACCTAGTAAATTCTTCTAAATTATTGTAAAACTTATTTAATTTATTATTTATTATTTTTTCTTGAATTCAGGCACAATACTTGTCAAATGAAGAGTCATTGTATTACATCTCAAAGGCTGACTCAGAAAGCAATGAGTTCATTCAAGCAAAGCTAACGACTGGACGGTAAGAATTGTAGACAATTGATTATCAAAATATTTTAATGACCATTTTCATTTCCAGACCATCACTAAGCGACACAATCACAATTCAAGTTCTCGCAACATCAGAAATCTCTCAACTTACCTACGACGTCATTGCTAGAGGCAACTTAGTCGACACAAAAGTCGTAAAATTTGACCCAACTAAGGAATACAGCCTCAATATCAAACCGCAAATGTTAATGCTTCCAAAAGCTCAAATTGTGATTTATTACATCACTAAAAATGGTGAAATTGTGTCCGATAAAGTTGAAGTTGAGTTTGGAAATGAATTGACAAATTACGTAAGTTGAGGAAATTCTGTAAAATATTTTACAATAAAATCATAAAAAATAATTTCAAAATTTCTTTGACTTTTTAGGTCAACCTCAAGTTATCAACAGAACAAGCCAAACCAGGTGACAACCTGACTATCTCAGTCAGAAGCAATCCAAACTCTTTTGTTGGACTCTTGGGAGTCGATCAAAGTGTGTTATTGTTAAAGAAAGGAAATGACATTGAGCAAGAGACAGTTTTCAGTGAACTTAAAGCTTATGGGGATGTTGACAAGTGGAACTACGAATGGTATGAGAACTATGATTATAATCAGCGGTATGGAGACTTTGATTCATCGGATGCATTTATAATTACTAATGCTAAGAAGCCATTTGGTGAGTTAATCATTCAGATTTGAAGTTTTTTGAGTATGCTTAGCTCTAAAGTGAGCAGCAACCTAGTAGGGTCTATCATAGGTTATCTATAAAGTTGAACCAGTGTTAATTCCCCAATTCCTTCTATTCTAGAGGCCCCTTACCTGCCATATTACTACGACGAAGACTTCCTAAGCATCCGAGATGGAGGACCAGTTTACTATGCAATGCCAATGCCAGCATCACTTGCATCTGATAGTTTTGACTCAGCACCTATGCCTGAGAGAGCACCAATCTTAACAACAACAGCATCATTTTCAGGAATGGGTATGGCTGGACCACCAGGAGCAAAACCTCAAGCAGCATTGAACAGAGGTGGCTCAACACCAGAACCAAAACCGATCGAAATTCGTAAAGAATTCCCTGAAACTTGGCTTTTTGATAGTCTTGAGTTTGATTCTAGGTAAGATTTTAATAACTCAATCATAACTCCACCTCAAATTACGTCAAATCAAATCAAAACCCTTTAAATTCCCATTTTTAGCGACAAACAAACCCTCACCAAGAAAGTTCCAGACACAATCACATCCTGGGTCATCACAGCATTCTCACTCGATCCACTCACAGGCTTGGGTTTAACTAAACAAGCATCAAAGCTTAATGTCTTCCAGCCATTCTTTGTCTCTACAAACCTTCCATACTCAATTAAGCGCGGTGAAGTTGTTTCAATTCCAATCATTGTCTTCAACTATTTGGAAACTGATCAAGACACAGTTGTGACTTTATTCAATAATGACCGTGACTTTGAGTTTGTGGAAGTTAATGACGATGAGAATGCAGTCAAGAGATCCAAACGTGGACTGGAAATGGAAAGAAAGAAGGAAATCAAGGTTAAGTCAAATGAAGGAGTCTCAATTCCATTCATGATCCGGCCACTCAAGGCTGGACACATCACAATTAAAGTTACTGCTGAATCAAAGATGGCTGGTGATGGACTTGAGAAGCAGTTGAAGGTTGAGCCTGAGGGAGTTCCACAGTACCTTAATGAAGCTGTTTTGATTGACTTGAGAAGTGAGAAGGAGTTCAAGAAGACAATTGAAATTGTTGTTCCACCAGAAGCTGTTGCTGACTCAACTAGGATTGAGGCTTCTGCTATTGGTGACATTTTGGGACCATCAATTGAGAACTTGGATAAGTTGATGTAAGTATTGAGTCAGTTTGGTTATTATTTAGTCATCTTGGTTGAGATTCAGCCATTTTGGTTGAGATTCTGTCATCTAGGTTAAGATTCAATCACCTTGTTTAAGATTCGGTCATCTCGAATCATGAATTTGTCATTTTTGCTAACATTTAACTATTTTATTTCCCTTCCAGTAAACTCCCTTACGGCTGCGGTGAACAGAACATGCTTAACTTCGTCCCCAACATCGTTGTCCTCGACTACCTCACAAACCTCAAAAAACTCAATCCACAAATTGAAGAGAAAGCCAAAAAGTACATGGAAGTTGGATACCAAAAGGAACTGACCTATAAACATGACGATGGTTCCTACAGTGCATTTGGCAAGAGTGACAAGTCTGGTTCCACTTGGTTGACTGCATTTGTAGCTAAGTCGTTCAATCAAGCTGCAAAATACATTAATATTGATGAAGCTGTTATTGAGAATGCCTTAGACTTCTTAAGCGCTGTACAGACTGAAAATGGAAGCTTCCCAGAAGTTGGACATGTCTCACATCAAGCTATGCAGGGTGGATCATCAAAGGGCATAGCTTTGACTGCCTACACATTGATTACATTCCTAGAAGCTAAAGATCATAATGAAAAATACAAGGAAGTGATTAACAAGGCATTGGACTATGTTATTGAGAATTTAGACCAACTTAATGACACTTATTCACTTGCCATAGCCAACTATGCTTTGCAGCTTAACAAACATGAACAGAAGGACATGCTGTTGGCTAAATTGAATGCAAAGGCTGAGAATAAGGATGGCATGAAGTACTGGAAGAAGGATGAAGTAGAGGAAGACACAAAACCTTGGTATTACCGACCAAACTCAGTCAATGTTGAGATGTCTGCCTACGCATTACAAGCATTCATCCTTGCTGACAAAGACAACGAAGCTGTTCCAATCATGAAGTGGCTTGTGACACAAAGAAATGAAAATGGTGGATTTCAGTCAACACAAGACACAGTCGTTGGTCTTCAAGCTTTATCAAAATTGGCAACTAAGATTCATGTTGCTGACTCTGATCTCCAGATTGTTGTTAAGCCTGATCATGCCAGCGGTGCAACCATCAATGTCAATTCCGCAAACTCATTAATCCTCCAAAAGCATGAACTTCCATCAAGTGCTCGTCATTTTGAGGTTACAGCAACTGGCAAAGGCTTCAGCATCCTTCAAATTTCCTACAAATACAATCTCGATAATTCTGGAAAGTTTCCACGATTTGTACTTAATCCAAAGGTTGATGATAGTTCCAATAAGGAATATTTGGACTTGCATGTCTGCACAAACTTTGTTCCTGACTCACAGACTCAAAGATCTAATATGGCTGTCATGGAGGTGTCTCTGCCTAGTGGATTTACATTTGATAATGATCAGATGGAAGCGCTGATGCTTACTGAGAATGTTAAGGTGAGTTTAATGATGCAAAGTTTGAAATTTAACGGAAATTTTATAATTTGAATTAATCATTCACAGAAAGTGGAAACAAAGGACGGAGACACAGTCATAATGGTCTACTTTGATGACATCGGAGATAGTCAAATATGTCCAGAATTTAAAGCGTACCGAACACATGCAGTTGCTAAGCAAAAGCCAGCACCAATCATCATTTATGACTACTATGATAATTGTAAGAATTTTTTTTAACCTTTTTTCGTTGAATTTTTGCTAATTCAATTAAATTTTATTTTAGCTCGTCATGCTCGCTCATTCTACAACCCACCAGAAATCTCATTGTGTGACATTTGTGAAGGCGCTGATGAGTGCATGAAGGCTTGTGAAGTTCCAATTGTTGAGATTGTTTAATTTGCATTTTTTTGAGGATTTATGTGATTTTTGTACAAAAAAAAGTTCAGATAAATTTTGAAGAAATAAATTTAGAAATATATTAAGAAAAATATCTTTCTTCATTAATCAATGCCTTAAAAGCAGTAAGAATTAAATCTAGTCCATAAAATATTCAGCGTTCAATGCCCCAAAAGCATGAAAACTTAAATCTAGTCCATAAAGTATTCAGCGTTCAATGCCCAAAAAGCATGAAAACTTAAATCTAGTCCAAAAAGTATTCAGCGTTCAATGCCCCAAAAGCTTGAAAATTTAATTCTAGTCCATAAAGTATTCAGCGTTCAATGCCTCAAAAGCATGAAAACTTAAATCTAGTCTTGGCCATAGCTTATTCATCAGTTCAAAAAATTAAAAACCCAAACATAAATTTTTGTTTTTTGTCCTTTTATTAAATTTCATTTAATCCAGATTTTTGATCAAACATTGTACATTTAACTCCACAATTTCCATGTCAATCTATCCTTAATTTGATGTCTTTGTAAACTCAGTATCACTAAGGAAAATGACCTTAAGTCTAAAGCTTTGATTGACAATGTCAACAACCTTTAAGATTGTAAAGAATTTGCGAATGTTGATCGGGAAGTAAACGACATTTTGATTGATTGAAACAAATCTTGTCACATCCTTGTTTGTTTTGCCAACCACGTGCTTTCCTTCAATGCTGGTGATTCTTGTGTTTTCGTTCAGGATCTGTAGGTTGATGGTATAGCAGACGTAATCTAAGGAATTATGGAATGAAAACTGGTTAATTACAATTCTAGGTTAGGTATAGGTTAGGTATAGGTTAGGTATAGGTTAGGTATAGGTTAAGTATAGGTTAGGTATAGGTTAGGTATAGGTTAGGTATAGGTTAGGTATAGGTTAGGTATAGGTTAGGTATAGGCTAGGTATAGGTTAGGTATAGGTTAGGTATAGGTTAGGTATAGGTTAGCTATAGGTTAAGTATAGGTTAGGTATAGGTTAGGTATAGGTTAGGTATAGGTTAGGTATAGGTTAGGTATAGGTTAGGTATAGGTTAGGTATAGGTTAGGTATAGGTTAGGTATAGGTTAGGTATAGGTTAGGTATAGGTTAGGTATAGGTTAGGTATAGGTTAGGTATAGGTTAGGTATAGGTTAGGTATAGGTTAGGTATAGGTTAGGTATAGGTTAGGGATAGGTTAGGTATAGGTTAGGTATAGGTTAGGTATAGGTTAGGTATAGGTTAGGTATAGGTTAGGTATAGGTTAGGTATAGGTTAGGTATAGGTTAGGTATAGGTTAGGTATAGGTTAGGTATAGGTTAGGTATAGGTTAGGTATAGGTTAGGTATAGGTTAGGTATAGGTTAGGTATAGGTTAGGTATAGGTTAGGTATAGGTTAGGTATAGGTTAGGTATAGGTTAGGGATAGGTTAGGTATAGGTTAGGTATAGGTTAGGTATAGGTTAGGTATAGGTTAGGTATAGGTTAGGTATAGGTTAGGTATAGGTTAGGTATAGGTTAGGTAAAGGTTAGGTACAGGTTAGGTAAAGGTTGGGTAAAGGTTAGGTATAGGTTAGGTATAGGTTAGGTTTAGGTTAGGTATAGTCCACTTACCAGCACTGACTTTCTTGAATTTACAAGACAATGTAGTCTCCCTTCCACACTTATTATTAATTGCATCCATAAACTTATCCTTAACCTCAGCAGAATACTTCATATTGATGCACTCATTTCCAGTCAGATCAATGCTCTCCAAATCGGTTGTAATCTGAGTCCAGTCAATCTGCTTAAGCTTGTTATAGCTGACGTCAACAGTCTGCAACATAGTCATGACTGTAAACATAGCCCAATTGATGGTTTCAAGACGATTATTGCTCAAGTTCACTTCCAACAATTCCAAATTTTTGTCAAAGACATTCCTTGGAATTTTAGTAATTTCATTGTTTGAGATGTCAATGAAGTTAAGTGCTGGTGAATCAACAAATGAATTTCCTTCAACAGCCTCAATCTTATTGCCTGTAATCTTAATCCACTCCAAGTTTTTGCCAACAAAGTTTGAAATTTTCCTTAAATTGGACGATGTAACCTCAACTTTTTGAAGACCTGGAAACACTTCAGCGATGTTGATTGGGAAATATTCCATATTTTGATTAGCGATGATTAATTTGGTGACTGTCTTGCTTGTCATGCCTGATTCTGTATGAATTCCATGAACTCGAGTGATCTTTGTGTTTTCACTAATTATGTTGAGATCTTTGACAACGCAGGCGTAATCTGGAATAGGAATGGGAGAAAATTAGGTTCTATTGGGTTTGGGTCAGTTAGATCCAGTCTGGTTTAGTAAGATCATCTTAGATCAACCTTAGTTCAATCATGTTAGATCAAATAAACCACATTTCAACCTACCATCATCAAAATACTTGAATTCGCACTCTAATTCCTCCTTTTGAGAGCAGCTTTCTTGAATTGACTTCACAAATGCTTGCATGTTCTTTCCTGACTTTCCATCAATGCACTGATTGCCTGTTGCAATAATTTGAGATGTTGTAGGTGCAGTGTATGACCAAACAACATTTGTAAGTTGATTTCCTGATAAGTTGATAGTTGCGCCGTTAGTCAAAACAGTTTGAATGGATGTTGATGTAAAGTTGGCAAGTTGATTGTTTGAAATGTCGAATGTCAAGACATCCTTATTATTAGCAAATGCTCCATCGGTAATTTTTGCAATTTTATTTCCAGTAAGAGTTAAAACTTCAACATCCGGAGATCCACTAAAGCTATTATCATCAATTGTTGTAACGTTGTTGTTGATGATAACAACTTCCTTTAATCCAGTCAAGTGAGAAATTTCTAGAAGTCCAGAATTGTCAATCTCAAGTTTTTCGACCTTTCCGAATTGTTTGATAAGATTTGATGGTATGTAGTGCATGACTTGTCCATTTATGATGAGCTTCGTCACATCTGCCACTGTTTTATCTTCGGAAAGATGTGCACCAGTGATTCCACTGATGATTGTGTTTTCATAGTACATGAAAGCTTCCTTTACTTCGCAGACGTAATCTGGGGAGAATTAGAAGTATTGTAAGTTAATTATGGAAACAATGTTGGGTTTTCTGTTTGCTGTATGTTGGTACGGATTGCTTATTATATCAATAACCATAGAGCAGGTGGGGAAGGGGGGGGGGATCATAAAAATCTCCCCTTCCCTCTGAATTTTCCATTTAAAATTTTTTTTGTCCCCCTCTCTTCAAATTCCTGGCTACGCTCCTGCCATAGAGTACAGACTATGAGTTACTCTAAGGATTGACTTAGTGTCTCCTTCAAGCTATGCCTTAGTGTTTAACTTTTTCATATAAATTTATACGTCTAGGGTTCGATAGGGTCTGATATACACCGATACATTGCTTGGGGTATGACTAATGGTTAACTGCCACAAGCCCTATCAATACTGTCACTTCTAGGACAGCATATACTTAAGGTATCCTTAGAAGCTATCCTATATCAGTAGTATCCTTAAAATACACAAAATAAATCACTTACCTCTTCCAACCTTCTTATAATCACATTGTACTGACACCTTAAATGGACAATCCTTGTACAGGGCTTGCTTGATCTTCTCTGCATTTGCTGATGGATATTTGAGATTGATGCATTTACTTCCCATCATGTCAACGCTTACTAAGTTTGTAAAGACCTCAGTGTTTAAGAATCCAGAGTCGACATGTTCCAATGGATTGTTGTTGACCGAGATAACCTCAATGTCCTTCAACTTTCCAAACTTCTTCCATTCGATAGTATTAATTTGATTGGATTCAACGATCAATATTTGTAGCTTAACGAGATTCTGAATAGCTTCACTGATTTCAGTCAATTCATTCTTGGTAAAGTCGATCGTGATGATATTTTGAGCTGATATGAATGCCTCTTTATGGATATTTGTAAGCTTACCGTTAGTCATTGTCAAGTTTGTCAACTTTCTGCTTCCATTAAATGAGTGCTTATTGATGTCCTCAACTCTAACATTATCCATGATCAATGTGACAAGATTAGCAAAGTATTGACCGAAATTATCTGGAATGGCTCGAATGGCTCCACCACTAAGTTGTAGTTCTGTTATATAGCTTCCATCAACGACAGTTCCATTTGGCAGCTTGACTCCACCAACAGTCATTCCTTCAAATGGAATCAAAGAAGACTCAGACACACATGTTGTACCGTAGAATTGATCGCATTCGATGATGATCTGCAGTTGATCGATACATCCTGATCCTTGTCCTGTTTTGTGGTCTGTATCAGGTGCTGGTGGTTTTGGATCGCTACATTTCTTTAAATCAGCTTTGCATGTTTGCAGTTTGACAATGTCACGATCGTAATTGCTCTTAAGTTCCTTACTATCCTCCTTTAGCTTAACGATTTGAGCTTCTAGCTTTTTAATCTTTGCTGCATCGACTTCTGCTTGCTCTTTTAATGCTTTAACCTTTTCATTGCATTCCTTTGCTCCTTCTTTTTCACACACTTCGATTTGACTTTCACATTCCTTCTGTTTTTCTTCAAGCTTCTCGTATTCTAAAACACAATTTTCCCAGTGAACATTACAGACATCGACCGATGCCGTCGCATTATCTAATTGATCTCTGCAGAAGTAAAACTTCATGTCACTCTCTTGGATGCTCCTCATTTCATCAGTTGCTGGACATTTCTCATTAATTTCACCTTTTATTGTCTCGATTTCGTCTTCGGATGCACCTTTTGAGTCTATACAGCCAGCATTTGAAAAATCAACTTGTTCAAGGCCTTCAAAGTTGTCAAGTAAGTCACTGCCAATGCCGATGAGTGGATTTCCAGCAAATGAGATCTTCTTAAGCAATGGATTGCTTGTTAAAAGTGCGAATCCTAATTGCTTGATCTCATTATTAGAAAAATTGATGGTTTTAAGCTTTGGGAAGACTTCCAGGTCCTTCTTTGAGATGCTTTTCAGTTTTGAATTGACAATTGCAAGACCTTCAAGGTTTGAGAAGATTTTATTAAAGTCTCCAGGGAAGTGCTCACATTGCTGATTAGTTATATCCAAAGCTTGAACATTATTGTTGCCATGATTCGCTCTGTGCCTGCCGCTGACTTTGTCAACTGCTATTTTAGTTGGGAAATTGACATTCATAGCTACGCATGTGTATGGCTTGCCAACAAAATCATCCCAATTTTTGTATTGAAATGCACAACGGACGACTTCGGAGTTCGTGAATGTTATGAATTCGATTAAGATTTGAAGGAAGACAAAGGTCCTTAATCTAAAAACAGGCCATGAATGTCAATTTTAAAATAAAAAAATAATTTTTGCAAGGCGTGGAAACTCATCGAAATTATTCATTAAAATCATCGGGGATTTCATATTTATTGGCTCAGGGATTTTTTAAGAATTTTTTGAGATTTTTTCAGGTTTAATGTCGAGTTTCCACGCCTTGGTTTTTTTTGTGAATTTTACTTACTTTTTCATTATTTAGTGATTATAAATTGCGCTCTCTCTGATAAGTTGTGTTCAGCTTTCACCTTTGAATTTAAACAAAATTTGAGATTATTGTTGCCTTGGCTACACTGTCATATTGCATTTTATAAATATTATAATGTGAATTAGGAAATCTTGACTTTTCAGTGACTTAGCTGGTTGTTAAAGGAGGGGGAGGGGGGGGGGGATGTCAAAAACATACGTTTTGAAGAAAAAAAAACTTCAATTTGCTATGTTTTTTTTAAAACTCATTTTAATTTATTTATGCTACCCAAAAGAGTGCAACCTCTTCATGTACTGCACATAGCATCAGGTGCGTATCCAGGGTGGGGGCGGGGGGGGGGGGGGTATTTGGGAGACAAATCACACAATGAAATAGAAATTTCTTTATTTTTCCAGGGTTTTTATAAAAAAAATCACAAGAATTCCCCCCCCCTTCTCCCCCCCTTTAATTTTTCCATACAAAAAATTTTTTTGTCCCCCCCCCCCCCTCTTCAAATTCCTGGCTACGCCCCTTCATAGCATTAGTCAATTTATTAACAACCAAATCAAAAAATTCACTCTTCCTCATCATCAAATTACTTTAATCACAAAGACTTTTTAGACCCCCCCCCCCCCCTTGTAACAAAATTTGTATGAAAAAAAGATTTCCTTGTTGGAACCGTAACAAAATCTTAGACCCCCCTCCCCCCCTAAAAGCGTTACGTAATAAGTGAATGGCCCCAAAGTAATATAATCACCGAGAATTTGAATACTTACAGGTCTAATAAATAATGTGAAGCTCTCAAAAGCAACTGTCAGTTTAGGAGTAAAGTTTCCCTGATTATATACAATTTTTTAAATGTCTTAAACATTCTCTTTAGATGAGTAAGAAATAAGGATTTAGAGGAGATTGAGAGTAGCTTGTCTGAGCATCATATGATTATTACTGATCAGTTCTTTTGAGAATCCAGTAGGAAATTACATTATTTTAAACTAGAAGAGAGTTTGAACAAGTTATGGAGGGTTGAAGATGATTCAGTCAACTGCGTAGCCATGGGTAAGCTCACATAAATCCTTGCTATGCTTGACTGCAATAATGAGTGTACTGCTTGGAAAGAATTCAAATCAAAATCTTAAAACTGAACTCAAGATGAATCGAAAATTGTGTTTTTTTTTTTATTTTCGGGGATTTACAAATCTTGTGTGGTGAGTAATCAATTTTATTGATAAGATAACAGACTTGCGATCACTGACATTGACAACTGAAAACGATTATTGTAGTATCTTTTTGTTGGTTTTGAAAAACAGGTTTATTTTTATAAAAAAAGTTTATTTTTTAAATATCTTATTTTAAAAAAAAGTTCAAAAAATCGAGATATTGAAGATTTTAGGTAAAACATTCTTCAAAAAGGCGGGACTTTCCGGCTGTTAAGTACGCAAGTGGACTGCCTGGTCATATGAGATTAAAAAAGTATTACTTTAGTTTCAGCTTATCTTTAAATGGCATGTAGCAATATAGACTTGTAATATTGAAAATTGAAATGATTATAAATTTATTGCAAACAAATAAACAAACTCAATTTAGCCACATTAATAAAGATGCTTAAAAAGGTTGCATGAGGTTTTTTTAGAGAATAAATAGGTTAAGTCGGTAGAATTTAACAAAAAGGTGAAATTAAAGGTTTAAGTAATTGATTAGTGATTTTTAAGACCTAAACACATTATACAAGTCATCAACTTATTACGCCACATCAAAAAATTAATCAAATAGGGCTAAGAACATCCGAAAATCGAAATGTCTCAAAAATTATCACCGAACAATTCATCCAAGAAATCAAAAATATCACCAAAGGAATTAAAATGTAGCGAAAGCAATATAACCAAGCACAATAAATTGGACACACACATCACACCAAAAGGGTCTTTCAATGAACTTAATTTAATCATACACGAAGCAAAAAGTATCTCTGATGAATACAGTGCATTATTGAAGAAAGATGAAATTGATGTTAAAAAAATGCTTATAGCTATGCTAGAAATGAACAGATCTATGTTAGAAATTGTGACAAAACTTACGTCTGCTGTCGAACACAAAAATGATCTAATCACCACCACTTTTAGTGATCAATTAAAAGATAACACCACATTTATCATAAAAGAGATGAATTATGTGAAAAGAGAAATGGACATGATCAAAAAGAACGATGAAATTGAGTGCGTGAAAACAATTCAAGCTTGCTCTCGAGACTTAAAAAAGGTATGGATAAGATTTGCATCTGCTAAGGATGCTACAGATATGAGAAACGCAAACAGTCATGCAGCAATTCAAGGAATATTCACTCATATGAATATTAAACTGGATATGACTCATTATCCTTTAGAAACTTTCTTCTTCCAAAACAGACGATTTTCACGAGATCAAATGATTCCTGAAACAGCTTTATGTTGTGTATTTGCCAGTTCAGCGCTGGCAACAATTGTTAAAAACAGCATTAGAAATTTCAACAAATTTCTCATCGATAAAAAGCAATTGAATCTTATAAAGTACACCACAAGCGCTGACTGGTCATTTAATATTCGCCAAATTCTGAAGCCATGCATAGAAATGAAGAGATTTGAAGTTGTCGAAGGTGTATTGGTGACTAATGATGGAATTAAAGTGTATCATAAAGAGATTGTGCATGAAAAACAAAAATCCAAATCAACTTTTGTAAATTCCATGAATGAACTTGATATCCTGCGTAAAATCCTGTTTGACTTCAATTACACTGTACCAGCAAAGGAAGCCTACAACAAAGAATATTTTGGAAACAGTTTTGAAGAAAGAAAAGCAATAAGAAATAATTACTTTGAAAATCTGGGCGACGGAGGTGACGAATATGAAATCAGTGATGAAGATTGTATGGATTTGTAGATTTCTGTTATGATAATAACAATTCAAACTGTCCACAAGTCCTTCCAACAGCATTATTCCTCTTATTCCACAATTGAAAAGAATATTCTAAAATTTATGTAAACAATAACAAAATGAGCAACAAATTTCAAAACTGAGCATCTAACGGTAAAAATCTGAGCCACTTAATTTGAATAGAGAAATACGTTAAATTTTGAATTTATTTATGACGTTAAGTAGATTCTTGCCAAATAGTTTCTCCTTATTGCTTGATACTTTTAAATATTGTGTAAAATGCTTTTTCAATCTATTATATCCATTTTCCATCAAATATTGTAACAACATAGCAGTTTTATTAATGATTTATTAATCCAATAAAGGCTTTAAGCTTTTAAATGAGAAAAAAAAAAAAAAAAAAGGACTCTAGCGTTCTTATCAATACATCCAATCCAGGTCTTCTTTGGTCTTCCTCTAGATCTCTTGCCATCTACAAAGTCAGCAACAGTCACTCTAAGTACTGGGGCATCTTGTGGACGTCTAAAGACATATCCAGACCATCTCAAACGATTTGCACGGAGAACCGGAGGAATTAAGGTTAACAAATATGTGGACGCAGCTATTGAATGCAAAAAACTAGAAGTCTCTAAGTACTTCCAGTTCCAAGTTTTTGAGCCAGCCAGCCAGCCAGCCAGCCAGCCATTAAATGTGAGAAAATAATCGAGCATGAGAAGCTAAGATTAAAAAACATATAAAAGCTGTTATCAATTCGAGAGAAATTCTCAAAATTTTATTTTGTTTTGATTTGTTCAATGCCGATGGGAATTCCCGACCAAACGTTGTGACGTATCTGAAACAGCTTAGTGTGACTGTAAAGTAAGAACAAGTAATTATTGAAGTTAATGACAATTTATTTTATTACAAAAAAATATATAAAAATTGATAAATTGATGCTAAAAAATTAATAATTAAAAAAAATTAATTATTGCAACAAATTAATCAATGATTATTAAAAAAATAATAAAATGTAAAAAAAAATTATTTTTGATCTCAGCGAATCAAGTTGAACCTTCCTTAAAGTTTTTGTCATGACTGAAAAAATTCAAAGATTAAAATTTATTTTTTTTTTAAACTTCCGCGTGGTAAACAGAACTTGAATGATTCTTCCTTACTTATTTTTTTGTTAATCAATCCTGCTTGTTATTTGCACAAGTATCCATTCCGCCATGTTTGATCCATCCATAAAAATTAGGCACGTCCGTAAAGACAGCTACTCTTGTGACATCACACTCATTAACTTCGTTTCGTAAAGCCGACGAAACAATTCCACGTAAATAATATTTCCTTTGGTGAATAACATAAACTCCACATCCACTGTCTCCATTGCATACGCCTGATTTATTAGCAGGTCCACCACAAAATGTCCTGTCACTAATAAGTGGTTGATGATCTGGATTATGTTCAGTGCAATTTTGGTAATCATAAATTGGAATTTTAAGCTTATTTGCAACATCGGAAATTGCGTCATTTTCAGTAATGCCAAATCCAACAGCAATTCCACGTCTTAGTTTACCAACATTTGAATCAATGTCTGGGATGCAAATTGGTTGAATAAACTTGTTAAACTCGACTTCTTTAGCCAGTTCCAAAATTGCAATGTCGGCATCGCAAGATTCTGAATAAATATCCCAATCTGGATGGATATAAATGAAGTTGACTTTAACTGAGATTCGTCCTGCTTCTTCTGACATTTTGTGGTTATGAACACCGAGCATTACCGAAAAGTCGTCCGTACTTAATCGTTTACTTTGCTTATTATGTATACAATGAGCAGCTAAAATTGTAATTAATTAAAACTAGTCACAAAAGCCGACCAGAGATTCGAAAAACTAGTTTTTTTGCATAACAAAAAAAAAATAATTGACCCTTTACATAAGTAAAATTATAGCTTACCCGTTAAAATGTGTTTACTGGAAAAAATAGTTCCACCACCTAATAAATCTCCTCCAGTTTTAATCAAAGCAACGTTCCTGTAATTTTTAAAATCAATTAAAAAAAAACTTAATCACAATAATAGACAATTGCTTAATTATAATCTAGAATTAAGGGGCTGTTCAGTTATTACGTAACGCTCCTACGGGGAAGTCTAAGATTTTGTGACACACCAAACAAAGCTCCTTATGGAACCTTATGTCGTCCACCAAAAAACATGATTTCTTTCAAGGGCTACGTAAAAAATACGTACGTAAAACGTGAGGCAAAATTTTAGAAATGTTAATTTAATAACCAATCATTATTCAGCGCTTGTCAGACATAAAACAAATATTTTAAGCCAAAAACTGCATCAAAAAGCTTCAGCTGGAGGAGATGATAGACTGACGGACGGATAAACAGACGGAAAAGTGCGGACATAAGTGCCTTTCCTTATAAAAAAAATTACAAAAGTCCTCGTGTTATTGATCATTCAACGGTTTTCTGAAGTTCAAATTTTATAACGGTCGTTTGCATTTGAAAGTATCTTGCCAAAAGTTACAGTAAAAGCATTAATTATAATATAAAAAACAGTCTGTTACCAAAAATTTTCATATAAAAAGGATTTGTAATTTAACGGTTTTTTGAGATTTAAAATTTTTGAATAGTAGAAATAAATTCGAATTTCTAAACGCACTCATCACGTGTTTTTCATTTGAATTCAAAAAAATCATTAATTATAGTACAAAAACACTGTTTCAAGACTTTTAAATGCGATTGCCCGAAATAAAACTATAGACCTGAGCTTATAAAAAAAATTAAAACTCTCTACGATGTCTAGTTAAAAAGTTTTTCTCCGCCCGAACGAACGAACGCACGCCCGAAAGTGAATTAAAGGGAGGGGGGTGCACCAAGGGGACAAGTGGACGGACTCTAGTTTAGAAAAGGAATTATTATGACTAGATTTTTCATTTTATCATACTTACCATGGAAATTCATTTTTTGTTGTTACATCACCATGATGAACGAGTCCAAATGAACGAGTATACGGTCCACACTTGGGGTTTTTCAGGTCAATATGGAAAATCTGAAATTTTACAATTTCTTTTAATTCATTTAATTACAACATTCCAAATTATACAAACGATCTAAATCACATTTGGTTAACAGGGGCGTAGCCGGGAATTTTAAGAGTGGGAAGGGACAAAACACCCCTCCCCCCTCCCCCCTAACCCCCAACTCTCCGATTACGCGACTGGTAGTTACCAAATACAAAGTACACCAGGATCTTAAAAAACTGAATTTTTGCAATTCAAACTTTAACGGTTTTAACAAATTTAAAATTTTTTGATAAATCTCTTCTTTAAAATACGTTAAGTAGATTAAAAGGAGAAAAAATTAATTTTATTGGGTTTTTGAGGTTAGTTTAAAACAAAAATTGAATAAAGTTAACCTACAATATGGTGAGGAAAATAATCCGTTGGTGCTGTTAAAGTTGCTAGCCAATAAGCTTGATGGCCATAATTATCCATTAAAATTAATAATACTTACGGCTGGATGCATGAAAATGAATTAAATTTTTATTTATTTAGAATATTTTTGTTTAAATCTTTAAATTAATTTGTGCTTACTTGGCTCTACACGTGGTTGGTAGTTGCTGAAGCAGTTGATTAGCTCTTCTCTTATTTTGTTTCTTTGACGAATATTTTTGCTGCTGCAAACATTTCCTGACATGTCAAGCTCCTTGACTGCTGTTTTGATGAGGATTCTTTCATCAATTGCGTTGATTTTGCTGTAGCGTAAATAAATTCCTCGTAGATTTTTATGAATTCCGAATGAGTCTGAATGAATTTTTGTCAGTTGATTGGAATTTAAGTAAAGCTCTTCCAAACTACTCAAATTCGCAAAAGCATTTTTTGGTAAATCTTGAATTTCATTGTTATTAAGCCATAAAATTTTTAAAGATTGAAGACTTTCAAACCATTTTGGATTTAATGATTGAATTTTGTTTGATTGAAGATGTAAATAGCGAAGCTTTGTGAGTGGCATGAAAATGTTTGGTGGCAAACAAGAAATCTGATTATGATCTAAGTTTAAAGTCTTAAGTTCATTTTGTTTTGAGAAAACATTTTCCTGTAATGTCCTTAATTTGCCATCGTTAAGATGAATTCCAATTAAATTTGAATTAAAAGAAAATAAATTTTCTGGTATTTCTTCCATTTCTAAGCCTTCAATCCTAATTGCTTTCAAATTTGTGCATTGTTGAAACAAATTTTCGTTGACAGATTTTAATTCCTCAATCCAAATGCTATCCGCGTTTTCAAATCGCTGACAAAAAGGACTTAAATCTGATTGAGTTAAATCTTTTTTGTTGAATCCCTCAAATTTAATTATTTTAACATTTTCATCATTATCAGTCCTTTCAGCATCATGTTTTTCTTCTGTGCTGCTTGAGTCTGGTGTTAAATAACATGTGTAAAAATAAAAGCTACGATTAAATTGACATTTTAAGCATGCTGCATATTTCAAATTAACAGCACAAAGCAGAAAAGTCAACAAAAGTGCAAAAAACTTCATTTTTAAACCACGCGCGGAAGTTTAAAAATTCACAAAAACCATAGAAAAATTCACAAAGTTTCAAGCTAATAAGCACAGTTACGTGTCTTTTTATCAAATCCACAAATTTCTCACTTTTTTCTTCTTTTTTATTTAAAATATTTTTATTTCGTCAAATTTCACAATTTTGTCAAAGTTTTATCAACAATTTAAGGATAAAAGCTTGAAAATATCAAGCAAGTAAGCAACAGCATCTCCGAACTGATCAAAAGAGAACGAAGAACTGAGAATATTGAGATGCAAAAGCTGTTGTTGTTGTGATTTTTGAGAGTTGAGACTTGTCAATGCTTCTTTTTGTTTACTCTCACTTTTGTGCTTATCACTTGACTTTCAGCGAGTCAATTTAACTGTGATGCGAGCCATAAAGCCTCATAAAAATTTTAATGCAACAGAAGTGAAATTCATTTGAAAAACTTTAGCCTAAAGCAGTGTTGGCCAACCTTTTTTCGTGCCATGGCAAACTTTGTGATTAAAACACAACCAAAACCGCACACAGTATACGGTTCGTGGGGTTTCCAGAGTATTCTACTCAAAATAGTGCCGCGGCACATGGGTTGGCCATCACTGGCCCGCAAAAAAATTAAACAGCTCCCAAAGTGTAAGTTCAGGTTGTCCCTTAATTAGGCTCCCTGCATTCAAGGTTTAACAGTAATTCTTTGAACTTTAGGATTGCTAATTCTATTTCGGACGCCATTTATCTTCATGAAATTTCAACAAAAACAACAGCAATCACTTAAATCCTTAAAGAAAATCTCAAGCACCAAAACAACAGCTGACAATCGGCATCCAATCAATAAAATTACAAAAAACAGGAATCAAATCATAAATCTTTAAATAATCCTTTTCATCTCGAGTTTGAGAATGCAGCACATCTGAGTAGCCAATTGATACAAACACCTTCGACATGTGAGGCAGTCCAGCTTGATGACAATGACAAGTCGATGTAATACTGAAGACAAGTGATGAATGGATTTAAATAGTTTGCTTCCAACTCGATAAACTTCCATGTTAGTTCCTTTTGCAGGAGATAATTATAATCAGACACAAATTTGCCATTTTTAATCTTTGAAGCTAGGAAGATTCTAGCAACATCACAGGTCCTAATAAACACACAGCGTTGCTCAATGACATATTTATCAACTTCATTGCCCATTGTTATTCCAGACAAGTTGAGTCTTGGCTTAATGTCATCAAGCAAATTGGAATCTTTAAGTCCTGATTCGAATCAATTGTCAGCAATAAGTTCATAGCTAGATGCTACTAACTCGTCCAGAACAGAATATGGCTCTTTTGCTAGGTATACAAGGATATACTAGCATCTGGATGACTTCCTTACGGCATCTTGCGCACACGAATTGTAACTAGGTCCATACATGTGGTCTTAGGACGTACTCGTGTCTTTGTAATGTGCAGAGCTTGCAAGTGTTTTGGATTCAACTATAAACTGTAGGTCTAAAAGGTGTGGTACAATAGATTCTGTTCAAATTTGAGTCGCAGTGCCTCCAGCTGAAAGGCTGGGTCCTTCACACATTATTATAGGATGACCGTCAGCTATTATACATTGCTAGCCTTAAAGGTCAATTTTGATCCAAGGACCACTTTAGATGCTGCTGAAGCTTGCTCTATCGCTTGTCAATTTCAAATACCAAGTACAATGCAGTGTCTCCGTCAACTGCTTCTTCCCGAGGAGTTATTGGAGCACAACGGAACCTGATACTTGAGTTATGTCATCCTTTTGCGTGTATTTTTTATAATTTTACGTTTAATTCACTCAGCTGGCAATTAATCAACTATCCTGAATTAATTAAAATTATAAATAAATGTGTTGACAGCTTTGCTTTATTTAATGAACAACTTAATTTGTAATGCAAAAGTAAGCACGGAACTGTGACTCCTTAACTGTGACTTATTAAATTAAAGCATTTAAAAAATATTTTCAATAAAAACTTCATTTTTAAGTCTTACAAGCTTGTTAGTCGGTTGACAGCTTTTTTGTCAAAATGTTTGGTAAAATTTTGCAATTTTTAACTTTTTTTTGTTTATTTTCTTGAATATTTTCAAACATTCCAGCTCCAATTCTTCTCATCATCACCTTAATACCTCTTTTCAACTGCCAAAGTAGAAAAGGAAGTGACATCCTCAACGAAGTCCCATTAATTGATGGTCATAATGACCTTCCATACAATTTATATCGCGTTGAGCACAACAAGCTTAAAAATTTCAAATTCAACTCTGATTTAAGAATTAATAAAAAGTGGATAGACAGTAAGGCAGACACATACACAGATTTACCAAGATTGAGACAAGGAAAAGTTGGTGGGCAATTTTGGGTTGCGTTTGTTGACTGTGATTCGAATTATTGTGATGCTGTTGAAAGGACGATCGATCAAATTGATGTGATTAAGAGGCTCATCAACAGATATCCTCAAGATCTAGCCTTTGTCACGAGTTCCAATCAAATCATGCCAGCCTTCAGGTCTGGTAGAATCACTAGCATGATTCAAATTGAAGGTGGACATAGCATTGATTCAAGATTGTCAGCTTTGAGGTTGTTTTATGAACTTGGAGTTCGGGCGATGACACTGACTCATAACTGCAATACACCTTGGGCTGATAACAATCTTATGGACGGAGTTAAAGGTATTGTGGATTTGTAGCTGATTATTAATGATTTAATCTCACTTACCCGCCATTTTATTGTTGAGTCTTTATAAATGCATGACTTAACCTCACTTTGCCGCCATTTTGTTCTTCAATTGTCCAAAATTTCATGACATTACCTCTCTTTGTCGCCATTTTATTTCTCAATTATTAAAAAAATCATGACTTAACCTCACTTTGTCGCCATTTTGTTTTACACTTATTCAAATTTTAAAAGTTTAACCTCAATTTGGAGCAATTTGTTCCTCAATCATCCGAAATTTCATGACATAACCTCACTTTGCAGCCATTTTGTTCATCACTTTTCATAAATTCATGTCATAACCTCACTTTGCCGCCATTTTATTTCTCAATTATTAAAAAAATCATGACTTAACCTCACTTTGTCGCCATTTTGTTTTACACTTATTCAAATTTTAAAAGTTTAACCCCAATTTGCAGCAATTTGTTCCTCAATCATCCAAAATTTCATGACATAACCTCACTTTGCTGCCATTTTATTTCTCAATTATTAAAAAAATCATGACTTAACCTCACTTTGTCGCCATTTTGTTTTACACTTATTTAAATTTTAAAAGTTAAACCCCAATTTGCAGCAATTTGTTCCTCAATCATCCAAAATTTCATGACATAACCTCACTTTGCCGCCATTTTGTTCCTCAATCATCCAAAATTTCATGACATAACCTCACTTTGCTGCCATTTTATTTCTCAATTAATAAGAAATTCATGACTTAACCTCACTTTGCCGCCATTTTATTTCTCAATTATTAAGAAATGCATGACTTAACCTCACTTTGCCGCCATTTTATTCTTTAATCATCCAAAAATTCATGACATAACCTCACTTTACCGCCATTTTATTTCTCAATCATTAAGAAATGCATGACTTAACCTCACTTTTCCGCCATTTTGTTCGTCATTCTTCATAAATTCATGTCATAACCTCACTTTGTAGCTCTTCTGTTCTTCAATTGTCCAAAAATTCATGACATAACCTCAACTTTCAGAAAATTTCACAATGAATCCTAGTGCTAGAAAGAAGACAGGCCTTACAAAATGGGGATATAATGTAGTCAAAGAGATGAATAGACTAGGAATGATTGTGGACATATCGCATGTTAGTGAACATGTCATGACCGATGTCCTTCGAATATCAAAAGCTCCTGTAATTTTCAGTCATTCTTCGGTATTCAATATTGTCCGTCATACAAGAAATGTTAAGGATTATGTGCTGCAGATGTTGAAGAGAAACCGAGGTGTGATCATGATTAACTTTTCAGCACCATTCGTTAGTAACCAAAATGCGACAATTCATGATGTTATTAGTAAGTATAAGACTAAGTAGCTGAATATACCAAAAAATAACCTCAAAAATCCAATCTAGAGCACATCAACTACGTCAAAAATCTCATCGGAGTCGATCACATTGGAATTGGTGCTGATTACGATGGAGTAGCTGTCATGCCAAAAGGATTAGAAGATGTCTCGAAATATCCAGCAATATTTGACATTTTAGCACAAGGAGGAAATGGATGGAAGCCATGGAACGCGGAACAGCTTAAAAAACTAGCTGGTTTGAACTTTATTCGAGTTTTTAATGAAGTTGAGCAAGTTCGGGAAAGAATGAAGAATGTTGACATTCTTGACGATCCAATTCCATATGAAGATGTTATGAAGGACAATCCTGATGTCAAGAAGTGTCGAATTGATATTGATCATTATAAAAATGTGCAATGAATAAAGGTTTTAAGTTATATTAAATAAGTGTCGAGAATAAATAGTTCAAGAAACGTCTCACGAACTGTTTTTTATAGCATGATTCTAGATTTTTAACATGAAAGCTTTTGAATCAGTCAACTTTTATCATTAAAACAAACAAGTTTAGCCTCAAAATGCTCAAAATTATTTTCAACAATTTCTGTTCAGACACAAATATTCACGGATTTGGCTACATTCTACAGCCACAACGTCATAAAGTTGAGAAAATCTTTTGGATCCTGTCAGTTTCAACTTCATTCATCTTAACTGGACTTTTGATCTACAAACTGTTGCTTGAAGGTCAAAAGAATCCAACTGTCATCTACACCGACCAGAATGCTATCAAAATTCAGGAACTAAACTTTCCAGCCGTTTCCATTTGTCCTGGATTGATCTATAAAACATATTGTCTAACAATTATCGATTATGAATTTATTAAGGCACAGCTATTAAGTCACGAACGAAATATCAGCGAATTGTCAATCAGAGATGTCAAATTAATGCAAGTTGGAAGTCTTGTCGCACGCGATCACTTTTTATCTGATAAATTTCCATCATTGTCGATTCCAACTGATGATTTTATGGAAATATATGAACAGTACAACATGACTTTAGTTCCATATTATATGTATAAAGCTGCAGTTGGTGAAACAATTCGTCCTTATTTAGTCTTGCCACCTTCAAACTTCATTGGAGGCTATGAAAATAAATACACAGTTTTTTTGAAACATTTTGTGACAGAACGTGGTCCATGCTTAACATTCAATTCACCAAAAATAACAGACATTTATGACACAAATGTGTGAGTATGATACAAAGCCAAACAGCCTGCATGGTTATTAATATTTATTTATTTTTAACCTTTATAGCACGGACAAAAGCATGATCGAGGAAAAAAATTCAGAATTAATTGGCAATTATGTTTATGCGACGTCCGGCACAGGATTCTGGACTCAATTTGAAAATATTTCATATCCAGTCAAGGCTGGTCCTCTTGGTCTCCGGATGTTAATGAATATTCATCATCTGTTTATGGATTGTCATGATCAAGCTAACAACGATGGATATGATCCTGCCAAATATAATCATTTTGAGCACACAATTCAACCAAATTTGAATAAAGCTGGCTTTGAAATTGTCATCCATGATCCATATGAGGTCATGCCAAGTGCTGAGAATCATTTTACAATAACACGAGCTGACTTGTTGTTCCTGGCTGTAACACCTGTAATTTCAATGATTGATGACTCTTTGGTAGACAAAGAACTGGACTTGTAAGTTGTGCAGCACTTATTTAATTTTATTTTTAATAAATTGTTCATGTTTAGTCGTCGATGCTACCTAAAAGATGAGAAAAAGCTCAAGTTCTTCAAAGTCTACACAAAGACAAACTGCGAACATGAATGCCTGACTCAAATGACCCTCAAATCCTGCGGATGTGTCCAATTCTTCATGACCAGGAAGCCAAACACAAAAATTTGTGGAATCAGCGATGAAAAATGTTTCGAAGATGTTGAAAATAAATTTAATGGAGATAAGTCGGTCTGCAAGTGCTACGATCCGTGTGATAAAGTTAAGTATGAAGTCAAACTGCAGAACACGGAAACTGAATCCTTGTGAGTAATTTTAATACCAAAATTATTGAAAAAATTTAACTTTTGAGTTTCTTCAATTAAGCTTCCATTATGATCCAACCTTTATCGTAAGAATGGCAGTTGATTCCGTATTCCCAACAAGAAGACGTCTCAGTACAACATTTGTTGATTTTATGTCATTTGTTGGTGGACTTCTTGGCTTATTTGCTGGATTCTCATTCTTATCAGCTGCTGAGGTCATTTATCACTTTGTTATTCAGCCTATCATGAAGCTACTGAGACGAGATTCATCGACAGTTCATCCAATTGATGCAACAGAACAATCTGCAGTTGAGACTTTTGGTTTGAAAAGATTTTTGATGGATAATCTTAAAAATTCATCAATTCATGGTCTTGGAAATGTTGGAAGGACAAATAAAAGTGTTATTGAGAGGTACTTAACCTTAGTGCACAGCTTCCAAAAATTAAATAATTGTAATTAAGGAGTCGTTCACTTATGACGTCCAGCAAGAAAAGAACAATTGAAATTCTTGGAAATCCATTATTATTTTTTTGAAAAATGACCGTTACTTTTGGACGTCATAAGTGAACGATCCCTAACCCCATTTAGACTAATCTGGCTCATCCTGCTGATAACATCGATCATCCTCGCATTCTTTATGATGAATGAAGTCTTTTTCAAGTATCGGAGCAACAGCATCGTGATTATATTTGATAAATCTGCTGTGGATGTTCAGAAGGTAAGTTTGTGTTAACTATGTCAAGGCCTGATCAGGTGCCAGTATGAATGACTAAACCATTGAAGCTATTTGAACCGGCCAGTACTTAATTAGATGTCTGATTCCCAAAATAAATAAACCATTCAAATTAAAATACAAACAAAATTTCAGGTTCCATTTCCAGCTTTAACAATAGTTCGTGTCATAACAGACAAAGAAGATAGAAGTCCAGTTCCCAATAGTACGCTAGATTTCAGCGACAAGCCTTACATTGTATGGCTTCAACTTGAAGTGGGCTCCCAAGGTCAATTGTATTCAACTAGTGACAACCTTTTCCATTTCAAATCGACTTCAGACTTTGTGGATCTTCTGAGAATAATGACAGGAAGAAGTAAAATTCCATTTGACGTGTACAGCGCGACATGGAATGAGAATCAAAAATTGGAGTACACAGATGTGTTGACTACTCAGCTAATTGGTCGTGCATTTAATTTAATTGAAGATTTTAAGCTATTGAACCTTGATAGAGTCTCGAGGGATTTTCATTACAGTTATGGATGTCAACAGAACTGCAATTATCCACTCAAGACATCGATTGGTGACGGCAAAGGACTCAGCGTTGAGTTTAACATTTGGTAGCTTTTTGAAGATTCTTCAAATATTTTTCTGTGACTTATTAAGCATTAATTCTAGGAACAACTTATCAGCAAATACAAATTTTTATTACATTCATTCACCAAATGAGCTGCCGCTGATCGGGTATCGTGAAGGACTTCAAAAAAGTTCAATTTATGACATTTTGGTCACTCCAAGCATTATTAAAGCTGAAGAGAATTTAAAGTCCCTTGATATTAAGTCTAGAAATTGTTATTTTGATGGTGAACGAAGGCTTAAGTACTTCAAACTTTACACACAAAGGAACTGCGAAATGGAGTGTCTGTCAGAAAGTGGTAAGCTTGGTTAATCATGTTAAATCCTTTTTTAATCCTTTAAAAATCTTTTAGTTTACCAAACATGCACATGTGTTCCTTACAACTTCATTCGAGACCCAATTATGGACATATGTGATAAATACAGCTTGTTGAACTGCTTCTTTTACATCGCAAACAACAAAGCAACTGAATATGATCATCTTTATGAATCGGACGGAGTCTGTCGATGCCTGCCAGCATGTAATGAAGTAAAATATTCGTATGAAGTTTATAAGAACAAATTTGACAGGAACTTGAGTGTCAGTAACTCGTTGATTCAAATGAGATGGAAGGACAGCGAATATTATGCAATGATTCGAGTTCAGGAGTTCAAGCTTGTTGACTTTTTCTCGTATGCTGGTGGAATTTTGGGACTTTTTGCTGGCATTTCTGTGCTGTCAATTTTTGAGATTTTTTACTTTTTCACATTGAGGTTAGGGACTGATTTGGTTAGGGTAATGAGGGATTAGGATTAATTTTTGAGGGTCTAGGCAACTTAATTAAAAGTTTGATTTGATTTTTGATAAAAAAAGATTTTTTTGAAAGTTTTGGGATAGTGACTGACGTGTTAAATAAGGCATGGCAACTTAGGTTTTGCAAAGATTCCTGAAAAATTATTGACGACGTCAAGGATGTTAACATAAAGTTTTTAAAAGATTAAAGTAATTTTAATGATATTATTTTCACTTTATTGCATCATTTTTCTTTGAAATACAATTTTTTTTCTTCGTTATTTTAAATTTATTAATTTTCTACCAATTTTTCAATTTTAAATGATTTTTTTTTCTAAACATCAAAAAGCGATTTCTTAATTTTTATTTTAATTTTCACAAAAAATTGTTAAAAAAGTTGTTTTTTTTTGAAAATTTTGCACCAAACAAAAATTTGAATGCAAAACTTTTTCGTATAAAAATTTGATTATTCACGATAACATTTTTGCTAATTTTTTTTATTTTATAGTCGATTTTTAAAAAAGCTGGCGAATGTTTTTGAGTCAGTTTTTTTTAAATTGTGAAATTTTTTAAAAAATTTTAAGATTTTTGTTGCAATTTTTTTTTTCTAAATTTTGACAATTTTTTGAGTTTTTTGAACTCACTTAATTCTTCAAAATGTGACTTAACTTTCAATTTTTTCTTCAAAATCTTCAAAAAATTAAAAATATTTTGCTTCACATTTCAAATTTTTTTTATTTATTTTTTTTATTTTTGCTTAAAATTCGATTAAAAATCATTGTGGATAAAATTGACGAAAATATTATAATTTAAAAAGTTTTATTTTAAATAATTAATTATTAACCTACAGTACATAACGGAATGCGTGACTAAAATGCTTTGAAATTGATTCAATTTTTTCGTGTTTTATAAAAAAATTTAAATAAAAAAAATAATTTTATTGACATTTCTTACTTTTTGGAATTTTTTTTTTAAAGATTTTTGGGGGTCGATTTGGGTTTATTTTGCTCAAATTTGAAAAGTTTTGACAATATTTGACAATTTTTGACAAGTTTGACAAGTTTGACAAGTTTTGACAAGTTTTTAAATTAATTGTCATTTTTTATGAGATTTGAATTTAAATGTCCAATTTTTGAGACTTTAATTCTTTAATTTAAGCTCTCAATTGTCTACTAAGGAGCTCAGCTAAGTTTATTTATTTAAAATTTTGACATCAATTAAAACACTGTCTCTAAGCAAATGACCCCCAAGAACCACCCAAAATTCAAAAAAACTTCAAATTCCATCCGAAAAATAATTAATAATAATGATATGATTTGAGTAGTAAAAGTTATTATAATAAAAATAATAGGAATAATAATCTTGTTAATAAAATATTTTAAAAAAAGGGTAAATTTGTTACTTTGATATTTCATTTCAATAAAAATATTTAAAAAAATTAATAAACTTAATAAAATCTGAGGAATATTTTTTATAATAATTTGATTGTGTAAATAATCTTTGTGTTGATTTTCAAACAAATTCTCAAGTTTTTTTTTGTTCCTTTATCTTTTCATTTTGATACTTTTTCACTTTTTTATTGTTATTTTATCCCATTTATGATGCCCGTTGTGGAATGGAAGTGTTCAAATGATAGCTCAAAAAGTCGAGAAAAGGCTGAACAACTGCACACTTTTGAGCTCGACAGTCCCGCTTGTTTTAACCTATTTTTCTTCCAAATTACTTGGAAATTTGAAATGTTTCGCTTTATCATAGCTAAAATCAGGACTTGTCCAGCGTTTGGACCAAAAATCAGAAAAGAACCGATGAACAGCCTCGTAATCAAGGTTATTAACGGAACCCTAAGAGAGCAAGATCACAAAAAGTACACAATTTAAGGATTTATCTTCTGGATTCCCAAAACTACCCCGGAAAGCACACAGCGTAAAGATTGCAGAAAAAGTGACACAGGACGGCATAAATGCAGCACATCAACGGATTTGGTGAAATCTGAGGTGGTGCCGTGCTCATGTCGTACATTTTCAATCAGTTTTACGCTGTGTGCCTTTCGGGAATGAATCATCTAATGCTGTCCATCACTTAAACATTTATAAGACCCCCAAAAACTTAACATTTACAAAACCGAAGGCTGACTGCTCCATTTAAATTCAAATACTCCCTTAGGGTGATTTAAGCATGATTTGAGGTGTAATCTGAAGTGTAGTTTAAAGCATAGCTAAACCTCGATCACATCTCAATCCATTCAATCTTCTTTGCATCCCATTCCACTCTGAATCACATCCCATTCAAAATCACACACCCAAAAAAAAAAAAATTAAAAGAATCCATAACAAATCCCACCTTACATATGAGTGACGCCCTTCCTTGTAACCAATAAATTCAGCACATTTGTCTTCTTGATGATCTGAACAGCCTTTTTATGTGTACACAAAGTCATGTCATATCCATTACATTGTAGGATCTTGTCGTGCATCCTTAATCCAGCACGATCAGCTGCTGAGTCTGGCGTAACGTCAGTCACATAAATTCCATAGTCTGAGTAGCCTTGCGGGGATTTTGTAAAGTCTTGGTCGATTCCACCGCCGATTTTAAAGCCACATTTTGCTACTTCTTGGCCGTCGTGATCGATTGCGACTTCTTTTTGGAGGGTAATTGGGATGCTGAGGCATTGAAATGCTGGGAAGAGGCTTTGTTTGTTTTGTTGCATGGTTTTTTTTTGTATAATTTTTGTAGGAATTTTTTGCTCACTTTTTTGCGATTTGATGAATTTTTTATTTTTTTAATAGCTTTTTAAAAATTGGCAAAATTTCAATTTTTAACGTCACTTTTTTCACAAATCCTCAATTTTATTTTTTCTTATTTAAAAATTGTTTTTGTAAAATTTGTTCTAAAAATTGAATTTTTTTTATAATTTTTCCTTAATTTCTTGTAATTTTTGTAGTGATTTGATAGCTGTGATGATGAGCTGCTGACGGTGACTCAAGTGATGACGAATTTGACGTGAATTTCGATGACTAATGCGAGTTAAATGCGTTTTTAATGAGAATAAATGAAATTTTATTGTATTCAATTTTTTTTGTGTAATTTTGTACGTGACATCCGTAAATACGGGGACTGTGACTTGCTGATGGAATTGGGTGATTGAGATAGAACCTTACGAATGTTTAAAGCTTTTCAAATGTTTTTAAATTCTTGAAAAACTGACAATTTTTTTTCATAATTTTATTTATCATTTATTCAAATTCTAACCTCAAAAATCATAATTTTTTGATATTATAACCTCAAAAAATATAAAACTTTGAAAGTTAACCTTAAAAAATTGTTCCTTTTAAAATTTAACCTCAAAAATTATAAATTTTGTGGTTTTAACCTAAAAGATTTAAAAATATAAAATTCTAACCTCAAAATCATTTAATTTTTAAATTCTAACCTCAAAATCATACACTTTTCAAATTCTAACCTCAAAAAATATAAAACTTTGAAAGTTAACCTCAAAAATTGTTCCTTTTAAAATTTTAACCTCAAAAATTGCAAATTTTGTAGTTCTAAACTAAAAGATTTAGAAATATAAAACTCTAACCTTAAAATCGTTCAATTTTAAATTCTAACTTCAATAATCATATATTTTTCAAATTCTAATCTCAAAATTTGCAAAAAATATTATTCTAGCCTCAAAAATTTCAAGATTTGGAATTTTTCCCACAAAAATTATTTGTTGTCAAATTTTAACCTCAAAAATATAGCATTTGAAAGTTCTAACCTCAAAAACTACAAAATATGAAAGTTCTAACCTCAAAAATCCTAACCTTATCTTTTTTCACAAGCTTCTGGATTTTTCATGAATTTGAACTGCAATTTTCTTAATTTCCCGATACAAAGCTTTTCCGGAAGGTGTCAATGGAATCGAATCAACAAAATGAACCCCGCCAGTGATCTTCTTAACAGCAATCAACTTCTTATTAACATATTCAACTACAAACTCTTCATTCAGCTCCTCCTTAGTCTTATCCTTAATAACAAAGGCATAAACAATGTCATCGAATAATTTATCATCAAAAACTCCAACAACGCAGCTCATTCGAACTCCATCAATCTCATTGATGACTTTCTCAATTTCCATTGGTGTAATTTGGAAACCTTTGACCTTCAGCATGTGCTTGATTCGATCTATAATGTAAAGTTGACCTTTATCATCAAAGTATCCAACATCTCCAGTTCGTGCGTATCCTTCAGAGTCGAAGACATTTAAATAGTTTTCAGGATCACCAAAATAGCCTGAGAACGGAACTTAGCTTATGTATCGGATCTCACCAAGATCATTTGGGCCAAGGTTTTGCTCATTTTCATCGACAACCTGGAAAATTCAAGAAAAATTCTAAAAGAAAAATTAAAAAAATTTAACTTTTAATCACCTTAATCTTAACACCATCAGCTGGATACCCCGAGCTTAATCCACAAACTCCATTTTCAAGTGATGATGCCAAAATGTCACTTTCAGATGATGCATAACAGGCCATAATCGTTCCATTTGGGAAGATTTCCTTCAACTTATCAATATACTCGTTAGTAAACACAGTTCCAGCAACAAGAATCCGTAATGGACTTTCCATCCTCCTTAATTTCGGAGAATTCAACAACACGTGACCAAACGGCGGTGGACAGAACAATAAACTGACTTGATGTCGATCAACAATATCCATAAACAACTCAGGTGTCATTCTCTGTGAGGTTATGACCATCTTGAAGCCATAAAGAGCGCTTTGCATCAGCATGTATAAATAAGTGACCCAAAAAGACGGAGAACTGTTGAAAATCACATCAGTTTTAATCAAGTTTGAAGGATATTGAGGATATATTTGGGTTATGACTTGTTTGTGAGACTTGCAGACACCTTTCGGTGCACTTGTTGTACCTGATGAGCACATGATAACTGCAGTAGTTGATGGAGTGTTTGGCAGGTTTGGGAATCTAAAATGGAAGAAGTTTTTGAGGTTAAGTTACCACATTAAATGAAAATTTGAGGTGAGCTTGCCGAATTAGTCAAACTTTTGAGGTTAAGTTGCTAAATTAGTTGAAAATTTGAGGTTAGGTTTCCAAATTAGTCAAACTTTTGAGGTTAAGTTGCTCAAAAAGTTATAAATTTGAGGTTAGGTTTCCGAATTAGTCAAACTTTTGAGGTTAAGTTGCTCCATAAGTTAAAAATTTGAGGTTAGGTTTCCAAATTAGTCAAACTTTTGAGGTTAAGTTGTTCAAAAAGTTATAAATTTGAGGTTAGGTTTCCGAATTAGTCAAACTTTTGAGGTTAAGTTGCTAAATTAGTCAAAACTTTGAGGTTAGCTTTCCGAATTAGTCAAACTTTTGAGGTTAAGTTGCTAAATTAGTCAAAAATTTGAGGTTAGGTTTGCGAATTAGTCAAACTTTTGAGGTTAAGTTACTAAATTGGTTAAAATTTTGAGGTTAAGTTGCTAAATTAGTTAAAAATTTGAGGTCAAGTTTCCAAATCATTCAAACTTTTGAGGTTAAGTAGCTAAATCAGTCAAATTTTTGAGGTTAAGTTGCTAAATTAGTCAAACTTTTGAGGTTAAGTTGCTAAATTACTCAAAACTTTGAGGTTAGGTTACTAAAATTTCTTAAAACTCACTCAAACTTCTCAATATCCAGCTTGACTCTCAAAATGTCATCAATAAATCCAAAACCATCAACCTTGACATGCATTGTGTATATCTTAGCATCAGATCCAATTTTTTCCAAAGCATTCTTCACCAATTTGACAATATTTGCATCAGAAAACACAATCTTAGGCTTAGTCTTTTCCCACATAAATCCAATGTCACCTTCATTCATGATAATTGCCAGTGGATTAACAGCAACTCCAATTGTAAAGCAACCGAACATTAGTGGCGCCAAGTTTTCATGATTCGACACAATTGTTCCAATAACATCACCTTGTGTCAACCCAGCTTTTGAGAGATAGTCAGCGAACTTAATAGAGCGACGATAAGTCTCAAAATTGGACAATTGAACCCCGTTATCATCTGACACTTGAAAAACACTTTTCGGTGATTGAATTAGCTTTTTAAGAATTAATTGACCAAGATTTGCTTCGGGATTGTAGAGAGGTGTACGAGGTTTACCACTCCAGACTTTATTGACTGAATTATAGTAATTAAATTTAGTCATACTGCAATATATTGAATTTTAACTGAATAAAAATTAATTTTTGATGTTGTGTACGTAAACGGGTTCTAAATGAGACTGCGAAGAGATCATAAGACAAAAGAAAAGAAGAGTCTTATCATTAAGAAAGATTTATTTTCTCAATTTTTGTGTACACATTAAGATTATTTAGAGAATCGTAAATGAGTTGTTATAAATCAATGTAGTCAAGATTTAGTTTTAAAATTAAGATAAAAACCCTAGTGTGAATGCGCCTTAACCTAGAAACTCTTGTGTAGAGGCATCTCAACCTTTAAAGTCTAGTGTGAAGTCATCTTAACCTAGCAACTCTAATATAATTGCTTCTGAACCTTACAAACTCTAGTGTGAAGACACCTGAAACTTTAAACTCTAGTGTGAAGTCGTCTTAACCTAGAAACTTTAATGTAATTGCTTTTGAACCTTACAAACTCTAGTGTGAAGACCTCTGAACCTTTAGACTCTAGTGTGAAGTCATCTTAACCTAGCAACTCTAATGTAATTGCTTCTGAACCTTACAAACTCTAGTGTGAAGACACCTGAACCTTTAAACTCTAGTGTGAAGTCATCTTAACCTAGAAACTTTAATGTAATTGCTTTTGAACCTTACAAACTCTAGTGTGAAGACACCTGAACCTTTAAACTCTAGTGTGAAGTCGTCTTAACCTAGAAAATATAATGTAATTGCTTTTGAACCTTACAAACACTAGTGTGAAGACACCTGAATCTTACAAACTCTAGTGTGAAGACACCTGAACCTTTAAACTCTAGTGTGAAGTCGTCTTAACCTAGAAACTATAATGTAATTGCTTTTGAACCTTACCAACTTTAGTGTGAAGACACCTGAGCCTTACAAACTCTAGTGCAAAGACACCTGAACTTTTAAACTCTAGTGTGAAGTCATCTTAACCTCAAAAATTATAGTGTAGCGACACACGATTTATTAAATTTTATTTGTAATTTTACAAATTAGGAACAAACTGTTTCCGTTCATATTTCTCAATTTGATGGTTTCTAAAATTACTCAATCGCCTTTGTTGCTCAAGATCTTTTTGCCTTTCATCAAGCTTTCTCTTCATCCTTCCCAACTGTGTCTGATTATTCAGAAAGAAAAAGAATTTATTTGATTTTTGATGAAAATTCAACTTAAGTCCATCCATAAATATGTCATTGATATTATATCCAATATTATTATCCATAATGCAGCATGCAAATGAAATAGACTTCAATGGATGTCCACATCCTTTAATCTGTCGAACAGTATTTATCATATCTAATGAGAATCGACATGTAGTTCCAATGTGGATATTTTTGAGATTCTTTGCCTTCGTCACGATTGCGATGAAGAATTTGGATTTGAAAAGTTCTCGTTCCATGGAATTGATTTTAAGTGTTTGCAAATTTGGACTGTAAATGACCAAAAACTGACAATTTTCGATGTCGAGCTGACTTTGAATTTTGTCAATCTCAATGACTTCCAGTTTGTCAAATTCAATTGTTGGCGAGATGAATTTTGGAAGTTCCGAGAGTTTTAAAGTTTTAAGATTAAGGATAGTAAAGTTGAGATGCTGTAGAAGTGACTCAAATGATATTTCTAGAATCATAAATTCTTCAACAACCTAATAACCTAATAACCTAATTGTTAGTTTTCTGATTGTTTTGTTGACAATCAGTGGATTAAAACTACTAGAAATGATGCCAATATCAATTTCAAGCTCATCGAGGGGCAGCTGTGAAAATATTATGACTGAAATAATTGATTTTGGTGGATTGTTCAAAATTGCTAGCTTTTTAAGAGATTTGTTTTGATTAACCAGAAATTCAATCAAATTTTCCTCATCAAAGTTGAAACTTTCGATCATCAAAGCGTCCAAATTGAAATCAAAAAGATCAGGGTTAGGATTTGAAATTTGGATGTTTGACAATGTCAAGTTTTTTAAATGCTTACATTTCGTCAAGAAATTATTGAGTCCAGCACTCAAATCATTATAATTTTCTGAAAATCTATTTCTAGTGTTGAAACCGCCATAAACCTTCAAAATCCTCAAATCTTGACTGTTGATGATCTCAGCAAATGAAATCGAGTTAATCAGATCTAAATGCCTCAAATGTTGCAAGTCAACAATACCAAGAACATCATTTTCATGTCGATAATTTAAAATTGTCAATTTTGTGATGTTATTAAGCACTGAAACAGCTAAAATGGCGTTCATTCGATCAAAATTGACAAGATTAACATTTCTAATGCATTCACTTTGAGTTTGAAGATCCTCAATGATATCTGAAGGTAAGTCATGTACAATGCCTTCTAAAGTCATCGTTAAGTTCCGGTATTTTAGACTTGGAATGACGCACTGAATTTTGAAGAAATTATGTTGAATATAAATCATCAAGTCAAGTTGTTTCATCAAGAATGATAAGGTTTGGATGACGTCTGCCCATCTAAAAAGAATAATAAATAAGAAAATGGCAGCTATTAATTTATGTATAAATACGGATCTTAACTGAAGCTCCTCCCTTTATGATAAACCCTTAATACAGCAACAACTCTAATGAACTTAGCCACAACATCGAATCTTCACTTTTCATTCAAATAAAAATTAAAATTCACTTTACCTTCGACAAACCAGCGATGCATTGACCAAGGAATTTTGATTAAGATTTGAAAATATCTCCTCAAGTGTTTCGTCTATTAAATATTCAATTTCCTTATTTTTTTTATAACTTTTTATAATACATTTTGACACTTTTAAATGAATAAAATAAAATTTGTGAGAATTAATTTTGCTGATTACTGTCAATTTAAGTATTCTCTCTCTGAGAATGAATATTTTGTTTAAGTTTTCATTTTTTAATTTCACCATCAGTGAGAATGTTATGAGAATGTTATATGAAACATTATGAATGTTATAAAATTTTAACTGTTTATGTGTGCAAGCAGATAGAGTTATTGACATAAAAGTCAAGTAGAGTTGATGAATGGAAAGCCAAAAAGAGTCGATGATTGGCAAGGAGGTAGAGTCCATGACTTGAAAGTCAAATTGAGTCGGTTACTGAAAAGTCAAGTAGAGACGATGACTGGAAATTCAAGTCGAGTCAATGACTGGAAAGTCAAGTAAAGTTCATGAATGGAAAGTCAGGGAGAGTCGATGAATGAAAAGTCAAGTAGAATCGATGACCGGAAAGTCAAGTAGGGTTGATGACTGGAAAGTCAAGTAGAGTCGATGAATGGAAAGTCAAGTAGAATCGATGACTGGAAAGTCAAGTAGGGTTGATGACTGGAAAGTCAAGTATGGTTGATGACTGGAAAGTCAAGTAGTGTCGATGAGTGGAAAGTCAAGTAGAGTCGATGACTGGAAAGTCAAGTAGTGTCGATGAGTGGAAAGTCAAGTAGAGTCGATGACTGGCAAGTCAAGTAGAGTCGATGACTGGAAAGTCAAATAGAGTCGATGATTGGAAAGTCTAGTAGAGTCGGTGACTGGAGAGTCAAGTAGAGTCCATGAATGAAAAGTCAAGTAGACTTCACGACTGGAAATTCAAGTAGAGTTCATGACTGGTAAGTCAAGTAGAGTTCATGACTGAAAAGTCAAGTAGAGGATCAATCACTGGAAAGTAAAATCACTGGAAAGCTAAGTAGAGTCTATTAATGGAAAGTCAAGGAGAGTCGATGACTGAAAAGTCGAGTAGAGTCAATCACTGGAAAGTCAAGTAGATTAGATGACTGGAAAGTCAAGTAGAGTCGATGACTGGAAAGTCAAGTATAGTAGATACTTGGAAAGTCAAGTAGAGTAGATGCTTGGAAAGTCAAGTAGAATCAATCACTGAAAAGTTAAATCGAGCCGGTTACTGGAAAGTTAAGTAGAGTCGATGACTAGAAAGTCTAGTAGAGTGGATGGCTGGAAAGTCAAGTAGACTCGATGACTGAAAAGTCAAGTAGAGTCGATGACTGGAAAGTCAATTTCGAAATTTTGAGAATTCTGAGATATTCCAGGAGCCATCCAGCCCACCAGCTATTCAATCAAAAAATATATTTAATCGCATTGTTTCTACGGAAAATTCGTTAATAATTCCAAATTTCTTGCCGAAATTTAAACATTCTTAGCTGTCCATGCATCGAAATTTTCCCTCAACAATAACAATTTTCTCCCCTCTTTGATATCAACTAAATTGCGCATGCCTTAAAAAATCTGTTTTAAGGAAGTCGTGTATTTTTTTCTAAGAAAAACAAAAAATCATTCAGAATTTTAATAAATATCAAAAATGTTTATAAAATCATCGATAACTCTGTCAATATTATTGTTAGTTGTAGAGATTAACGCAAAGCACGGACCACATCATCCGCGCAACAGCTACGTAGTAAAACGTGAAACTAGGAAGCAAGAGTTCAATGAACATCTAAATAGTCACGATAAAGAGTAAAATTAGTGCATTTTAAGCTGAAAAATGAGCTCAATAAAATTAATATTAATTGCAGGCACTTAGCAGAAGATTTAACAGGAATGCATGTTAAGCATAAAGAAATCTCAGAGATGAGTGACGATGAGAAAAGTTTCTATTATTTTAAAATACACGACACTGACAATAATAATAATTTGGATGGACTAGAAATGATTAAAGCTGCTCTACATAGACACGGCGAATCAAATTCACAGGACGAGTTGTCGCACATAACAAGCAAGTTGATTATTTTGTGTTTTATTGACTGACCTAGATTTTATCGCTTTTTCAAGGAAGTACTTAAAATAGGGCTGTTCATAAAACATGTGCATCAGGCATGACTGAAATTATCCTGGATCTTAGTTTTCAGTTCTTGACATGACCAAAACTCTCCTGGATCTTAAATTTTAGTTCCAGAAATGACGAAAACTGTCCTGGATCTTAGTTTTCAGTTCTTGACATGACCAAAACTCTCCTGGATCTTAAATTTCAGTTCCAGACATGACCAAAACTCTCCTGGATCTTAGTTTTCAGTTCCAGACATGACCAAAACACTCCTGGATCTTTGTTTTCAGTTCCAGACATGACCAAAACTCTCCTGATCCTTAGTTTTTAGTTCCAGGCGAGACTTAAACTTTTATTATCATTTTAGGTGTTGTTGACGAATTCCTGGACTTTGCTGATCTAGACAAAAATGGATTTTTAAACTATGCAGAATATGTCAAAGCAATGAATGCATCAAATGAAGATAAGTACGAAGAACCACCTCAATCAATCACATCATCTGAAAGTGCAGAATCTCATCAAGGCTAAACTCAATTAAACTAGTTAACTTTGTGATAAAATAATAATAATGCGGAGTTTGCAATAGTTTAATTCTGTTTTCTTAAGAGTCTCATTTGTAATCTCGTCACTTAAGTTCCATAATTCTGTAGCCAAATTTTCATTTAGTGATAATTTTGATGATTGATAAATATAGCAGTTGTTGAAGTATTGACCACTAAGTTCTTCTTAATTCAGTGAATTGTTGAACTTGCAATTTCTTCTAGGTTTGTTGAATTAAGCGTTAAAAACCAACCCTGACCTAAAATTTTTAAGTCATTGCACTGTAAAATGGACAGAAGACAGCAATAACATGGCTTTAATCACAATAATTTAACATTTATTAAGATTATGTCTTTTTAAGGATATAGAATCAGATTCGTGCGACAGACACTTCCGCACATTGGACAACTAAGTTAATTATTAATTCATGGAGAAGACATCGTGATGAAAATGAATTGGGATCGAAACTACTCCAATTTTGCAAACTTAAATGTCTTCAATTTTCAATTTAAATCTTTTTTTTCCATCACGTTGTTTTCCCCTTGAAAACATCAAATTAATTATTTTTTTAATAAAACATTTGTCGTCTTCTATATTTTGTCGTTATCCAATCCACGGCGATGCTGTTGTCGTAGTTCGCGTGATATTTGCCAATGGAATTTCTGGGAAAATCAAAAATCCAGAAATGCCGCACATGTTGACTCCACGTTGTATTTTGAAGTAGCTGAAATTAGTACAAAGTCTTTAGATAAATCTTATCTAATTTGAAGAGAATTTCTGGCTTACCCATTGTCACCCCAATCTGATGACCTAAGTTTTAAATAAATTGTAAAAGATTTAGATTTTTAGATTTGAATTGAGTGAAATTTCAAGGGGATAACAACATGATGGGACATTCTTTTTATCGTGATGAGCGTGTTGAGAAATCCGTAGTAATTTAAAGACTAATTAGTCTCTGAGACGGAGAATAAGTCTCAGTCTCAGACTTAGTTCTAGTCCTAAACCCAGTTCTAGTCCCAATCCCATTATGTTGTTTTCCCCTCTGTTATCTGTAGCTGGAACGTTTGAAGCTTAAAGCATAGAGAAAAAGTAAAGGACACTGCTTCTTCACTGCTGGTACTATGACTTTACACTAGGACAAGTATGGAACTAAGGGCTAAATTAAATCTAGGTTAAGGCTAGGTTGGGGGGGGGGGGGGGGGGGGGTGAAAGTTTAGGGTCAAACCCCCTCCTCTGTTGGGCATTTTTTTCAATTTTCTAAGGTTTTTGGAGATAAAAAAATTAACCCCCCCCCCAAAAAATTCAAAACCCACCCCCCTCCCCCCCACTCCCCACTATTTTTTTTTAAAAAAACCCTTTTTTTGAAAACATTTTTTAAATTTCATTAGGAAGGATTTTCGAGAAATTAATTTTAAAAAAACTCTCAAATTTTTAACCCCCCCCCCCATCCCCTTAATTTTTCAGAACCCCCTTTAAAAATGTTCAGCCACTTCCGTGAATTAAATGACAATTTTTAATTTATTTCAAGTGAGCCTCTTCCTCCATTGGTATAAATTATTATAGAAATGCCCTTGTCCAGTGGATCATGTCATACCACAGATATTTGCTGTGCTGATTAATATTTCCCGAATCTATCAACTTGTAAATCACATCACAAAACTTAGTTCATCTATAATACTTACCAACTATTCTTACAAAGCCAATAATCCATCGGTGGAGTGACTGAATAATCTGTTCCATATCCAACAATAAGTACACTATGTGATGTCGATTGTGTACATTGTGGATCGCTGTAGACACCACTCGAGTAATACCAAAATGATGGCGTACTTCCATTCATAGCTGCAGACACAGGTCCAACAATTGCAATAATATTAGCTAGTTGTGCTTCCTTATAAGGTTTAATACGGTAATATCCACCTGCTGTCGCCACAGCTCTTGATTTATTAAATTTACATGGAAATCGATCAGTATGTCCATACGTTTCTAAATAAGGATATGTCACATCACTTTCAATTCCGCCATTTTGTTGAATTCTGACATAAGCCGTTGCTTGTGAGCCTCCATCACATCCCCAATTTCCATAAAATGAATTATATGTGCAGTCAATGATTTGCTGTTCAGACATTGTCACCAATTGTCCAGTTTTGAGACACCACTGAGCTTCAAGTGCTGCAATTCCACTGAATGCATAACAAGAATTACAAAAGTAACTTTGATCCTTGACAGGTGTGATGCAGTTGCTAGTGCGCCAATCAACAAAAGGTGGTCCAGGTGGATATCTCGTCTCATTTATGACACTGATTGCACGACCCATCATCAGTGGTGTCAGCGGTGCCGTGTTTGTCGTGATTTGACGAAGCTTTTGTGGATCTTTGTCAGCGAATCTATTTAAATCCATTTTAAATGGCGACTTGCCCTCCTCAAAGGCTGCATTGTGTTCTTCGACCATTATTAAGGTCGTTCCGAAATTCTTTCTAGCTTTATATTCCTCAAATTTATTGTCATATTCTCGCTCGTAGTCTTCTTTGTACTTTTTAAACTCTGACTGGACAGTCGATGGACTTGGATTCCCAAAAACACTAAGTATTGAAGAAAATGTTAGAAATGCCACCGATATTCGCGACTTCATAGCTGTTAATGACTTGAAATACTTCAAATAGCTCAGTTTTGATAGCTTTGAGCTTTTATATTTTAGTTAAATGTACAAAAATTTAAAGATAATTAATGTCACGACTTTTAGAAGTCCTGACATGTTTTGTAAATAAGGGTCTGTCAGGTGATGATGTCTATGTGGCTAGAGTTGACATTTCGACTTTACAGAAGCATTGTTATCTACTTGTAAGGTCTGAAAATCAATAATAGGAGTCAGTTCCTTCCTAAGGTAATTTCCAGTGTTGCTCAAACTATGTTCCGCGACAAAAAAAAATCTTGATGTGTCAAAAAAGGTTAACATCGTGGCGCGAAATGAATGAGTTACTCCCCTGATGCCTTAAAAGATTGAGAAGCACTGGTAAACACCTTTGTATTGCTATTTAAAAATTTCCAGAAACTGATCGTAGTACGACCCTAGTACGACCGTAGTACGACCCTAGTACGACCCTAGTACGACCCTAGTACGACCCTAGTACGACCGTAGTACGACCCTAGTACGACCCTAGTACGACCCTAGTACGACCGTAGTACGACCCTAGTACGACCGTAGTACGACCGTAGTACGACCCTAGTACGACCTTAGCACGACCCTAGTACGACCCTAGTACGACCCTAGTACGACCCTAGTACGACCCTAGTACGACCGTAGTACGACCCTAGTACGACCCTAGTACGACCCTAGTACGACCGTAGTACGACCCTAGTACGACCCTAGTACGACCCTAGTACTACCCTAGTAGTAGGACTCTAGTAGTAGGACTCTAGTAAGTACCCTAGCAATAAGAAAGCCCAACATTTTATTTGAATAATTCCTAAATTAAATAAAGAAAATGCTTTATCGCACAGTCATTGTCGAGGTGCACGTGCTGTCCATTTTTTTATTAGTTTTAGTTTCCATCCTTTTCGGGCATCTTACAGGAATTGTTTTAAAAACTATACTTAAAAGATAATGAATTTTTACACAACAAAAAGCCAAATTGAGGCCGAAAAGTAATTTTCTAATTTTTTGTCAACTGTTGTGTAAGGTTGTTAAGGTCGTTAAAGTAATTAAGGTAAAGTTTGTCATGAATTTTAAGATTGTAAGGGAAGTTAAGCTTAAAAATTGAAATAACAAGCAGTGACGATCAAGATAGCAGGTGTATTTGATTCATTTCCTGATTGAAAGTTTCAGGAAGACTAAGTTTATGATATTAAGATTGTATCTTCATTATTGGACTCTCCAAGCTACGTCAGTGTGTTGATTATGTCTTCAATCTAGACACAAAACTCTAGTTTAAGTGCTGACTGGAGTTTTGAAGTCTGTGACGCTCATAAAGCTTCAGTATTGATGGACTCAAGTCTCTTGAAGCTGAAAAAGTTAACCAAGTCACGAAAAAACACTCAAGCATCTTAAAACTATCAGTTCAGTTCGATTCTTCAGTTCAAAATGCTTAGTTCTGTCAACTGTCTCTTAGATTTTCAAATAAGTTTTGTAGATTTAGTCATTCTTATACAGTTGTTGCTCCCCTATGCGACTCCTTAATAAACAATTGATAAACAATAACAAAAACATTCCAAAAAGTTTACTTCTTTAATAAATTAAAATCAATGATTAAGTTTTAAATTGTTCTCGATTATATTAAGTCTAGTGAAGCTTACAGGCTCTGATTTTGAAGTGATCTGAGGTTTTAAGGCTGATTTGAATCTTTAATTAAGAGTGGTTGTCAGTAGTAAACAATGAAGAACTTATTCCTACTTTTTTCACAATATCTGAACCTCCTATCACCATCAACCACAGTCCATGCAGAAAATGCAAAATTTCCAATCGTAGTCAACACTTGGGGCTTCACAAATGCCACAGTTAAGGCTTGGGATGTGATTAATCGACAGAAAAAGTCAGCTGTAAGTTTTGAAAGAAGTTTAATAATTGGCTGATTTATGGGATGAGTTGGGAGCCATTTTGAGCATGTTTCGATGGGATTTCCTGTCAGCTGCAGATTAGTTGAAGTTGACTTTAATACTAATTTATGTGTAAACCGAAGCTTAGGCAGACAAAACTTAGTAATGACCCCATCTTGACTTCAACTCACTACGAACCGAACCTACAACTAAGGCTCCTTATAATCACAAGACTAAAATTTCTTCATTTCAGATCGACGCCATCGTCGAAGGCTGCAGTGTCTGTGAACGAGAACAATGTGATGGAACAGTTGGCTACGGAGGATCTCCAAATGAAAATGGTGAAACTTGTCTTGATGCATTTCTTATGGACGGTAGAACAATGAATGTTGGTGCTGTTGGCAGCATCAGGAACATTAAAGATGCAATAGCGGTAGCTAAGCATGTCTTGCTGTATACAAAGCACACAATGCTTGTTGGTGAGCAAGCGACTGACTTTGCAGTCATGATGGGATTCAAGAAGGAAAGTTTGAGTACAGAAAAGTCAAAGAAAATTCACTCAGACTGGAAATCTCAAAATTGTCAACCGAATTTTTGGCAAAATGTGCTTCCATCGCCTGAAAAACATTGTGGACCGTACGTGCCAATAAGTGAGGAGTTCCTGACTGCATCACGTGAAAGTCATGAGAGCTTATTTGCATCTAATAATCATGACACAATTGGAATGGTAGCAATAGACACATCAGGTGACATAGCTGCTGGAACATCCACAAATGGAGCAAACCACAAAATTCCAGGTCGTGTTGGTGACTCACCGATTCCTGGTTCCGGTGGATATGCTGACAATTCGGTTGGTGCTGCTGCAGCAACTGGCGATGGTGACATTTTAATGAGATTTTTGCCATCAATGTTGGCTGTGGAATTTATGAGGAATGGAATGTCACCTGACGAGGCTGGACGAAAGGCAATGGAAAGAATCTCAAGACATTATCCGAAATTTGTTGGTGGAATTGTTGTGATCGATAAGAATGGAATTTATGGCGCTGCATGTCATGGAATCGATTATTTTCCATTTAGTGTTTATCATCCGAAATTGGATGGAGTTAAGGTTGAGAAGAGAGAATGCACAATGAGTATGTAGGATTGATATTTGAGGTTATTATGTGATAATTAATTTTGGAGAAATAAAATGATTTTTGAAATTTAAAACTATGTTGTTGATTTTGGTCTTAATATTTTTAAGCTTAAGTGATGCTCAGCCTTAACAACGCTCAGCTCTAATACTGATCAGCCTTAGTAACGCTTAGCCCAAATGACGCACAGCTTTATTGATGCTCAGCATTAAAAATACTCAGCATTAAAAATACTCAGCATTAATGAAGTCTTAATAAAGCCCAGCTTTAATGAAGCTTAACCTTACTAATTCTCAGCTTTAGTGACGTTCAGCCTTAATGACGCCAGGCCTTAATGACGCTCAGTTCTAGTAACGATCAGCCGAAGTAACGCTAAGCCTTAATGACACCCAACTTTATTACGTCTCAGCTTTAGCAATGCTCAGCCTTAATTACGCTCGGCTTTAGTGAAGCTCAGCCTTAACGACGCCCAGCTTTAGTTATGTTTAGCCCTAATAATGCTCAGCCCTAATGACGTCTTAACGAGGTCTAGCTTTAATAACACTTATCCTTAATGACGCTCAGCTTTAATAACACTTATCTTTAATGACGCTCAGCTTTATTGATGCTCAGGCTTATCAACGCTCAGCTTTAATGAAGTCTTAATGAGGCCCAGCTTTACTAATTTCCAGCTTTAGAGACGCTCAGTCATAATGACGCTTGGCTTTATTGACGTTCAGCTTCAATGACTCTCAGATTTAATTATTCTGAGCTTTAGTGACACTCAACTTTTATGACGCTCAGGTTAATGACGCTCAGTCTTGCTAACACTCAGCTTTATTGGCGCTCAGCCTTAGTGACGTTCAGCTTTAATGACGTTCAGCCTCAATAATTCTCAGCGTTAAAAAAGATCCTTTGTAAGCTCTAAAGCCGGCTTTTAGTAACAAGCATCCAAAATACATCCAAAAATATTTCTCACTGTCAATTTCTCTCTCAAAAACATTCTCGTAAAATAATTCTCTCAAAAAGTCTCCAAAAGGGAACTCCATCACAGTAACTATTCCCTCGTTGTTTTTGTTTACAAAGTCAAATGAAATTTCACTTTCATAACAAAGAAATTTAAATTCAGTTTTTAATTTTATCCAGTCATGCAGTCACTAAGGCTAAAGAATCTATTAATTACGTCAAACTTGTCAAAGTTCCTCTGCCGACAGTACGCATTCACAGTGAATTTAAATGTCAAAGCTATTGATTCACTCGAAATTGCAGCAGATAGAGCCTTTGGACCAAATAAGAAAATTAATGTTCAGGTTTATGACAGTCAAGGGCGGCTACAGAATGGAAGTCAAGTGAATATTATGCATCATGATGATGGATTTTATATGAACTATAATCGATCGGAAGATGACAAGTTGGTTGTCAATTTTCCACTGACTGCTAGACTGAAGGATTTTGGTGAGTTGATTTGAGGAACTAGAATTGTTTACTTATATTGTAGGTGCTTTATTAGAATATTTGGGTTTATGTGGATTTGAGCAAACTAAGCTTGATATGTAGAGTAGGATAAGGACTTGAAAGAGTGTTTTGATTACGAATTTTGAGACTTTTATGGAGTTTTTAGTCCAGAAATATTAACGATGAATTTGATGAAGCTTTTTCGTGATGCTCAGCTTTAATAAAGCTTAGCTTTAGAGATGTGTAGCTTTACTGATGCTCAGCTTTAATGATGCTCAGCTTCAATGATGCTTAGCTTCAGTGATGCTTAGCTTCAATGATGCTTAGCTTCAGTGATGCTTAGCTTTAGTAATGCTTAGCTTCAATGATGCTCAGCTTCAATGATGCTCAGCTTCAATGATGCTCAGCTTCAATGATGCTCAGCTTCAATGATGGTCAGCTACTATGATGCTCAGCTTCAATGATGGTCAGCTACTATGATGTTCAGCTTCAATGATGCTTAGCTTCAACGATGCTCAGCTTTACTGATGCTTAGCTTTAGCTGAAGAAAAGCTGAAATTTAATCCAGTCAAGTCTTCCTAATTCAAATTCAGATTAAGACATGGTCCAATATTTTATCAATCGTTTACCTCCACTCAATTCCAATCTTAACCAGAAATACTTAACGAATCTCCTATTTCAATTCCAGATGTCCGAATTACTGGCGAGAAAACAAATGTCTTAATCGATGAGCTCCTCATGAATTCTCTAAACATAGAATTAGAAAAAGGTGACGTCACTGTTAAATCAGTTCGAGTTAATGACGTAAAAATATCAACTGCCAATAATATCACAGCCAAAGAACTTTTCGGTCCACAAATGGATAAAATTCAACTAAATTCTAGCGATGGAACCGTCGATGTCAGTGAGTGTCGATGCTCAGAAATGACAGTCATTGGCAAAATTGTCACAATTGCAAATTGCTTTAATTCCATCAATCGATTCCGTGCATCTGTTGAGATGACATTAGCGAATATTTTAGGAAATACACAAATTAGAGCTGATGGTGAGAAGTTCTCACTTGCTGGATTTGCTGGAACTATTAAGGCGATTATAGGAACAAAAGACAATACTTTGGACTTCCTGATGGTTCAAACTGACGATAATGAGCTTAATTTTACACATCCAGATGCAAAGTGCTACCTCTCATTCTCGAATGGAATGGCATCGAAGCTGTCAAAGATTTTAATCCATGCTAATCCAAATATCATTACACAAACTGCCGATGACTTTACATTGACTCGATTAGGTGATAAATTGTTTGAAATTGTAAGGAGTAAGGGCGGTGATGGAATTAGCACCTTGAATATTAAAGTTGACCATGGTCAGGAGTTGAAGCTGCACAAGCAGACATGGAAGGATGCTTTCCAATGGTTCAAACGATTATTTCACTAGTTAGACATTTTCAAATTGAATTCAAGACATTTTTTTTGCAATAATAAAACTTTATTAAATTCAAATGATTTATTTTTTTGGTTGGTTTTGAACACAATTGATGCTTTTATGGACACTTTTTATGGAATTTTAATTTTCAGCATACATTTTATCAATGATGTCTTTGTACTTGTTGATGACGTAGTGTCTTTTGATTTTCATTGTTGGTCCTAGCTCTCCTGTTGGGAGGCTGAAGTCGTGAGGCAGAAGTGCGAATTTTTGAACCTTCTGGGCATTTGAGATTGCACTGTAATGGATTAAAAAAGTAGGATTATTAAAAAATATTGTAAATATTGATCCAAGATCCGAGAACCAAGAACCAAGATCTCAGACCTAAAAAAAACATCCAAGAACCAAGAATCAAGATCCAAGAACCAAGAATCAAGAACCAAGAACCAAGAATCATGAACCAAGAACCAAGAACCAAGAATCATGAACCAAGAACCAAGAACCAAGAACTAAGAACCAAGAACCAAGAACCAAGAACCAAGAACCAAGAACCAAGAATCATGAACCAAGAACCAAGAACCAAGAACTAAGAACCAAGAACCAAGAACCAAGAACCAAGAACCAAAAACCAAGAACCAAGAACCAAAAACCATTAATCAAAAACCAAGAACCAAGAACCAAGAATCAAAGTCCAAGAACCAAGAAACCAAGAACCAAGAACCAAGAACCAAGATCCAAGAACCAAAAACCAAGAACCAAGAACCAAGAACCAAGAACCAAGAACCAAGAACCAAGAACCAAGAACCAAGAACCAAGAACCAAGAACTAAGAACCAAGAACCAAGAACCAAGAACCAAGAACCAAGAATCATGAACCAAGAACCAAGAACCAAGAACTAAGAACCAAGAACCAAGAACCAAGAACCAAGAACCAAAAACCAAGAACCAAGAACCAAAAACCATTAATCAAAAACCAAGAAGCAAGAACCAAGAATCAAAGTCCAAGAACCAAGAACCAAGAACCAAGAACCAAGAACCAAGAACCAAGAACCAAGAACAAAGAACCAAGAACGAAGAATCGAGAACCAAGAACCAAGAACCAAGAACCATGAACCAAGAACCAAAATCCAAGAACCAAAAGCCAAGATCCAAGAACCAAGAATCAAGAACCAAGATCCAAGAACCAAGAACCCAAAATTAAGAATTAAGAACCAAGAACCAAGAACCGAGAACCAAAAATTAAGAATTAAGAACAAAGAACTGAGAACCATGAACCAAGAACCAAAAACCATGAACCAAGAACCATGAACCATGAATCAAGAACCAAAATTCAAGAACCAAAAGCCAAGATCCAAGAACCAAAAACCAAAAACCAAGAATCAAGAACCAAGATCCAAGAACCAAGAACCAAGAACCAAAAATTAAGAATTAAGAACCAAGAACCAAGAACCATGAACCAAGAACCAAGAACCGAAAACAAAGAACCAAGAACGAAGAATCGAGAACCAAGAACTAAGAACCAAGAACAAAAACCAAGAACAAGAACCAAGAACCAAAAATTAAGAATTAAGAACCAAGAACCAAGAACCATGAACCAAGAACCAAGAACCATGAACCAAGAACCAAGAACCGAAAACCATGAACCAAGAACCGAGAACCATGAACCAAGAACCATGAACCAAGAACCAAAGACCAGGATTCAAATAGCAAAAACTAAGATTATTATCAAAACCCAAACTTACTTCTTATTAGCACGTGTAATGGCATCTTTAATAGCTTTAGTAACTGTCTGATCTGCTCCATCCAAAATATCACTCAACTTCCTATAATTCAATCCAAGACTCTCCATAAATTTCACAGAATCCATCATCAAATCATCCAGTGGATTTCCATCACTATCAACTTCTGTCTTTAATGCAATCAACATTGTCAAGAACTTCCTTTTATCACCAACTAGCAATTCATTTGAAATTGCCGGACATTCAGCTTTTACAAGGTTCTCGACATGAACTGGCGGGATATTTTCACCTCCAGCTGTTATGACAAGTTCCTTGATTCTTCCTGTTAGGTATAAGTAGCCATTCTCATCTGTGTAGCCTAAGTCACCAGTTTTAAGCCATCCATCTTCATCGAATGTTTCCAGTGTCTTTTCTGGATCATTGTTGTATCCCATGTAGATGTTCCTGCCTTTTAGACATACTTCTCCATGGCCATTCTCGTCTGGGTTGGATATTTTTAGTTTGGTTCCTGGAAATGGATCGAAATTCGGATTAAATTGTTATTTTTGTGAAAGCAGAGTCAGTTTTATGGGCTATTGATGCGACTGGATAGTTCCTTGGTCTTTCAGTACTAGAATCAGGAAAATGCGCTCTATTCCTAAACTTTAGAGTGACTTTCTTACTTATAAAAATCAAAATTCAAGAACAAAGAGATCGAGAGTCGGTTAAGAACATAAGCATTAAGTTCCTCTTCTACCATCAATCCCTGCTTAAGATTACATCTACTTACCAGGCAAACTAGGTCCAACAGACTCCATATTAGGATAATCAGGTCTCGACATACAATGCACAAGTGTACATTCAGTCATTCCATAAAGATCAACCAGTGGCATATCCAAACTACAAAAATATTTCTTTGTCTCAATATCAGCAGGGGCAGCTCCAACAACAAGCATCTTGATTCGATCAAAACCAATTGCTTCCTTAATCTTCCCAAGAATTAAGGAACTTGCGAGTTGATATTGTAAAGACATTCCAGGATCGCCAGTCATGCATCGTAGGTAGTAGCCGAGAGTGACTGACTTAGCCCATTTGGCTATTAATCGCTTGATAATCCCCGACTGTGCACCAATTGACATCATTTTTTCTTGAAATTTTTCATAGACTCTTGGAACTCCAGCAAACAGTGTTGGTCTAGCGATCTTCAAAGTATTAACAAGCGTGCCTTTCAATGCATTTTTGTCAGCAAAGTAAATAGTAGCACCAACTGACATAGCAAGATACATGTCAGTACACTGTCCAGCAACATGTGCTAATGGCAAATAAGACACAACAACTTCACATCCACGCTTCATAACTGGAATTGCCTGTTGAGCACATTGGACTAGCCATGTGATGTTGTCATGTGATATTAAAGCTCCTTTTGGATTGCCTGTCGTACCTGATGTGTAGACTATGGCACAACTTTCATTTGGTGTGATCCTGGATAGACGAGATTGATATTCTGTGTTGATTTCTGTTGTGTCGATGGAATCGAGGTCCTTCCAGTGATGAATTTGTGGATCATTTGAAGGTTTGGATGAATCTTTTGGGATTGTTTGGATTATTGCTTTCAGGTGTGGAAGTTTGTCTCTAATTTGTAGGATTTTATCGAGTTGTGTCTGCTCATCGACGACGATGATGTTGGCTTTGGAATTGTCAAGGACATGAAGGACTGATGATGTTGAGTTTGTTAAGTAGATGCCGGTTATTAAGCCACTGGAAGAGTCAGAAAGTAAATTAAGGTTATGGTGGGTTGTTAGGGTTGTACTTTAGAGTTTGGCTAAGGGATTCCCCAACTATACTCCAAGGTACCCAAAACATGCTCAAAACAAGACTTTCATTAACTTACCCAGCATGAATAGCAGCCAATCCACTCACGAACCATTCAACACTGTTATGAGCGAGCACAGCAACACATCCGTGCCTCTCAAGCCCTAATTTGATGAAAACTTTGGCGATTCTTTCAACTTTTTGTTGATATTCCGAAAATGTCGTCGTTTCCCATTCATTTGTGGTCAAGTTCTTTTGCACTAAGGCTGGATAGTTTGGAAATTCTTGAACAACATCAGCAAATAGTCTTGGAATTGTGATTGGCTCAATTGATGCGATTTTGTCGTCTGTTACTTGGCAAATTTTGACTCGATGTGATGGGTCAGTTGCGTGTGGATTCAGCTGTTCTGTTGATTCCATTATCGGCGAATGTTTTTTTTTGAATTGATAGTTGATTGTGGAATGTTGTTGATTGTCTTTTATAGACTTGGATTGTTGATAACGGCTGAATTTGAAGTGCACAGATGTTGATTTTAAATTGTGAAAATTTATTGTTGATTAAGTTTGAACTTTTATGGCTGCAGTGATCTTTTGGAGATGAAATGAAAAGAACAAAAATTATGAAAAATTGAATTAAAACATTGAATTTAAGTTTTAATGATTTGACATTCGCAAAAAATTAAACAAGAATTAAAAACATTAAAACAGAATTTTTTTAAAAAAAAATTTAAAACATTTAAATAGAAAATGTAAAATAAAATTTTAAAAACGAAATGAAATTGAAAAAGTTTAAAAAATTAAAAAAGTGAAAAAAAATTAAAATAAAATTGAAAACTTTTAAAAAAAAAATTGAAATTTTCAAAAAAAATTGGAAAATGCAAAAAAATTAGAAAATCAAAAAATTTTAAAGAGAAGTGAAAAAAAATTGAAAAAAATTATAAATATCGAGCAAATTTTAAAACAATATCGAAAAAAGTTTTGAAAAAATAAAAATAATAAAGACATTTAAAAAATCAAAGAAAATTTAAAAAACAATTTTAAAATTTCAAAAAAAAAGGTTTAAATAAGTGAAAAAATTAGACAAAAAATCAAATATCATAAATCATTAATTTTAAAATACCCTAAAAAATTAAAAAATGACAAAATTGAAATAATGTGAAATTTTAAAAAGCACTTAAATTGATAATTTAAAAAAATTTATATTTTTGTAATTTTAAACTTAAAACTTTAACAATTCAATATTTCTTTTCTAGAACTACTTTTATAACCTTTATTTCACAATTGTTAAAAGTGATTTTTTCTATTCATGGAACTGATTATTAAATATTGTTCACGTGCTTATAATTACACCAATTATTATTTTTATCACAACTCAGCAAACTTGATCAATTTATAATAATTATCCACTTCAGCTGCTCGTCCAGATCAAATTTATCAAAATTTTTATTGTTTTCTAATATTTTTGTTTATGTTTTTTTCTTTATTTTTCTACGTCTTTTTTCAATGCCTTTCTTACCTTCCCACTACGATCACTAACAACACAACAGCTACTTTATGTTTACACTTCTGCGTTCTCAACGAAACTGAGAATAGAATGTGAGAAAAACATGAACGAATAATTCAGAACATAAAACGGAATCAGCTACGCAGTTGAGAGTTATTGTGACTTATAGGAAGTAAAATGAGAGAGAATCGAAGTTTTGAAGTTGGAGTGACAGATGATTTTTTGTATCAATGACTCAATGTTTCTCATTTATAGCGTGTGGACTTAATTGTGAGAATTTTTATAGTTATGATGTCAAAGTTAATAATTAATTTTTGTGAAATTTGCTTCAAATTAGTAAAAATTGCAAAATCATTCCATTTTTAACGTTTTGAAAAATAATGTTGAAATTTAAAAAAAAAATTTAATTTAAAAATGTTTGAAAAGTGAAAATACAAAATTATAAAAAAATAATGTTTTTCAAATTTGAACATTTTTTTTTAACTTTTTTCAACTTTCAAAATTTTAATTTTTTTCAACTTTCAATTTTTATAATTTTAATTTTTTTCAACTTTCAATTTTTATAATTTTAATTTTTTTCAACTTTCAATTTTTATAATTTTAATTTTTAAATTTAAATTTTTTTTATATTTTAAAAAATGAAAAATAAAAAACTCAAGAACAAAAATAAAGAAAAATTATTTTTTTGAATTAAAATGTAAATTAATTGAAAGTAAATTTTTCATCCAATAAATTCATTCGTAAATCAGTTGTGGTCAACCTTTTTTTATCCCACGATACACCTTTATGGTAAGGCCTGTCCGAAACCCCACGTTGCAAACGGTTTGAAGGAATTCTACACTAGTGAGCCGCGGCACATGAATGCTTATCACTGCTTGAAATTATTCTCAATAATATTTCACACTCAAGTCATTGACCTGATCTAGCCTTGATCTAATATTGCACAACAAAAAAATCAGCTTGAGACTAAACAAATGTTTGGTATTTGAAATAATAAACAAAAAGTCAGCAAAAACTCCTTCCGCGATTCACAAAATCGACTATCAAGTCAAAAACACAAAAATTTATTTTTTTAATTTTTTGTGTTCTATTTTTTGCTATTTGATAGTTTGTCTGTAAAACTTGATCGTTTGAGTGGCTGACATACACATTATATCTAATATTGCTGCTGCTGCTGCTGTAAATGTTTTAGTCTTGACATTTATTAAAGAATTATCTTGATTTAAATTGAGTAATTTAAATTAATGCGCAGTTGCATCTTCACGTGCTTGATATGCATGTTGTTTATTAGATTTTTTTGCACAGACTAGAACTGCATGCTTATTCTTAATTAAAAATATCTTAACTCGTGGGTATAGGGGCGTATTTAGAAGATGATTTAATATAAATTGAATGTTGTTAAAATTTGTTGAATTTTTTGGGTTGTGTAGAGGGAGGGTGGACATTTGACTAGGCCAGTGATGACCAACCCATGTGCCGCGACACTAGCGTAACATAAAATTTTGGAATATTTCACCAATCGTATGCTGTGTGGGGTTTTGGACGTGGTTCAACATCAAATGTGCCGTGGCACCAAAAAAAAAGGTTGGCCACCACTGGTTTAGGCTGTAGATTAATATCTAATCAGTGGTCTATTAAATTGTTTTGGTTTGCCACGGCGTAAGTCAAAACATAGCAAATCAAACCTTCACCCTAGCTATGCTCATTCCACGCCCCCCCCCCCCCCTCCACATTTCTCCAAAATATGACACTATTCTATTCTACATTTTGTTTAACTGTCTCCCAAAACAAATTTCACAAAATAAAACCGTTAAACACGCTTCAAAAAAATATTCAAAATAACCAAAAACTTTATTCGATCCGAAACTTTAACAGACAACAAAAGATTCAGTCTCCTCGGTATAAAAAGTCAGAAAGCTCCAAAATTTCAATTAAATATTAAAAATTTCATTCCTGAATAACTCATCATGATGAGAAGAAACCGAAATTTTGGCAATAATCGCAATCAACAGTCAAATTATGACTCAATGATGTCAGGTGGAAGTAGAAGTAATTCAATGTTTGACGATTTTGAGCCGAGAAACAATTTCGGATCGAGAAATGACAACCGAGCGACTCCATTAATGAATATGAGAGCTGGAATGTCAAGAATGGACGACGATGAGGACTTTACAACTGATACTTATGGTCCGGCAAAGAGTTATGGATCGATGGGAATGAACAGCAAGACACCTGAACAAATTGCTTTTGGTAAGTAGGTCAATATGGATGCTTTGCTTGGCTTGTGAAGCTTTATGCAGTCTTTTTGGCTATTTTGGGCAGTTTTTAAACATTTTTGTAGCTTTTTGTCAATTTTTTAACAATTTTCCATCATTTTTTGCAGACAAAGAGTTCGAAAAGTGGGAAAAAAGCTTCGATGACTGGAAACAGGTAAGAATCTCACAGCAAATCCCATCCAAACTCCTTCTAATCCCTAAAATTGTCACTTTCAGAACAACCAAAGCCATCCAGACCCTTCTCAGTATCAATTTTATGAGCAAAAGTTTCTCAGTGTTCGCAGCAAGCTGCTCAAGAAGCGTCGTGAAATCTATGGCGAAGGAACTAGTTCTTTAGCAAGCAAGACTCCATTTGACAGTCAACTTAATGCTGCGGATGCGATGGCAAACTCGATTTTGTCAAAGTTTGGATCGGGAGGTGGAAATAGCGGCAGGAAGAACAACAATAATAATAATAATAATAATAACGGTGGACGAGGACAAGGGGGAATGGGAGGAAACAATAGAGGAAACAACAACAATGGTGGAGGCAACGATATCTTGAATAATGAACTGTAAGTAGCTTGTTAGATTGTTGTTTGGATGTGCAGCTGGTCCGAATTCCTCATATTCATCCCTAACATCATTCACATCTAATTTTAGCATATTGACAGCATTAAAGGTCATTAGTGGAGGCATGGGTGGTCCAATGGGTGGTAATATGGGTCCTATGGGTAACATGGGTGGTCCAGGAGGTCCTATGTGTGGTCCAATGTTCAATCGAGGATATGGAGGAGGTGGATATGGTGGAAACTTCAATGATGGACCATATGGCAGTGGATATGGACGAGGATATGGTCGTGGAAATAATAACAATGTTGGCTACAACAGAGGAGGATATGACAATGGTCCACGCAGTGGACCAAGACGTCCAGGTGGTGACAGCAGATTGGGTCCTAGAAATGCTGGGTTTGGTCGTAATGAACCATTTAAGAAGAATGACGATAAGAAGAAGAAGAAGAAGAAGCCAGCAGGCGAGAAGAAGGAAATGAAGCAAGGAGAGATGTAAGTTATGCTAGGTTTGAAGTTACTTTATAGGTTGTCCAGCACTGGCAGAGGCAAAACTCTTAAACCTGACTTTGTAAGGAATCCGATTGGATTTCAAGTGCTGAGATTCCTCAGACTTAAGTTGAATTTTTAACAGCAGTCTAGTTGGTCACAGCATAAAGTATGTCTTTTATTGGAGTTTAAGCATAGGTCTTTGTTTCTGGTACAGTTTGGTAGATAACTCAGGTTTTATGTGAGATTTGAGGATTTTGAGTTGTCCGAGGATGTTTGCTACTATTTTAGATGCACAATCATGTACATCTGATGCTTCTTATAATTCATAGTGCAGTCTAGCTATAGACTAGCTAATGAGGACTATTCAGCTCTCATAAGAACCTCCCCATAGTCTATTCATCAAAATCTAAAGCTTACTCAAAGAAACTGAACTCTCCAGACCCTTGAAACAGTTTGCTTACTTCCATCAATACACAGAGACATGCTTATCATCACCAACACAACACCAACAATCACGGATGGTTAATTATCACTAGGCTTGTCCTAATGAGATGCCAACCAAAACATAGAAAAAATAACAAAAATTTAAAAAAAATCTTTTTTTTTGAATTTTCTTATAGCGACTCTCGAACACCATTCCTCGATCGCATTTCAATCATGTTCGAGGAAGCTCGTAACACCGAATGCCCGAAACTTTTGTCAGGTTTGTAATCACAATGAATAATTTCGGTTTTTGCTGAGAATGAGAATTATTTCATTTTCTTTGAACCTTGAAGTAGTTTTAGGGTTTATGGATACCTAAATATTGTTATTTATTATGGCTACTGCTGTAAGGCTGGTTGGCTATGCCCTGCGTAAAAGATATTCAATGAACGGGATTAAATCAATCACTAAGCTGGATTTGGTTTAATCTGATCAGGATTGACTTAAAAACATGTTCTTACTAAAGTGAATCCTTAGCAGCAGGATCGCGGACATAAAATGTATTTCAAACCAGAAAAGAAGGCATACCAATACTGATCTAAAATCCAGTCTTAGTTGAGCTTCATCATTAGATCCATTTCAGTTAATCAACTTAAAAATCCAATCTTTAATTCCAATTATTTTCCATTCAGGCGCCGGCAACAGACGTCTCAGAGTTTTAAAGGAAAAGGAAGCTGATAAATTGTCAGATCGGGAGAAGTTGTTAATTGAATATGCTGAATATGTGTTCAAGAAACGTGACGAATACTACAAATTACATCCAAAGGAAGAAAAGGAAGAAAAGGAAGCAACAACTGAAGATGTTGCAATGGAAGAAAAGGCTGAGGTAAAGACTACTGATGCACCAGTTGAGGAGAAAACTGAAGCTAAAGTTGATGATGTCGAAATGAATGAGGATGAGTTACTCAAAGATTAAGACTTGAATTTAAGATTTATCACATTAAATTAATAGAGTTTTTTTGTGTGGACTTTGGGGTCGTTCACTTATGACGTCCCGGAAGGGGGGGGGGGGGGGTCAGTAAGAAAAGAACTATAGAAATCTCCTAGAAATCCATTGTTCAGTTTTCAAAAAAAATGACCGTTAATTTTGGACGTCATAAGAGAACGGCTCTATTTGGTATTGTCTTAAGAATATGGAAAGTCTTTTTTGATTGAAATAAATTAAACTTACCTGGAACTTTATTTATATTCTTCCGAAAAATTGGACCCAACTTTTTTTTAAGTATTATAAAAATTACAGCTATCTTGTACAACTTACTATTGACGTCTGAAACATTTTTAATATTTATTCTGTAAGTGTAAGATCTTATAGATGTGTATAGAGGTGAATTGAGGTATGTTGTATGTTTGGCAGGGTTTCTAAGGCTATCTTGAGTATTAGAGATGTTGCTAGGACAAATCCCTTATCGTATTGAGAAATTTCTTCATTTTGCTAGAGTTTTTATGGAAAACTCGAAAAAATCCCCCCCCCCCCCCCCCCCATTTAAAAGTTTACTAAAAAAATTTGTCCCCCTCTTCAAATTCCTGGCCACGCCCCTGTTGCCAGGAATGGGAAGGAAAAACCGTGGAGCGAAAAAGTTTTTGTATTGAATTTAAGGGGGATAAGGGGTGTGGGTAAAGATTTTTTTCGTAGGGCAGCCTAGCAAAATTAAGCAATTCTGGTGACCCCAAATCGCTCATTTCTACAAGCCTGATATGTACTTCACATCGAAGTGAATTACATTGAATCAAGGCGTGGAAACTACTCCAAATATTCCATTTATCCCAAATATCCCAAAAATATCCAAAATAATCCCTGAGCCTGCATGCATTAAAATTGTGATATCCCATCATATCCTGAAATTACACGTCCAATACACTAAGGATGCATTGAGATATCTTTATTATCGTGCATACAGGCTCAGGGATTATTTTGGATATTTTTGGGATAATTGAGATAAATGTATTATTAGGGATAGTTTCCACGCTTTGCATTGAATTCAAATTTGCAAATTCAAGTCTTTTTTAAGGCATTAATAACCAGACCCAGGTTTCTTTGGCTACAACCGGTTGCAACTGTTGTCCTACTCTGGTTGCAACAGAGCTGAAAGTCGACTCGAGATTTTTATCGATTTTGTATGGTGAAGTCAACTCCGAGTCGACTTGACTTCGAGCTCTGGCTACAGCTAGTGTACGTAATATTTTACAGCTACCCCGAGGACCCTAGCAGAGCCGTCTCAATGATTTATGGCATACAACAAGCAACTTAGCATTAACTCTCATTTATATTAATCAGCTGTAGTTCCTTAGCCTATCCGAAAGACACACGCACTAAAAATGGCTGTCAATCTTCCTTCCATTACGGAATGAACGCAGCACTACTTCGGTTTTGGTGAAATCGATGTTTATGCCGTCCTGAATCTCCTGAATGCCAGATTAAGAGCCATTTTTTCGCCGTGTGTATTTTGGGACAATATTTATCATTAATACGACTCTGTGACTACACCCTGAGAATCCTAATCCATTCCTGCATTTACTTTTAGTTTTATTGATACAAGTGCATAAGTTTCCAATATACGCACATTTAAAGTATTGAAACAATCTTCATACAACATTAAGAAATTGAATTTTTCATCAGCACAACCCGCGTCTTCCAGTTCCACTCTCTTTTTACCTTTCATCTCTCAATTCTCAATCAAACTCACAACGCAATGAAAATTCTCTCAATTCCCCCTTCTCAAAAATAATGTCTCAATTTTTATAAAGCAGCCTAACATCTACTTAACATTGTATGTTCATTTCTGATTCAGTCTGTTACCGAAAACTTGATTGAAAAGTTCAAAAACTTAAATTATCCAAAAAAATAGTGAAATTAAAAATTCTTAAAATTCACAAAAAAAACTAAAAAGCATAAAAAAAATGACGAAACAAGAAATTTTTGTCTTCCCAGACGAGGAAGAAGCATCAAAAAAAATGCAACGAAAGGCAAAGGAATCTCCATTTATGATTATTGGTAAGTGAATTAAGCTTAAAGTGGATCAATTGTGAACATAAATTGACTCAGATTTGATAAAAAGCATCAGAATCTTCATTTTGATAGCTTTTCTGTTGTTGTGATTGAAATGACCTTCCAGAATGTCAAAAGCGAAATGAAAGTGAAAGTTTCTTTTTTTTCCATGAAGCTCTACGCACGTGTAGAGGGAAAATGAGTAAAATTTTTATGACTTTTTTGCGAATGGGAAATGTTTTGGAGTTTGAGGAAAAATTATGTAAGGGACCGTTTACTTATGACGTCCAAGGGTGGGGGGGGGGTCAGCAAGAAAAGAACAATAGAAATTCCTGGAAATCCATTGTTCTTTTTTTTTTAAATGACCGTTAATTTCGGACGTCATAAGTGAACGGACCCTAAGTTGTTTTGGGGGTTTTGGGGGAGTTTGAAGCTATTTGGACTGAAAAAGGTTCGATTAATCTAATCGAAGAGCATTAAAATGACTTTGTAATGATTAGAGGAAATTTCTGGTGCGTTCGAGATCGTTTTTGAAGTTTTTGGCTGCTTCTGGTGTCTTAATAAGGCTGAGTGTGCTCTAAACAGGTCTTTTGAGTGCCAAACCTGACATAATACCAAAGTGGCTTATAATGTGAATCCGCAAAATTCTCTTTTGACTTTAAATCATGAAAAAATGTTGTAAAAAGTCAAGTTTTTGGCTACAACGACTGTAGGACATCCACTTCCACATTTTCTGCAAATAAATAAAAACATTAAAATCTTATTATTAATAGCTAGCATGTCAGTGCGGTCTTGCACTCCATTCAAGTGTACAGCAATATGTAAATGAACTTTTGATGGTCGTTGATGTGATATAATGGAATAATTCATAAATTAATGCCATTTTATCATCAGATGCTTTATAAAAACTGGTGCAAGACACAGAAGCTTTGATCTCTTTAAAGAAGGTTCATCAGAGTTGCGAGACAGGATGCCTGTCAATAGGCACCAGTGAAAGATCTAGGTTTGATCCAGGTCTGATGTGTGTGAGGGCTTTCATACTGTTGGATTTGAAAAAGTGCCTAGGTAGATAATGATAGGTTTGTGGCATCTTTTAAGGCTTTATCTACACCTACACAGAAGATTCTTTGCTTTTGATGGTTGTTTTGATGTTGCATAACTCATTAGTGCCATTCATAAGTTCTAAAAAACTAAGAACCATTCTCTGACCCCTATATCGTAGGCTGGTTTAACAAGTTTTATGGCATATCTGGTTTATGGATAGGGTTTGGGTATCTGGAGTATTCACGAGAAATCATGTTCAAATTGACTTTACTTAAAACAACTCAAATTGTATTAAACAATAAAAATAATTTAAAATCATCTATCAACTCAGCACCTTTACTCTAATTAATACTAATCATTTGGGCTCAGTTTCTATGGCCTCCCAAAGTTTTCTTCCACAACTAATCAATTTTACTAATATCCCATATTAAAGGACATTGAATCCTGCCTTAGAGTGCACCCGGACACCTAAAAATTGGACCCGGCTTAAGACCATGTTTTCCTCAATTATTGTTTATATTATTCCCGAAAGGCACAAGTCAGTTAATCGATCATAAATCCGGTACCAAGCCGGTGTGACGCTGGCATGGTGCTGGATTTAAATCAAAATGTTATCCATGTTATACTAGCTAGGCGCCAGAAATCTATTCGATTAACCAACTTGAGCAATTCGGGATTCACGCAAAAAATTTCCATCCACTTTACCATTTACAACAGAATTGCCAACAATTTCATCATCCATTGCTTTATTTTCTCAGAATGGTTTTTCTTCTTATTTTTTTAAAATGCGGCACGTTTCTGGTGTGTACGAAAAAAAATTGTTTTTCTGTTTTGTTGGGCTTGTGTTTATTATTATTATTATTATTATTTGTTTATTCTCTTCTTTAACTCGCAAAGGAAAAGCCATTCTAAACAGTATTAACAGTTACTGTTGAGATCGGCATAAAAACCTTTGAACTTAATACTAGATTTACAATTTATAGAATAAAGTGTGAGATCAGCATTCAAAGAACATTGAAGATCTCAAGTTTGTAAAATATTACGGTGATTGACATTTGACAGTTTTTAACGGTTTTTAGATATTTAAAATTGTAAGTGGTGAAAAAGTTGAGCTGTAAGTTTTGCAATAATAAGCCAAGTTAATGTTTACATAACAAAAATTGAAAATTAACGACATTGTAATAGAAAATAGGAGAATTAAGTATTTGCACAGTGCAGTCAACATCAAGAAGTAATAAGCAGTAATTAGTAATGCAGAGCGGAATAGATACCAGGTGAATTGTTTCAATTAGGATAGTAACAAGCAAGCAGGCATTTTATGATTTAAAAAAATTTTTTGTTTTAGGTCTCTTCAAGTTGCTTCAAATAATCTCCCGAAAGGAAAAGTGACATCATCTGCTCATTGCGTATGTGACATTTCAATGCCCATTTGAAAGCATGCATGTGTGGTAAGTTCTTTAGATCTTGAGGAATTTTGTTGTAAATTTTAACACCAATTGACGTTATTCTCTTTTTTCCATAGTTTGTTCTTGAAAGCGGTTTAATAAGCTCACCGATCTTCCTCGTTCTGCTGCTAGATGTGGTTCTTTCAAAAACGACATTGGAATGGATCCTGTTAGCCAGATTATTGTAAATGAAAGTCGCTGAGTTGATGAAGCTGATTGCACGTACTGGAAGGCAATTCTGGACCAAGTGAGAATACATGTTCACTCTACTTTCGAGGAAGTCAACACCAAATACACTTCTCAAAGCTCGATTTTGAATTTTTTGGACGGGATTTAACACTTTTTGACAAGCTGTACCATAAATCATTGACATATAATTTAGATGAGATTCGAATAGTGTATGGTAGATGAGTTTCTTGGTTGATTGTGTCAATTTGTACTTGAGTTTCCATAAAATCCCTGATATTGAGGCTAGTTTTGATTCCAAAGCCTGACAGTGTTTATCCCACTTAAGATGTTGATCCATAAATAGTCCAAGATATTTAACACAATCAACTCTCTTAATACTTTTTCCATCTATGTCAATCATATCGCTGTCTTGAAACTTCATGAATGGTGAATGAAAGATTATGAATTGTGTCTTATCGAAGTTGAGAAATAGACGTTGATTCTCAAAGAAATTTAAAAGTTTCCTTAGGTCTGGGATGATTTTGTCTTCTACCTTGTCATTTTTTTCGTGACTATTGATGAGAACAGCATCGTCTGCATAAAGGAACAATTTGCCAGTAACATCCAATGAAGCAATGTGATTAAAAAATATTATAAATAGAAGACTTCCCAAAATTCCTCCTTGCACGACTCCATGATCGATAGATTTTTTACAGCTTGTTGCATTATTAATCTTGACAATTTGCTTCCTCGATTTTAAGTAGTTTCCAATCAGCTTAAGTGGATTTCCACGTATTCCAGAAAGATTAAGTGTGTGAATTAAGCATTCGATGTCGACAAGGTCGAATGCCTTTCTAATATCCATACACACTGCACTGACTTTTTTTTTATATTTTTTTTTTTTTATAGGAATAGGAAGTGTTGAAGTTTACATTTCTTTATGGACATTACGAAGAAGAGTTAAGAGAATAAGATGTGCAGCTACACGAGTTTTTACTCACCTTTTTAAAAAAAATTAAAAAGAAATTGTTGGATTGCTTATTTCTAGGGTTAAACTGGGAATTACTAGCCTCCCCTAGCCTGAAGTTAATTTTATTAATATTCCATATTGTACGACATCAAATTGCATTCATGCCTTATCTGCAGGCGCGTAACCAGGGGGGAGGGGATTTGGGTGACTCTGAATTTTCGATATAAAATTTTTTTTGTCCCCCTTCTTATAATTATAAGGCTGCTTTCTTCAATCTTTTTTTATCTGTTTTGATCAATTTTGTTTATTGGGTTGAGTCATCAGTCTCATAATATTGTTAATTGATGTGTTTTTGTATCAATATATTTGAGGAAGATTACAAGACTAGATTGCTGGCTTCTTAAAATTTTCCATCGCATTAGGCAACGGTTAAGAAGAGGTCAAGTTTAATTTACATATCAATTGGGATCCATAGCCTCCGTTATAAAGCACCTGATACTAGTTCCATCGTTAACTACTGCTTGCCAATTGCTAATACTACGTCTGCAATACTATGTCCGGTCAAATTAATCTTAAACCCTACAAACTGACATTTATGACTAAGTTGATTGGCCATCTTATAAGTTTCCTAAAGTTAATGTTTATCAATTTAAATGAGCCTCAAGCCAAAAACATCCACCAAATACAGCCCAACCCAAAGACAACATTGCCATCGCACGATTAAAAACACATTAAATTAAATTACTTTTAACAACATTCTGACATAATACGACCTTGACAACCAACACAATTAACAGACATTCTGACACAATTGACATTCAGCTGTGCTAATAACCGACAATTTATTTTGAATCTGTTTACAATTTTTTGTTTTTGATTACTTATCCACGTCATTTTTTTTGTTGTCTAGCAATTGTTATCAAAATTTTATTTGCCATTGGAGGAAATCCATTCATCGAGTAGAAATCAAGCAATCAACCTCAAGTCTTTCTAATAGCTTGGTTAACATTAATGGTGCCCAGTTGACTTGGCTCTGTTACTCTGTCTGCACCTCTTCCTCTTTCTCCCCCCCCCCCCCCAAGAAAAAAGAGCTTTCATGAGATCAAACTAGAAAAGATCCACAGCTGTTGCTCATTGTTGCTATCCGGTTGATATCTGAGGCAGAGACGTAGCCAAGAATTTGAAGAGGGGGGGGGGGGGGGGCGTTTCAAAAAAATTTATATGGAAAATACAGAGAGAAAAGGGGGGATTTTTATGATTTTGTCATAAAACTCCTAGCAAATTGAAGAAATTTGTATTAACGTCGGGGGATTTGTCACCCAAAATCCCCCCCATCAGGTAACGTGCCTAATCTGAGGTCAAAATGTCACCAGCCAGCAACTCCTTTATCGAAAATCTTATCACCAATAATTCCAACGAAAAACACTTTACCTCAAAAGTGCAATAACATACTCAATTCCAATAACTTAATCAATACAAAAAAACAGCAACTGATAAGCATTACCACAAGCAAAACTTTCCATGCTAATCTAAATTTAGATAAATTTCACTTACGCAACACAGACTCGTGCTTGTTTGTATTTTGAGAATAGAAGGCCAATTCGATCATAAAAATCCACTTCTTTTCCTACTTTTCTTTCATGACGTGCAGCAATAAAAAAAAATAATGAAATTGAATGAAGAGGAAAATTATTTTTTTTAGCTGTGTGATGAAAAGAAGAAGCAACGACCATAGACAGTTTTGTTATTAATGATATTGTGCTGATTTTTGGATGAGAAATTTTGTGTATGAATTGTGAAATTATTAGAATTGAGTCTTTGGGTTTCTAAGCGAGATTATGAAGAACTAGAGCAGTTGATTAGATTATGAGCAACCTCAGAAATGGCAATTAGGATGGAATTGCCCTGGCTGAGCCATATCGTTGCTTTATTAATACAATCTGTCGATCCATATAGCTGCTATTTAACTTGAGCAGAACACATTAATGGCTATGATATAATGTAATCAATTACAAATCGCCCAAATGGACAGAAAGATCGATCCCGGATTAAAATCGAATCCAGCTCTTTGTAATGGCTTAAAACAGCCTCGGCAAAAAAACAGCAACCGAATATTTTTTGACCGGTAGCCGATGATTGGCTAAGGTCGATAAAAACGGTGGCAAATTGGCAGTTTCTGACGTCGGTATTCACAACTCTGGCTCCATGTCAGAGCAATGTTGGATTTCTGATCGATTAACTGACTAGTATTTTGAGCGTTCTAAAGCCTCACAGTCTGATTCTCAATCATATTTGTCAACTGAACCTCACCCAGACACAATTGTTTATCTGATTTAACTCAGTCACAATTTTGTTTCCATAAATACAATTTTTTGTGTGTCACTCAAGTTCAATATCAATTTTGTGTACGTGACCTTATTAATGAGTAATTAAACAGAACAGTTTAGTTAAGATAAGAGCGAACAATTTAATAATTGTAATAATCTCATCAAATTTTTGTTTCATTTCTTACGCGTGCGACCTTCAAGTTCCCCTAAAAACATAATTTTAATCTCAACTCACATGCTCATGCTGTTCATTGCTACCGCGTGAGTCTGTTGTAGTAAATTCATCTCATAAACAGAGAGAAACAAAATAAAAACAGAGAACTTGACCCACGTGTGCTGTGTCTGACGTAAAAATTTGCATGTGATAGACTCAAATTTTTTGACATAAATAAGCGATCTCTAATAAACAACAAACATGGCAACTAAAAGCTGTCGGATCTTATTTATGTTCAATGTGAAATTAATTTTCTCTTTTTTGTCATGCGTGACTGTAAATTAAAATTTTGTTTTTAATTTTGTATTTTTCAGGTCTTACTGGTCTTATCGGTGCTTTGGGCTACTCAGCTTACAGATTCAAGAACCGTGGAGGCATGTCAACGTCAGTTTACTTAATGGTAAGTTAAAGAGTAAAGAAAATTTATTTTTTGTGCGTCATAATTGGGTTTTTGGGGAAGACAGTAATGTGTTTCTCAAAATTTGGCGCACGAAAATTATTATTTTTGGGTTTTGTAATGAATGCAGCTTAATGTACTCTAAAAGATATGAGTAGAGGCCGATTTCTCAGTAAACTTGAGTTTTAGCGGTGGTACACACTTAGGTTAATGTGCTATTTATCTAGTTCTACAACCTAGGAGCTAAGCTGTATGGATGTCTGTCTGGGTAGCTTTCAGAGTAACTGTAAGCTGTAAACATATGACAAACTGATTAAGTTGCTAATTGACTGCTAATCTAAATGTCACTTAGTCGAAATGCTAGTTTGTCTTTCAGTCTGTCTGTCTGTCTGGCTAGCAAAAAGCAACTTTATTTACTACCTGCCCTTCAATCTTTTATTCAAAATACTAATTTCCATCCTTTTTTTTAAAATTTCAGCAAACTCGTGTCGCCGCACAAGGAGCAGTTGTGAGTTGCCTGGCTCTCGGTGTTGCATACACAATGTTCAACAATTACGTACTGCACAGAGGCGAGGATGACAAGTAGATTCATCCATCATGTCTCAGCTGATTTAATTAGAATTAAAGAATTAATGTTAGGACAAAAATAAAATATTTTTGAGTGAAAAAAAATGAATGGCAACTGATTAAGGTTATGTTGTGAATTATTGTTGCTGCCTATGTGTAAAGCAAATTCCAAGTACCTCACCAAACTGCTGTTATTGAATCATATTAAGCTGTATGGAGCTATAAACTGTCAAACTCAATGATTATATTTTAGAATTTTTGAAATTTTTTGTCAAATTTATCTCAGATTAATTTTTGTTTTTAAAAAAATATTGTTTTGAGTACTGAAATAACTTTGATCTTGTATGGACTAAGTGGAGTGTTTAGATTGCTCATTTGTGGCTAGTTGTTCATCAATATTAAGATGCTTTTGAAGAGTTTTAAGCGAAAATTGGACATTCTGAGGTCAATTTTCTAGGCAGGGGTTCTTATAAGTTCTCCAGTGTCCTATACAAGGCAGAACAATACACACTATAATCCAGTGGTGGCCAACCAATGTGCCGCGGAAAAATCAGCAAATCCCATGGTTTAAAAATCATGGTTTAACCTCAATGTGTTCCATGACTCAAAAAAGGTTGGTCACCACTGAATTTTATCCCAGACAGCATCCTTAGCTTCCACTTAGCCATTCATAGTGTCACTATCTCTAGATATAGTCAAAATATCAATGCATTTATTCAGAAAAAATAAATCAATTTTTATTCTCTTTATTCATTTTTAATCATTAAAGAACAACAAGTTTTAGTCTTTCGATTACTTTTTCGTATTTCAGGTTCTTATTTAAGTTAGCAGGGGCGTAGCCAGGAATTTTAAGAGTGGGGGGGGGGACAAAAAATTTATTTGTATGGAAAAATTTGGGGGGGGATTTTGTGATTATTTCATAAAAACCCTAGAAAAATAAAGAAATATCTGTTTACGTTGGGGGATCCCCCTGAATTCCCCTACCCCCCCTGGCTACGCGCCAGTAAGTTAGGATAGTTAAGTACGTACTGCAATGAAGGATAAAATTTTCTTTGGTTGACCTTAATAATCTAGGTCTGGACCTAAATATCAAGATAAGTAGTAAAGTAAAGTGGTTTTTGAATCTTGAAGAAGGCTAAAGAGCAGTGATGGGCAACCTTCTTCTAATGACACAAGTCGGTTGATCAGTCAAACATAAAGCACAAAGCTGGTGTGACTCTGGCATGGTGCTGGTTTAATACATCAAAGCCAGCACCATACCAACGTTATACCGGTTAGGTGCTGGATTTCTATTCGATTAACCGACTTGGATACAACCAAGTTGCAAAAAGGTTTGAATTGAGAACAATGTGACGTAGAGGCCAGGGGCCGTTCACTTATGACGTCCAGGGGAAGGGGGGGGGGTTTCAGCAAGAAAAGAACAATAGAAATTCCTTGAAATGACCGTTAATTTCGGACGTCATAAGTGAACGGCCCCTCACCTATAAACATCGATATATCCACACATCTAGTTCCTATGACTCTGTTATATATTGATAAGACAAGTTATTGGTTGGCTACATGACTAAGGATGAGTAACAAATCAATAGGAACTGATAATAACAGTTTTAGGTGCAATTGTAGCCACAATCGTGCATAAAATGGTTAATTTAGTTGACATAAAGTCACATTCTCGTCAGTTTAAACCTTATTGCTGCTCAGGATAGTCAAAATCTACAGTTTTGCTTAATGCCAGAGGTAAATGACCCAAAAACTCACATTTTGTCTACAAAAAAATTTCAAAAAGTACATCGAAAAATATCAATTTTATAGCACCATTATTTTTTATAGATTTGATTAATTTTCAGGACTTCCAACACGTCCCCAAACTAAGCCCTCTCACACAACTTCTGAAAATCATTCACCACCAAATGATTCATGACTTTACGGAATCGATTTAAAGTGCACGGCGATTCACAACCGCCAATATCAATAGCCTTCGGATATTTATCGTTTGAATTAAAATAATAATAAATTTTTACGTCCATATCGATACTTGTGTAGCTGCTATGCACTTCAATTGCCAGTGCTGATGCAAAGTCAGGCTTATTTGATGTTTGATTTAAAATATTCATGGAATTCATGAGATTCACAAGAGTTACGTCATGTGCTGAATAGATATTTACATCATATTCTTGTGGCAAGCTGTTCTTCTTGCTGAACATATTTTCCATAATTTCAGTCATTAAAGGACCCGCCTTGATTCTCTTCATAAATGGAGTTTCTGTGATCAGCCTTAAGTACCGTTCAGCCAGTGGTAAAGTTTTCGATGGAAATACACCTTCAGTCCAGTCTGGCAAGTCCCAACCAGCTTCCTTTTCAGCTTCTAAAGTGCCATGAAGAAGCTCAACATCCAGTAAACTGCTGATATTTATGCCTGTATTAAGTGATAAGATCCTGTAAAGTGCTTTATTGTTTTTATCAAGTTGACGGATTTCCTCAGATTTCATGACTTCCTCGTAGACTTCATCATATTTTGGACAGTCACGTTTTTGAGCTATTATGTCGTCCATGTTGCGTGGAATTGTGTAGATAGCGACTGGTTGCCATGGTATCGGAAGTGGATTGAAGTTCTCGAGTGGTGGCATGAAGCTAAAATTAAAAATTGGTTATGATTATTCCTTTTAACTGATTAAGACACAATAATCAACATCCAGGAGCACTTACCCCGCCAAAAACGACTGCGCACTCATAATTGTCCGGTCCTTCCAACTCGATTTAACCGAAACCACTTTTTTCGAATAAAATCCGTTACTTGGAAACAACTTTAAATAACGATGATGAAGATTCTTTCCCAAATTGTACATCTGCAGGCTGCCAGCATTAGTCAGTGCTCCCAAATCATGATTCTGAACATCCGTCAAGTGAAAATCTTTTGGATAAATTCGGTCAGGAAATTTCGCACCGTGCCTAAAAATGATCTACAAAAAAATAAAAGTATTGAAAATGTTAATAGCTCATGACATCTGGTCTAGCCGCATGTGTCAGGTCAACTTTATTGACACAATTGCTTCAAATTCTATTTTTAAACTTGAAATAATTTTTTTTTTCTGCTACTTACATTGACTTGCTTCAGTGTCTTCATATCCTCGTCTGTATTGTCCCCAAAGGCCATGTACGCGAACATAAAGGCAGCAATCGATACACCAAGAACGGTCACGGAAATCATCATTGCTCTTCTGTTGTCCATTTAAAAATTAAAAGATTTTAAACAAAAAAAAAATTAAAATTAGATAAAAAAAATGAGAAATTTGCTGATCGTCTTCTTTTTGCCTTCTTAACTCTTTGAGTACGGAGAGAATCAGCTGGTACAGTGAAATGTCTGTGTCTGTATGTTTTTATGTCCACTTACTCGGTATTTTGGATGATTTGTCCAAGTTTTGATTGAAGGAGGTGAAAAATGATAAGTTTGATTTTTTGGATAAAGTTTTCGGATAATTCGCGCATTAAATATTGGAACTGACACTTTCTACATCACAGGAATAATGGAAAATTTTAGATTTTGCAGGCAAATCACAACAGAGAGAATTTTTTTTTGTTATTGATGCAAAGTTTTTCTAGAGAATTTAAAAAAGTGAAGCTATTGCTGGATGCGGGAGGTATTTTGAAAACTAAAAGATGCAAAATGTTAACGGAATTTAAGCTTAGCTTAATATCAATTGCTGAGCAGATGTCAGTGGTTTGAGTTAGATTAGTTCTTATATCTTAGGATTTTAATTTGGTTCGCTTCTATTTCAGATTCAATTAAAATGAGGATTATGACCAGGATAGGCTGTCTGATGATGATGATGATGGGTTCCTATTGCTCCACTATGAAGCGTAGGGCGTCCACAAAGCATTTGAATCGCACTTGATTCTGGGCCAAAACTGCTATTTCCTGCAGCTTCTTGTTCTGTTGTTCCGCCTCCCGTTCAACTGTTGGATAGGCTGTCTGGTACTGTCTCAAAAGCCGAACCTACCCGAATAAAACAAGTCGCTTTATTGACCTGCATCTGGCACGATGCCGACATGATTTTGACTTTGATTTATGTAGTCTGTATAATGGATTGATGCAGGATTTCTGATCAATTAACCGATTTGTGGGGTTCGGGCTAGTATCAATGGCAGCCGGTTTCATAACAATCTTTATTAAGTAGCATACGACTGAGTTATATCTGACTACACTAGAGTCAAGTAGAAGCATGCAGGAGATTGAAACCTGCAGGAGATGCATTAGAGCGAAAAAACCACAGCTCAACATTCGAAAAGATGAATTAATTTGACTTTGCAAATTAACGTCAAATTAGGTGAGCAGAGGAAAAGGTCGACTTTATTGCTGCCACTTTCTCGATGTTATCATCAGTAATAACTGCTTTGTCGTGATTAATATAGGTTACTTTAGTGACAGAGGATCAAAACGCTGCCAATTTGCCGTCTTAAACTTCTCTAGTTCTTAGATAAAAGATGAATTAAAGAACTGCTAATATAACGGTCACAAAACTCTAAACCCCATTTCTTTCCTTCCGAACTAGATATTGGACATCATTTAGTACGAATCCTTATTTACAAAACCAAAAACTAGATTAATTTTCTAGAACTGATTCATATTTATAGACCCGGAAAACCACACGTCACCCAAAAGTCTGAGAAATCAAACAGAATGCTTGTGTGGAGCTCCGTGTCGTGTTTTTTCGCAATAAGAGACAAGAAGATCCAGGAATCTAGCTTCTATTATAGAAGCTGCATACTAATGCAAGGATAACTGCGGATGTGTTCTAGCCTTTTGAGTGAAAGGAACTACCCCGAGTAGTTCCCGAGTAGCACCCGAGTAGCACCAACAATAACAACTGGTTTTACGTCAACGTCAAGGCATCATCAAGTAGAAAAAACCAGGCACGCCGCAAATTTACCGTTGTGGCAACGCTAAGGCGTCTACACGCATGATTTCGCCCCATTATTTCATTGTTCAAACGTGCTTTTTTCTACTTGATAGTGCCTTGACGTTGAATTAAAACCATTTGTTGTTGTTGGTGCTACTCGGGTACGATTATCAAATATAAAGTATTTACAGCTACTCATGGATCCGTTCCTTTTAAACCTTAAACATATAATTGCATATCATAAGCATTCAATTAAGTAAGCAAACAGTTTAAGCTCCTGTTAAGTCTAATTCTCATGCAGTTCCGTTTAGGAACCTTCACAAAATTCAAATCCCAAAAGTTTCGCATCACTTTTTTTTCATTTGTTTTTGTTTACAAATTTCACACAAATTGAGAATTAAAATTAAAGACAATCTTAATGAAAAAATGAGTATAAAAAGAAATAAGATTCTTCAGTGCTTATCATTCGATTTTGAATAGTCAACAAACTATAATTAAAAGTGAGAATTCGGATAGAATTTAATGTAATTGAAGAAATTTCAAAATATTGTGAAAAAAAAAGTTTGAAGAAATTGCGAATTATTTTGAAAATTGACTTGAATATCCATCAAACTCAGTCAAGATTGACATAACAGCATCAAAGGATATCCAAAAAATCAGAAAGATCCTAAGAACATCAGAACTAAAATCCAGACCAACAACAAAAAATGAGTCATCAAATTAAAATAAATTTACCAAATGAAAATTCAGCATCACCAACTCTTCAGCCAATCATCATCTCATGGACGAATCCATCGACAGACAATCAATCACAAATGATTGACGAAAAACACATAAAACAGGAAGATGAGCTGCAAATCATCTCGCAAGTCATTCAACATCCAGCGAATAAAAAAGCAGCTGAAATTGTGAGTCCAACAAGAGTTTTGAGGAGTCATGGAAAGGTTGACAAGAGTCCAGTCATTGTGACTCGAAAGGTGTCACCTAGAGCAAGAGGCGGTTCCAAAACACAAGATGTTGAAGTCTTTACAAAAGTCATTGACATAACTTCTAAATCGATGGATGCATTGCCAGTCAATGGAGATTCTAGTCTGTGGACAACGACAGTTCATAAAAATTCAAAAAGTCAAGCTACAAGCAATAAAATTGAATCAAATTCAGTCACAAAAGCTTCTAAAAAATTGGTAAAAATTCTACCAAAAAAGGATGTCCTTCAAGAGTCAAAGGATGAGTCTGTTGTGGTTCCTAAAGTTAATGTTCGTCCAAAATCAGCAACTGATGTTAAAAAAAAGTCTAAAGCAGCAAATGAAGTCAAACCAAAGCCAAAAACAACGAAAGCCAAGCAACTAAAGAAGGATAAAAATGGAAATTCCTTAAAACTTAACAATTTGGCACCAAAAGCTTCATCAATCCTTGAAAAAAGCCAATCATCCTCACCATTGGAAGCACCTTTCAACGAAACATACATCAAGAAAGAAGAAGAACTAAACATTCTGCCTGAAAACGACACAAAACCAACAGATCCAGCATTAATCAAAATTGAAGTCACTGACCAGCAACTTGAACACTCAACAGCCAGCAATTCATCCACAAAACCTCAAATCAATGCAGAACCAGCAGTTAAAGACGAAGCTGTCGATGAAATCACAATAAAAGTCATCAACCTCGAACCTAAAGCTGTAGTTAAGGAAGAAGAAAGCCGTTCTTGCATTTCAGACACAACTTCAAGTCCTCTGAAATATTTTAATGTATCCAGTTCCTCAAAAGTTAATGACTCTAATTTAATCCAGAATAGCAATAAATTTGTGCATTTATCAAAATATTTATCAGACAATGTGAAGACATCCGAGAGTCCATTGGATGTGAATGATCAGAGCTCAACAAATTCTGAGAAAATTAATCATTTTGAAGCTAAGGAACCAGCACAAGATGATGATGATGATGATGACGATGATGAAGACAGGCTGGTGATTAAGGAAGATGAAGTTGAAACCATAGACATCTCCGACAGTGATGATGAAAAGCCTGAAGAATCAGCACCAAAGAAATTTCAAAATTCCTGGACAGACTTAACCAGTCAGTCAATAACAAATGCAGATTCAGACAGCCTGACATCAAGCAATCATGTCTCAATATCATATCCATCGATTGATGGATCAACTAGCTTACAACCTCCTGTCATTCAAATTTCATATCAATTTCCTATGGACAGCCAGCACTCAGCATCATCAACACAGATACAAAAGCATTTTATGTCATCAAGTATGGAGCCTATCCATAAGAATTTAGGTCAGCAGTCAACATTCGGTCAGTTGTTCAATACAAATCATCATCATGCTGTTCAGCCAGTCTTTAAGGATCACACAAAGATAAATTCTAATCGATCATCAAAAAATGTGAGTCCACAGCCATCGACAAGTCAAATTGTGGTTTCTACATCAAGTAATAAGCCACAAACAAGTCAGAAGAGAAGACGATCTTCATTAATGACTCCAAGTACATCCAACATCCCACAAACTACATCAAAATCCCTTGAAAATCCATCTAAGAAGCAAAAAGTCACTGCAGATCCAAATCAAGTTTCAATAATCCCTTATATCCCATCCACAAATCCAACAAGAAGGATATCATCAACATCATCAGACGGAAGCTCATCAACATCACATCCATTTCAGTGTAAAATGTGTATGACAATATTCAAGAGGAAGATCGACATGATTCATCATTTAAAGTCACATTCGGAAGCAAAGTTTGAGTGCCAAAGATGCGGAATGAAGTTCAAATTTGAAGGATATTTTATTAAGCATGAATGCATTGCTTGTGAATTGTGCAACAAGACATTCTTTCTGAAGCAACAGCTTAGAAATCATCAAAGGATCGAGCATGACATCCAGATGGAAATGTATGAATGTGATTTATGTGGGAAGAAGTTAAGGTATAGGCATGGAGTGTTGTATCATATGTCAAAGACACACATGAAGTATCTTGAGGATAAATATGGATGTGATGTGTGTGGCAAGCGATTCAAGCTCAAGGAATCAATCAGACTTCATATTAAGAATCACGAGTCAGTCATCGAATGTAAATTGTGTGACAAAAAGGTCAAGAGAGTCAACCTGAATGTCCATATGAAGTCAGTCCATGCGACTGAGAGGAACTTCAAGTGTCGAATTTGCAGAACAAGTTTTAAGACTAAAGAGTGCCTTAAAAGTCACATTAGGACTCATGAGAAGAGCTTTGAATGTACAGAATGTGGTAAGAGATTCTCAAACAAGTCACATTTAAAGGAACACGTGGAATGGCATAAAAATCCTGATGCCTATAAATGTAAGATATGTCAAAAGTCATTTGCACAGAAGTATTGCCTCAAGGCTCACGTAAAGCTCCACGAAAGTGGACATCAATTCACAAAATTCAAGTGCTCATCATGTCCGTACTCGACAGACAAGGCTGAAAATTTAGAAAAGCATGAATTGAAGCACAAAAGGCAGGAAGAGAACGAAGAAATGAGAAAGAATTGGCTGCAGTGTGAAAAATGTCCTGTAAAGTTGAAGAATAAGTTGAAGCTAGCTACTCATTATTGGAAGAAGCACAGCGAAGTCATGCCTAAATAACTTTATAATCAGTATCAATATTTTATTCTAAAAATTGACAAATAAAAGATTTTAAAAATATTAAAAAAAATATGTATTGAGTTTTTCAAGTTTCAGATAATTTTTTAATTCATTTATTTTACTGAATCTGCTTATTACACTTAAGATACATTATAGTGATAATTACTGAAGATTTATATTAGTTTGGTAAAAGAAAATATAGATTATTGTGTGTTGTTGTTGAGTCTTTAATTTGAGCTTGTTTTGAATGTTATTAGGAAGAACCTAGCTCGACTCTAGTTTAAGAAGAATCTAGCTCGACTCTAGCTTAGCAAGAACCTAGCTCGACTCTAGTTTAGAAAGAACCTATCTCGACTCTAGTTTAAGAAGAACCTAGCTCGTCTCTAGCTTAGCAAGAACTTAGCTCGACTCTAGCTTGGAAAGAACCTAGCTCGACTCTAGCTCAAGAAGAACCTAGCTCGACTCTAGCTTAGCAAGAACCTAGCTCGACTCAAGCTTAGGAAGAACTTAGCTCGACTCTAGCTTGGAAAAAACCTAGCTCGACTCAAGCTTAGGAAGAACTTAGCTCGACTCTAGCTTGGAAAGAACCTAGCTCGACTCTTGCTCAAGAAAAACCTAGCTCGACTCTAGCTTAGCAAGAACCTAGCTCGACTCAAGCTTAGGAAGAACTTAGCTCGACTCTAGCTTAGCAAGAACCTAGCTCGACTCAAGCTTAGGAAGAACTTAGCTCGACTCTAGCTTGAAAAGAACCTAGCTCGACTCTAGCTTAGCAAGAGCCTAGCTCGACTCTACTTTAAGAAGAACCTAGCTCGACTCTTGCTTAGCAAGAACCTAGCTCGACTCTAGCTTAGCAAGAACATAGCTTGACTCTAGTTTAAGAAGAACTTAGCTCGACTCAAGCTTAGCAAGAACCTAGCTCGACTCTAGCTTAGCAAGAACATAGCTTGACTCTAGTTTAAGAAGAACCTAGCTCGACTCTACTTTAAGAAGAACCTAGCTCGACTCTTGCTTAGCAAGAACCTTGCTCGACTCTAGCTTAGCAAGAACCTAGCTCGACTCTAGTTCAAGAAGAACCTAGCTCGACTCTAGCTTAGCAAGAACCTAGCTCGACTCTAGTTCAAGAAGAACCTAGCTCGACTCTTGCTTAGCAAGAACCTAGCTCGACTCAAGCTTAGCAAGAACCTAGCTCGACTCTAGCTTAGCAAGAACATAGCTCGACTCAAGCTTAGGAAGAACTTAGCTCGACTCTAGCTTGGAAAGAACCTAGCTTGACTCTAGTTTAAGAAGAACCTTGCTCGACTCTAGCTTAGCAAGAACCTAGCTCGACTCTAGTTCAAGAAGAACCTAGCTCGACTCTAGCTTAAAAAGAACATAGCTCGACTCTTATTTAAGAACTCAACCCACACCATCTCCCATCATTAGCCCCGTCCTTACTCCATACTATCTTCCAAATTATCAGTATCCATGTCATCATCTTCGTTCTGTTTTTCAGCATCAGTTTGTGGCTCATAAGCTAGTTTCAGTGGACTAATGACAACACCATCAAACACGCTCATTTCTGCAATCAAATTTTCTTTCTTGTCAATACCGAGAATTACTTTATAGCCACCATGTTTAAGGACACGGAGTAATGTTTGTGCAGTCATGCAGAGATTATCTTGTTGCTCTAATGTTAAGCATGTGTGGACACGAACTGGAACATTTTCGCATGGATCAAGAAGACCTGACGAACCAGGAAGAAACAATCCGGAAGCTAAAAGTTGAAAAACTCGACGAAATGCTTGATTGATGGACAATGCCTGACGATTTGAATTCGAGAGGATTGCAAAGTTGGCCAAGAGCTCAATCATCCATGGATTCATGACTGAGAATGCCTCAAATCGTGTTGCAATGTCACGAAGGATTCGAATCAAGACTTTGACGCTGGAATTTGAGTTTTCTTCAAAAAATCGGATGTGACGAATTGCTGATAAGCTGTTGACGAGATGTTTCTGCATTTCTGGATTCTCAACTTTACGAATATTTGGTGGAACTGTTGCAATTAAGATGCAAACGCGTGCTTGCCAGTTGAAGATGTCGAAGCCCTTTTCTGTGATCTGGACAGTAATCATTTCAGTTTTTGAGATGACTTCAGTCTTCATGCTTTCCTTAAGCAGTTCCTCAACTTTTTTGGATAAAGCTTCAATCGACTCTTTTGTTGGAATTGTCTTGAAGATGACAACAACATCAGCAATATTCTTTCCAGTTCTCATTGTTCCTTTCTTATAACTTCCCACCTGCCTGACTTCCTCTAATTGACATTTGTCAAAATCTCCAGGAGCAACGACTAAGTTATCGAGGACTGTTGTGACTTTGTTGAGAAGATTGTTGAGTGCTTGTTGCTCCTTATCGGTTGGAGTTAAGTCTTGATTACGTTTGGTGAGAGTATTGAGGAGTGCTGTGTCATCTGGTGCTGGATTTGAGGCAACTCTTGGGAAATGGACTGAATGCTCGATAACGTTGAGGTCGAATGGATGACGGGGGACTGAAATTGAGAGGGTTTGGAATTAGAATCTTTGAGTAAGTTAAAGTTTAAAGTCAAAAATCCGGTCAGTTTCTGTCAAATATTCGGTCGGATTCTGTCAAAAAAATCCGACCAAAGTCTGCCAATATCAAGCTTAATGGTAAAAATTTCAGGATCAATTATAAAGAACTTCGCTGATTTTCACATGAATTCAGTCAATAATTCAGAATTATTTTGGAAATTCAATAGAAATCGACTAGGATTCCTCCCAAACCTCCAAATAGAAGTAGATCTAACCCTTTAACTAGATCCGCCCACCAAATATCATTGAATATTGTCAAATAATCCCAAAAATCATCCTCAACCGGTTCAATACAAAATTTTTTCATTTAATACTCACTAAAACTAGTCTTTTTAGGGAAAGTTCCTCGCATTCCAACTCGAGCTCCTGTACGACCACCACGAATATTACCACGAACCATGTTTAAAAGTCAATTAATCACACAGAAATGACACAAAAATTTGAATGAATTAAAATTTTCTGAAACTTTCTTAGCTGAGAAAAAAATTTGTATTGATCAAAAGTTTCCAACAAAATAAGCTGCACGGCTTAAAGATGCAAAAAAAATTCGCATCTCCAACTTTCTGCATCAGTTTTTGTTTTGATTTTAAATAGAAAGAAATTTTTCAACATAAAGCAACTTTTTCTAAATTTTTCAATTATTTCTGTGATTTAAAGCTATGGATGGTCATGTATCGGAAGCATCAGGAACTCGAGATAAACCGCTTGAAGCTGAAGATCGTCTACGGAAGAAGATAAAGCAGCCGAGAGAGCGAAATTATGGAGTAAGTCAATCAACTTTCTTGCATTTTTCCTGATGACTAATCTGAAACTTGATATTTACAGGCAACATCAAATGATGTGATTGTTGTGAATCCAGCACAGCCACCACCTCAAGATCCACCTCATAGGGATCGTCGACCGACACAACAAGAGATGGAGGAAGATGAGGAGAAGGAAATTCTTAAATATGGGGCAAAGCACGTCATCAAACTCTTTGTACCTGTGACCCTTTGCATGATGGTTGTGGTCATGACTGTTAATTCTGTTAGTTTCTATACAGTTAAGGATGTCTATCTCATTTACACGCCATTCCATGAGACATCAAAGGATACAGGCGTTAAGATTTGGAATGCATTGGCCAATAGTATGATTCTCATGGTTGTTATCATCATTATGACTGTTCTACTTATTCTACTGTATAAGAATCGATGCTATAAAATTATTCATGGATGGCTTATCATGTCATCCTTTATGCTGCTCTTCCTCTTTTCATATCTTTATCTTGAAGAAGTTATGCGTGCTTATAATATTCCTATGGACTATCCAACCGCTCTCTTTATAATGTGGAACTTTGGAGTTGTTGGAATGATTGCTATTCATTGGCAGTCACCATTGAGGCTGCAACAGGCTTACTTGATCTTTGTTAGTGCATTGATGGCTTTGGTGTTTGTAAAGTATTTACCGGAATATACTACTTGGGTAAGTTTTGATAGCTTTGAGTTGAATTGAGTTATATCCATTCGAGGCGAGCTTTTTTAAATCCTCTCGAGTCAAGTTAAATTAGATCGTCTCGGGTCGAGCTGAGTTAAATCCTCTTGGGTCAAGTTGAGTAAGATCCTTTCGGGTCGAGCTGAGTTGGATCCTCTTGGGTCGAGCTGAGTTAGATCCGCTTGGGTCGAGCTGAGTTAAATCCTCTCGGGTCCAGCTGAGTTAGATCCTTTCGCATCAAGCAGAGTTAAATCCTCTCAGGTCGAGCTGAGCGGGTTAAGCTTCGTTAGATTCATTCATAAAAATTTACACTAATCTCTAAAATTATCTACAAATCTTATAGGTCGTCCTCGGTGTAATCTCAATTTGGGATCTCGTAGCTGTCTTATCACCAAGAGGACCACTCAGGATTCTTGTAGAAACGGCACAAGAAAGAAACGAACAAATTTTCCCAGCCTTAATTTATTCATCAACAGTTTTGTACTCAATTGTTGGAATGACAACAACAGGAACTGAAACAGGGAATGAGACTAGACGATTAAATGAGAATCAGGATGGTAAGTGTCAATAATTATAAACCTCAGTCTAGGTATTAACAAATTTAAATAGCTTCAGCTGATCAAGCTGGTTTCAATCAAGAATGGGCATCAACAACTCGTCAACGTGTCCAACAACGTCAAATTGAAGTTCAAGCTAATGATCAAAGCCACCCAACTCAGTATAGAACTGTGACACGTCCACCAAGTGATAACTTAACAGAAGCTCAAAGGCATCAACAGCAAATGGAGGAAGAAGAACGTGGAATCAAGCTTGGACTTGGGGATTTTATCTTTTATTCAGTATTGGTCGGCAAGGCTAGCTCATATGGTGACTGGAACACAACCATTGCCTGCTTTGTGGCTATTTTGATTGTAAGCTTAACATTTTTTGATTTTCAAAATTTTTTAAATACATTTTATGTTAATTTCTTTCTAGGGTCTCTGCCTGACACTTCTCTTGCTAGCCGTTACCCGAAAAGCCCTTCCAGCTCTTCCAATCTCAATCACATTTGGACTTTTCTTCTGTGTCACAACGAGTGTCCTTGTTAAACCATTTACAGAAACTCTAGCTGCCGAGCAAGTTTTCATTTAATTTTAGCCAAAATTCATTCCGATTTTTAGTCTAGAAAATTAAAAAGACTTTTTTTTGTAATCAAATTTACTACCTTAATTAATCCAAAATGAAATTATTATTAAAGATGCTTATTTAATCACATTACTTTATTAAAAATGCTAAGTTGCTTAAAATAATAAAATGAACCTTTTTTTGTAATCTTATGTTAGGTTTTGTTTAATAAAAGAATTTACCAAATTTAAATTTGGTTTCGAGAAATTTGAAGTTTTACTAGACCAGACTTACAGACAGCCAAACAGATAGACATACATCCAGAATAATACACAGCCACACTGAAAATAACCATACTAAGAAACATCCAGACTGATTCAGGTAACCTGAATAACAAATAGCCAGACAGCCATACTGACAATAACCAGAATTAGAATAGCACTTCCTTAGCTACAACATGACCTAAGCCTAAATTTATCAAGAGTAGCTAAGCTGTTCTGTTTGTTTAGTCACGATTGACTTTTCTTCTTCGTTCAAAATTAATTAAGTTTCTATTTGCTTAAAGGTTTACTCGTTATCATTGAATTAGTAGTAAAATTTAAATTAAACCTCAAAAGAATTGAAATAAAAGGAACTCCAAGAAGTTTGCCACAGTATCAGTGTTAATTTTAAACTAAAGTGAACAAAAATCTATTAAAGTGATGAAGTTTGTAATATTTTTTGTGATAATTGCCAATTGTTGGGTTCTATCAGTTGCTGAAACTGATGATGTTGTTCAAAAAGCTTTCAATATCTGGCTTGTAAGTTACTCAAGTTCCAATCTAAGTTTTCCGATTTCTAATTCCTTAAATCCAATCCAGGCGAAATACAACAGAAAATTTTCCGACAATTCATCTTTTACCACGGCTTATGACATCTTTTCTAGCCACTACAAAGCAACATCACGTCAACGACTTAAATTTTACAGTGGAGAGTCCAAATTTTTAATGAAACCAAATAAATATTCAGCTGCTGATGTCAACAGTAAAGCATCAACGAGAGGACTTCTGTTAGACAATGACGCTGAGTTTGCTGCTTTGGTTAAGGAAGAAGCTGCAGTTCAAGGTCGAGTCCTTCCACCTAGTTATCCACCACCACCAGCTAGTTTGGATTATAGAACGATGGGATACGTGTCTGGTGTTAAGGATCAAGGTAAGGTTGCTGATGGTGGTTTATGTCCTTATTTTTGACCTATTTGCATGCTAAAATCTGAAAATAAAGCTTCAATCCAGCTATAAAGTCAAGACTTTATCATTCTAGGATTTTACTGTTCCAGCTGCTATGCCTTTGCAACAGGATGTGCTCTTGAAGGTCAATTAGCCAAGAAATATGGAATATTACCAGACATATCTGCGCAAAATATCATTGACTGCTCATACAATTCTTCGTATGGAAACTTTGGATGTGGAGTGAGCCTTAAAGTTTAATTTTTATAAAATTTCATCTAAAACTCTCGATCACAGGGCGGCAACTTAGGATCGTCATTCAAATATATCGTCAGAAATCCAGGAGTAGCAAATGAAACATTCTATCCGTATGCTGGAGCTAGTCAAACGTGTGGCTATAATCCATCAATGTATAGTGGAACGGCAAAAGGTTATTTTTACATCACTGGCAGTGAAAATTATCTGAAGAGTGCATTAGCGGCTATTGGACCACTTGCAGTTGGTGTTAGAGGAGACCTGGACTCATTTTTGTATTATGGTTCGGGAATTTATGATGATTTAATGTGTAGTGCAATTATTAACCATGCAATGTGTTTAGTTGGTGAGATTTCATTTTATTTGTTGTATTATTGATATCAATTTGACCTTCTCGGTAACTATATTATCAACTTTGTGCCAGATTTGGTCATCTTGGTATTAAATTTTGTCATCTTGGCATTAAATTTGGTCATCTTGGTTTCAAATTTGGTCTTCTTGGTTTAAATTTGGTCATCTTGGTTCAAAATTCGGTCATCTTGGTATCAAATTCAGTCATCTCGATCAACTTGGTGCCAAATATAGTCAAATTGGTCTTATTGGTGTCAAATTTGGTCATCTTGGTATCAAATTTGGTCATCTTAGTATCAAATTTGGTCTTCTTGGTTTAAAATTTGGTCATCTTGATTTGAAATTCGGTTATCTTGGTATAAAATTCAGTCATCTCGATCAACTTGGTGCCAAATTTAGTCAAGTTGGTCTTATTGGTGTCAAATTTGGTCATCTAGTATCAAATTTGGTCATCTTAGTATCAAATTTGGTCTTCTTGGTGTCAAACTTAGTCATCTTGCTGTTAAAGTTTAATCTTGGTTTTAGGTTATGGAACGGACAACACTACTAGTCCACCTGTAGACTATTGGATTTTAAAAAACAGCTGGTCAACAGATTGGGGAGAGAATGGATATATGAAGTTACAAATAGGATCAAGTTTGTGTGGAATTAATACATATGTCGTATATCCTACAGCTTAATCAGCTTTAACATTTTAAACTAGCTCAAATAAATGAAATTTAAAAAAGAAAAAAAAATATTTTTAAAAATTGTTTGAATTTTTTTGTAAACTATTTTAAATGCACAACAATTGCATAACATCTGTAAATATTATTCAGCTTGGACATCAACACGTGAATTTTTCGTTTTTTCACTAATGCATGCAAAAGCTGCACATGTCAACGACCGTATTTTTATAACGAATTGTTTAGATTTCGGACATTATCAACATGCTACTTGAGAGTATAAAATCGACTGATGTCGTTCGAAATTCTATTAATCTTACACAATTGATGCAGCTTAGCTTACAATAAGTTCTTTAAAAATGGAATCTCAGACACCGCAAAAAGTCGTCAACATTTTTCCAAAACGACGACAAAACTTGCTGAAAGAAAGTGGTTGGGGATATCGCGATGCTTACTTGTACTTTGATAAGCAGAAGAATTCACTCATGTTTCATGGAAAGCGGTAAGTTTATTGACACTTAAAGATTCAGGAAGGCTCTGGGTGTAATATGAAAGCCTTCAGAGGATGACATCATTGCTATCCTATACAATCAGGGACATTCTTTAGATTCTTGAAGTATAGAACCAAAAATTTAGCCCGAAAACTCATAACCGACTTCTCTTGCTTTACGATGTCACTACATCCACTCTAGTGCCTGGTTTCTGAAGCTACCTGAAGTCAATCTACTCTAAAATTGAGTAGTTGACTCAGATAGCCCACGAACCCGACAACTGCCCATCCATTTAGCTACACCTCGCTAGCCTTAACAGAATTTTCATTCCAGCTACCCAAACATAGGCTCAAAACCGTTAGGACGTGCATTAGATGGCTTCAAAAAAATCTACAACATTGACATTTCAAACTACAACCCAGAAAAGTTTAAACCACCATCCAGCAGTGACTACCCAGTCACAGACAACATAAAATTCAGAGAAAGTCTTTCAAACCACAAAATCGAGCATTCTATTGCTTTTGAGGATCGCTTCTATCGAGGACATTCACAATCAAGTGCCGACATCTACATAGCTTTGTACGAGAAGTTTCAAAAAATTCCTGATATTGTCGTTTGGCCTAAAAATCACGATGAAGTTGTTAAAATTGTTGAATTTGCAAATGAGTTTAATGTTGGAATTATTCCATTTGGTGGAGGCTCGAATGTCACAAATGCTACTGAATGTCCAGCTGCTGAAAACCGTTCGATTTGCTCGCTTGACACAACTCAGATGTGTCGACTTATGTGGATTAATGAGAAGTCAAAGCTAGCTTGTTTCGAAACTGGAATCAGTGGACAGGATTTGGAGAAGGTGTTGAGATCAAAAGGGTTTACAATGGGGCATGAGCCTGATTCTATTGAGTTTTCTACATTAGGTAAGTTTGGTTATTAAATTAGGGACTGAAATTTAAAGGACTGGAATTGATGTACTATAATTGAAGTACTAGAATGACAAACTAGAATTAAAGTACTAGATTGACGGACTAGAATTGAGTTACTAAAGTTGAATTACTTGAACTAAGGTACTAGAATTGAAGTACTAGAGTTTATAAGTATTGAAGTACTAGATTTGAGGTAATAGATTTGTGGTACTTGATCTTAATTAAAGTAGTAAATGAGTTTTTCTAGAACTAAAGAAATAATAAATCTTCCAGGTGGTTGGATAGCAACAAAGTCAGCAGGCCTGAAACAACAAAGTTACGGCAACATTGAGGACATCGTTGTCAAAATGAAGTTTGTCTCATCCGTTGGTGTACTTGATCATGACTTAACAGCACCACGTGCATCAACTGGACCAGATATTGAGCGTCTTTTAATCGGTTCTGAAGGTACACTTGGCGTTGTCACAGAAGCTGTTGTCCGTATCCATCCAATTCCTAAATGTGTCAAATATGCAGCATTTGTCTTTCCTGATTATTCATCTGGAATTAAGTTCCTCTACAATTGCTCAAAAAATGATTGGTTGCCAACAAATATTCGATTATTTTGTAACTTGAATGTCAGAACTGGAATTGAATTGGAAGAAACTGACAAATTAAGGAACGTCATTCATCACATCCGCATGTTTATGATCAGAAATGCATTGAGACTTGATGAAGAGAAGTTCACTGTTGCTGCTTACATGATTGAAGGTGATGAAAAAACTGTTGGATGGAAAGATGATCAACTTAAGGCGATTGCAAGGAAATTCAATGGATTTTACGTTGGCGAAAGTAACGCAAAGCATGGATATAAGTCATCATCGACTTACTCAATTTATTTGAGAGTAAGATTGAAGTTTGTTTTTGAATTTTTGGTGATTTTTTGACGCTTTGCTTTTACTTAGGATCTGTTATATAATGTTGGAACAATGGCTGACACTGTGGAAACTTCTATAATTTGGAGCAATCTTGAGGGTTGTATAGAAAAGATGATTAATGGATATAAAGAGGAACTAAAGAGGCTTGGACTTAATGGATATATTTTGTACAGGTTAGATATAATACTAATCTAGTACTTCAATTTTAGTATTTAATTTCTAGTAGTTTAGTTTTTGGACTCTTAATCTAGAACTTTAATTCTAGTATTTCGATTCTAGTACTTTAGTTCTAGTACTTCAATTCTAGTACTTCAATTCTTGTACTTTAATTCTAGTACTTTAATTTTAGTACTTCAATTATAGTACTTTAATTCTAGTACTTCAATTCTAGTACTTTACTTCTAGTACTTTAATTCTAGTACTTTAATTTTACTTCTTCAATTCAAGTACTTGATTCTAGTACTTCAACTCTAGTCCTCCAATTCTAGTACTTCATTTTGATACTTCAACTTTAGCCCTTCAATTCTAGTTCCTCAAAACTAGAAAATAAAATTAACGACCTTAAAATCTAGTACTAAAATCACAAATTCTTCTAATTCCCAGAATTTCTCAAGTCTATAAAGAAGGTGTCTGCCTCTACACCTACTACGGCCTCAACAAATGTGACGACCAACTCAAAACCTTCCGTAAACTCACAGACTATATCAAATCCATAATTATCAAATCTGGAGGAAGTTTATCACATCATCATGGAATTGGAGTCAAAAATACAGGAAGATATAATGCAACAATGCCAGAACTAAAGAAGGACATGTTGAAATGCATCAAGCAGCATGTAGATCCAAAAAATATTTTCTGTGTTAAGAATTTCTTTGCTGATGAAAAATCTGAGGATTGTAAAATTGTTTCAAAGTTGTGAAAAAAAATAAAAATTTTTATTTAAATTTCCTGTGGTTTATTCAAGTACAATTAGATAAGGTTGGGGCACAGGCAGTAAAGAGAACCATTCTGTGGGTTTAGAGTTGAATTTAGTAGAAGCTGTAAATGAGTTCTTGAGGATTAAAAATCAATTCTTAAGCAACTTCTCCAACTTTTCATCCAAAACCTCCTCAAACCTTTTAATTATTCGATTTTCAATTCCTTTAACCTTCTCATCAAGCCTCAATGTAATCTTGTGTCTCGTGTTTAGCAGTTCTTTTTCAATTTTCTCAAATTTTCCTGCATTTTCAGTCTTAAAATCCACAAAATGGCCTTCAAGACCTTCCAGTTTTTTCTCAAACTTTCCCAGCTTTTCCTCAAAGTTTTCATTCTTGCTTGGATTGATGCTGTTCAGTGAAATTCTCATTTCGTTCTGTGAATTCTTAATTTTCATCAAATTATCTTTAAACTCATTCTGTGACTTCTTGATGTCACTAAGGATGACCTCCATGTCACTCATCGAACTGTGCAGGTTGTCTTGTGATGACTTTATTGCTTCTTGGGAGGTTTTGAGGATGTTTTGTGAGGATTTGAGGGTTTCTTGAGTGGATTTGATGTCATTTAAGGTGCTTGCTGTTGTATTTTGAGAGGAACTAAGGTTGTTGATTGTTGTGGTTAGTTCAGTGAGGTTCACTGCTGGATGCTGATCAACTCTGGAGCATTGGTTTGATATTAATGCTGCAATTCCACTTAAAGCAGCTTTTTGGTCATTTTGTGAACTTTTAAGCTCAGTTATTGAATTTTTGAAATTATTTTGTGATGTTTTGAGGTCAAATAGGAAGCTGGACATGCCACATTGAGATGTCTTTAGGTCTTCGAATTTATCTGTGAAGTCTATTGTTACTTGTGGTGCAGGGCTTGTTTTTTGAGTGGCAGCTGTTGATGTTGCTTGATAAATTGAGTAAAATTCAGATTTAAGTTCTGCAACTTTGTAGTTTAATGGTCGAAACTTAAAGAACTTTGAACTGTTGAACGAGTTTTCGAAACTTTCTAGTTTATTCTTAAAATCCTCAGAATTGTCACCACCCGAATCATTTACAAGATTTTCAAACTTTTCAGCCAATGCTTTTAGTTCAGGACTTACACATTCATCCAGCTTATCTTCTATGAATTTTTCCACTTCATTTCTAGAGCCACGAACATCACGATTAATGCAAGGAATGCTTGCACAAAGGAAATTGACAAGTCCTGACAACTCATCAAAGACATCTGGGTGGATATGAATGATATTGCTCTCCTGAATTTGAATTGTCTGCAATTTTAAATTAAAATCGAACAATCCTTCCTCAATGATTTCAATTTCGTTGTGGCTCAGGCTCAGATAGATCAATTCACTGAATGGCTTCAGATCTGCTTGATGAATTTCTTGCAAATAACAGGATGCGATGTAAATTACTTTAATGTTCTCAAAAAATAATTCTAAACCTCGCGGGAAATATTTGATGGTTCTGTGATTAATATAAAGTCCGTGCACATCATCGTCGTCGTTTGGGTCTTCGTGTGATCCATCGACAGATTTTATTTTTGTAGATTCCTGATCCGTGATGTTTGGATCGTTGCTGACATCACAATGGTATATCCGACTTAAATAGTTGAAATCCCAATATTCATATTTACAGTCAATGTTAGTTGATGCTGATTGATTGCTGAATGATAAGCACAGGAATACGGCAATGCTAGGTTTGGATGAAAATTTAAATATTCAGAATCTAAGCTTAATAAAGCAATAAAGTCAAACTCACAATAAATATTTCATCATTCCTTAAAATCAGACTTTGTGGTTCAAAAGTTGAAAACAGATTGAAAAATAGATTTAAATATTTTATGGGGAATTCCAACTCACAAGAGCATTGAGAGAAGCTAGAAAAAAAATTAAATTAATTGACCCACGCGAAAGGATCAACGATCAGCATATAGCTTGTTGATAAGAGTAGGCATTTTTTGTTATGATTGCGATTCTATTTGCTCAATTTAAGGCATGGCTTCATGAATGAAAATTTAACTTTTATAAAGAAGCGCTAATGCAAGACTAAATTCTCTGTTTCCGTGTTGAAAGGTTAATCTTTAACGTCTTTCAATGAAGGATTGAGTTCAATTCAACAAAATTCTGGTCTCTCAGTCTAAACTGTTGTCCTCACGTGACATAATTTACTGGAACCAAGACCTTATTCCTAACATTTTCTTGCCATATCGCTAAGCTGAGAGAAGGTTTTAACCAGTCAAAACTATCTTAACAAGTTGTGTCCTTGTAAAAATGTGAAAAGATTTTTAATAATTTCAGAAACTACATGCATCTTTCGTCCCCATCAGCAGCTAACCTCCTTTTAAAATTTAAATATTTCAGTGATGACCAACCCGTGTGCTGCGGCACGCTTGTGTTTTTTGAAAAATTTTGGGATATCCTACAAACCGAATTCTGTGTGCGGTTTCGATCATGGCTTATTGTAAAGTCTGCCTCGGCAGAAAAAAGGTTGGACACTACTGAAATAAATTGTAAATAATAACATAAAAAACTTTTAATTCGAGCATTAATTTAGGTACTTAAATAGTTTCTTCTAATTCATTTTTGTCTTGCTTAAAGAATTTTAATAGTTCAGTTTATTAATTGCTGTTTAAGCTATAATTATTAAAACTAGGATGGAGTTTTCAAAGCTAACCTCAACATTCCTTGGATTCATCATCATCCTAACCTCAAAAGTTCAAGCAACACCGTTCGAAATTCCACAGGAAATCCACAACAAACTCTTTGAAGCAACTGAGCTGTCTCATGAAATAGTTTGGGCTGTTGCAACTGTTTTTGCATTGTCGATCGTCGCTGTCATCACTTGCATCGTCTTGAAGCCTAAACATTGCTGCAGATTCATCAGTTACCTTTGTGGATTCATCTTTGGATGCAGTTTTTTGGTTATTTTCATTTTTGCATTGATCATGTTGATTGCTTTTATGAAGGATCATTATGAATGGTAGAGTTTGGGGTGGATTTGGAGGTTATGGCAGCATCAACTTTTGTCAAACATCCTTAAATCTTGATTTTTAATCACTATTTCGTCAAATAAAATGGAAAATTTTGGTCAAATGTTTTCTTTTAACTGTCAATTGTTTTTGAAATGGGTAAATTTGAGTCTGGACAAAGTTTTTGGATGCTCAGCAGCCTCAATTTGTCCACGTTCTGTCTTAGGAATATCGAGTTCCTGATGCTGAGCCTAGACTATACCAGGTTAAGCATAGATCTCATCAATTATCATCAAAATTGACCAACTTAGCTGTCACAGTCAACATTAATTCCCAAAACCATGATTTTACAGCCTCAACAAGCATTTAAGACTTACATCCTCAATGTTTTAGCTTCAACACTAAACATTTAATAATCAACATCCATTAAACATTGAAAAATCCAAATAAAACACAACAAAAACATTGAAAATTCTCCAAACATCAACACTTGTTATAGAAACATTAAAAAATATTAAATAAATTGTCACAGCGAATGTTATTTCAGTCAATAACAAAGAAATAGTCAATGTGAAGGAACGAAAGCTGCGCATTCATTAAAAAATAATTTAATTTAGAATCTCTAGAAAGTAATTTTGGTATTTTTGTACGAAATTAGGTAGTTTAAGAGTTATTAAAGTCAATTTTGAGGGTATTTGTAAGTTGAAGCCAAACTTTTTTGTTGGAAGATATTGGAGAAATTGAAAATAAGTAAAATTTTGAAGTGAAAAACGTGATTTTTGTGAAAATTTGATTCAAATTGTGAAGTTTTTGCTGGAAAATAATTTAATTGAAAACAAAGAAGTGAGTCTGATATGAATTTTATTGTGATTGTTGTTTAAAAATAATTTATTTTGAAATTATGATGAATATTGAATTTTTTAAAACTATTTTAAATTTTTTAAAACTATTTTGAATTTTTAAAAATTATTTTGAATTTTTAAAAATTATTTTGAACTTTTTTTAAATTGTTTTGAATTTTTAAAATTATTTTGAATTTTTGAAAAGTGATTTTGAATTTTTAAAAGTTATTTTGAATTTTTGAAAATTGTTTTGAACTTTTTAAAATTTTTTTGAACTTTTTTAAAATTGTTTCGAATTTTTTAACATTATTATAAATTTTTTAAAACTTTCTTGAATTTTTAAAAGTTATTTTGAATTTTTAAAAATTATTTTGAACTTTTTTAATTTGTTTTGAATTTTTTAAAATTATTTTGAATTTTTGAAAAGTGATTTTGAATTTTTAAAAGTTATTTTGAATTTTTAAAAATTGTTTTGAACTTTTTAAAATTGTTTTGAATTTTTTAAAATTATTTTGAATTTTTTAACATTATTATGAATTTTTTAAAACTTTCTTGAATTTTTAAAAATTATTTTGAATTTTTAAAAATTATTTTGAACTTTTTTAATTTGTTTTGAATTTTTTAAAATTATTTTGAATTTTTGAAAAGTGATTTTGAATTTTTAAAAATTGTTTTGAATTTTTAAAAATTGTTTTGAACTTTTTAAAATTGTTTTGAATTTTTTAAAATTATTTTGAATTTTTTAACATTATTATGAATTTTTTAAAACTTTCTTGAATTTTTAAAAATTATTTTGAATTTTTAAAAATTATTTTGAACTTTTTTAATTTGTTTTGAATTTTTTAAAATTATTTTGAATTTTTGAAAAGTGATTTTGAATTTTTAAAAATTGTTTTGAACTTTTTAAAATTGTTTTGAATTTTTTAAAATTATTTTGAATTTTTTAAAATTATTTTGAACTTTTTAAATTATAATAAATTCTTAAAAATCAATTTGAATTTTTTAAAATTTAGTTTGACCGTTTCTGAATTTTTAAAAATCATTTTGAATTATTTGAAAGTTAATTTTACCCGTTTACGATTTGTAGCTTTTCCACAATATTTTAACATTTTTTTTGCTATTTTTTCAATTTTTTTAATATTCAAAAATTTAAATTTTACTTTTTCCAGCAATAAAATCTCCAAAAATTAGCCAAAATGACCTCAAAAATCATCACATCACTTCTCATCCTCACACTTACCATAACTCTCATCTCATCAGCACCAAATGCTCAACAAGACATGAAAGACATCACAGAAAATGTCTCAAAAAATCTCACAACTTACATTATTGCCGGAGTAGTAATCCTCTGCGTCATCATAGCACTCTTGTGCTGGACAGCAGCTAAAGGCTGTTGTTGTATCTTCAAAATCGCGTTGCTTGCAGGCTGTGGAATTGCGTTGTTCTTTATTATTTTTAAGGGAACGGCCGACTACAAAGAATGGAAATTCTAAAAATAAGTTTTGGGAGTGAAAAAATGTTTTGGTGGGAAAAATTGTGAAAATTTTTTTGGGAGTTGAATCTTAATTGGTTTTTGTAATGATTTTTGGTTGTTTTTTAACCAAGCATTCCGTTGGGAAGTTAGTTTGTATGTTGAAAGGCTTGTCATTCAAGAAAAAAACTTAATCTCATGCGATTTTGACATAATTGTGTGAATTAAATTAAGCAAAATATTCTAATAATGTAGGTGTGATGACATAATAAGCTTAATTAAGCTTCAATGTGTGTTATTGAGTTTGTATGTTTGATGTTTGCATCAGTTTATTTTTTGAAGGTTGTTGAATCCCTACACTTGGTTCAAACATGTCATAAGATTAGAACTGACATAACCAAGTGTATGTTGCTAGAAGATGAACAAAAAAAATTTTATGATAAAATGAAGCCTCATTTTTGAGTCAACAACACATGAACATAAATAAAAGCTTTAAACAATGATTAAAAGTCATGAGATTGTGTTTGTTTGGACTGAGAGAGATGGAAAGTGTGCTAAAATCATTTAAATAAATTTTTACAAGCCAATTTTACTTTTATTTTCATTAAAATCTATTCACAATTTTTCTCCCAAAATTAAATTTTTTATTTGCAACGAAAATAGTTCTAGAAATTAAATAGCGACGATTTAATACTTTTACATCACAAACTCAATAAAATCGTTGGTATTCATTTACTCGCTCAGAAAATTGTAAAAAATTGTTTAATTTTATTTATTGAAAGAATAATTTTTTTAAAATTTATGAATTTTTTGAAATTTTTCATTTTGTAACATTTTGTTTTGAATTTTAAAAATCAATTGAGTTCATAAAAAATCCACTAAATTATATTTAAAATTATTTGAATTCAGCTTTGTTAAACTACATATTGTAATATTAAGCCATATTGGTGCCGAATTCTCATGGATTTATGAGGCTAGAAATTAAATTTATAAAAACTTTTTCACTAAAAAGACATCACAGCTACTAGAAAATAAGACATAATACGACCAATGTGCTTTAAATTGTTGTTTTTTAAATTTAAAATTTATTTAAAAATTGAAAATAAACTCAAAAAAAGGTAAAGATCTGGGAAAATGAGATATTTTGAACAGGTTTTTCATCAAATTTTAAAATTAAAGTTTTATTGAATTTACTCGAAATATTTTAAACAATTATTTCAACTTTTTCTCATTTACAAATTAACATTTTCTATAAATTTTCTATAAATGCTAAATTTTTTAATTCAAATACAGACCAAATTACGTCCATCGGAATAAAATGAAATTTAAAAAAATAACTGAAATTGTTCCTGCGTTTTACTGAAACATCTTTGTATAAAAATTAAAATAATATAGCTTTTATGTAACCAACACAGTGATGCACAACCTTTTTTGTGCCACGGCACACTTGGTGGGTAGCCATGACTAAAACAGCACACGGCATAAGATTCGTAAGAATGTAAAAAAAATTACATTAGTGTGCCGCGACACATGGGTTGACACTCACTTGTAAAAGTAAAAATAAAAAGACAAAACATTTTAAAATTAATTAATATAATACAAAATTATTATTTTAATTGTAAGATTTTAAATACACACAGTGGATGGTTTCTAGATCCACCCCGGGGCATTCTAGGGTCAAAATGAAATCCTATGATCAGACTAAGGGTCGTTCATATATGACGTCCATCAAAAAACCTGATTTTTAGACCCTCTTCCCCCCTCTGTCACAAAAATTCTATAGAAAAAAATTTCAACTGTTTGAACTGTCACAAAATCCTAGACCCCCTCTCCCCTAAAATGTCGGATGTCATAAGTGAACGGCCCCCTAGGTTTAAATGCCCCGAATAGACTTAAAAACCAGACCCAACTGGTAGAAACTTGAAGAGAGTGGGATCGAAAAGGGGGAGGGGGGAGGGGATTTTTTCATAAATACTCTGAAATTAAAAAAAATCCTTTTAACGAAGGGGATCCCCCAAATTCCCCCTGACTACACCCGCACAATACCATTTAATTGCACATAACAAACTGTACCATCAACACTTATCACATGCCAGCCACGTAATTGTGATTTTTTGAAGGAAAACACTTTGTTTTTTACAATAACAAACATTCACATGACTACAAGGTTCTTATAAGCTATGACTAGCATTCTGTCACTACAACAGAAACAATAAATCGTGTGTAAAATAATGAGTCATGAAAAAAATAGATCGCATGATTGAAATCATGTGACACATGCACGATTTGACTCCAAAATGAATTTCTTTCTTGACCAAAAGTCCTCAGAATTGAAAATATTTGGTCAATTGACTTTTATTATGTGTGCATGCATTGAATGGATTCATTGAATTTATTCAAATTTTGTCATCAAGGTTAATTCAAGCTGTAAACAAGGTGGTCGATGATGAGTTGGTTTTGTAAGTTGTAGAATTAAATCATGTCCGAAAAGCACACGATTTAAAAACGGCTTCTAATCTGTTGTCCATGTCAGCATAAACGCAACACAATGTCGAATTTCACCAAATTCAGTGTAGTGCCGAGTAAAAGCTGTCCTCGATGCTAGATTGACAGCCATTTTTTAAGACCGTGCGCTTTTCGGGATGTATCAAAAAAAAAAATCTTAATCTTGATCAATTTTCTGCTTCATCCATTAAAATAACAGGAAATAAATTCATGCTTAATGTTGATTGCTTTGTAAATAGTTGACTAAAACATCAAATTCAAAACATTCAACATTCCCTACCCCCCCCCCCCCCCCCTAAAAAAACAACTGTTGATCACAACATCCCGCAAAATTTCATAGTTTTGCTCCCCTTTTTGTATACAAAATAACTTTTCTAAAACTTTTTAATTAAATTCTAATTTTGAACCAAGAATCTTGCTATAATTTACACCAAATCTATCGTAAATCCCAATAAAATGACCTTCAAAGTGATAATAGCTCTAAGCATAATCAGTATTTTTAATACAATCAACTCACAAACGTGTGATAAAAATAAAAATTGTGATCATATTGAGTCGGATGAGTTTGATGAGTGTAAGTATTGCGTCAGTTCATCTGTTTGTATGTCCGTCTGGTTTTTTGTTCAACAGTTCATCAGTCTGTTTGCCTGTCTGTCTGCTCTTAATAAATCCACCATCAAATAAGTTAAATCAAATTTCCAATTTTTTTTTTCCAGTCACCAACAAAATAACATCCCAAATCAGCACTGCCTTATCATCATACAAACCATGTAAATCTCAAAATTGTTCCTGTCACATTGACGTCCTTAAAAGAGACTTTAAAACCTTCGAGAAAGGAATAACCAGGCGAATGCTGGACGATGTCAAGTCTCACGGAACTGTCTATCAAATAATTAAGAATAAAATTTACAGACAAAAAGACTGCAACTTTCCGTCGAGATGCTCTGGTGTTGAATATTTTATAAAGAATATTTTAAATAAAGTGAAACTTCCGGACATGGAGCTTGTCATAAATGTCAGAGACTATCCACAAATTCTACCTCACTATGGACGACAAGGTCCAGTGCTGTCATTTAGTAAGACTGGAAGCTACCTAGACATTATGTTTCCAGCATGGGCATTTTATGAAGGAGGTCCAGCAATTAAATTATATCCAACAGGTCTTGGTCGATGGGATTTACATCGAGACTCGATGTCAGCAGCTGCTGAACAATATCCGTGGATTAAAAAAGAATCAAAAGCATTTTTTAGAGGATCAAGGACGTCCGATGAGCGGGATGCACTGGTTCTTTTGTCAAGAGAGAATCCAGAATTTGTTGATGCACAATATACAAAAAATCAAGCATGGAAGTCACCTAAAGACACACTCGGTGCGGAACCAGCTGATGAAATTTCACTCGAGGATCACTGCAAATATAAAATATTATTTAATTATCGAGGCGTGGCTGCAAGCTTTCGATTCAAATATTTATTTTTATGTAAATCACTTGTCTTTCATGTCGGCAACGAATGGAAGGAATTCTTTTATGACTCACTAAAGCCTTGGATCCATTATGTTCCAGTTGACAGCAAGTCAAAGCCTGATTACTTCGAAAAATTGATAAAATTCTTCCTAAATCATCAAGAAATCGCTCAAGAAATTGCAGAACGAGGACATGAAATGATTTGGAATAATTTAGGGGTGGACGATGTTGAATGTTACTGGAGGAGACTATTGAGGAGCTATGGAAGGTTGATGAAGTTTGAAGTTGAGAGGAATGAAGATTTTATTGAGGTTTAGAGATTTTACAAATTAGGACTTCAACTAGGGGATATTTAGGGATATTTGAGGGATATTTTAAGGAAATTTAAGGGATATTTGAAGAAAATTTGGGAAATGTTTGAAAGATATTAATAAGATATTTATCGGATACTCGAGGGATATTTGTGGGATATTTTAGGGATATTTGGGGATATTTTAAGGATAAATATTGATTTCTAGAGATATTTTAGGGAAATTTGGAAATGTTTGAAATATATTAAAGGGATATTTGAGGGATATTTGGAGAATATTTTAGGCATGTTTGGGAGATATTTTAAATAATAATTGGGAAATTAGAAGAAAATTTGGGGAATGTTTGAAATACATTAAAGGAATATTCGAGGGATATTCAAGCGATGTTTGAAGAAAATTTTGTAATGTTTAAGGGATATTATGGGGATATTTAAGTGATCTTGGAAGGATATTTCAGGAGTGTTCAAGGGATAGTTGAGGGATCTTTGATGAATATATATTAGAAATATTAAAGATATTTTTTGTGGGATATTTAAGGGATATTTGGGGGATATTTGAGAACTTTTGTGGCTTGAATACTGAGTTTTGAAATAAAAAGTTGAATTTTTAATGAAAACTCAAGACAAGAATCTTATTGCCAAATTTTTTGTTTATTTCATATCTTAAAAGTAGAAAATATGTACTTTAGTAAGGCTTAGATTCTAATTTCACATTTTTTCATAATTTTTTTTTTTAAATATTTCGAATCATTTTTTTTTTCATATTGTTGTTGTAGGATCAATCTTCTAAGTCCGGGTTTTCCGGTATTAAGTTAAACTTACTCCTATCTTTCTCCTTTTAGTGCCTCTAATAAAGCCTAATAGTAGAAGCAACCTTAGCAGCCCAAACTATTCTTTAATATTTTTTTCTAATTTTTCCTCACAGTAGAGTTCATCATTAGTTCCCCCATTCCTTTGTGATGCATTCAGAAAACTTTATTTTAACTTAATATAATTTTAAAATTTTCAATTAACTCGAATAAACCTAATTTACTTCCCCTAACGCCCATCCCCATCATCATCATCAACCACCTCAACCTCCTTATACCTTGTTGATAAAAAGAATTGATGAAGCAGATCAGCCTTTAGTGTCTTCGGTATTTCCAGGGCTATTATGTCACTCCTCGTTCGAACCAGGAACAGAACTTTCCATAAACCGATTTCACGAAGAGATCTCATTGGCAGATGAATATTGGCATCTTGTCGCTCAACTGAGACTAAACCGTCTTCTGAATTTGTGATGAAATTGAACCATGGCTTGCCTAAGAAGACTTCGTTGTTGTTGATGCACATGCGTTGACCGGTGTCGGGACAAAGGCAGATCCATGGGTGGGTGACGAATGTGTTGACCTGAAATGTTGAGATGATTAGTATTTTGATTTTTGTGGGTCTTTGGGAAGTCTGGAAATGATTGTTTTAGGTCACAAAATATAATGGACTTCAGGAAGCTCTAGAAGGCATTTATAAGATGATTCAAGCTTTTTTTTGTACCTTTTGTAGTTCAATGAATCGACTAATCCCTCAATACATGCATCAAGACCAAAAACTGCAGACTGGCAGTCAATTAAGGCAAATATAACCCATTTCATCATCAATTACTCACCACAACACTGGCAGAAGGTTCTAAAGTTGAATAATGAACGTTTTTTCCTCGATAATTGATCCAATGAACTTCAATTTTGCGTGGCGAGCAGTTGATGAATTTAACAAAGGCTCTGATGTTGCTTTCGCGTGACCTTAACATAAGGAGTCTGAAATAATGAGTGAGTAGGTAAATTTGATGTTATTTAGGGATTAGTTTAGATCAGTGATGTCCAACCCATATGCCACGGCACGCTAGTGTGCTACAAAAAATTCAGAAAATTCCACGAACCGTGTGGTTTCACTAAGGTGTGATATGGGCCATAAAGGTTGGACACCGCTGGTTTAGATGATAAAACAGGCTAGAGGAGTTGATTTAATAAGATTTTGAGACAATATGAACTTTAAACTTCTGAATGAAGCCTTGTGTCGGTTGGGATAATCTTGTGAGCCTTGAAATAATGAAACAGAGCACAGAATCTCTTCCTTATCAATCAATGATTGTAGATCAATGCTAGTATGTCATTTTATTTAGATTGAATCTTGGAGGAGTTCTGATCATTTCATGGTCAAATATTAATGAAGTCTTGGTTGAATCTTAGTCAAATCTAGTTAAAGTTTGACTGACTAAGTCAAATTCTTGAAGAAATGTTGTCCAAATCTTAAATTCACCAACTTACCTTTTGCCATGTACCAAAAATTATAACTGGACTTATTCTTCTTTTCAGCAGACAATTAATTCACAATTTCGGATAGTTTTACAATTTTTTAATAATTTGTAGTTTTTTGCAGTCATTTCACATCATTATTTACCATTAAATTGTCATTTTTACCAAACTATAAAATTAAATTTCTTTTCAATTTCGCCCTAAATCGTAAAAAGACAAATTTGCAGCTACAACTGCAGTTCATAATATTACTTTAAGTTGACTGATAGTTTATTGTTTAATTTTAAAACACAATTTTGACATTAAATCGTTTATTACTTGTGAAATGCATTAAAAATATTTCTCAACTAGTGAACAATTTGTTTTTTATTTACAAATCTCGTATGAAATGGGAGGAATTTGAAAGTTTTGGAACTTGAAAAAGATTTTTAAATATTTTTGAATCGTTAAATAAATTTTGAGATTTTTAAACAATTGATGAAGTTTATTCAATTTTATGGACAATTCATGAGCAATTTAATCTGAATTTTTGTGAAATCCTATAAACCGCATCTCAAAGTCATCCATTCATGTATAAATAAGGTTTCATGATTTCAGCTATTGGATGTCAGAGCCAACATCACATTTAGTGCATTCTTGACCACATGTAAGAGATAAGTCAGAAATCTACAACTACAGCTATCAACATTTTTCCTAGAGACTCTAAGCTCTTTTTACTAAGTTTGCTTTGCCATAGTCACAAACATCTCATTTTTTGATGGTCAAAACAACAAAATGACAGCACAAACGCCCAGAAATCCTTACCTTTCAGTTTCTAATTTTAAAATTTTCAATCCCAAACCACAACAGAGTCACAAATGTAATTGACAGTTAGCTAAGCTCAGCAGTTCTTCATCATGAAGCTAAAGTCCTTTGTATCATGCCAGAATCATTGAGTCAATACAGCACAGAATCAAAGGTTTAGAAACATTCACAAAATTAGGATTTTTACAGGTTGCGATGGTTCACATGACGACATCTAGTGACATGATCTATGCAATTCTGTATTCGCTTGCGTATGAAGGCAAAGTAATTGAGAATCCAGATTTTAATTTTTCCTGAGTTCCACTTTATTACCAGCCACCGCTCATCACTAATCATAGTCATTGCCCTCATCCAAAATGCACGATTTAAGATCCTTCTTATGGAAAATTCATCATAATTTATAACTTTATGGGGTAGACGTCAAATGGATCTGACACTGAACACAGCTAAAGCAGCTAAATATCCTTCACGTCGACTGATCATTTACGATAAGAAGAGCTTCTGTGCTTTAGTTCCAATTCCACAAAAAGCTGCATTATTTGACTTAATCTTCATCAAACCATTCGATGGACTCACTTTGATGCTATTTGGAGTGGCAATCATTAGTTCTGTAGCAGTCTGGATGTTATTTCATGATCGTAGTGCTGTCGACTCTCACTGGCGACTTGCTGCTGGCATTTTTAAAATGTTTATTGGTCAAGGAGCTGCTATTTCTCGTCGGATTCGTTTTGTTCTTGCTGTTTTGCTTAAGTTAACATCTGCTGTTCTGGATTCATTCTTAGTAACTTGTATGAAGGTGTCATCACGTCATTTATGATTGAACCAGCTCATGAAAGTAGACTCAAAACTGTGGACGAGTTCGTAGCATCAAGCTATGAACTTATTGCTAACAATGGATTCGAATCAAAACTAATTGATTTCAATTTGCTTGATGACATTAAGCCAAGACTCAACTTGTCTGGAATAACAATGAACAATGAAGATGATAAATATGTCATTGAGCAACGCTGTGTGTTTATTAGGACCTGTGATGTTGCTAGAATCTTCTTAGCTTCAAAGCTTAAAAATGGCAAATTTGTATCTGATTACAATTATCTCCTGCAAAAGGAACTAACATGGAAGTTTATCGAGTTGGAAGCAAACTATTTAAATCCATTCATCACTTGTCTTCAGTATTACATCGACTTGTCATTGTCATCAAGCTGGACTGCCTCACATGTGGAAGGTGTTTGTATCAATTGGCTAGTCAGATGTGCTGAATTCTCAAACTCGAGATGAAAAGGATTATTTAAAGATTTTTGCTGTTGTTTTTGTAATTTTATTGATTGAATGTGGATTGTCAGCTGTTGTTTTGGTGCTTGAGATTTTCTTTAAGGATTTAAGTGATTGCTGTTGTTTTTGTTGGAATTTCATGAAGATAAATGGCGTCCGAAATAGAATTAGCAATCCTAAAGTTCAAAGAATTACTGTTAAACCTTGAATGCAGGGAGCCTAATTAAGGGACAACCTGAACTTACATTTTGGGAGCTGTTTAATTTTTTTGCGGGCCAGTGATGGCCAACCCATGTACCGCGGCACTCTTTTGTGTAAAATGTTCTGGAAACCCCACGAACCGTATGCTGTGTGCGGTTTTGGTTGTGTTTTAATCACAAAGTTTGCCATGGCACGAAAAAAGGTTGGCCAACACTGCTTTAGGCTAAAGTTTTTCAAATGGATTTCACTTCTGTTGCATTAAAATTTTTTTGAGGCTTAATGGCTCGCATCACAGTTAAATTAACTCGCTGAAAGTCAAGTGATAAGCACAAAAGTGAGAGTAAACAAAAAGAAGCATTTACAAGTCTCAACTCTCAAAAATCACAACAGCTTATGCATCTCAATATTCTCAGTTCTTCGTTCTCTTTTGATCAGTTCGGAGATGCTGTTGCTTACTTGCTTGATATTTTCAAGCTTTTATCCTTAAATTGTTGATAAAACTTTGACAAAATTGTGAAATTTGAGAAAATAAAAATATTTAAAATAAAAGAATTGTAAAAAAAGAAGAAAAAAGTGAGAAATTTGTGGATTTAATAAAAAGACACGTAGCTGTGCTGATTAGCTTGAAACTTTGTGAATTTTTTTATGGTTTTTGTGAACTTTTGAACTTCCGCGCGTGATTTTATAAAAATGAAGTTTTTTGCACTTTTGTTGACTTTTCTGCTTTGTGTTGTTAATTTGAAATATGCAGCATGCTTAAAATGTCAATTTAACATTTTTTCCGAAAGCTACACATGTATTTTAACACCAGACTCAATCAGCACAGAAGTAAAACATGATGCTGGAATGACTGATGAAAATGTTAAAATAATTAAATTTGAGGGATTCAACAAAAAAGATTTCACTCGATCAGATTTAAGTCCTTTTTGTCAGCGATTTGATGGTATATAATAATTTGGTCGTCCACATATTTGTTAATCTTAATTCTTCTTACTTGCTGTTCACTAGATTTTTTGATATTGGACAAGCCAATGATTTAAATTTCAGAAAACCGTTAATTTTTGAATCTTAACAAACCGTTTTATTACGGTTCTCAGTGCAAATCACTTGAGAGGTTTTTTCTTTAGTCGGCTATAGTCGACTAAAACCGGCTAAAGTCGACTAAAGCCGCGACTAAGATCGACTAAAGAATAGGGTTCGGAAAACCACTAACTGATTATCTACAGTTATCAACTTTTAGATTATCTACACAAAATCTACAGTTATCAACAGTTAGTAAACTGTAGATAATTTCTTTGAATGAAGAAAATCAGTTAAAAAAATTTGCAAAGTTTTGTAAACAAACAATTTTTGGAGACTTTTTTTTAATAAATTTATAAATAGAATACACTTATTATACATTAAGAGAGCTCAAATGTCAAAATTAGCTATTAAAAATCAACTTTTTGTTTATCGAATATTTGAAACGGTTATATAAAATTCAAATATTGTTCACATGTTTGTAAACAAAAAAAATTTGCGAAAATTTCTTAATTTTCAATTAAATCACCACACAAACGCTTTTAAAATACTGAATGAAGCCTAATGTCACTTTATTTGAACTGTTACATGCTGTTGCAGTCCTAATTTTAGCATTTCAACTCTTTTTTCAGTAAATTAATAACGTTTTTTTTTCCACTTTGAAAAAATTATCTACAGTTACTTATCTACAGTTACAAATTGTAGATAACTGTAGATAAGTGTTACTAACTGTTAATAACTGTAGATTTCCGAACCCTACTAAAGAAGGATTTTTTGGCTTGTGAAGTATAAAAATTTCATACGAAAATTCTCTTATTTTTGTCATTCAGATTCGAATCTCAAAATATTTTTTGACTTTTTTAAACATTCAATTCGTATTATTAAAATTGTTAAAATCAAATATTATTAAATTAAAAAGATTGAAGCTGTAAAAGTATATTTTAAGTACTCATTCAAAATATTAGTTTTATTCATTTATGGAGTATTATAAGAAACATAAAAAATAAAAATGTCATAAAAAGTGTCCTACGAATGAAATAACATTCTATATTAAGGACTTAAGATCTAGCCAGGAAAACAAAAACATATTATTAAGTCATTATTAGTAGATTAATCTTATTCCCGAACATACATAGAGCATGCTCAGAAAAGTGAGCATATAAGTGAGTGTACTCAAAAATTATGCTCATGCAAGCTCATTCAACTGAGCATGCTCAGGAGTTCATTACGAATGTACTCACTTTATTTTTTTACAAAAACTTTATAAGCTCACGTGAGTGCATTCAATAAGTATACTCTTGAGAATATTAAGAACATACTCATGTGAATTCACTCATAATTTTTTTTATATTCTCATGTGAGTGCACTTACTGAGTTTATTCAAGAGCAAATTGTGTACCTTTTTTGAAAAAATGTCAGCTAAATCGAAAATGTAAAAATTGGTGCTCAATAAGATCCAAACTTCAAAGAACTTAGTTCGCCTGTAAAAATATAATAATTTAACTATGTGTTATGTCATATATAAATTTTTATATATTTACAGACAATAGCTCCAAGGAAAAGTGTGAGATGACAGAAGTTAAGCAACGCAGATGATATTTCAACAAGGATGGGTGACCAGATTTATATGTTTCATTCTAAGTATTTCAGATAATATATTAATAATAATTTCTAACTCTTTCAAAATTATTCACAGAAATAAACGGAACAGTACTTAATTTCAGCTAACCTATAATACTCAAATTTAGCTTAATTAGTTTTTTAAATTTTGCAACTTCACTTGAGTGCACTCATGAGTGTGCTCAGATGAGTATATACTCATAAATATACTCACTAAGCATATATTCTTTGAGTACGGCTGTGAGTATGTACTCTTTGAGAATATTTATAAGGATGTACTTTTTGAGAATGTTCATGAGTATATTCAATAAAAATGTTACATGAGAAAAATGTTGCATGTGACATGTTGCCTTCTCATTTGAGTATGCTCATGAGTTTACTCAATGAGCTTAATACATGTCACATAGGAATGTGCTCACTGAGCATGCTCAAGAAGGTACCGTAAGCGCATCACTGAAATGTATGAAAATGAGCACATTCTCATAAAGGCTAATAGGCTCACAATAATGTGCTCTGAGCATGCTCATTGTATGTTCGGGATTATCTAAGTATGAATTAATCATTCTTGTTCAAGGATTCTAATAGGCACTCTATATTATCGTGCAGAAATAATATTCTATGAGCTCGTTCAGGATTTAAGGATGCTCTTTTTTGAGTCATTAATGAGTTTGATATTGAGAAATTACGTTCCGCCTCAGTACTCATAGGTTGAATAGCAAATAAAACTCTTGCTAAACGATACAGCATAGGCAAATCATCCTTGTTAAACTATGAATACGTTTTAGAACGTTTGAATGTTCATAGGCCGTTAAAAATTTGATTAGATTTCTCGTAAATATTCGAAAAAAAATGTTTGGTTAAATTATGATGCAATTTAATGCTTTAATGTAACTTAAGTCATTTTGAATCGTCAATTGTATTTTTAAAAGCAGTTAAAACTTCTACAGTTCAAAAAAAATGTTTCAATGTCATGCTAAGATAAATTTCAAAAAATTAAGCGTCTTTAGCAGTAATTTAATTAAGATTTTTTAGGTATCTACGATGTAAAGCACAATATTTTTAACATGCCGACTAAGGAAAAAACCGTTAATTCTATAGTCGACTAAAGCCGACTAAGTTTTAGTCGGTTTTAATCGACTATAGTCGACTAAACTTCACTCGGCTTCGCCCTCTGGTAGTAAGTAAGTAAGAAACCGTTACATGAGAAACTATGTCCAAGTGAGCTGAGATTTGAAGGTCCAGTTGCTGTTCCTGAAAAAGGAGAATTACGATTTAATGGTTTTGAGGTTCGGGAATCAATCGAGTTCAAAGGAATTAAACGTTAAAAATTCTTCAAGAACAAAAACTTAATCATTTTATTTTAAATTTATTTACATCACTAACATCTCCACTTGTTTCCCTTTAAACATTCTGTCCACTTGCCTCCATCAGCTCCTCAAATTCCTTCAATTCCTTATTATCTCTCTTATAGAATGGCTTAAACAACTTGTCATATTCCTCTGGATGATACTTTTTCTCATGATTCCTCCAATTTGCTTCCGACCGGAACTGCCTGTCACAACCAGAAACTCGACAAGCAAATAGGAATTCTCTTGTGTGTCTTACTGCCACATGTTCCTGCAACTTTAATTGTTTGAAAAATCCTTTGTCACAGTATTGACATTTAAACTTGTAGTCACTGCCATGCGCCATTTTCATATGTGACGTAATTGAGTATTTTGACTTGAGGAACTTCCCGCAGACATTGCAATTGATTCCCATGTCATTGTGCTTCTGTAAGTGATTCTTCATGGTTGTTTCAAGAACCCAAACATTACAAATTTCACATTGAATCCTTTCACGATGTTGATCGCCATGGACTGTCTTCAAATGAGCTGGAAGGTACGATTCTCGGATGTTAGCTGAACATATGTGACAGACAGTCATTCGGTTCTGTTTATTGACTGTGTGCTGGTTCCTCATATGTGTTTTTATTTGTATCATTGTCTTGAATTGCTTTCCATCCTTGCAGATATAACATTCGAATATTCTGGACGTGTCAATGTTGTGGAATGCCATATGATTCTTGAGCAGATGTTCATTGTTAAAGAACTTGCCACACTCATCGCAAATGACTTTATTAGCTTCATCGGTTGGATGGTAGTTCTCCATGTGAGTCTTCAGACATTTCTTAGTTTTATAAGTTTTGTTGCAAGTTTCACAAGCAAAAATGACAGTCTTGTCGTGGTACTCGAGATGCTCAACAAGCTCAAAACGTCGTCGGAACTTCCGTTCGCAGCAAGCTAAGTAGAACCTATCATTTGGATGTGTAAGCCTAAAGTGTCCTTTAAGTTTCGTGAATGATTCTTCTTGTGCTCCACAGATGTAGCACTTAATGTCAATTAATCTTCTTATAAACTCTTCAGTTTCTGGATCATGTGCTGGATGCTTCCTGATTGATGGATCTGGATACTCAACGACTCGTCTTTTCCTCTCTTTTCTTGGCTGAGTCTTTTTATATAGTTTTTCAGGTATTTTGTATTCAGTTCCATTAATTACGATTGATTCTAGTCCTGAATCAAGCATTTCTTGAGTTAGTTTTGACTTTGGAAGGTATCTGATCCATCCTGAGTCTGTTCTGTATGGTTTGATTGGAGATTCACCTTGGTTTGAGTTTGGATCTTCAGAATCAGCTCTTTCTGATTTTATGGCTAATGTTGAGGATGCTTTGTTGGACTTTGAGGTTAGGTTTGGTAATTTTGAGGTTCTACTGCCAGATTTTGAGGTTCTGCTGCCAGATTTTGAGGTTAAATTGCTGGTTTTCTGCATTTTTGAAGCTGATCTGTCAGCTAACTTGACATACTTGGATTTCATGCCTGGCAATGAGTAATCCTCATCAGATTCTTCAGATCTTTTCCTCTTTTTAGCAGGTTTGTTGACTGTTTTTGCAGTTATAGATTCAGTTTCCTCTTTCGCCTTCTTTTTGTCATTTTTGTGCTTCTCTAAATCCCAAACTTCCTCAATTTCAACATGAAACTTCTTCTCAGATGCTTCTGAAGAGTTGTCATCCATTGGATCGTCGTAGCTCCATGCAAAGTCAGAGTCATCGTCATTGAACCTATCGCTTATGTCTTGTTTTGTAGATTGACTCTTATCCAGCTTGTCTTGATTATCATCGTACTGATGCTCAGCCATGTAATCCATGAGCACTTCAGGCTCCATTTTGATTCTTGGTAAGATAATTTGTGGTTCCATTTTAAGCATCAACTCATTCGATGCGATCAAGACTTGTTGGAATCCAGGTGCAATGTCAAAGGAACTGTCTGTTTTAGTTGTGATGAGCTTTGTCTTGACATTTGTGAGGTATTTGTAGAAATTTTGGAAGGCTTTAAAGCAGTTCTTGCAGGTAAGTTGTGATGAGGATGTTGTGTATGGAGGAATGATCTGAAAAAGGAACAAAAGGTGAAGTTATTAAATTGAATCAATTCGAACAAGTCATCAAAGGAAGACATGATGCCTGGATTAAAAAACGTTTCAATTACTAGAATCGATACTCACATTGTACTGGATCTGTTGACGAATGGCATCTCCTAAACTTATATCACCTCCAACTGATTCTGTCAATTTTACTGAATAACCCTTTCGAAGTTGACTAAGGCATAGAATGCATGAAGACATTTTTGACTAATAAAGTCCAGTTATGGACTAGCTGCTGATCAGTTTTTGAAGATTTCTTTTAGAATTTTTGCAATGTTTACAAACATTTAATACGAGGGAGTGCTGACTGTGTGAATTATTGTTTGTTACTGAAACTGGGGTGAGAACCTTGGTGATTGAATAAATACCTAAATTTGTATGAGAATGTTGTTGTTTTTATTGAGCATTGCGAAAGAATGTTTTTGTGATTTTTACCTGTTGCTGAAATGTTTTGTACTGTTTTGAGTTGCTTACTATGTTTTATGTGATTTTCTGAATCGCACAAGACGAAATATCGACCAGAAACCGGAACTAAGCTGGTGTGACTCTGAAATGGTGCTGGATGTAAATAAAGGAGTTTTTTGAATTTTGTTTTTTGATATTTTATTGTTATTGCTTAATTTACAGATGTTTTGCTGTTAACAAGTATTGGATGTGGATATAATCTACGAAGTAAGTTAAAAGCCGAATCTTTTAAAAAATTAATTGAGAGTCGTTGCTGCTTGCTTGCTTAAATCGCAACTTATGAGAGCAAAATTAAGAATCAAAAAACCATGAAAAGAACGAATTGCAAAATTATTCAATATCCTTCTTATTTCTTAAATGGACCACTCTCATGTGCTTCTCGAAGTTAGCTTTTGTTTTGGAATACATCGCACACAAGTCACATTGAAATAAAACTTTTGGATGGACAACAGCAATATGGGCACTCAAATGCTTTTTATCCTTAAACATGACCGAACATTTTGGGCATTTTATAGCATCTTTTCCAACTTTTGCATCCCATCGTGCATGAGATGCTTGGTGGAGCTTGTAGTGTGCCTTGTTGTCACTCGAATAGCTGCATCGATCACATTTGTACGCTTTGTCCCTGTTCTTGTCATGCGTCTTTAAATGCTTTTTTAAATTTCCTTTGTCAAAAAATCCTTTTTCACAAATTTCACATTTAAAGCTTCTCGGATTCTCGTGGACTTGCTTAATATGAAATTTCAAATCTTGACCATTTCTAACTTTCTTACCACAAATTTTACATTCAAACTTCTTGTTGTGACTATTTAGATGATTTAGAAGAACATCGGATAGTTTAAAGCTTTTTGAGCAAATATAACATTTGTACTTCCTCTCGTCTGTATGAACTGATTTTATGTGACCTTTTAAAGACAAAAACTTCAATTCGATGTTACAAATTTGACAAATCACATTCGATTTATGACTTCTCATGTGAGCGATAATGCCGTATTTTTTATCAAAGATTTTCCCATCAAAATCGCACACAAACGAGCTAGCTTGTAAAAAATTATGGAATTTTTTTAAGTGAAATTCAAGTCTGCCGCTGAGTTTAAATGTACAATTACAAAATCCACATTGAAATGACTTATTCTGATGAGATTTTGGCGGGAAATTGAATCGAACGTTTTGTTTTTGCTTAGATTTGATGTTAACTGGAATTTTGTTGGCTTTATCTTCTTGGATGTTTAAATATTTTGCAGATTTCAGTTGAATTTGTTCTTCGTGTGCTTCAGTTTTTATTACTTTTGAGTCAAATTGTTGAGATTTGTTGCTAATTGATGCTGGAAGTTTGGATTTTATTCCTTCAACATCGTCCAAGTCAATTTCAAAATAAACTTCAGGTTCAATTTTGATTTGAAGATTATTTGTGATTCTAGTTGGATATGACACACTTTGCGGAGGTCTGAAGAATTCAGATATTTTCCTTGACATTGTTTTTGATGATTTTGATTGAGTTTGACTTGATTTGATAGCTTTTAAGGTTGTTTTGAATGTGAATATGTAAAATTTAAGGTATTTATTGTCAAAATTGATTGAGATTTTATTTTTTGAAAATTAATAATTTTATAAACTTGTTTTTAAGTTTCGCTATTATTTTGAGAATTTAACTTAAATTTTTGGAATTTTTCAGTTTTTGTGTTCAGACATTTTTAAAAAAAAGTTGGGTTATGTAATGTCAAGAACAGTGTTGCATTCTAGCCATTTGTCTGGATCAGATAAATTCTGAGACAGAAATTTCTTCATAAAGATCGATTCTACATGAAGATAGAAAATCTAATCTACACAAAGATTATTTCTACATAAAGATTCTGTCTACATAAAGATTCGATGTAGATGTCTACAATTCTACATTCTTCTCTGATGTAGACCTGGAAAAAATGTAGAATTGTAGACATCTACATCGAATCTTTATGTAGACAGAATCTTTATGTAGACAGAATCTTTATGTAGACAGAATCTTTATGTTGTAGCAACATTTATAACTGACAAAGTTTCTTTTTCGAAGTTTTTTTTTGAAGTTTTCGAAATTTCGAAAACATGCGACAGAAAGTCAAGAAAATCTAAGAGAATACATACGAAAATATATATTATATTAAAATTACAATTAATTCATACATTGTTTGAAGTTTAAACATTATTTAAGGTAATGTACAAGACCTTTAAAGTGAAAATAAGTACTAAAGGGCATATTCCGATTAATTATAGATAGAAGATTAAAAAAAGTGAATGTTTTAGGCTAAATTTCACACTGGAAGTCAAATTTACCACGAAATAGTCAATGTAAGTCTCAAATAGATGACAAATCAAAGTCAAAACTAATCTTGCATAATTTATAGATTCAAGCGAAAGTTGAAGCCTATTGTATAGATTTTTTTTCCTTTTGGAATTGATTTATGGAAAATTGATGTAAGTTGAATAATAAGAAAACAATCAAAGAGATATAACTAATTATGTATTGTTTGTAGGCAAAAAGGTTTTTGTGCTAAGATAAAATCAAGCTAAATAAAGATCCAGAAAGGAATCAAGTTATAAAATCACGTGTTACATATCTGAATTAAAGAAAAGCCTTCCACATTCATCAAAGGGGCCTAATTAACGCTTGCTAAGAATCCACACATTAAAAGTAGTTTGCTACAATGTAGACAGAATCTTTATGTAGAAATGATCTTTGTGTAGATTAGATTTTCTATCTTCATGTAGAATCGATCTTTATGAAGAAAGCTTCTTAGCTAGACAAAAACTATTGAAGAATCTTCATTCTTCATCTAGTGTAGACATCTACATTTGCAACACTGGTCAAGAACCTCACAAAAAATTATTTTTTATTTTATTTTTAATTAAATTTTATCTTATTTCTTAAATGGACCACTCTCATGTGCTTCTCGAAATTAGCTTTTGTTTTGGAATACATCGCACACAAGTCACATTGAAATAAAACTTTTGGATGGACAACAGCAATATGGGCACTCAAATGCTTTTTATCCTTAAACATGACCGAACATTTTGGGCATTTTATAGCATCTTTTCCAACTTTTGCATCCCATCGTGTATGATAATCTTGATGTAGTTTGTAGTGTGCCTTGTTGTCACTTGAGTAGCTGCATCGATCACATTTGTAAGCTTTGTCTCTGTTCTTGTCATGCGTCTTTAAATGCTTTTTTAAATTTCCTTTGTCAAAAAATCCTTTTTCACAAATTTCACATTTAAAGCTTCTCGGATTCTCATGGAACTGCTTAATATGAAATTTCAAATCTTGACCATTTCTAACTTTCTTGCCACAAATTTTACATTCAAACTGCTTGTCATGACTCCTCAAATGATTCTTAAGCACACTCGGCAATTTGAAGTTTTTTGGACAAAGATGACACTTGTACTTCCTCTTGTCTGAGTGGACTGCAATCATGTGATCCTTTAATGACAGAAACTTCATTTCAAGCTTACAAATTTCACAAACAACATTCGATCGATGACTTCCCATGTGAGCATTAAAGCATGACTTGTTTGTGAAAATCCGTCCATCAAAATCACAAATAAATTCATGATTCCTTCCAAAATTATGTTTAAGTCTCATATGAACATCTAGTCGACCGATGTTTTTGAATTTACATCCACAAAGTCCACATAAATATGAAGTTAAATTTTTATGGATTTTTGGACGCAACTTGATGGATTTATTGACATGATCTTTGTTGCTGTTGCTGTAATTTGAAAATTTTTCAATTTCTAAATGTTTAAATTGGTCCATATCCATATCTATGTCTTTTAAAACAACTCGACATTCACGAATGTTTTGTGTTTCGGTAAAATCTTTCCATTGTGGTTCAAGGACAATCTCAAGATCTTGTTTAGCCTGTTGTTCCTTGATGACTTTTGACTGAACATTTAAAGATTTTTCAGAACATTCCATTCGATTTTCTTGGTCATCTACTGGCTCTTGCTTAATAAACCCCAAAAGTTCTCTGATTTTTGCGAGATTTTTTGTTATTGTCGTTTTTGGCCTCTTGTTAGGCACCGAATGTTCACTATTTTCTTCCTTTAATCGACCCATTTGAGTTATTTTTTGAATTTTGAAATCCAAAACAACTTAATCTTAACTTGATCACTTGATGTTGTTTAAAGAGCGATGAAACATTCAACATTCGATGACAAACAATCAATTGATGTTGACTTGATGCACAGCAGTGAAATAGTTGGCCGAATGTTCTAAAGGATCTGGATTCAATCCCAGGACAAGTCATTATTTAGAAGCCTCTTTTTTCCATTTCACTGTTCTAGTTACGAAGCTCAGTTTGTCAGTTTTGTGTAGATTTGAGATCTTCGGCACATAAAGTGTCTCCTTTGCTTGCTATTCTAGGATATATATTAGCATCTGGATGATTTCATTACAGCATGTTGCACACACGAAAGACATTGCAGGGTCTTTGGACGTCCTCGTGTCTTTGCAATGTGCTGAGCTTGCAAGTGCATCAGATTCCATTATAAACTGTAAGTCTAAAGAGTGTAATAAATTTGAATCGCAGTGACTTTAGCTCAAAAGGCTCAATACCAAACTTTGGACAGGTTTGGGGTGGATGATCTGCACCTTATGGCTATAATCCTGCTATTTGACATCAAAACTTAACGATTCAAGGTTCCAAGTATTGAACTCTTTGGATTTAACTTAAATCTAATCTCAAATCAGCTAGTTCAATCCAAGTAAATCATGAATGATGAATAAAATCAATCAAAAACGTAAACAATAACAAAAGTAATTTTATAACACATAACTTTGAAGTTTTTTTGATTCCTGTGATGGATTGAAGCAGTCATAAACACCGGAATCGCTTGCTTTTTGGTGAAAAAGATTAAGTGAGTCTGGAATGAAAATTCTTTAGAATTCAAAAAGTTGCAAAATCTCTAAAATCTCACAAATCTTGTTTTGTTTTGAAAACAAGGACCTGCAAAAGTTGTGAAACTTAGGTGCAAAGAGTTTTGTATATATTCTCAGTAATTGGTTCTAATTAATCATTCTGTAAACACAGTTCAACCAAGCAACATCAGCACAAAAGAAACAATAGTTCAAAATAACCAAAACTTAAAAATCAAAAGCTTAATCAACTTCAAACATTAAATAAAAAAAACAAAAATGCCTCGTCGACCAAAATACGACTTTGAAATCAAAATCGAAGTAAATCCAATCGACACCGAGCGAAATCCACTCGAGATCCAAGAAAACTGGATTAAATTAGAGGACATTAAGAAGGAAGAGTCAACAATCGTCAAATATGAATCTGAACTAGATTCAGCATCAAGTCATTCAGAACCACAAGCTGCTCACAGTCCAGCATCAAGCCATTCAGAACCTAAAGCATTCAACAGTCCAGCATCAAGCCATTCAGAACCTAAAGCTTCCAACAGTCCAGCACATCAATCAGACTCAACTGACTGCAGTTCTAAAAATCCACCAAGGAAAATAATAACTTTAAGCAGAGTCAAATGTCAAGTCTGCGGCAAAGAACTAACCAAAAAGAACATGAATAAGCATATGAAGAACCTCCATCCAGAAGCAGCTGGTCTTGAATTCAGTTGCAACTTTTGTGAAGAGAAATTCAGCAAAAGAGGAAGTTTAAGGATTCATATGTCGGTAATCCATCCAAATGAGGCCACAGCACTTGCACCTGAACAGTTCACTTGTGACTATGACGGCAAAGTCTTTAAAACTAGAATGGAAATCCACGGACACATGCAGTTACACAAAACATCAAATTTAGAGAAAGTCAGATGTGAGATTTGTCACATTGAAGTGCAGCAAAGATACTTGAATAGACATGTACAGGAAGTGCATACAGACAACATATTTCAATGTGACATTTGCAGCCTCTGCGTCAAGACAAGTCGAGCGCTTAAAATTCACAAGAAAGGACACAAAAGAGAGCATGAATGTGGAATCTGTAAGAAAGCATTTGCAGTGCCAGCAAAGTTGAAGATTCACATAAAGACAGTCCATGAACGACCTGTCGAAAGTTGTGTCTGCGACGTGTGTGGCAAGGAGTTTAGATGGAAAGGACATTTGGAAAGTCATCGACAAAGTCACGTGGAAAAAGAAAAGAACTTTAAATGTGACAAATGTCCTTGGGCTTTCTACATCAGTTCAAGCTTAAAAAAGCACCAAAAGACACATGAAAAAGATGGACAAAAAGTTGCATCAATGAAAAATCCAGAAAAATGTGAAATATGCTCAAAACATCTCAGCAACAAGAAATCCTTGATTTCACACATGAAGAATGTTCATCAACAAAATCAAGAACAGCATCCGTGCGCCTTGTGTGGAAAGGTCTTCAAAAGTAAAACGACTATGGATGCTCACATCAAGAGAGAAAAATGTAAAAAAGAATAAAAATTAGATTTTCTAAATTTAAGTTTGACGAAGAAATAAAAAAAAATTTGTAAAAAGAAATCTTAAACTTAGTTTTTAATTTTAACCGTTAAGAATATTTGAATCCAAAAGTTACAGTCATGCTTGTCAAGCTAATTAATTCGGTAATTTCTTTGGAAATTCATTTAAACTTAAACAATAACAACTCTTTTTTGATAAGCAAGTTGTTCTTGATCTTGTAAAATGACAGAAATTAGACTGTGCAAGTAAGTCTCTTGAGTGCAACTTGAGAGCAAGTATTGCTTTTTGAAGAAGATGAAGCTAATTGTGAGGTAGAACAGCATGATGCAGTGGAACAAGTCACACAAACAATAGTTGACATCATAAATCAAGAAGGATCTCCGTGCACCAAAATGATATCTCAAAACCGTTAATTGGCATTTAATTTCATCGATTACTGTCTTGAAATCCTTAATGACATAAAATCGATGAGTTTCGAACCGTTGTTAAGTCTACAAATAGGCTTGAGTTCGCTCAATTCCTAAAAGATGCAGGAATCCCAAGACTAAGCTTAGACATCGATTCAAAGTTAGACAGCCTGCTCAAGATGATGAACGATGCCCGTAGATTCAAAAGTCAACTTGAAGATGTCTCAATCAACGAGGAGAGGTTCAAGCTCAGCAATGAATTCGTTCAAGTGTCAGTTCCAGTTTACTTTGCTATTAAGGACTTCCAAAAACAAGACATGAGAGTCGGCGATTTCTTCATCAGATGGACCAATTGCTCATGAGCAGCTAAAGACGAAACTAATCGTTGCATTTTCTCAGTTTCAGCAAAGTTTTTTGAGAGCAATGCATTTGTTGCTGCACTTCTTCTTGATCCTCGCATCGACTGGTCACAGAATGGAAAAGATTTCTTTTGTCCTGAGCTTTGTGAAACGGGAATGCAGCAGCTTGAAAAAGTTCTACAGGCAATCACTAAAAGAGATCAGCTGGAGCAGTCAATCTCAATTTGTCAGAGAGTCCAGAAGTTCCTAAACAATGGTGCAGTCAAATGCACAGCAAAGTCCACTCAAGTTTTGGTAAAATAAACGGAATGAGAAGCCTGAAATTTCACAAGTTGTCTATCTGCTGCCTTTTGCAAGGATTCTTGTTTTATATTTCTTGAGAACGTTAGTTGATGACGACATGCTGAATGCAATCTTTGTACGTATGAACAACTTAGAATTAATGGATGGGATTAATGCTTGATGATTTAGAAAAGTGATGGCTACACTTGTGTGTCGTGGTTCATTAAAAATGTTGGACACTACTGATTTTGAAGACAGTCGGACAAAGAAAGAGTGACTTATGGATTGATAGAATAAGTTTTATTGGTTATATGCTTTGTAATATTTGACAATAAGTTTTGGAAATAAAAAAAAGTTAAAGGTCCATCTAGTATTGCCAATAGACTGAGAACAAAGAACTGAGAATATTGAGATGCATAAGCTGTTGTTGTTGTGATTTTTGAGAGTTGAGACTTGTCAATGCTTCTTTTTGTTTACTCTCACATTTGTGCTTATCACTTGACTTTGTGCTCTGACTATTTTTGATTATCCTAGATTGAGCATGAAGCTTTTATACGTTCACAAGTTTTTAATGCACTTTGTTGACTTATTTTCTAATGTGGAGGGGGGGGGGGGTTGACCAGAATCCTTCCCCCCTCCCCTATGCCAATTGATATTAACTTTTAAACTACCGCAAAAAGGACTTAAAATTAAACCTCTAGATGTTGATAAAGACAGCCAACAACTTGAAAGTCCAAAAACTAATTTGACAAATATAAGCAAGAATTTCAAGAATTAAATCCATCACTAACTCAACATTCAGATCCAGATTCTTAAAAACGACCTCAAATCATCGACAATGTCAAGCAGAAGCCCATACAGAATTTCTCAACCAAACTTGAAGCTCAAAAACATCAGCAAACTCAAAAAGAAGCTCAACTTGACAAAAACTTCTGCAAATTATGCAACAAAAAATCCATGGCTTATCCGAGCACATGAAGAGACTCCATCTTGTCAAAATGCCAAAATCTACGGCACGTCACGTGTTATTAGTCAATTGTCACATTTGTGGATCTGCTCATCTCTCACATGGAACTGACGACTTGAATACTATTAAGCATCATCAAATGGTTCACGAACGAAAGGATAAGAAAATTGCAGCTATTAAAAAACAAATAAATTCCGATAAATGTCCAGCAATTTCGGTAAGTAAGCAAGCGTTTCACACACATAGGAGCCGGCTGCATTTGAGGCTTGCATGCCAATGTGATTTATGTGGAATTTAAGTCGTCAAAACATAATATTGTGAATCATATCAATAATCATTTAATAATTTATTTTTCAACTTTTTCAACTTTAATTTTTGAATTTATTTCTGAATATTGCATAGTTGCATACCCCTTGTGAACCTCCTTTTATGTGCAAATCTAGCATTTCTTCAAAATCTTCCTCAAAATCCATCGATAAAAATTAAACAACGGCCGAATAGTAACAAAATACAGCAACTCAACAACCGAAAGTGCAGAAATGCCAGCATAAAGTCCAAGAAGTCCGCCAGCTTGACACAAAAAGTCTTCAATTGTGAACGAAATTCGACGAACGAGCGGCAAAAAATTGTCATTTTTGTATCTGAATGTGATTGTTATTGATGCATTGTCATCGTCGCCAATTTCACCTAAAACTCTAGTCTCGATGACTTCTACTTTATATTGAATGTCATTGCAAGTGTCAAGACATCCACAAGTGTGCAGGTAAATTTCTTCAATGTCATTAGTGTATGACAGGTTCTGTAAAAATCGATATTTTCTGAAAATAATGTCGTAGTTCTTCTCGATACGACATATCTTGTGGGTTTGATTGCGGATCACATAGTAAGGCACACATTGAGTTTCATTTAATTCCAGGTAAAAATTTGTCAAGCATTCAAGTTCGCAGTTCCTTCTCGAGTAGATTTTAAACATTTTAAGAGTTTTTTCGCCTTCAAAGTAGCAGTTCCGTTTTTCAGGTGTAAACTTCTTTAAACTTTCTTCAGATTTGATGACTTCAGGTGTAATCAGCACTTCCAAATCTTGTCCATAATAGAATTTATTGGTGTCAACGTCTTCATATTCACCAGGAAACTCAAATGGTGGATAAACACTAAAGAACATTGGCTGACAAATGCTTTTGTATTGAACATATTTGTTCTTGTCTAATTTAATTTTAAGGTTCGATCGTCCATGTCCATGCAGTGGATACTGCTGGGATGGAATAAATTCTAAATCCTTGGATTCTTCACTATTGTTAAAGTTGAAAGTGAACCGGATTTTTGTAAAATTTTCTGAAACACTAAAAAATTTTGAGGTTAGACAGCTTTTTGCAGCTATTAAGCATAGCCCTTACCCTTCTTGATACATCTTATCAGGACTCATCATGTTAAAAGCAAATCCATATCCATTCCTACCCAAGAAATCCACCATTTGCGGACGGTATTTATCATTCCAAATCGCAGTTTGGTTCTCAAACCAATAAGCTTTTGTTTCAATGAGAATCATTAATACTAATAAGTCCTCAAATCCTACATCTAGGTTTGTTATCGGCTCTAATGCAAATTGGTAGTTGCAAAGCAGTGATGGAATCAAGTATCTAAAAGATGAACGTTTAAAATCATCATTTAAAGTAAAAAATGGCAATTCCTGGCTCACCTATTCAATATTTTCATATATTTATATTGTCTTATAATTAGATTTTGACTTAATCCTCTAACTCTTGCAGTCCATGCCATGGAGACCAATGGAAAAGGTATATCAACTTCCGGTGACAAGAATACAGCAGGAAATGGAATCTATAAAAATAAAATTCAAACTTTAATGGCTTGATCTTGCTGGATGTTGAATTGTCCTTTACAGTTTCTACAGAACTCTCGTCAGAATCATAAGTTATAGCTATTGTAGCTTGATCATACTTCTCGTACATCTCATATGATGAGATTCCACAGTAGAGGAGTGAAAAGCCAAGGCAGAGGATCCAAAACATTCTAAAATAAGAAAGTTAAATGATTTAAATTCAAAATCTCATGAAACTCTCAAATCTTGCCAATGGGTTGCTAGTATGATCATTTCCATTAGACTAGAGCAGTGGTGGACAACCTTTTTTGTACCACGGCACACCTTAAGATTAAGCCAAACGGCATACAGTTCGTGGTATTTCTCAAATATTTACGCAGCACGTAGGTTGACCAACACTGGACTATAGTCCTTTCAATTAGATCACTACGAGCAATCGCTAAGATAATCTCAAACCTTTCAATCAAGCTCCGATGTTCCATCACAATCTGACTCATTCCATGAACAGTTGAAATGTTAAAATAGAACATCACATAGCTCATCTTAGTGTCTTGTAGCTCAATTGCATTAACATCTCTAATTATCATTCTCTTCTTCCTGTCTCTTATCCAGTTGAAAACGATCCTTATCGTTGAGTAGTAAACAATTTCCACAAAAGACAATATTGATATACCTAAAAATAGTCCAAATGCACCTCCAGTGTAAGCAATGAAGTCAATTTCAGTGAATTGTCGTCTTATAATGTATGGGAAAAATGTTATTGATCGGAACTTGACCATAGTGTAAGAATCGACATTATCTTTTCTGGTTTTCTCAAGAAATGCATCAAAAAAATCCAAATCAACTCGTTTCCTGGGAATTAAAATAAATTTTTAAAATAAAACTGACACGAAAAGAACAATGAAGTAAAACATTTGGTTTGGTTCTAGCTAGATTTTTATCATTTCAATTATTCTTACACATAATCAGGCACAACTCTTTCCACATCATAAATGATTTCACCACAAAATGGAAAACATTTGCACAAATCGGAACTGTCCAGTTCAGCTTCAACTTTCTTGTAGCATTCCATGTCATGAATACCACAAACTCGGGTTGACTCTTCGCCTGCAGATAGTAAGGGTTTGTAATTTTAAATTTCAACTATGATTTTTGAGGTTATGTTTTGGATTTTTTGAGGTTATGATTCATGTTTCTTGAGGTCTTGTTTCAGAATATTTCAGGTTATGTTTTAGAATTTTAAGGTTATGTTTTGGATTTTTGAGGTTCATGTTTTTTGAAGTTATGTTTTATGTTTTTGGGGTTATGTTCCAGAATTTTTGAGGTTGTATTTTAGAATTTTAACTTTATGTTTTGGATTTTTTGAGGTTATGTTTCATGTTTCTTGAGGTTTTGTTTCAGAATTTTTCAGGTTATGTTTTAGAATTTTAAGGTTATGTTTGGATTTTTTGAGTTTATGTTTCATGTTTCTTGAGGTTTTGTTTCAGAATTTTTGAGGTTGCGTTTTGGATTTTTTGAGGTTATGTTTCATGTTTTTTGGGGTTATGTTCCAGAATTTTTGAGGTTACGTTTCAGAATTTTTGAGGTTGTGTTTTAGAATTTTAAGGTTATGTTTTGGATTTTCATGATTTTTGAGGTTATGTTTCGTGTTTCTTGAGGTTTTGTTTCACAATTTTTGAGGTTGTATTTTTGATTTTTTGAGGTTATGTTTCATGTTTCTAGAGGTTATGTTTCATGTTTTTTGGGGTTATGTTCCAGAATTTTGGAGGTTATGTTTTAGAATTTTAAGTTTATGTTTTTGATTTTTTGAGGTTATGTTTCATGATTTTTGAGGTTAAGTCATAAATTTCCTAAAATACTCACGAAACATGAAGAACTGAACACATCCACAAACTTCCAAGGTCCGATTAATGAGGCATTCCTGTTTGCAGTTCCCTTTTGTGTAAATATTAAAATACTTCAAAATTCGTTCATCTTCGCCATGCTCGACACCATCAGCAATAAAATAGCAGCCTCGTCTGGAATTACGCATGAAATTATTGATTAATTGATAGTGTTGTGACTGTTTTGAGGGAGTTGGAAGTTGGATTGTGTCACTAACAACCTCATTGCATAGTAAATAGCTCATAGATGTTGTTTTTTACATGAAATTCATTGCAATTTGATCTAAAATTGTTGATAAAAAACAATTACATTTTTACCCTCAACAAACTCACGCATTAGGTCCATAATCCTTCAAATTATCATCAATTAGAATCTGCTTTGGTTCCACAATGTAAACGATTCTGCTTCTTCTGTTGCTGTAGAATGAACTGACATCTTTATGATATAACTCGTATGGATTGTTGATGTAGACTCTTGGGGATGCAAATTTGTAGTAATCGTATGTGTTCAGCATGTCATCTAATGTATTCTTCATCGTTTTATCAAAAGCACTAATCTTGAGTTCAAACTTTGAGTCAGCTTGGGTCAATTTGAGTGGATTTGTAAGGTTAAGCTCCTTATAATGGATTGGTGCTCGAAGAAATTTTTCAACTCTTGTGTAATAAAGAATGTTGTGAACATACTTAAACATGCTTGGTGCCTCATTAATGTTCTTGTACAAATTTTGTGCATCAACCATGTTAAAGTTGTAGCAGACTCCACTCGGACCGACAATTTTTGAAAGTATTGTAGCATAAATATCACTGAATGTGCTCGTGACGATTAAATTTCGAAGTGATAAAGTTATTGTCTCAATTTGGTCAGCAATGTCATCAGTTGGGATCCGTGTGGCATTGTATTTGAGTAGAAAGTCATCGGATATGATAAGACTGATTGCTTGAAGCGTTCGCAAGCTGTAAATAAAGGTTTGAAGTCACTTTTGACTCAATTTTTGGATAGAGCTTCACTTACTCATCTTCAGACAAGTCATCAACTGTTATTTCTCCATTTGCTAGTTGTTCCTTAATGATATGATACTTTGAGTACGTGACATTCCCAAAATGCATCAATTCAAAGCAAAATGTGACTGATGGAAATGGAATCTGGCATGGAAATAGAAGTAAATGATCAATATCAAGTAGAGAGATGAATTTTGAGGTTAGAGTTCACAATAAGGGAAGCTTTATTGATCATCTGACCTACCTGAGTCACAGGAACTGAAATATCCGATGTATAAGTCACAGTCAAGTCCTCACGAACCATCACCATAATTTTACCAATCAGCAGCAAGCAACAAATGAATGAAAAAATTGTCACAATTGCCCAAAAGATTTTCTCAGCCAAATGAATGTTGTTGTTGCTAAAATAAGGAATTCCGTGGATCGATGATTCAGAACAAAATGCTTTCGGTGGTTTAAGCTTCATCTTTAATGAATTGAGTTCTGATTTGTTCTGTGAATTGAGTTTGAATTGTTTTGAAATGTTTTATTGAAATTTGCATGTAAATTTTAATCAGATTTTAGAAATGAAACCTTGAACTGATTAATCTGTTCAATAATACAAGTTTTAAAATTATAATCATGATTCCTATACAAAATGCCATTCCCAACTCGATTCCAAAAGCGAATAATTAAAATATTGTGAAAAAAATCAATTGCTTTGAATAATTTTCCTCAAAATCCACCGATAAAAGTTAAACAACGGCCGAATAGTAACAAAATACAGCAACTCAACAACTGAAAGTGCAGAAATGCCAGCATAAAGTCCAAGAAGTCCGCCAGCTTGACACAAGAAGTCTTCAATTGTGAACGAAATTCGACGAACGAGAGGCAAAAATTTGTCATTTTTGTATCTGAATGTGATTGTTATTGATGCATTCTCTTTATCGCCAATTCCACCAGGAAGTTTAGTCTCAATGACTTCTACTTTATATTGAATATCATTGCAAGTGTCAAGACATCCACAAGTGTGCAGGTAAATTTCTTTTCTATCAATTGTGTGTGACAGGTTCTGCAGAAAATAATATTTTGTAAAAATAACATCAAAATTATCTCTGATGCGGCAGATCTTGTGAGTTTGATTCCGGATCGCATAGTAAGGCGCACACCGAGTTGCATTCTCTTGAAGATAATATTTAGTCAAGCATTCAAGTTCGCAGTTCCTTCTCGAGTAGATTTTGAACATTTTAAGAGTTTTTTCGCCTTCAAAGTAGCAGTTCCGTTTTTCAGGTGTGAATTTCTTCAAACTTTCGTCAGATTTGATGACTTCAGGTGTAATCAGCACTTCCAAATCTTGTCCATAATAGAATTTGTTGGTGTCAACGTCTTCATATTCACCAGGAAACTCAAATGGTGGATAAACACTAAAGAACATTGGCTGGCAGATGCTTCTGAATTGAACATATTTATTCTTATGAAGTGTCATTTTTAGACTTGATCGTCCATGTCCATAAAGTGGGTAGTGTTGATAAGGAATAAACTCAAAATCTTTGGCTTCTTCGCTGGTATTGAAGTTGTAAGTGAATTCAAGTAATGTAAAATTTTCTGAAACACTAAAAAATGTTGAGGTTAGATAGCTTTTTTGCAGCTGTTAAGCATAGCCCTTACCCGTCTTGGTACATCTTATCAGGACTCATCATGTTAAACACAAATCCATATCCATTCCGTCCTAAAAACTCAAACATTTCCGGACGGTACTTTTCATTCCAAATTACAGTTTGCTCTTCAAACCAATAACCTTTGGCAGCCTTGAATATCATCCAAGTTAAAGGAACTTCAAATTCTATATCCAAGTTTCGTATATTCCCTAATGCAAATTGATAATTGCAAAGCAGCGATGGAATCAAGTATCTAAAAGAATGAAGCTTAAAGTCAGCAACAGCATACCAAAAAAGCTTATTGAGAGATTACTGATCCAATTGTTTCGAATAGCTGAATATGCTTAAGATTTGATTTGGGCGCACGCCTTGCACCTGTTTTGATACCGCATATTCGACTAAATGATAAAAAATATGGACTTCCGGTGATAAGAATACAGCTGGAAATGGAATCTGTAAAAATAAAATTCAAACTTTTAAGGCTTAATCTTCCTGGATGTTGAATTGTCTTTTACAGTTTCAACAGAACTCTCGTCAGAATCATAAGTTATAGCTATTGTAGCTTGATCATACTTCTCGTACATCTCATATGATGAGATTCCACAGTAGAGGAGTGAAAAGCCAAGACAGAGGATCCAAAACATCCTGAAATAGGAAAGTCAAATGATTGAAATTCAAAATCTCATGAAACTCTTAAATCTAGTCAATGAGTTGCTAGTATGATCATTTCCATTAGACTAGAGCAGTGGTGGACAACCTTTTTTGTACCACGGCACACCATTAGATTAAGCCACACGACATACAGTTCGTGGGATTTCTCAAATATTTTCGCAGCACATAGGTTGACCAACACTGGACTAGAGTCCTTTCAATTAGATCACTTTAAGCAACACGTAAGATAATCTCAAACCTTTCAATAAAGTTCCTATGCTGCATCACAATCTGACTCATTCCATGAACAGTAGAAATGTTAAAATAGAACATCACATAGCTCATCTTAGTGTCTTGTAGCTCAACTGTATCAACAATCCCAGTCTTCATTCTCTTCCTCTTATCTCTTATCCAGTTGAATAGTAACCTGACAGTCGAGTAGTAAACAACTTCAACAAAAGACAAGATTGACACTCCTAAGAATAATCCGAAGGCACCTCCAGTGTAAGCAATGAAGTCAATTTCTGTAAACTGACGCTTTATTACGTTCGGTGAATATGAAATTGACCGAAATTTAACGATTGTGAATGAATCGAAGTAGTCGTTGCTGAATCTTTCAAGAATTCCATCCCAAAACTCCAAATAAACTCGTTTACTGTAAATTAGAAGAATATTGACATAACCTCAAATGAATTGGGAAGATTAATCTTACAAATAATCCGGTACGACTCTTTCAACACTGTAGATGATCTCACCACATGCTGGATAACATATACATAAATCGTTTCTATCCAGTTCATCTTCAACTTGCTTGTAGCACGCCATATCATGAATTCCACAAACTCTGGTTGATTCCACATCTGGAAGTTAGATGGTAAACGATTTTGAGGTTAGAAATTTTTGAGGTTATGTTTTGGATTTTTCGAGGTTATATTTCATGATTTTTGAGGTTTTGTTTTAGAATTGTTTAGGTTATGTTTTGAATTTTTTGAGGTTATTTTTCCGATTTTTGAGGTTATGTTTTTGATTTTTGAGGTTTCGTCTGAGAATTTTTGAGGTTTTATTTCAGAATTTTTGAGGTTATATTTTGGATTTTTGAGGTTTCGTCTGAGAATTTTTGAGGTTTTATTTCAGAATTTTTGAGGTTATGTTTTAAAATATTAAAGTTATGTTTCATGTTTCTTGAGGTTATGTTTCATGATTTTTAGGGTTATGTTTCATGTTTCTTGAGGTTATGTTTCATGTTTTTTGAGGTTTTGCTTTAGAATTATTTAGGTTATGTTTCAGAAGTTTTGAGTTTAAATCATAAATTTCCTAAAAAACTCACGAAACATGAAGAACTGAACACATCCACAAACTTCCAAGGTCCGATTAATGAGGCATTCCTGTTTGCAGTTCCCCTTTGTGTAAATATTAAAATACTTCAAAATTCGTTCATCTTCGCCATGCTCGACACCATCAGCAATAAAATAGCAGCCTCGTCTGAAATTACGGATGAAAATATTAATTATTTACAACTAACCTTATGATACTCACGCATCAGGTCCATAATTCTTCAAATTATCATCAATTAGAATCTGCTTTGGTTCCACAATGTAAACGATTCTGCTCTTACGATAGCTATAGTAAGAACTGACATCCCTGTTGTAAATCTCATAAGGATTATTAATGTAGACTCTTGGAGATGGAAACTTATAGTAATCATAAGTGTTCATCATAACATCCAAAGTATCTTTCATAGTTTTTTCGAGGGCACCAATTTTAAGATAAAAGTTTGAATCAGCTTGAGTCAATTTGAGTGGATTTGTAAGGTTTAGGTCCTTATGACGAATCGGTGCTCGAAGAAACTTTTCAACTCTTGTGTAATAAAGAATGTTGTGGACATACTTGAACATTTTTGGCGCATCTTTGATATTTTTGTACAAATGTTGAGCACCAACCATGTTAAAGTTAAAGCATACTCCATTCGGACCGACAATTTTGGCCAGCACTGCAGCATAAATATCACTAAATGTAGTAGTAATTATTAAGTTTTTTAGTGATAAAGTTAATGTCTCAATTTGGTCAGCAATATCATCAGTTGGGATCCGTGTGGCATTGTATTTGAGTAGAAAGTCATCGGATATGACAAGACTGATTGCTTGAAGCGTTCGCAAGCTGTAAATAAAGGTTTGAAGTCAATTTTGACTCAATTTTTGGATAGAGCTTCACTTACTCATCTTCAGACAAGTCATCAACTGTTATTTCTCCATTTGCTAGTTGTTCCTTAATGACATGATACTTTGAGTACGTGACATTCCCAAAATGCATCAATTCAAAGCAAAATGTGACTGATGGAAATGGAATCTGGCATGGAAATAGAAGTAAATGATCAATATCAAGTACAGAGATGAATTTTGAAGTTAGAGTTCATAATAAGGTTAGCTTTATTGATCATCTGACCTACCTGAGTCACAGGAACTGAAATATCCGATGTATAAGTCACAGTCAAGTCCTCACGAACCATCACCATAATTTTACCAATCAGCAGCAAGCAACAAATGAACGAAAAAATTGTCACAATTGCCCAAAAGATTTTCTCAGCCAAATGAATGTTGTTGTTGCTAAAATAAGGAATTCCGTGGATCGATGATTCAGAACAAAATGCTTTCGGTGGTTTAAGCTTCATCTTTAATGAATTTCGTTCTGATTTGTTCTGTGAATTGAGTTTGAATTGTTTTGAAATGTTTTATTGAAATTTGCATGTAAGTTTTAATCAGATTTTAGAAATTATACCTTGAACTGATTAATCTGGTCAATAACACAAGTTTTAAAATTATAATCTTGATTCCTATACAAAATGCCATTCCCAACTCGATTCCAAAAGCGAATAATTAAAATATTGTGAAAAAAATCAATTGCTTTTTACAATTTTCCTCAAAATCCATCGATAAAAATTAAACAACGGCCGAATAGTAACAAAATACAGCAACTCAACAACCGATAGTGCAGAAATGCCAGCATAAAGTCCAAGAAGTCCGCCAGCTTGACACAAAAAGTCTTCAATTGTGAACGAAATTCGACGAACGAGAGGCAAAAAATTGTCATTTTTGTATCTGAATGTGATTGTTATTGATGCATTGTCATCGTCGCCAATTCCACCTAAAACTCTAGTCTCGATAACATTGATGTCATACCGAATAGCATTGCAAGCATCAAGGCATCCACACTCATCTATATGTGCTTTAGAAACTGATTTTCGAGGGTCTCTTTGATAAAAATCAAATGCTTGAAAATTAATTTCAAAATATTTTTCAATTCGACAAATCTTGTGAGTTTGGTTGCGGATTAAATAGTAAGGCACACATTTGGTCTCATTTAATCCCAGAAAATAGTTTGCCAAGCATTCGAGTTCGCAGTTCCTTCTCGAGTAGATTTTGAACATTTTAAGAGTTTTTTCTCCTTCAAAGTAGCAGTTCCGTTTTTCAGGTGTGAATTTCTTCAAACTTTCGTCAGATTTGATGACTTCAGGTGTAATCAGCACATCCAAATCTTGTCCATAATAGAATTTATTGGTGTTGTCGTCATCGTATTCAAAAGGAAATTCAAATGGCGGATAAACACTAAAGAATGGAGGTTGACAAATGGTTTTGTATTTAACAAGCTTGTTCTTGTCTAATGTTATCTTAAGGCTTGTCTTTCCATTACCATACAATGGATACTGCTCGTATGGAATTATTTCTAAATCCTTAGACTCTTCACTGACATTAAAGTTGTATTTAAGGATAGCTTTTGTGAAATTTTCTGAAACACTGAATTTTTTTTAAGGTTAGAAAGCTGATAACCAGATCAAATACAGCCTTACCCATTATAATACATCTTATCAGCACTCATCATATTAAAAGCATATCCAAATCCATTCCGACCTAAAAACTCAAAAGTCTGTGGAAGGTATTTGTCATTCCAAATCACAGTCTGGTTCCTAATCCAAGCATTTTTAGTCTTAATAAGTATCAGTGCAACTAAATGGTCTTGAAATCCTGCGTCCATATGTTCGATAGGTTCAAGAGCAAATCTATAGCCGCACAGAAGTGATGGAATCATGTAACTAAAAAGAAAGACTTATTACGTCAGCAAATGAGAGCTTTTATGCTTACAAAGCCAAATAACCGCCGTATTTTAAAACAGTCAACACTTGTTCTCGGCTTCTGCCCATAAACTCATTTCTCCAAGTCATTGAGACCAAATCATAAGGTATATCAACTTCAGGTGACAGAAATACAGCTGGAAATGGAATCTGTAAAAATAAAATTCAAACTTTAATGGCTTGATCTTCCTGGATGTTGAATTATCTTTTACAGTTTCGACAGAACTCTCGTCAGAATCGTAGGTTATAGCTATTGTAGCTTGATCATACTTCTCGTACATCTCATATGATGAGATTCCACAGTAGAGGAGTGAAAAGCCAAGGCAGAGGATCCAAAACATCCTGAAATAGGAAAGTCAAATGATTGAAATTCAAAATCTCATGAAACTCTTAAATCTAGTCAATGAGTTGCTAGTATTTTCATTAGACTAGAGCAGTGGTGAACAACCTTTTTTGTACCACGGCACACCTTAAGATTAAGCCACACGGCATATAGTTCGTAAGATTTCTCAAATATTTTCGCAGCACATAGGTTGACCAACACTGGACTAGAGTCCTTTCAATTAGATCACTCTAAGCAACCGCTAAGATAATCTCAAACCTTTCAATAAAGCTCCGATGCTTAATTGCAATTTGACTCATTCCATGAACCGTTGAAATGTTAAGGTACATCGTCATATAGTTCACTTTTATCTCCTTAGCTCCATGTACAGCCTCAGTTCCTACTTTAATATTCCTCCTTCTTTTTCTCATCCAGTTGAATAAAATTCTGACAGTCGAATAGTAAACAACTTCAACAAAAGACAAAATTGACGCTCCCAAAAACAATCCGAATGCACCTCCAGTGTAAGCAATGAAGTCAATTTCTGTAAACTGACGCTTTATTACGTTCGGTGAAAACGAAATTGACCGGTATTTAACGACTGTGAGTGAATCGAAATTGTCTTTTCTGAACCTTTCTAGATATGATTCGGAAAGTGATACAGGAATTGTTTTTCTGTGGATTAGAATGGGTTTAGTAAGTTCTACACGTCTCTAATGAATTAGTGACTCATATATGTAGTAAAAACTATGCATACACATAATCAGGAACGACTCGTTCCACATTATAGATGATTTCATCACATGCTGGGTAACATTTGCATAAATCCACACCATCTAGCTCAGCTTCAACTTGCTTGTAGCACGCCATGTCATGAATTCCACAAACTCTGGTTGATTCCACATCTGGAAGTTAGATGGTAAACGATTTTGAGGTTAGAAATTTTTGAGGTTATGTTTTGGATTTTTGAGGTTATGTTTCATGTTTCTTGAGGTTTTGTTTCAGAATTTTTCAGGTTATGTTTTAGAATTTTAAGGTTATGTTTTGGATTTTTTGAGGTTATGTTTCATGTTTCTTGAGGTTTTGTTTCAGAATTTTTTAGGTTGCGTTTTGGATTTTTTGAGGTTTTGTTTCAGCATTGTTGATGTTATGTATTAGATTTTTTGAGGTTATGTTTCATGGTTTTTGAGGTTAAGTCATAAATTTCCTAAAATACTCACGAAACATGAAGAACTGTACACATCCACAAACTTCCAAGGTTCGATTAATGAGGCATTCCTGCTTGCAGTTCCCTTTTGTGTAAATATTAAAATACTTCAAAATTCGTTCATCTTCGCCATGCTCGACACCATCAGCAACGAAATAACAACCTCGTCTGGAATTCACCATGATAATATTGATTAATTTGTGATGTCGTGACTGTTTTAAAGGGTGTGAGTCAAGGTAGAAACACTTATACTTTTTCAATGTCATATGATCAAAAATTCATGATAAAAACTACAAAATGCATAAAATACACAAATATGACCTAAAATGACTCACGCATCAGATCCATAATCCTTTAAATTAGTATCAATTAAGGTCTGCTTTGGTTCCACAATGTACATGATTCTGCATCTTCTGTTATTATAGAATGAACTGACATCTTTATGGTACAATTCGTATGGATTGTTGATGTAGACTCTTGGGGATGCAAACTTGTAGTAATCATAGCCGTCCATCATTTCATTTAATGTATCCTTCATGCTTTTTTCATAGGTTCCGATTCGTAGAAAAAACGTCGAGTCTGCTTGCGTCAATTTTAATGGATTTGACAGATTAATTTTTTTATGGTCAACCGGAGTTCGTTCATACTTTCCAACCCTAGTAAAGTACAAAATATTGTGGACATATCTAAACATTCTTGGTGCATTCTTAACATTTTTGTACAAGTTTTGTGCATCAACCATATTAAAGTTATAGCAGACTCCACTCGGACCGACAATTTTGGCCAGCACTGTAGCATAAACATCACTAAATGTGGTCTTAATCATTAAGTATTTCAGTTGTAAAGTTAGCATTTCAATTTGGTCAGCAATATCATCAGTTGGGATCCGTGTGGCATTGTATTTGAGTAGAAAGTCATCGGATATGACAAGACTGATTGCTTGAAGCGTTCGCAAGCTGTAAATAAAGGTTTGAAGTCAATTTTGACTCAATTTTTGGATAGAGCTTCACTTACTCATCTTCAGACAAGTCATCAACTGTTATTTCTCCATTTGCTAGTTGTTCCTTAATGACATGATACTTTGAGTACGTGACATTCCCAAAATGCATCAATTCAAAGCAAAATGTGACTGATGGAAATGGAATCTGGCATGGAAATAGAAGTAAATGATCAATATCAAGTACAGAGATGAATTTTGAAGTTAGAGTTCATAATAAGGTTAGCTTTATTGATCATCTGACCTACCTGAGTCACAGGAACTGAAATATCCGATGTATAAGTCACAGTCAAGTCCTCACGAACCATCACCATAATTTTACCAATCAGCAGCAAGCAACAAATGAACGAAAAAATTGTCACAATTGCCCAAAAGATTTTCTCAGCCAAATGAATGTTGTTGTTGCTAAAATAAGGAATTCCGTGGATCGATGATTCAGAACAAAATGCTTTCGGTGGTTTAAGCTTCATCTTTAATGAATTTCGTTCTGATTTGTTCTGTGAATTGAGTTTGAATTGTTTTGAAATGTTTTATTGAAATTTGCATGTAAGTTTTAATCAGATTTTAGAAATTATACCTTGAACTGATTAATCTGGTCAATAACACAAGTTTTAAAATTATAATCTTGATTCCTATACAAAATGCCATTCCCAACTCGATTCCAAAAGCGAATAATTAAAATATTGTGAAAAAAATCAATTGCTTTTTACAATTTTCCTCAAAATCCATCGATAAAAATTAAACAACGGCCGAATAGTAACAAAATACAGCAACTCAACAACCGATAGTGCAGAAATGCCAGCATAAAGTCCAAGAAGTCCGCCAGCTTGACACAAAAAGTCTTCAATTGTGAACGAAATTCGACGAACGAGAGGCAAAAAATTGTCATTTTTGTATCTGAATGTGATTGTTATTGATGCATTGTCATCGTCGCCAATTCCACCTAAAACTCTAGTCTCGATAACATTGATGTCATACCGAATAGCATTGCAAGCATCAAGGCATCCACACTCATCTATATGTGCTTTAGAAACTGATTTTCGAGGGTCTCTTTGATAAAAATCAAATGCTTGAAAATTAATTTCAAAATATTTTTCAATTCGACAAATCTTGTGAGTTTGGTTGCGGATTAAATAGTAAGGCACACATTTGGTCTCATTTAATCCCAGAAAATAGTTTGCCAAGCATTCGAGTTCGCAGTTCCTTCTCGAGTAGATTTTGAACATTTTAAGAGTTTTTTCTCCTTCAAAGTAGCAGTTCCGTTTTTCAGGTGTGAATTTCTTCAAACTTTCGTCAGATTTGATGACTTCAGGTGTAATCAGCACATCCAAATCTTGTCCATAATAGAATTTATTGGTGTTGTCGTCATCGTATTCAAAAGGAAATTCAAATGGCGGATAAACACTAAAGAATGGAGGTTGACAAATGGTTTTGTATTTAACAAGCTTGTTCTTGTCTAATGTTATCTTAAGGCTTGTCTTTCCATTACCATACAATGGATACTGCTCGTATGGAATTATTTCTAAATCCTTAGACTCTTCACTGACATTAAAGTTGTATTTAAGGATAGCTTTTGTGAAATTTTCTGAAACACTGAATTTTTTTTAAGGTTAGAAAGCTGATAACCAGATCAAATACAGCCTTACCCATTATAATACATCTTATCAGCACTCATCATATTAAAAGCATATCCAAATCCATTCCGACCTAAAAACTCAAAAGTCTGTGGAAGGTATTTGTCATTCCAAATCACAGTCTGGTTCCTAATCCAAGCATTTTTAGTCTTAATAAGTATCAGTGCAACTAAATGGTCTTGAAATCCTGCGTCCATATGTTCGATAGGTTCAAGAGCAAATCTATAGCCGCACAGAAGTGATGGAATCATGTAACTAAAAAGAAAGACTTATTACGTCAGCAAATGAGAGCTTTTATGCTTACAAAGCCAAATAACCGCCGTATTTTAAAACAGTCAACACTTGTTCTCGGCTTCTGCCCATAAACTCATTTCTCCAAGTCATTGAGACCAAATCATAAGGTATATCAACTTCAGGTGACAGAAATACAGCTGGAAATGGAATCTGTAAAAATAAAATTCAAACTTTAATGGCTTGATCTTCCTGGATGTTGAATTATCTTTTACAGTTTCGACAGAACTCTCGTCAGAATCGTAGGTTATAGCTATTGTAGCTTGATCATACTTCTCGTACATCTCATATGATGAGATTCCACAGTAGAGGAGTGAAAAGCCAAGGCAGAGGATCCAAAACATCCTGAAATAGGAAAGTCAAATGATTGAAATTCAAAATCTCATGAAACTCTTAAATCTAGTCAATGAGTTGCTAGTATTTTCATTAGACTAGAGCAGTGGTGAACAACCTTTTTTGTACCACGGCACACCTTAAGATTAAGCCACACGGCATATAGTTCGTAAGATTTCTCAAATATTTTCGCAGCACATAGGTTGACCAACACTGGACTAGAGTCCTTTCAATTAGATCACTCTAAGCAACCGCTAAGATAATCTCAAACCTTTCAATAAAGCTCCGATGCTTAATTGCAATTTGACTCATTCCATGAACCGTTGAAATGTTAAGGTACATCGTCATATAGTTCACTTTTATCTCCTTAGCTCCATGTACAGCCTCAGTTCCTACTTTAATATTCCTCCTTCTTTTTCTCATCCAGTTGAATAAAATTCTGACAGTCGAATAGTAAACAACTTCAACAAAAGACAAAATTGACGCTCCCAAAAACAATCCGAATGCACCTCCAGTGTAAGCAATGAAGTCAATTTCTGTAAACTGACGCTTTATTACGTTCGGTGAAAACGAAATTGACCGGTATTTAACGACTGTGAGTGAATCGAAATTGTCTTTTCTGAACCTTTCTAGATATGATTCGGAAAGTGATACAGGAATTGTTTTTCTGTGGATTAGAATGGGTTTAGTAAGTTCTACACGTCTCTAATGAATTAGTGACTCATATATGTAGTAAAAACTATGCATACACATAATCAGGAACGACTCGTTCCACATTATAGATGATTTCATCACATGCTGGGTAACATTTGCATAAATCCACACCATCTAGCTCAGCTTCAACTTGCTTGTAGCACGCCATGTCATGAATTCCACAAACTCTGGTTGATTCCACATCTGGAAGTTAGATGGTAAACGATTTTGAGGTTAGAAATTTTTGAGGTTATGTTTTGGATTTTTGAGGTTATGTTTCATGTTTCTTGAGGTTTTGTTTCAGAATTTTTCAGGTTATGTTTTAGAATTTTAAGGTTATGTTTTGGATTTTTTGAGGTTATGTTTCATGTTTCTTGAGGTTTTGTTTCAGAATTTTTTAGGTTGCGTTTTGGATTTTTTGAGGTTTTGTTTCAGCATTGTTGATGTTATGTATTAGATTTTTTGAGGTTATGTTTCATGGTTTTTGAGGTTAAGTCATAAATTTCCTAAAATACTCACGAAACATGAAGAACTGTACACATCCACAAACTTCCAAGGTTCGATTAATGAGGCATTCCTGCTTGCAGTTCCCTTTTGTGTAAATATTAAAATACTTCAAAATTCGTTCATCTTCGCCATGCTCGACACCATCAGCAACGAAATAACAACCTCGTCTGGAATTCACCATGATAATATTGATTAATTTGTGATGTCGTGACTGTTTTAAAGGGTGTGAGTCAAGGTAGAAACACTTATACTTTTTCAATGTCATATGATCAAAAATTCATGATAAAAACTACAAAATGCATAAAATACACAAATATGACCTAAAATGACTCACGCATCAGATCCATAATCCTTTAAATTAGTATCAATTAAGGTCTGCTTTGGTTCCACAATGTACATGATTCTGCATCTTCTGTTATTATAGAATGAACTGACATCTTTATGGTACAATTCGTATGGATTGTTGATGTAGACTCTTGGGGATGCAAACTTGTAGTAATCATAGCCGTCCATCATTTCATTTAATGTATCCTTCATGCTTTTTTCATAGGTTCCGATTCGTAGAAAAAACGTCGAGTCTGCTTGCGTCAATTTTAATGGATTTGACAGATTAATTTTTTTATGGTCAACCGGAGTTCGTTCATACTTTCCAACCCTAGTAAAGTACAAAATATTGTGGACATATCTAAACATTCTTGGTGCATTCTTAACATTTTTGTACAAGTTTTGTGCATCAACCATATTAAAGTTATAGCAGACTCCACTCGGACCGACAATTTTGGCCAGCACTGTAGCATAAACATCACTAAATGTGGTCTTAATCATTAAGTATTTCAGTTGTAAAGTTAGCATTTCAATTTGGTCAGCAATATCATCAGTTGGGATCCGTGTGGCATTGTATTTGAGTAGAAAGTCATCGGATATGACAAGACTGATTGCTTGAAGCGTTCGCAAGCTGGAAATAAAGGTTTGAAGTCAATTTTGACACAATTTTCGGATAGAGCATCACTTACTCATCTTCAGACAAGTCATCAACTGTTATTTCTCCATTTGCTAGCTGTTCCTTAATGACATGATACTTTGAGTACGTGACATTCCCAAAATGCATCAATTCGAAGCAAAATGTGACTGATGGAAATGGAATCTGGCATGGAAATAGAAGTAAATGATCAATATCAAGTACAGAGATGAATTTTGAGGTTAGAGTTCATAATAAGGGAAGCTTTATCGATCATCTGACCTACCTGAGTCACAGGAACTGAAATATCCGATGTATAAGTCACAGTCAAGTCCTCACGAACCATCACCATAATTTTACCAATCAGCAGCAAGCAACAAATGAACGAAAAAATTGTCACAATTGCCCAAAAGATTTTCTCAGCCAAATGAATGTTGTTGTTGCTAAAATAAGGAATTCCGTGGATCGATGATTCAGAACAAAATGCTTTCGGTGGTTTAAGCTTCATCTTTGATGAATTGAGTTCTGATTTGTTCTGTGAATTGAGTTTGAATTGTTTTATTGAAATTTGCATGTAAGTTTTAATCAGATTGAAAGTTTATTCATGTTTTTTTGCTAGACAAGCAGACATGCTGATTGATATAGTTTTATGAAATTATTTGGATTATGTTAGAGAAGTAATGGCCAACCTGTGTGTTACGGCACATTATTGTGCCGCAATAAAAAAATAGAAAATTCCAAGAACTTTATGCCATGTGCGGTTGGGTCATTGCTAATCAATAAGTTGTGCCGCGACACAAGAGAGGTTGGCCAACGCTGGTTCAAGTTCTAACATAACCACATGGAGATTAAAATTCTGTTGACATCAACTTTACTCGTTTTTTGGAAACGCTGTTTTGTGAGAATCTTTGTGGAGTTAATGATTGTCATCAAAAGTTTCGTAAACTTAATATAAACTCAAAACTTCTATTCAGGTGCTTAAAATTTATTTTATAAAACTTTGTTAATTTTATTTAATTTTTTCATTGTTCAATTTGAATTCAAAACATTAAATTTAAATCAAAAATGTTGGGAAAGATTTCTGATTTTTTCAAATCAATGACAAAAATTGAGCCAAATGAGAGAAGCAAGTCAATAATTGAACAAGAAGTTATTGAAATTTCCGACTCTAGTTCTGAGACAGAACAAAATTTTATCAAACGGAAGCCAGAGCGACAATCAAGCAACAAGAAAATTGAAGGTAAAAGCTTTAAAAATGAAAAAAAGTGCAACGAGAAAGTTGAGAAAAATATCAAAAATGAGCCTGAACGAGAATTTGTGATTGAAATTCATACAAAGCTGCCAAAATTACATCAAAGTTCTTCAACCTTAAATCAAAATTCGACAACTTCTCCCAAAAAAACTACAAAATCACCTAAAAACTCTACAGAAAATCTTAAAAAACCCAAAAAAAATCAAAAATATGAAAAAATTTCAAAATTTTTGTCTGAGAATGTCAACGATTGTAAGTTTTGCGATAAAACATTCACAAACAAAGGATACATTTACGATCATCTTAGACGAGTTCACAGCGACAAAATCAAAGAGTGCCTTTTTAAGTGCAATTTGTGCCATCAGACGTTCTTCCACGAATATTATCTCGACACGCACATTAAGACCAAACATAAAGATGGTAAAGTCGAGTCATTTATGTGCGATTATGATGCGAAAACATTCAAAAAGAAGAATTCTCTGAGACTGCACATGAGATCTCATCTTCAAAAAATGAGCTGTAAAATCTGTAAAGCAAAACTTAATGTCGTAAGCTTCCGAATGCATATGACGACGCATGACTCAAGTAAGAATTTTAAATGTAAAATTTGTGATAAAAGTTTTAGAAGCAATCGTCATCTTACCGAACACGAACAGACTCACGACAAAAAGTTTGAATGTAGCATCTGCAACAAGAAGTACGCAATCAAGAAGCAAATCCGCAGACATTATAAGCACTTCCATCAGGACCTAAAAACGGAAATTTGTGAGATTTGTGGCAAAAAATTCGCTGATAAACCAAACTTGAAACAACACGTGCCTACTCATGACAAGAATCGTCCGAAACCATTCAAATGTGACAAATGTGGACATACAACAACAACAATGCAACGTATACAGAATCACATGAAACGTCACGAAAATGAGAATAAGCGATTAGCAGCTTTGGTAAATCCAAAGAAATGCAATATATGTGGAAAATATTTTAAGGATAATTTTGCTGTGTACGCTCATCGACTTAGTGTCCATACGGCAATTAAGCATCAGTGTGACTTGTGTGGAAATTATTATAAAAGTCGAAATAGTTTACCTTATCATATGCGATTTAATCATTTAAATAAGAAGGAGGTAAAGAGTTAAGGTGGAATAGAAATTTTTAAAGTGGACGACCTGCGACAAGTAAGGCTACTTAAAGACTTGATTAAGAGTTTGAGAAAGGCAATGATTAGCTGCGAAACGCCCTAGCGCACTTCTGGATCACAATTGCTCTGAATAGGTAAAGGTTTTTTTAAGAGTTTGACAAAGTCTGGAAAAGTAGAAAAGATTTTTTAAAAATTTTATTTTGTTATTTTATTTAATTTTATTTGTTCTTCTGCTTTTAGATTCAATAAACTTGAAAATTGTGTTTTTTGAAACCGTTTATGCTGATTCATTGCCTGTCCATCCTTCATCACATCCTTTTTAAATTACAAAACATTTTTCAACTTTTGTTCGATTATTTTTGACAATTTTTCATCAAAAACTTCTTCAAACTTTTTCAGTAATCGCTTCTCAATTCCATTCAGCTTCTCATCAATGCTGACTGACATTTTGTGACGAGATTTTGCCAACTCATGCTTCATAACCTCAAATTTTTCACTCATTTTGTCCTCAAAGCTTTCCAATTTGTCATCAATTTTCAAGAATTTTTCATCAGAATTCTCGATTTTCTGGATGGAAGCTCCGATCTCATTCTGTGCTATTCTCATTTTACCAAGCGATGTCTTAACCTCATTTTGAGTAATTTTAACGTTATTAACAGCTGACTCAATGTCACTGACTGTCGCTTTCATGTCAATGAGGTTGCTAGTTGCTTCATCTTGTGAAAGCTTTGTTGATTTAAGGATTGATTTGTGGTCCTCGAGTGCTGTAAGGAATGTATTTTGTGATGCTGTAAGGTTGTTCAGGGACGATTGTATTTTAATTTGAGATGAGGTTAGGTCTGTGATTGGATTTGTTGCATCTTTGAGGATGTTGAGGTCATTATTGGCATGATTAATGCCACTTTTGACATCATTTATGCCGTTTTTGACATCATTTATGCCATTTTTGACATCATTTATGCCATTTTTGACATCATTGATTTCATTTTCATTAGCTTTAATGTTGGAAGTGATCAAATCTTTAATGTCATTCTCAGTTGAATTAATGGAACCAAGCGAAGATTGAATCTGATCTTGTGAAGCTTTGAGGTCTTTTATTTCAGCTCCAAACTCCTTAACTGCATCAGTCAAGCTTGATTGCAACGATTTGAGGTTACTTTGTGAATTCTGAACGTCACTAAGTTTGGAATCATGTTGATCAATTAAAGACTTAATCTTTCTTAATGATCCTTCAATTTCAGCTTGATGTGATGTAAAATTGTCCAATTTTTGGCTAATATTGTCAATGGAACAGCAATCAGTGCATGAATCTTTAACCTTTGGGATCTCAGATGTTAAAGCTGCCTTGCTGGATGTTGGCTCCAATGTTGTAGTTGAGATTAGACTTGAATTTCTTAACTTTCCTAACTTAACCTTGAAATATGAACATCCAGAAAACTTTGAAGTTTTTAATTCATTTTCTAATTTTGTGTCTGAATCTAAAGCTTCGAGTTTGGAGAATTCTGGATCTTTGCACTTGCCTTTCAGATTTTTTATCACTCTTTCCGAATCTCTCTTAGTAATGCCATATGAATCAATACAAGGAACGCTATGGAACCATAAATGAGTCAGCTTTGTCAAATTATCAAAAACATTCGAGTCGACATGCAAAATGTTGTTCCCGCCAAAGCTTATCAGCAGTAATTCGAGGTTAAAGTCAAATAAACCAGGCTCAACGACCTCAATTTCATTTCCATATAAATCAAGATTCTCCAAATTTGGTAATGGAATTAAGTCTGATTGAGTAACTTCCTTTAATTTGCTATATGCGATGTAAACTGATTTAATATTCTTAAAAGTTGTTTCTAATCCTCGAGGGAACTGCTTGAATGTTTTATGAATCGCATGCAATCCAACAACATCATCTTTAGTTCTTCCAATTGTATGAGTTCCACTTGTCGACGTTATTTGAGCTTTCGCAGCATCATCAATGTTTGGATCAATTTCAACTTCGCAACGATAAATATTTGGCAGCACACTGTAAGTTCCATTATTGAAGATACATTTAAGGTTGGTTGAGGTCGTGAAAGTACAAAATGTGAGAATAAAGAATGCGATGAGCCTGTAAGTTTGTGAAAAAAAAATTATTAAAAATTGATACATTCACGCTTCCGCCCCTCCCCCATCTCCCTCCCCCTATATGGTCACAAGTCGATTAATCAATCAAAAATCCGACACAAAGCTGGCGTGGCTTTGTCATGGTGCTGAAATTAAATTGAGTCATGCCTGTGTAGCGCTGGATTTACTAGCTGATTTGCTCTATTAGGGCCCTTTTGACACAGTTATTCCTGTACGACTTACAATTTAAATGTTTCCATATTATTAATCCAGCAAAATAAAGTTTCGATTAATTCGAACAAACACTGGCTTTTGAATGATTATATTAAGCACTCAGGCTATCAGTTCAAGTATATTTATAAACGAGTATGTGCTCTCATGTAGATCATATGTTAATACGCAAAATTAATGAATATTAAGATTATTTGGCTCTCAAGAGAGGTTCTCAAAAAAATGAACATTTAGATTAAGACTGAAATTCTCAATTATCATCAGTTGAGGTTGATTTGTTGAACAAAAAAGTTAATCATTTTACGTGCTAAAATGATGAAATATTTACTGTAAATATAAATAAAATAATTTAATTCAAAAAGAGACAACATAATGAGATTCTCAACAAAATCGGATTCTTTCCATCATGTGTAGGTCGCGTAGCTAGGAGGGTATTGTTCCCCCTCCCCTCTTAAGCGTTTTGAGCCGTGCTCTCGCTGTAATTTGCTTTTCGCTTAAAGGGGGACCAAAACATTCTTGCAGGGGCGTAGCAAGAAACTTGAAGAGGGGGTGACAAAAAATTATTTGTATGGAAAAATTTAAAGTGGTGGGTGTGGGGGTGAATTTTTGTGATTTTTTCATAAAAACCCTAGCAAAATTAAGCAATTTTTGTTTACGTTGGGGGATTTGTACCCCGAATCTCCCCCTGGCCACGCGCAGCGGCGTAGCTTAAAAAACTTAATTGCCCGGGCAATCCCCTTGAGATTGAATTTTCATACAAATTTTTTTTACAAAAACTTTTTTTTTTGAGGAATTTGAAGAGGGGGGGGGGGGCAAAAATTTTTTACATGGAAAATTCAGAGGGAAGGAGATTTTTTTAATTTTTTTATAAAACTCCTGGTAAAATGAAGAAATTTCTGTTGACATCGGGGGATTTATCCCCGAAATCCCCCCTACCAGGTTACGCGCCTGAATTAGGTTTAAATGCTCAAATAGAGAAGGTTTTACTGATTTTCGACAGTAATTATTTTTTTGAACCTCTCACCCCCCTTGATTAAATTCTGGCTACACCACTAGCTACGTGCCTGTCATGTTGTTTTCCCCTTGGTATCGTATCTTCTTCCCCAAACTTAGCTAACATTAAAATAATTGTTTCAAAATTAAACTACTTTTTCGTTATTTTTCTCTATTCATTAAATTCTTTTCCATTTATTTTTCATATGTTCAGCTACATCTCGTGTCTGCTGACCTATTGCGACCCCACATCATTAAGAAACATCGAATGCAACTACGAATTCAAGCAATATACCAGTATTGGATTCATTTTCAATTGCCAAGTCAATACTGATCCACAAATAACATCCAGAAGTTCCTCGGCAGTAACATTAATCCACAGCAGAGGTGCCGAAGTCAATGATCGAGTCATTGGGTTCTATATTTACGAAAAAATAGTCAATTACTTCCCTAAAGGATTGGAAAAACTGTTTAAAAATCTTAAGGCAATTTTTATTGGAAGTTGTAAATTGAAGGAAGTGACTCAGGTTGATTTGAAACCATTTCCAAAGCTGGCTTACTTACAATTGAGTTTAAATTTGATTGAGGTCATTGAGCCTGGTTTATTTGACTTTAATCTGGAATTGCAGCTGATAAACTTTGCAAGTAATAACATTTTGCATGTCGACTCAAATGTTTTTGACAATTTACCTAAATTAACTTACTTGTGGTTTCATGGAGTTCCATGTTATGATAATATTATAGCAGATCCAAAAAGTCCTCAAGAAATTATTCAATGGTTGAAAAGTGTCTGCAAAGATCCTGAGTTTTTAGCTTTGAGTCGAAAGTTTGAGGATTTTGAGGATGAAATTAAAGGTTTAAATTTTGATAATTTTGAGGTTAGGTTTTCGAGCTTTACGAATGAGGTTAGAGGTTTGAAGTTTTTTGGGACTTCATATTTCAATCACAGGCTTGTTGCTTTAAAACACTCTTACAAAGCATCAACATTGAGCACATCTGAGGGTCCTTTGGAGATCCACAGTAAAGCTAAAATTGAACCTACAAGCTCCACAGTCTTGAGAGGATCTAAAAGTTGTGAAAACTGCTGTAAAATTGACGAAAATTTAGATTTAAGCTTTAAATTTGGTAATTTGAGTCTGGCAATAAATTATCTAAAGTCATCGCAAGTTGAGGTTGTAGATTCACTGAATGAGATTAAAATGACTGTAAATTCACAAGGTATAAAGCTTGATGACCTTCAAGAATCTCAAAATATTCTCAAAACCTCTGTTGATACCCAAAACTCCATCAACGACCTAAAATCATCCCAAAACGCTTTACAATCCCTTCAAAATGACACAAAAATCACCCTCGATGCCCTCAAGACCTCACAAATATCCCTCAAATCCTTACAAAACCAACTCAAAGCCTCCCAAAACGAGGTACTTAGCAGCCTTGAAGACACGAAAACATCAATGAGTGACATTGAAACATCAGTCAACAGCATTAAGGCATCACAAAATGAAGCCAAATCATCGCTTAACAAGCTCAGAACAAGTCAGAATGGAATTGAAAATTCGCTCACCAAAATGTCTGAAAATGAAGATTTTGAGGAAAGTTTGAAGAAGATTGATGAAAAATTGGAAAGTTTGGATGTAAAATTTGGGGAAAAATTGAAAGAAAATAATGAAAAACTTGAGGAAATCAAGCTGGAATTAGCAAGCACTCGTCAAAAAATGTCAATAAATTTTGATGAAAAGATTAAAGGAATTGAAAAGCGGTTGAGTAAAAAGTTTGAGGACATTTTAGAGGAACAGCTTGGAAAAGTTTTGGATGAAAAGTTTGCAATGCTTTTAAATGCTTAATTTGGAACTGAATAAAGAAAGATTGAAAATATTTTTGATTGTTTAATTAATCTTATTATTATGCTTTGCAGATTACAAAGAATAAGATATTATCTTATAAGAACTGACATCTGAGGAAGAATTTATAGAACAATAGTGACAGTTTCTTAGCTTATGTCACATGGTTGTTTGTCTTATAGTGCATGTTACATAGTTGAATGGTTGCATGTCACATTATTGTATGTCACATAGTTGTATGTCATAGTGCTGCATATTACATGGTTGTTTGTTGCATATTTACACGTGACATGATTGTATGTCACATGGTTACATGGTTGTTTGTCGCATACTTACATGTCACATGGTTGTTTGTCTTATTGTCACATGACACATGGATGTTTGTCACATTGATGTTTGTCATTTGGTTTTATGTCACATTGTTGCATGTCATATGGTTGCATATCACATTATTACATGTCGCATAGTTACACTTGATGGTTTGTCACATTGTTACATGTCACATGGTTGTTTGTCATATTGTTACATGTCACATGGTTGTTTGTCACATTGTCACATGTCACATGGTTTTAAGTCTTATTTTCATATGACACATTGTTGTTTGTCACATAGTTGCACGTCACATGGTTGCATCTCACATTATTACATGTTGCATAGTTGTATGTCATGGTGCTGTATGTTACATTGTTGTTTGTTGCATATTTACACGTGACATGATTGTATGTCACATGGTTACATGGTTGTTTGTCGCATACTTACATGTCACATGGTTGTTTGTCTTATTGTCACATGACACATGGATGTTTGTCATTTGGTTTTATGTCACATTGTTGCATGTCATATGGTTGCATATCACATTATTACATGTCGCATAGTTACACTTGATGGTTTGTCACATTGTTACATGTCACATGGCTTTAGGTCTTATTTTCATATGACACATTGTTGTTTGTCACATTGTTGCATGTCACATGGTTGCATCTCACATTATTACATGTTGCATAGTTGTTTGTCATGGTGCTGTATGTTACATTGTTGTTTGTTGCATATTTACACGTCACATGGTTGTTTGTCACATAGTTGCATGTCAAAATAAATGACATTGACAGTTTATTGGATTTTTCACTTCTGCAAACTTTTTGCTTTTCCTTTCATGGACGCTCTGGTACCACTTTAAACAAGTTTTATTTTTGTTCCAAATATTAATAAGGATGCAGTCGCTGATGTGGATGATAACCAACACTTGACGATGCAACCATCATTCCAGGATGTGGAGGCAGCAGAGGAGCTTGAATAAGTGCTTGATGATGATGCGGATGATGAAGATGATGAGGACCAGGAAGATTGTGATGAATTGAATGCTGTTCGAGATTTGGCGGGAGTTCTGGTGCTCCAATTTGTATTTGTTGGGGTAGATGGACATGCTCTTTGGCTACGTGGATTTGAAGGCTTTCGCCAGTTGGAAATACTTTTCTGCATTCTGTACATTTGATGTTTGGAACTGCTGCACGCTCGTTGAGATGGATTTTTCGCTTGTGCATGACCATGTCGCGGTTCCTGAGGGATGGATGTTAAGATACTGATTTTACAGACTTCTGGAGCTGAACATTAAGCTTACCTGGTAAATGCCTTATTACAAATATCACAAATAAAATTCTTCAACCCAGTATGAGTCGATAAATGTCTTGACATGTCAGATGATGTGATGAACGTCTTATTGCACACAGGACAGACATGATCTCGAACTCCAGAATGGATCTTCTTATGTGCTATGAAGTTGCCGTGTGCTGAGAACTGTTTTGAGCAGATTTCACTGCAATAAATGTAAATAAGCTATGTTATAGACTCAGCTGTTGATATATCAACTTACCAAACAAAAGGTTTGTCTCCAGTATGAATCCTGACATGAATGATCAAGTTGTGCTTCTGAGCGAACCTTCTGTTGCAGTAATCACATTGAAATGGCTTTTCGCCCGTCTGAAAATATCAAAAATTGTCAATGGCTAGCAGATCTATTTGATAATCATTGTAACTGCTCATGAACAGATCCAAAAGTCAACACATGGCAAATTCTGGACCATACCAAACCAACACTCCTCAATTCCATAAAACACATACTCACATGAGTCCTCAAATGCATCTGCAGCTGAGCTAAGCACTTAAAAGTCTTATTGCACTGATAACATTGATGAACAACTTTTGGAGTTGGTTTCGGTCCTCTTTTCTTCAATTCTGTCTTTGGTTTGTATCGACTTCGTCTCTTTGTCTTAACTTTATGCTTTAGTTCATCATCCTCCTTATGGACATCCTTAAAAACATCCGTATTTGTTGTTGCATCTCTTTTTGTATCAAATATTCTGATTCCAAAATATTGTCTCAGTCGAAGGTCTGAGTTTTCGCATTGTTGCTTGAAATGGTAAGCTAGAGACAGCCTGTAGTAGCAGTTATTGCAGATTCCAATTGGAAGATTCGGATCACTTTCATAGACTTTGAGGTCGAGTGTTTGTAGCATTATGAATGGAGAGACTGCAAATTCAGCACTGAAAATTGATGTAAAAATTCCTTCTTCGAGGCAGACTCGACAGACTTTGTTGTTGAGGCGATAGCTGGTTTCCATTGGGATTGGGGTGAGTCTTAAGTCTCACTTCGGTGTTAAGTTTGGGACTAGAAATTGATTTTGTGCTAAGATTTCAATTTTCCTTTATTTTTGTTTACAAAACAATTTGAAGATTCCGTTCAGAAATTTATTTGTGCAACAATTTTGTGCTGAACGCTCAAAACAGAGCCCTGAAATGTTCAGAACCTTACAAATTCTTTGTTTATTTTTATTTTCATGCAGAAACTTTAAATCTTGTTTTTGCAAACAATTTGAATTAAAAACAGAAAAATTGGATAATTGAGAATCATTAAAGATTAATATCCAATTGGATACAGTTGGACAAGTCGAGGATCATCAATAAAAGGCTAAATATAAGGATTCTCGGAGAAATACGAGCAATTAACAACAAATAAGGTAAGAAAGTTCCAGAAAACTGCAATTATTGTCTGTTTGTTATCTGGGACAGTTGAATTTGGCACTGGATAAAGCCAAAGGGAGAAATTGTTGTCAACTGGGTGGGTTTGACGTCAATGAAATAGGCTTGAGGTCTATGGGATGGATCGTCGGTCAATGAAGGAAGTTTGTAGTCAATGTAATGTGATTGTGGTCTTAAGAACTGAATATCAAACCCAATTTGCAATATTAAGTCTCAATCCTCTACAACCAACCAGCCAACTATCCAACAAACCTTAACAACCACCTCGATAACCAAACATAAATCACCCAATTCATTTAAACCAAAAATCTGCTCTTTCTATCAATTCCAGTACCTAAAAACAACACAGCAATAAGCCATGGCCCACTACAAAGGAGCAGCCAGTGAAGCTGGCCGAGCAATGCAGCTCATCAAAAAGCGTGAGCTCCAACAGCAAGAAGCAGAACTCCGCAAAAAGAAAATTGAAGAAGAAATGAAAGTCCAGAACATTGACAGCAAGTTTGCAGCTCACATTGATGCTGTCGAAATGCAACTGAAAGTCAGCACTGTCGGTCTTGTTACGCTTGATGAAATGAAGGCTAAGCAGGAGACGATGGTGCAGGAACGAGAAAAGAAACTGGCAAGAAAAGAGATGGAAAAGCATTCAGAAAAGTTGAAGCAACTTGAAGCCAAAGAAGCGGAAAAGTCAAAGCAAAGGAAGCAAATTCAGGCATTGTCATTCAAAGTAGATGATGATGAGGAGGAAGACGAGGACAGCAGCTCATCTGACAGTAACCAAAAGTGGTCAGAACATGAGCCAGTCAAGAAGAAAATTAAAAAGAATCCAAATGTTGACACAAGTTTCCTGCCTGACCGCGAACGTGAAGAAGCTGACAATAAATTGCGGGAAGAACTAAGGCAGGAGTGGGTCGTTAAGCAGACGACATTGAAGGACGAGGAAATTGAAATAACATTCTCATATTGGGACGGCAGTGGACACAGAAAGGCACTGAAGATGAGGAAAGGAAATTCAATTTATCAGTTCCTGCAAAAGTCACTTGACGAAGTCCTAAGAAAGGAATTTCCAGAACTCAAGACAGTCTCAGCTGATCAGTTAATGTACGTCAAAGAAGATTTGATTCTCCCACAACATTACACATTCTATGACTTTATAGTCACTAAGGCAAGAGGAAAATCAGGTCCGTTGTTCCAATTTGATGTCAAAGACGACATTCGAATGATTTCAGACGCGACAGTCGAGAAGGAAGAGTCTCACGCTGGTAAAGTGTTGCTGAGGAGTTGGTATGAAAGGAATAAGCACATCTTTCCAGCTAGTCGATGGGAACCATTTGATCCGACCAAGAGTTATGATAAATATACTTATAAAGATAAGAAGGAGAAGTAGAAGCTGTAGATTGAATTTGGAAGGGAATAAAAAAAATGTTTAAAAATAAATTTAACTTGTTTTGTGTTTTTGTGACATGCTTGAAGGGTGCTTTAAGGTATGATGCCAAAGGAACCAGCCTTTAAATGTATTAAATCAATAGAAATCAGATTTTTGGAAAAGATTCGCAGCTTTGTGACAGATTGGTTCATATAAGAGAGGCTGCAACAGATAGAATAAACCTAGTTGCTGTTTAAAAGGTCTAATCCACCCATGACCAGCTTAACATCCATAAAACATTGAAAAAAATCCGTTAAAATTCAAACTGTACCTTCCAACCAAGTTGCAGCCCCTTCACAAAACACAAAACTTTCTCAAACCATCCATCCCCCTCACAGTCTCACTTTATTTGTTTATATCAGCTGATTTACAGGTTGACATTTGTGGCTACGAATATTCATAAATTTTTAAAAATAGACTGAAAAGCAAAGCAAGCATAGAAATAGTTTTTTTTTTTCATTATTATAAACAGAGCAAAAAGTTTAAATTATCAGGATGGGGCTGCTCTTCATCCTTAGCTACGTAGGAATATTTTTTCAAGTCTGCTTCATCACGATCGCTTTAGCCGCAGGACTTTATTATATTAGTGGTAAGTGAAATGTTGGCAATTTTCAAGGGATTCGATAGTAGATTTTTTTGAAGGTTGTTGTGGGGGATTTGTGGGTGGATTAGATGTGTTTAGGGTTTATTGAGGATGCTGGATGTCTGATAGACTATGACTTGATTTATCTAGATTTTTTGAGAATTTTGTCGAAGCAAATTTGTAGTAGTTTTAGTAGTTTTGAGTCTGTTGATCCATATTCTTGGTATGGCAGGATGATTATTATTATTATTATTGCTTTATTCATTCTAATTAAGCCAGAGCAGCGTCATGGCTGTATTACATTGTAATTATTTGGAAACTTTATTCCTCATATCGAGGACAGGAATTGTGAGTCACAGCGTTTAAAATAAACTTTAAAGAGCTCACAAAGAAATTACTTTATAATTTAACGGTATTTTTAAATTGTCAGCTTTTTTGATATTATGGTTGCGATTCCAAGTCTAAAACATGATCTGTCGCATCCAAACTCATCGAATAAGTCTACTGTCTACGTTATTGTGCATCACTAATTCATCAACTGTCATTTAGACGCTTTAAGCGTCATATAAGCTCGTTAGCCTTAAATCAGTATCATACAGATCAGCAAGAGCTTCAAATGAAGCCAATAGACTCCATCCAGATCTATAAAATAACATGCAAACCATGACTGGCATCATTTTGTGTCTCCCAGACTCAATCAACAGCATCTGAACCTTCTACACCTCATCTGGCTCCACTTAGTCATCATCAATTTCACTAAACTGCATCTAGATCTATAGCAGGACCCTCTGGAATCTCGTATAGACTCCAATATAATTATTTATACTCAGTAGTGTAGCAATAGGCTTCAGAGACTAGAGTTTAAGTCATACAGATGTCTACGTCATAGCTTCTACCCAAACTTGAATTCCCAAAACCTAAACATCCATAAAAATCTAAAACTTCTTTTCTTTCATTGTAGAACTAGTCGAAGAGTATTCAGAGAAGTCAAAGAAAGTCATCAAGACAGTAACAAACATCACAATCATCATCTACATCCTCTTCATCTTCACCGAGAGCTTCCCATACACAGTAATAATCTTTGGAATTCTCGCGCAACTCTCACATCTCCTCATCCTTAGGACATTTCCAGAAGTTCGAATTTTCTCATTCGAGTTCATTGCAGCACTAGTCTTGCTATTCGTGAATCACTATCTGGCTTACAACTTTTTTCAAGAGTATTTCTACACAATATCAGAAATTCTTGGATATTTCACATTATGCCTTTGGTTGGTGCCATTTGCACTGTTTGTGTCGCTTAGTGCCAACGATCAGACATTACCGACATATCAGGACACAACGTCAGCTAATTCTAGTGAAAATGATGTCGTGACGAATTATTTTTCATCGAAAAAGAGAAAAAATTTGTTAAATTTCTTTAAAAATGCAAAAGAGTCGGTGCTGCCGATGCGATCGAAAAAGTCATTTTAGAATTAATAATTAAAAAAAATATTGTTTGGTAGGAAATTTGAAGGGTTTGTTGATTTTGTGGGAGGTGGGGTATCAGGGGGGGGGGTGGGATTTATTGTTACCTGTCAATGTTCTCTCTTCTTTTTAGGTTCGGGAAGCTAGGAGGGATGGTATAAATTAGGGTACAACTAAAGTGAACTTAGGATATGCCAAATGATCCAGTTTAGTCAATCGGATCTTGCCATTACTCAATCCTGAATTTACAGCACTTAAATGACTATGATTTCCTTATTAAGATGTCACGTTGTTTTTTTTGTACCCTTAAACCAGGGTTGCTATACAGGCACCCGTGCACAGATGAGAACCGTACAATTCCTTGATAATTTGTGAGGTTTTATTAGAATTTGTATGGTTTTGTTAGAAAAACCTTATAAGGGGCCGTTCACTTATGACGTCCTTAAGGGGGGGGGGGGGGGGTCAGCAAGAAAAGAACAATAGAAATTCCTGGAAATCCATTGTTCTTTTTTGAAAAATGACCGTTAATTTTGGACGTCATAATTGAACGGCTCCTAAATTGTCAAGTATTTGAACGGTTCTCAACTATGCACAGGTGCCTGTGTCACAGCCCTGCCTTAAACTGTAAAAGACATGAAAAATAAATACAGTAAGACGATTAAAAAAATCCAGGCTTTTTATTCCGTTTTTTTTTTATAGCTTTATATTGAAATTGCGAGTCAAATTCAAGCATAAAGCGATGATCTTCAACACTATTAGAGTCATAGCTGAATTTTGAATTCCATCCTACAATCCAGTCATCAGACAGCTTAATTAACTCTCAAAAACTCAGCAACTTTCTTATTAAACTCCTCCGCATATCTCAAATGAATGTTATGCTTCCCATTCGGCCATGTGATCAACTTAGCGCCTTTAATATTCTCCATCAAATAAGGAACGTGAACTGAAGCTAGCATCGGATCCTTTTCACCATGCAGAATTAATGTTTCAGCCTTAATGTCCTTTAAAAACTTTGTACACAAATCTCCTTCATTTTCATGATAAATTCTCTTAAATGTGTCAACCCAGCTTTCCCAAGTTGTCTTGAAATATTCAGCGCCGTAAAGTTTTTCGAGTGGTTCTCGCATTTTTGCACTCCATTTGCTGACATCGCGGATGCTGTCGTAGATCTTCAGCTCATCTTTGATGATGAAGGCATTTGATCCGAAAATTATTAGTTTTTGTACATTTTGAGGATGTTTTCCGGCTAAGATGAGGCTAATGATGCCACCGTCACTCCAACTGGAAGTGAAATTTTGTGAATTTTGGATTAAAATTAGATTAAAGAGGATGCTAGCAGGGTCATCTAAGCTGAGGCTTGAGAACCACAGACTTGATTCCTTAATTATAGAAAATCTTAATCTACAAACCCCAAAACATCAAATTTATCAACTTTTAATGCATCACAAAGCAAATCTTTAACCAAATCTGCGTCTTTTTCTAGAAAATCTTTTGTGAACTCCTTTTTAGGTGGAATTGACTTTCCATATCCTGGTGGATCCCATGCAATAATTTGATAGTTTGGCAGTAATTTTGGTAGATTCTCGATTTGTGGCTTGAAGTCTGTGAAACATGAGCCTGGAATTAAGATGTAAGGATGATTATTAAATGATCTACATCAGTGATGGCTAACCCGTGATACACGGCACACTAGTGTTTTCTGAAAAAAATTTGGATATCCACGAATCGTATGGTATGTACAAGTTTGGTCATGGATTAACAGAGAGTACCGTGGCACAAAAAAGGTTTGACACTACTGATTCTACATCACTACTATAAGAACTAATCCTACAGTGGACTAATGACACATTTTATGGGACTATAAGGAGAAAATGTCATAATAGGAATCCTTAAGTCTAGTTATTAATTAGTCTGGTGTCCACTCATGACCTATTTAAATGATTTTGTCAAATTAGACACTCACCCAGTGCACCAGGCAGCATTATCAACGTCTTGTCAGTCTTTTCACCCTCACATTTGGATACAACATAATTAATTTGATAATTCCCAACTTTTACTTTTTGTTCGCTGATTTTCACATTTGACATTGACGACAGTAGCCTTATGTTCCTGTAAATGCGTGATGTTGAGTGACTAGTAAGAACTTTTAGCATTTTATCAACAATTCTTATTTAATTTGCAATTTTATAAAGATCAATAAAAAGTTTTTTCGGCTTTAATAATCAAAACAAAACAAGAAACAAGGAAAATCAGATGTTTTGATGCTGAATGCTTTAGACTGTTTGTTTGCCAAACATTGAGAGAGCTGTTGCTTTATGTGAGCTTTTTTGTACTGGTTTTTTGACTTTTTTAAATGAATTTTGTATCATCTTATAGACTATGAATAAAAGAAGACATCTAAGGGGAAAACAACATAATGGGAAAAGATTTAAAGGTAATTTTTTGACCAAAATTCAATAAGAAATCATTTGGAAATGCTGACAAATTTAAAATATCTCATCATGTTGTTATCCCCCTGAAGAAACCAAAACTACCAAATATGTTGTTACCCCCTTGAAGATAATTGAGTTTCCCATCATGTTGCGTTCATCTTTAAGAAACCAGAACTGCCTTTTATGTTGTTATCCCCTTGAAAATATTTTAAATTTCCCTTCATGTTGTTATTCCTTTGAAGAAAATAAAACTACAAAACATGTTGTTATCCCCTTGAAGACAATTGAGTTTCCCATCATGTTGTTGTCCCCTTTAAGAAAACAGAACTGCCCTTAATGATGTTATCACCTTAAATATCTCCAAAATCTGAAAATCAGTTACATTGGCTCGAGTATGGTCCGATGAACCTCAAACCTAACTCCAGTAATGACCAAAAGACCTTCTAACCAAAAGTCATCATTCATTCATCCAATAAAGAACTTTTTCATCACTTCCATATAAGGCAAGACTTTATGAAGTCACAAAAAAATATTTAACCTTTCAAAAATATTTGGAAATTCCAACTTAATCCAATCAGATCAATTAACGCATACTTGATATTCAATCAAGCACTCCAAACTTCTGGTACATAAATAGAATAACTTATCGTGTCCCCTGTGTTGTGCGATTATATGACGTTGTAAGTTTATCAGGCACAGCTACTTTAAGGCTCAATGCTTAATTTTGTTTATCAGCTTTTCTTTTAATTGACGTTGATATTGAATTTGTTGATAAAATGTTCTTAGGTTAACTTGAGATAATGCAAAGAGTATAAAAGTGCTGTGAAAGGAAAGACAAGTCAACAGTCAGTGTTGCCAAAATGTTCAAATTCGTCGTTTTACTCGCCCTTGTTGCTTCAGCACTCAGTGCTAGTAAGTTGAATTTTTACAATTATTTAAAGGTTTTAAAAGGATATTTTTGACAAAATTCAAGTGTTGTGCTGTGAACTTAACCTCAAAAATAATCCTAACCTTAAAATTACATCGCCATAAACTAACATTATCGTCTATTCATAGGCCTCAGCCCAGCAGTCGACCCAGAATGGGAAGGCTTCATTGTTGGAGGTTCAACAGCCTCAGCTGGTCAATTCCCACATCAAGTTTCATTGAGATCAAGCGCCAATGCTCACTTCTGCGGAGGTTTCGTCATCAATAACCGTTGGGTTGGATCTGCTGGTAAGTTAACCTCAAATTTTCTTATAAATTCCCTTAAATAACCAAATTTTCTTTTCCTAATATCCAGCTCATTGCACAATTGGACGTACAGTTGCAAACACAGTCAGTGTTGTTGGAACAAATCACCGTACATCAGGAGGTATTGCTCACTCAACATCCCGTATTGTCAACCATCCATCATACTCATCAGCCACTCTTGCCAACGATATTTCAATGGTCATGACAGCATCAACAATCGCATTCACATCCCTCGTCCAACCAATCACTCTTGGATCAGCCACAGTTGGTGGTGGTGTTAGCTCAACAGCCTCAGGTTGGGGACAAACCTCACATCCAGGTACAGCTGCCACAAACTTACAATTCTTGACCAAACCAACATTGACCAATGCTGACTGTCGCTCACGTCACTCTGCTGCCAACGCTGCACGTGTCTTTGACAACACAATCTGTACATTCTTAAGATCCGGTGCCGGTATGTGCATGGGTGATTCCGGTGGTCCATTGATCGCTGGTGGAACCGTCATTGGTGCTGTCTCATGGGGTATTGCTTGCGCTCAAGGATTCCCAGATGTCTTTGCCAGAATCAGCTCACACAGAACCTGGATGATCAATCAAATGTAAATCAAGGTTGAATGAATGATGAGCGGGAATGTTTTTTGTGCTGAACAAGAAATATTTTTGACTCGGTTTTATTTTCTGGAATAATGTTACTTACAATAAAGATCAATGAATTTTGCATACTTAAAATTTATTTTGAATTTTTTTTTTTGTGATACTTTCAGAATGTTATGGGTTGGTTGACAGAAATACTTCATCATTTACTAATGAATTTGGTGTCTCTTAATGACATTGATCTAACTTGATTGACAAAGAAAGGCTTTACATTGATTTGGGTTGTTTAAGTGACTAGAGAAACCATCCTGGACAGCTATCAGTTTACTTTAGTTAATCCTATGGTTGACAAACTAGTTAAAGCTACTCAATCAGAGGCTAAATTACAACAAGCACCAAGGTAGGGTCAACAGTTCAGGATGATCAGCTGACTCGCCAAACTTTATACTTTCAAACATATGCTGAGCGAAGCTTGGTCAATCCACAAGACTTTATATGGTACGGTTTGAATATGGCCGCATTGAGTCTACCCGATGTGGATATGGCTTGAAGAGCATATCTGTAGTAGATAGGCCTGAGCATAGGGCTAACTTTGAACTGGTTATATGTGTATGATGGAAAGCCGAAGTGAGATAAGTACCTTGATGGCCGAGTGGCAGGGATCTCTGATCGAGTAGTCAGACCGATCACCTCTTTTGAGGTCGTGTGTTCGATTCCCATCAAACCCTCCTTGTTTTACACTGGTATACACATATGGCAGTTGTAGAGAGATCTACACTAGTTTTGGTCAAAGATACTCAATTTTTGAGGTTTTGGTTATCAGCCGTTTAACATTTCATGATCCTTGTTCCACCTTGTTCCTAGAATCAGTGCTTCTCAAACTTTTAGGGACGAAGAGCAATAAATCTTTCCCAGGAGACACATGGCATACAAATGGACGAAACTGTATAACCAGGACGGCATTAGAACGGCACTACGCAATATTTTACCAAATTTTAGCAAATCCGGTATTGTATGTGTTCACATGTTATCATGGTGCCTCATTTTCGGCCATTTTTATGTCGTGTGCCTATCAAGTACCCTTTATCATCCTGCCAAACTGTTCTTTAACCAAGGGGCTGTTCACTTATTATGTAACGCAAAAAAATGACTTCTTAGACCCCCCCCCCCCCTCCCCCTAAAAGCGTTACGTAATAAGTGAATGGCCCCCAACCAATTTATTTACAAACTAAAACAACAAATCTACCAGACCAACATACCGCATTTTATATACCATTCGCATGCTACATGTGTCCACATTAAACTATAATCAGATTTTTTTCTCCAAATCATACTTTTGGCTAAGTTTTTGATAAGTTTTTCTACAAAAACTTGTCAGATAAGATTAGGAACCACTATAAAAATCACCGCAATTCATTGGATCATCAACAGTTTGATCATTAAAAATGTTGAAGTTTGTAGTTCTTTTTACACTCGTCGCATCAGCACTCAGTGCTAGTAAGTTGTGAAATTGTGATTTAAATTGAGATATTTGAGTAACATCTGAATATTTATTTGTGTGTAGGCCTTACATCCCCAGTCATCGATCCAGAATGGGAAGGCTTCATTGTTGGAGGTTCAACAGCCTCAGCTGGTCAATTCCCACATCAAGTTTCATTGAGATCAAGCGCCAATGCTCACTTCTGCGGAGGTTTCGTCATCAATAACCGTTGGGTTGGATCTGCTGGTAAGTTAACCTCAAATTTTCTTATAAATTCCATTAAATAACCAAATTTTCTACTGCTAATATCCAGCTCATTGCACAATTGGACGTACCGTTGCAAATACAGTCAGTGTTGTTGGAACCAACAGCCGTACAGCCGGTGGTGTATCACACGCTTCAGCTCGTATTGTCAACCATCCATCATACAACTCTAACACCCTTGCCAATGACATTTCAATGGTCCAAACTGCATCAACCATCGCATTCACAAATCTTGTTCAACCAATCACTCTTGGATCAGCCACAGTTGGTGGTGGAGTCAGCTCAACCGTTTCTGGATGGGGACAAACCTCACATCCAGGTTCAGCTGCTGCAAACTTGATGTTCTTGACAGCTCCAACTTTGACAAATGCTGATTGCCGTTCACGTCACTCAACTGCCAATGCTGCTCGCGTTCATGACAACACAATCTGTACATTCTTGAGATCCGGAACTGGAACTTGCATGGGTGATTCCGGCGGTCCATTGATCTCAGGAGGAACTGTCATTGGTGCTGTCTCATGGGGTATTGCATGCGCTCAAGGATTCCCAGATGTCTTTGCCAGAATTAGCTCACACAGAACCTGGATGATCAGTCAAATGTAAATTTCATTCTTTGTTTTTGAGATGAATAAATTGTAAATTTTTGGTATGAAGTTGAAATTTTGGAGTTTTTTCATTGATTGTGTCGTTAGCTTGTCAAGCTTAGTAATTGACTTTAATTTGTCTCATCTAGCATGCAAATTTACTAGAATTCGGCTCGTTAAGCATACAAATTTACTAGAATTTGGCTCGTTAAGCATGTAAATTTACTAGAATTCGGCCCGTTAAGCATGAAAATTTACTAGAATTTGGCCCTTTAAGCATGCAAATTTACCAGGAGTCGGCTCATTAAGTATGCAAATTTACTAGAATTTGGCTCGTTAAGCATGAAAATTTACTAGAATTTGGCTCGTTAAGCATGAAAATTTACTAGAATTTGGCTCGTTAAGCATGAAAATTTACTAGAATTCGGCTCGTTAAGCATGAAAATTTACTAGAAGTTGGCCCTTTAAGCATGCAAATTTACCAGGAGTCGGCTCGTTAAGCATGAAAATTTACTAGAATTTGGCTCGTTAAGCATGAAAATTTACTAGAATTCGGCTCGTTAAGCATGAAAATTTACTAGAATTCGGCCCATTAAGCATGAAAGTTTACTAGATTTTCCTCTTATCAAGTACAACATCAGAATTCTCATTCGCACAGTTTCAGAACTTAAATTAATAAATCAAAAAACCCGCTAAGCTAAGAGCGACAATAGTTGATCCATTTTGATCCAAAAAGCTTGAAATAAATGACAGACAAATATTTTTCAGGCAGACTTTTTGTTATCAATTGTTGATAAAAAATTAAACATATAAGCCATAAATTAATCTAATCAAAATGTTCGTCATTAAACTTAAGAACTGGTTTATTGATACTGAATATTGCTGTTTTCCTGTATATTTTTTTGTCAATATTTACCATACTTTTGTGCTGTATCTTGCGATGTGTTTTGTAAATCACAATTATTGAGAAAAGTTGAAAAGTTTGAGAATTGCTTGCTAATGTGGATGGAATCAGGGATTAGAGGTGAAGATTATGGAGTTATTGAAGTTATAAGAAAGGAATAGAGGACGCTTTGAGCTCTAGCACTCTGGTGGACTCTATAAGAGATAGCACATGATGTAAGCCATGTCATACATTTTCATTAGTTTAATGACATTAGCTAGATTGATTGAAAATTCAATCTGTCTGTATGTACGGCTGGCTTCTCGTATTTCTGCATTTGACTGCCTCATCTATCTTTTTATCGACTGTTATGTCTTCTTGCCATCCAATAAACACGTTTAATTTGGTTTTATCCTATTCTAAGATTCAATCGAGAAATCAAGCCTCTGGAGTCACCGTCAATCTAGAATCTATCATGTGTTTGCATTCATTGACTTCCATTTAGCTAGAAAATCTAAATTAAATTAATTTTACTGCCATAAACAAAAAAATCTTATCAAACAAAACTTTTATCAACTTTTTAATTAACCACTTAATAATCTTTAATGCCTTGGAAAATCCCAAATCTTATCAATAAATCCAATTAAAGTGGTAGGCACTTTTATAGAATCTTGAAAATAAATTTTTGGTGTTCAAAAAATAGGTTTTTTTTAAGATTGATGGATTTTTCATTTCAGTTTTGTGATTGAGTTTGGGAAATTTTGAAGATTTTATTTTATTTTTAGGCTCTTTGAGTGTTTTTTTGCTTCTATGAAGTTTTAAGTGTTTTTAGGTTAAACTTAGTCTTTAGACTAGCTTTACTAGCTTACTCATTTTACTGCCACAGGAATTTACCTTAAAACTGGCTCTATCGCTTGCTGAAGATTCTCAAAAGGCACACAGCGTTAAAATAGGTGTCAATCTGGCATCCACGACAGCATTAGCACGGTTGTCATCAAATCTGGCGTGGTCCTTACGCCGAGTGCCTTTCGAAGCTGTCTGTTAATGATGCCAAGTGCAATATTGTCAATGTCGACAGTCTTCTTCCATTTTGTCCAACTTAATAGCTTTTACTGCTCGTCAGACCAACAATAAAGCAAGACATTCAAAGAAGCTTCTATATCCCAAAAAGTAACCCTTTCAACTGCATTTTGAACCGCCCAATGACTCACATCTGATCAAAACAATTCAGTCATAATCTTCCCAACTTCAGAACTTCATTGATGCCCCGCATCACAAAATGAACAATTCAATTCCACTCAATAAAATTAGCATATTAAGTGCCTATGCTGCTGATCTGACTATAAATAAGACACAAGTGCTCATCATCACTTTCAGTTTGTGACACGATTGGAAGCTGTGCGTGTGAAAATTTTAAAAGTAAGCGCGATTATGAAAGTTTTTGTGATTTTGTGTTGTGCATTTGCAGTGGCATTGGGAGGTGATTATTGATAAATTATTTATAATTTTTTGAATTTGTGATATTTACGGTGGGAGTTGTGAAGGAGTAGTTGGATGTGAAAATTGTCAGAGTTTTGGGGAATTAAGGTTGAGCTTTTGGTAGCTTATAGTTATGTTGGCTCTTACCTCGTCACACCCTGTGTTCTTGACTCGATCTCATCCCTTAAGTGAGACTGTGCAACAAGGCGTGGTCATGGCTAAGTTCTTAAACAAGAAATTATTCCGGAGCTGGGGATAGCTTCTCGAAGAAGCTGCTATTTCAGTTGTTTTTACTTCTTAATCCAATTTTTCCGTCACAAACTTTATTCTCAAGCAAAATGAGTATCCTTCTGGCTTCAAACATGGTCCCACTCTTCGACATCTTTTATAAAGTTGCAGACAATTTCACAATCCAAATACTGCGAGAGGGGGGGGGGGGGGTGGGGGTCCTCGATTCGAGGCGATGTTTTTTTTCTCAGGAAAATCCTGTTCAAATCGGATGTACTCAAATCAAGGACTGATCGTAGTCATCATATATCTACTCAACATTAGACATTTAAGCCTTCAAATCAAAAATTAACTTGCATAATACATCAAATCATAATTTCAATACTTTGTCCTTTATGACAAATACGTAAGCCAATAAATCAAAGAATAAATTACTGAATGATAAATGAGACATTGTAGCTTGTGAGAATCATTTAAATAATTATACTAGATTTGCTTTAATCATTTATAACTGAGCTGAATTAAGCGGATGATTGATATTGATAATATTAAGGCATACAGTCATGAGGGTCTGGTCGTGGAATGTGATAAGTCAACTCTAAATTTTGAATATTGATAAGTGTCCAATTATTTGTGGTTTTTGGTTGATGGTCCATAAAGTTGAGAAATATTTTTGATTAATCACCAGCCACCCCACACCCTCCATTAGTTCCTCATTACTTAAATAACAGAGCCTTCAAATCAAAAGACTAACCCTCGAGATCTCTTACTTACTTACTTAATTCGATGACCTTACAGATCAATTGTGATCTATTACCTTCCTCAGATTCCTTCTAAAATTGGCTCTATCGCTGACTGCCGTTTGCCAATTTCCTATACCAAATGCAACACTGTCTCTATCAACAGACTCCTTCCATGAGTTCTTTGTTCGAGATCTCATACTGTTCAAAAATTAAGCTGTTGTTACTTTCAGCACTGATGAGCCTTCTGGGCTCCTAAAAGATGCCTGTCCCATCTCAATCGATTTATTCGTAGCACCTTCACTATATCAGCCTCCTGGTACAGCTCATATAATTCCTTACTATGCCGACTTCTGTATTTCTCCCCATCTTTAATAGGGCCATAAATTATTCTCATCTCTGACATCAAGAGATGACTTTAATTAGGGATGCTTTTTTATTACATATCAGAACTTCTCCCCTCCCCCCACCCCTGATTCAGACCAAAAAGTCTAAATCCAAAGAATTGCTTCACGAATTAAGTGAACGGTCCCTAAGATGTGCGATAGGGGACGTAAATGGTGCGGAACTGTTAAATTACATTTAAATCATTTTTTGATCATTTTTGTTCATTTCAAAACTCTTGGGGATCGTTTTCCAATAATGATGATCAAATGTGAGTCATAGGGCGGTCAGAAGGAAGCTGTTGAACATGTGTCTGACCCAAGATAGGATAGACTCTTTCAAATGAAGAGCCAAGAGCTCTTTTGCCAGCTTTGTATTATTTGGAGATTAGAGTCACAATAGCTGATCGACATCTTAAGATTGTGGATCTTAAAATCCCATTTGTTGATAGACTGTCATTTAAGAATGTCCCCTGATCGCTGATGATAGCAAATAAAAATAAATCAATTTAAATTTAATAAACTGCTTCCTTATCATCCTATTTTTAGACCATCCCTCGCCATATATGGAAAGTTCTAGATCAACTGCCATAATTTAAATAAATCCGCACACAAAAGTTCTCACAGAAAAAAAAAATTGCATAATAACAAATTTTAATGATTCACAAAAGATATTTCCTTTCATAACAAATTTAAATGCTATTCATTCGCAAACTCTTATGCCTCAATAGCTTCATCTTGATTAAATTATGTTTACAAAAAAAAAATATTTATAAAAATTCCTTCTTGATTGAATCAAAAGAACATCAAAGTTTAAGTAAATGTGAACATAATATCAACTCAATTGACACGTCGCATGCATGACACACAAAAAAATACTAATCAACTTGACTTAAAACTAAATGTGAGAAAGATTCTTTTTTCTTCGTTTTTGTTTTGTTGTTCCGCTGATTTGTGTGATTTGAACTTGAATTATTATTTTTGATTCAATTAAGTTTTTTTTTGTGTTTTGTGACATTGATGTGGGGTGTTGGTCGAGGTGTGGTCTAATTACAAGAGGGGGTTTAATCTCACAAAAGGGGGTCTAAACTCGAAAAAGGGGTCTAATTCCACAAGTGAGGGTCTAATCTCACAAGAGTCTAATCTCCCAAAATGGGGTCTAAACTCCCAAGAAGAGGTTTAATCTCATAAGAGGGTCCAAAAAGGGGGTCCAAAAAGGGGGGTATAATCTTACAAAATAGGGTTCAAACTCAAAATGAGGGGGTCGAATCTCACAAGAGGGGTTCTAATCTCACAAGTGGGGTCTAATCTCACAATAGGGGGTTTTATCTCAAAAGAGGGGGTCTAAACTCAAAAGAGGGGGTCTAATCTCACAAAAGGGGGTCTAAACTCACAAGAGGGGGTCTAATCTCACGAGAGGGGTTCTAATCTCACAAGAGGGGGTCTAATCTCACAAGAGGGGGTCTAACCTCACAAGAGGGGGTCTAATCTCACAAGAGGGGGTCTAATCTCACAAGAGGGGGTCTAATTCCACAAGTGGGGGTTTTATCTCACAAGAGGGGGTTTCATTCCTTAAGAGGGGGTTTAATCTCACAAAAGGGGGTCTAATTTTACTAGAGGGGGTTTACTCTCACAAGAGGGGTCTAATCACACAAGAGGGGGTCTACTTTCACAAAAAAGAGTTGAATCTCACAAGAGGGAGTCTAATCTCACAAAAGGGGGTCTAAACTCAAAATAGGGGGTCTAATTCCACAAGTGGGGGTTTTATCCCACAAAAGGGGGTCCAAACTCAAAATAGGGGTCTAATTTCACAAGTGGGGATTTTATCTCACAAGAGTGGGTCTAAGCTCAAAAGAGGGGGTCTATTCTCACAAAAGGGAGTTAAATCTTAAAAGAGGGGTTAAATCTCACAAAAGGGGGTCTAATCTCTCTGATGCTTGTCATGAACACCTTTTGTCCCCCTTTCTAATCCTCATGATTACATTTATGACATAATAAATTTTAAAAATAATCACAATTGTTTTTTTAAAAACATCATTTACAGCATCAAACACCCTCTGGAATGACACAGACCTCGACACGCTCAGAAATGCTCTCCTAAAAGACTATGACACCCACGTGCGTCCAAGCAACTCCAAAACAACGACAGACTTATGGGTTGGAATGACTGTCTTACATATGGAAATCATTGAAGCTACATCAACCCTTGAGACTCACGCATGGCTAAAGATGAACTGGACAGATGTTAAAATGAAATGGGAACCGGCAAAGTTCAATGGCATTGACAATATGAGGCTATCTGCTGATGATGTAATTCAATTAATTATTTTTTATTTGTTTTCTAATCAATTACATGTGTCATATAATTTTTTATTGATGTTGACACTTTTATTTGAATTGTTAACCTCAAGCTTGAGTCTAATTGATGTTATGTAATGCTTTATTAGGTCTGGCAACCAGATTTGACTGTCTACAACAGTGCTGAAGATAAAATTGTTGATCATTATGCTAAAACTAACAAAATTGCTTATCCATCCGGAGCTGTTTTATGGGTGAGTTGATGTTGGCTATTTTTGGGACTTCCCACAAGCTGTAATAGATAGTTTGGGTAGGGTTGACCATTACATCCTGGAATCTAGAACTTCCTATTGCCACAGCAATCAGTAAAACTTTTAAAAACTCTTTATTTTAGGTTCCAACATCAAAATTCAAGACTTATTGCAGCTTAAACCTTAAGATGTGGCCATTTGATCAACAAAAGTGTGAAATTAAACTTGGATCTTGGACATATGATGCCAATCAATTAAAATTAAGACTTTCTGATGATCCAGTTGAGGTAAGCTTGCACAGATAATTACAAAATTCAATTTAATTCTCAAATCTTAATTAAACATAAAGCTCAAGCACTACTACAAAAATCAAGAATGGGTCATAGTTGATTCCAGTGTCGAACATCACCAAACAAAATATGATTGCTGTGTTGAACCTTACGAAGACATCAGTAAGCTTCAATAAAACTTTATCCTATCAAAAAACTGACATTAATCTCTTCCAACTAGCTTTCTACTTCACCCTTAGTCGTCGTTCTCCAATGTACAAAGCCATTGCAGTCGTTCCAACTATTGCCATTGTCTTCATGGTTTTAATTGCTTTCTGGCTTCCTCCAGATGCTGGTGAAAAGTTGATTCTCAATGGATTTGCCTGTGTTTTGGTTTGCGTTCTTCTCATTTACTTCTCACAGCTGTTACCAGTGATGTCTGAAACTTCACCATTGATTGGTAAGTTTACTCAAGTGTGAACGTGCCAGAACATCCAAAACTCTACTGTTAATCAATCTTAAGCTAGAAATTTAAGTGTGAAGGCACCTGAACCTAGGTAAACACTAGTGTGAAGGCACCTTAACCTAGCAACTCTAGTGTAAAGACACCTTAACCTAGCAACTCTAGTGTAAAGACATCTTAACCTAGCAACTCTAGTGTAAAGGTACCTTAACTTAGCAACTCTAGTGTAAAGACATCTTAACCTAGCAACTCTAGTGTAAAGGTACCTTAACCTAGCAACTCTAGTGTAAATGCACCTTAACCTAGCAACTCTAGTGTAAAGGCACCTTAACCTAGCAACTCTAGTGTAAACGCACCTTAATCTAGCAACTCTAGTGTGAAGGCACCTTAACATAGCAACTCTAGTGTATAGTCACCTTAACATAGCAACTCTAGTGTAAAGGTACCTTAACTTAGCAACTGTAGTGTAAAGACATCTTAACCTAGCAACTCTAGTGTAAAGGTACCTTAACCTAGCAACTCTAGTGTAAATGCACCTTAACCTAGCAACTCTAGTGTAAAGGCACCTTAACCTAGCAACTCTAGTGTAAACGCACCTTAATCTAGCAACTCTAGTGTGAAGGCACCTTAACATAGCAACTCTAGTGTAAATGCACCTTAACCTAGCAACTCTAGTGTAAAGGCACCTTAACCTAGCAACTCTAGTGTAAAGCCACCTTAACCTAGCAACTCTAGTGTGAAGACACTTAAACCTTAAAACTTTCGTGTGAGGACACCTGAACATTAGAACTCTAGTGTGAACGCACCTTAATCTAGCAACTCTAGTGTAAAGGCTCCTGAACCTAGCAACTCTAGTGTAAAGGCATCTTAACCTAGCAACTCTAGTGTAAAGGCACCTCAAACTAGCAACTCTAGTGTAAAGGCACCTTAACCTAGCAACTCTAGTGTAAATGCACCTTAATCAAGCAACTCTAGTGTGAATGCACCTTAACCTAGCAACTCTAGTGTAAAGGCACCTTAACCTAGCAACTCTAGTGTAAAGCCACCTTAACCTAGCAACTCTAGTGTAAAGGCATCTTAACCTAGCAACTCTAGTGTAAAGGTACCTTAACTTAGCAACTGTAGTGTAAAGACATCTTAACCTGGCAACTCTAGTGTAAAGGTACCTTAACCTAGCAACTCTAGTGTAAATGCACCTTAACCTAGCAACTCTAGTGTAAAGGCACCTTAACCTAGCAACTCTAGTGTAAACGCACCTTAATCTAGCAACTCTAGTGTGAAGGCACCTTAACATAGCAACTCTAGTGTAAATGCACCTTAACCTAGCAACTCTAGTGTAAAGGCACCTTAACCTAGCAACTCTAGTGTAAAGGCACCTTAACCTAGCAACTCTAGTGTAAAGCCACCTTAACCTAGCAACTCTAGTGTAAAGGCATCTTAACCTAGCAACTCTAGTGTAAAGGTACCTTAACTTAGCAACTCTAGTGTGAAGAGTCCTGAACCTTAAAACTCTAGTGTGAAGACACTTAAGCCTTAAAACTTTAGTGTGAGGACAACTAAAAATTAGAACTCTAGTGTGAAGACACCTCAACATAAGTTTTTTTCAATATTTATTTCAAAAATATATCATTGACAATAATTTCTCTTTTTTAGTGTCATTCTATAGCCAAACGCTCTATCTTCTCTCAGCATCATTAATCATCTCAGCATTTGTCATTAACATCTCTCGCAAAAAGGGCCACAAAGCTCTTCCATCGTTCATAAAAACAATTTTCTTGGACAACTTTGTTGAGACAGTTTTTGCATGCAAGTCAAAGGCTGCTGAAAAGGCAGAACATACAGTTGAGGATGGAAATGCTGGTGAAAATGCAACAAAGGATTGGATTCGCTTTGCTGTTGTTATTGACCGCATCGCTTTTGTTGTTTATGTTATTATTTTTATTTGCATGGGATTCTTTCATTTCGTTTAAGAAGATGAAGGAATGAGTTGGGGAGAGTAATTAGGTAGTTTAAAAAGTGAGCTAGGTGAGAGAAACTGACAGAATGTGGATTAATGATTACAATGATATGAAGTATGGAAGGGGGGGGGGGGGGGAGGAGTGAGAGAGTTTTAGTAAAATATTCACAATCAAATATACATACCAAGACATAACCAGAAAGTATTAAGAATCTGATATTTAAAATTACAAAACTAAACCAAAATACTCTGTTGAATTCTCAAAATTTTAATAAATTAATAGAAACTGCTATGTTTTTAGAGAACATTTTATCTTTATTTTCAATTTTATAATAAAATGAGTAATAAAAAGTCAAAAAAAAACTTTCATTTTTATTTATTTAAATTACTATTTGTGATTAACCAGACAACCTCACAATCAGAAAACCTTACAACCATACAAGCAGACATCCATAAAACTAGAAAACCTCACAACTTAACCTTAACAATCAGACAACCAGATAAATTAGCAGCCAGACAGCCAGACAATCAAACATTCAGAAACCCAGAAAACCTTTTTTTTTCAGAAGAGATCAACAAACTTTCATTAGAAATATTTTTAACCTAGGGGCCGTTCACTTATGTCGTCCAGGGGGGTTGGGGGTGGGGGGGGGGGGGGTGGGTCAACAAGAAAAAAACAATAGAAATTTATGGAAATCCATTGTTCTTTTTTGAAAATTGACTGTTAATTTTGGACGTCATATTTGAACAACCCCCTAATACTCTTCAACAACCTAATACAGTCAACTTAATTATATGCGTCTCATTTTATGTGTGAAATTTTTGATTATATTTACAATTCCAAAAGGGTCATTCGTAAGTGAACTTTATACTGAGCAGTATTTAATAAAGAGTTTGTTGCTGATAATTTAAAAAATTTTCTTAATTTTTTTTAAGAATTTAATAAAAATGGTTAAAATTCTCTTGTAAGTATAAAACATCACTTCCAAAGCTTACAATTATGATCACTAAACATTCTCAATTCACAGCTTAATCCTAAACTTAATTCTGCTGCTTGATTCATCATCATCGATCGCCCTTGACTGACGCTACAACAACTTTAACTACTATGACGTGTTAGGCAACGTTTATCAATGTGAAGTTGCAAGCAATCTAGAGAAGATGTCTCGTGAAGAATTAATCATTGAATCAGCCAAAGGAAATTATGTTAGGGGAAAGACAAATGATGACGTAATAGCAATCAATGCATATAATAAAGGTTTAGAATTCTTACCGCAAGGGTTGGACAAAGTTTTTATAAATTTGCGCGCAATTTACATTCATTTGAGTAAAATTCGGGAAGTTCGTCAAGCTGACTTAAAGCCACTGCCAAATTTAATTTATTTTGACATTCGCGAAAGTGAAATTCGGTTTTTTGAAGACGGAACTTTTGACTTTAATCCAAATTTGGAGGTGATAAGATTGACTGGGAATAAAATCTTTCATTTCGACGCAAACGTTTTTAAAAATTTGAATAAAATTTCTTATCTCGGCTTGACGTCGAATTTGTGTATGAATGATGAAGTTAATGGAAGTGAAGTTGAGATTAAGGCACTCATTGATGCTGTCAAGGTTAAATGCTTTGATAATGAATTTTTTGAGTTCAGACAAAATTTAAAAAAATTGGAAATTGAGCTCGGGAATTTAGAATTGCAAAATTTTAAAAATTGGACAAAAAAGTTTGAAAATTTGGAAAATTATTTCAAAACTTCCAAAGTTTCAACTTTGAGTCAATTTAAGGATAAATTTAATGATTTAAATAAAAAGCTGCCAAATTTGTCGATTGAATTTTTAAGTCAACCTCAAAAATAACCTCAAAAATTCTCAAATCCAGTCATCTACGTTAATTGATCAGAAATTGAGTCAAATTAGTCAAAAATTTGAAGTCCAACAGCAAGAAATTAAGTCACAAATTCAATCAATCGAAAGAAAAATTGACGAAAAGTTGACAAAACTTGAAGAAAAATTTACAAAAATTATTGAAGGTCTTGATGCTTTAATATAATTGTAACTTAAAATAACCCTAAGCGTCAGACTTTTGTAATTTTTTAATCATAATAAATCAGTGACGGCCAACCCGTGTGCCGCGGCACACTAGCATTCATTGAAAATTTGAGAAATCTCACGAGCCGTATGATTTAAACGGCTTTGGTCATGATGCCAAATGTGCCATGGCACAAAAACGGTTGGACACCACTGGAATAAACATATAACAAAGGGGAAAACAACATGATGGGCAAAAAGTATAGTTGGTAATTTTCTCACCACCATCTTCTTCAAAATTTTTGTAAAATAAAAATCTCCCACTGTTAAAACTTTTATGGATCTTTTTTTCCATCATGTTGTTATCCCCCTCGTAATGAAAAACAATCATTTTTATTTTTTGTTGCCTTATTTGTTGCGAAGCTAAGATTGGAGTCAATCAATGAGTCATAAACTGTACAATAGTAACTCAATAAAAAGAAAACAAATTTTTTGAATTTATTTAAATTTCTTTTTTTTTTTGGTCATTCAAGTTAAAGCTGTTTAGTAAGCAGGACGGAATATTTTTTAACAACTTTTTAACCCAACTATGTCTAAAAGTTTTCTGTAAGTTTATTAAGGGTTGTTTAATTATGACGTGTGAGATTTAAGTGGGGGGGGGGGGGTTAGATCAAGGCGTGGAAACTATCCCAAATATCATATTTATCCCACATATCCCAAAGAAAATCAAAAAATTCCCGAGCATGCATGAACGATAATAAAGATATCCCAATTTATCCTAAGTGCATTGGACGTGTAATTTCAGGATATGATGGGATATCTCAATTCTAATGCATACAGGCTCAGATTTATTTTGAATTTTTTTGGGATATATGGGATAAATGGGATATTTGGAATAGTTTCCACGCATTGGTTTAGATTTTGTGACAGCTCAAATAAAGTTCGTAAAAATTTCAATATAAATTTTGTGACAGGGTAAGGTGGGAGTCATTATTCAAAAATGTTCAATGGATTTCTAGGAATTTCTTTTGTTCTTTTCTTGCTTACCCCCCCCCCCCCCCCCCCCTTCCCCCCCCCCCCCCCCTCCCCCCTTCTCCTGGACGTCTTCAGTGAGCGGCCCTTTAAGGAGGGTGCTCATCGGTTTACGTCGAATTTTGAGCAAAAAGCGACACATTTTCCGATTTAAATTCTAAAAAAGCTGGACCAACAAAATTTTCAAGCATTTTCGCAAGAAAAATAGGTTCAAAAAATCGGAACTGTCCCGCTCAAAAGTGCGCAACTGGACAGACTAATCATAAGTGAATAGCCCCTAAAACTATTTATTAAAAATGACGTCACAAGAATTTAATTTTCCATATTTACAGCCTAATCTTAAACTCAATTTTCCTATTAAACTCATCATCATCAATTGTCCTCGACTGCAGCTTTAACAGCAATACTGCTTATGCAGTTCTAGGAAAGGTTTATCAATGTAATGTCCAAAACAGTCTCAGCGTCAACTCCCGAGATGATTTAGTCATTGAATCAGGAAATGGAGCTCATGCTAGTCTAAAGACAAATGATGACGTCATTTCATTCCAAGCATATAACAAAGGTGCCCAATTTTTTCCCAGAGGACTAGACAAAGTCTTTAAAAATTTACGGTCAATTTACATTTATTTGAGTAAAATTCAGGAAGTTAAACAAATTGATTTGAAGTCACTGCCAAATTTGATTTATTTTGATATTCGCGAAAGTGAAATTCGGTATTTTGAGGATGGAATTTTTGACTTTAATCCTAACTTGGAGGTGATTTGGCTGACTGGGAATAAAATCTTTCATTTCGACACAAATGTCTTTAAAAATTTAAATAAAATTTCTTATCTCGGTTTAACCTCGAATGTGTGCATGAATACTGAAGTTGGTGGGAATTTGGTCGAGGTTAAGGCACTCATTGATTCTATCAAGGTTAAGTGCTTTGATAGTGAATTTTTTGAATTTAAGGAGGGATTAAAGAATTTGGAAATTGAAGAGGAAAATTTGAAATTAGACAATTTCAAAAATTGGTCGGAAAAGCTTCAAAATTTGGAAAAATATTTCAAAAACTCGAGATTCTCAAATTTGAATAATTTTAACTCTAAATTTGAGGATTTGAAGCAAAAGTTGCCAATTTTATTAATCACTTTCTTAAGCCAGCATAACTCTCAAATCAACACCTGCTCGACTGATGATGGAAAATTGTCAAATTTGACTCAAAACTTTGACAATCTTGATAAAAATATTACAAAGTTGTCTGAAAGTTTTGACAATTTTAAAGATCAAATTGAAGAGCTGAAGACTATTCCAACGACTGTAACCAAAAGACTTCACAAATTTGAAATAATGCAACAAGAATTTAAGGTTAAAATGCAATCAATTGAAAGAAAGATGGAGGAAGAGTTTGCAAAACTTGATGAAAAGATCACAAAAGTCATTGAAGCTCTAAATAAGTGAGGTCATAAATAAAACTAAAAATAACATGGTCCCCACCAAGAGCAAAGCCAGGGTTAAAGGTGGGTTTAAATAACAAACGACAACAGAAATTTTTCTCAATTTTTCCCCCTTCCAAATATAAAAAAATAAATATATAAAAATAAAATAAATCATTTTTGTCAAAATTAGAAAATTTTGTTTGCTTGGTTTTCACGCCATAACTCACGCTTCCTTTTTCTAGTGTGACAAACTTTCAAAATGGAGGATTTATTGCTGAAATTCAAAATGGTGGATTATTTTTGCTGAATTTCAAAATGGAGGATTTATTGCTGAAATTCAAAATTGTGGATTTTTTGCTGAAATTCAAAATGGAGGATTTATTTCTGAAATTCAAAATGGTGGATTATTTTTTGCTTAAATTCAAAATGGAGGATTTTTTGCTTCAATTCAAAATGGAGAATTTTTTGCTGAAATTCAAAATGGGTGAGTTTTTGCTTAAATTCAAAATGGAGGATTTTTTGTTGAAATTCAAATTGGTAGATTATTTTGTGCTTAAATTCAAAATGGAGGATTTTTTTGCTAAAATTCAAAATGGCTGAATTTTTTGCTGAAATTCAAAATGGCTGAATATTTTGCTTAAGCTCAAAATGGTGGATTTTTTCTGAAATTTAAAATGGTGGATTATTTTTTTGCTTAAATTCAAAATGGAGGATTTTTGCTAAAATTCAAAATGGCTGAATTTTTTGCTTAAATTCAAAGCGGTGGATTTTTGATGAAATTCAAAATGGCTGAATTTTTTTTTAAATTCAAAATGGGCGATTTTTTGCTGAAATTAAAAATGGCGGCTTCAACATTGTTCGAATGACACACTTCCCTGAATTATTAGCTTCATAGGATGTTTATTTGTCTTAATTTTAGATAAATATAATTAAATTGAAAAGATAAAAATATTTGCCTAAGTTTTTATCAATTGTGGATAAAAAGCACAAATAAGTTGTTTAAATAAAGTTCGTCTCTTTTTTAATTAAGCATTAAATTATACATCCACTTGAGTCATTCGTCGTTGAACAGTTGAGTCAGCAACATTGGATAAATTGAAATCTTAAAAAATGTTCAAAGCAGTCTTGTAAGTATGACAAACAATCTACAAAACCTGCCGTAATCATTTTAATATTCTCAATTTACAGCTTAATTCTAAATTCAATTCTGTTGCTGCACTCAACATCAGCGATTGTCATCGACTGCGCCTTCAACAGCAAAACTGGTTATGCAATTATTGGACAAGTCTATCAATGTGAAGTTCAGAACAATCTGAGCTTGTTATCTAGAGATGTTTTAGTCATCGAATCAGCAACAGGAACTCATGCTAGTCTAAAGACAAATGATGACGTCATTTCACTTCAAATATTTGATAAAGGTGTTCAATTCGTACCCAGAGGATTGGATAAAGTCTTTAAAAATTTACGATCAATTTACATTCATTTGAGTAAAATTCAGGAAGTTCGTCAGGCTGATTTAAAGTCACTGCCAAATTTAATTTATTTTCAAATTCGCGACAGTGAACTTCGATTTATTGAAGACGGGATTTTTGACTTTAATCCAAATTTGGAGGTTGTTTGGCTAATTAATAATAAAATATTTCATTTTGACACAAATGTTTTTAAAAATTTAAATAAAATTTCTTGGCTCGGTTTGACCTCGAATGTGTGCATGAACACGATGGTTCAAGGAAATGTAGTCGAGGCTAAGGCACTCATTGACTCTGTCAAGGTTAAGTGCTTTGATAGTGAATTTTATGAGTTTAAAGAGAATTTGAAAAAATTAGAAATTGAAGAAGAAAATTTAAAATTAGAAAATTTGAAAAATTGGTCGGAAAAATTTGAAAATTTGGAAAATTACTTCAAAAACTCGAGATTCTCAAATTTGAATTATTTTAAACATAAATTTGAGCATTTAAAGCGAAAATTGCCAACTTTATTAATAATTTTTCTGAGTCAACTTGAACATAACCTCCAAAATTCTCAAAGCTGCTCGGCAGTCGATGAAAAATTGTCAAGCATGCCTCAAAATTTCGCACAACTAGCTCACAACTTAGTGAATATTGACGAAAAACTTACTAAATTGACATTTAATTTTGACAATTTTAAAGATCAAGTTGAAGATGTCAAAAATATTCCAGCGATTATGTCCAAAAGACTCCACAAATTTGAAATAGACCAAAAAGCTATAAAGTCAAAAATTTATTCAATTGATGAAAAAATAAACAAAATTATTGAAATTCTTCAAGTTGAGACCTAATCGACTCCAGAAATTGTGAATTCTCTCGTCGGGTCATTGCTTTTTGTGAGAATTTTTAAACAAAATAATCAATAAAACAAAGCACACATGCACAACTACTTCTTTCTCTTTATAAACTTTATATGCTGTCTTATTTTCAGTCATTTCAAGCTCTTCGAGTGAAAAACATTTAAAAAGTTACACAAGAACCAACTAAGCAAATAGTCAGGATATGAATAAAGTTATATTGTAAGTATTCCCGAAAAGCATAAGTCGGTTAATCGATCAGAAATCCATTAACAAGCCAGTGTGACTCTGGCATGGTGTAGGAGTTTAATCGAAGCCAGTCATGCAAGCTACGCGCTAGATTTCTATTCGATTAAACGGCTTGTGCAACTCAGGATTATTAGAGTTCAATGGTGCACAACCATTTTTTAAGGCGAAGGGTTTTTTTTCAAAGAGGTTAGATTTTTTTTCTGAAAAAACCTCTAGAAAATTGAAGAAATTTTTAAAAGAAGGGGGGGGGGGGGGGGGTTTATTGACCCAAAACTCCCCTCCCCACCTTTTTTCGCTACGCCCCTGCCATGACGTCTGGTTTAAGCCTCCGCCAATCACAAAACTTTAATGAAAAAAAATTACTTTGTTTGAATTATGACAAACACAAGAATACCCCTCCCCCCCCCCCCCCCCCCCCTCTCCCCCCTCCTTCCCCACCCTCAATGTTGGAGATCATAAGTGAACTGCCTGTTGATCGAAATGTCCTGGCTCAAAGACCAGGTGGTATTTAGCAGTATTTCATATAAAGAGGCGGTATTTGGGGTACGTAAGGGTATTTGTATGGAAGTTGGGGGTATTTGGCGTGTGATAATGTAGTCAGACAAGGGTCTGATATTGCAGAGTTGTTGCTAGAATTTAGCAAATTGAGGAGTTTGTTCATCGGGGCAGAGCTTTAAAGAAGTTTAAGATTCACAGGGGGGGGGGGGGGGGGTTCAGTCCTCTGTAGAATGGGATTGGAAGGGCGGTGGGTTTCTAGAGCTTTAAGAAGGCTAAATCATAATTTTTTTTCACAAATTTTGCAACAAGGATAGGAAATGGGTTAACAATTGAGCTTATATGCACGTCATTTATGAACCAGCTTCTAACTGCAACTTACTCTAATCACTCTACAGACTAGCATTGCTCCTGAAATTCACCTCATCTGTCATCATCGACTGTAACTACAACAGCAAGACACCTTACGAAGTTATTGGCACTGCCTACCAATGTGAAGTTAAAAATAATCTTAACATAAAGTCAAGAGAAGATGCAGTCATTGAGCATGCAAAAGGAACACATGTGGAATCAAAAACTAACGATGACGTCATTTGCTTTCATGCTGTCGGCAAAAATGTCAACTTTATTCCAAGAGGATTGGATAAAATATACAAAAATTTGAAGGCACTTTATGTGCCTTATGGAAGAGTTAAGGAGCTTCTTTAGGTGGATTTGAAGTCGTTTCCAAAGTTGGTGTACCTTGATCTTGGCGAATGTGACATAAGAATTATTGAGGACGGAACTTTTGATTTTAATCCTAATTTGGAGGTTATTTGGCTGGTTATAAACCAAATTATTCATATTGACTCAAATGTCTTTATGAATTTGAACAAATTGTCATTTTTGGGTATGAGGTTGAATCCTTGCATCAATGCTGATGTTCGTAACGATTTGGGACAAGTTAAGACTTTAATTGAGGCTGTTAAAGAAAAATGTTTTGATGATGATTTTTACAAAATTTCACAAGACTTGAAATACTTAGAAAACGATGCGAAAAATTTAAAACTCGAAAATTTTCAACTTTGGAATGAAAAACGTGAAAATTTGGAGGAAAATTTCAAAAGTTCAAGATTCACAAATTTAAATCTGTTGACTGAAAAGTTTGAAAATTTAAGACGAAAATTGCTAATCATGCAAATAAAATTTTTAAATCAAGTTGAACATAACCTCAAAAATTCTCAAGTTGAGTCATGTTCAGTGATTGATGGAAAATTGTCAGAATTTGGTGAAAAGTTGGAAATTTTTGATGAAAATTTTGTCGAAATTAATCAAAAACTCAACAAAAATGATGAAAAAATGACAAATTTAGCGGAGAAGTTTGATGATTTTGAAGAAAATTGCGAAAATTTGACAAACTTTTCAGCAAAAATCTACAAAAAATTGCAAAATGTTGAATTAAATCAGCAAACTTTAAGGACTGAAGTGAAAGAATTAGACCAAAAAATTTGAATTAAATTTGAGAAAATTGATGAAACGGCCAGACGAGTTGCAGAGGCTATTCCTGATTAGGTTGTGCTCCTCCTCCCCCAAAAATTATTAAAATTCAAAAAAGCATTTAAATAAAAATAATTTTTTTCTCAACAATTTTTTTTTGAGAGAATTTTTAAGAATTAATTTCAAATTACTCAATTTTTTTTACTTTCATTTTTTTCAGTCTTTCTCAGGTCGTTTACCAAATTACATTATTTATTTTTGTGGTATTTTTGACAACATATTTTCTATTTTAAAAATTTAATTAAATTTTGAAAATTAATTCATCATTTTTTTGGATACGTTTTGAATTAAATTGCAATAAAGTTCACAATAAAGAGCCACAAATGAATCGAGAATTTGATAATCTTAAGTAAGCAAGAATTTGATTTGTAAATAATTCAAATAAGAATCAAAATAAAATTCAAAACATTGGAAAGGTCAACTTGAGTGACATTTAAAAATGATTTTTAAATACTAAAGCTTCGGAGGTGTAGCCAGAAATTTAAGAGTGTGAGGGGGTGGGGAGGGGGGGGGGCAGTGGTGGAAAGAGAAGTAGTTTTAGGATTTTTCATTAAACAAAACTAAAACATTTCTGCTCCACTCAAACTCTCCCGTCCTGGCTATTCTCCTGCCAAGCGTCAAACCTTAAATACCAAGGGGAAAACAACATGATTTAAAAAAGTTTCAATAAAAAACTCTTTCAATTTCCCAAAGACCCTTCTTTTGCACTAAAATTCAAATAAATCAAACCCCCCATCTCAAATTATTTCCCCCTCATGTTGTTTCCCCCTCATGTTGTTACCCCTTCAATCATTTATAGCACCCCAAAATCCCTCCAATTCCTCAACGACTCAATATTCTCTCGCAAAGACATCTTCCCAGACCTTCATCTACTCGATGGTCCCCTCAAGCCTTACCGCTTCAGCTCATCATTCGATTGGAGGAAAATGAAGCTCATTGTTGACAGCGCAGCTGCTTGGGATGCGAAGTTCAGAGTGTGGAACTTCATGGAAGGTCATAAGTTGTTCCAAAAATCACATCAAACTCTGTCAATTGATGAACAGCGAAGGATAGCCAACCAAAGAGCGTTGGTGATTTTTAATGAGAATTTTTATGACTTTGACGATCTTGCGTTAGATTCGAAAGTCAACTCAGCAGTTAGTTCCTTTGAACCGTCAATGCTTGGAAAGTATAAGATTCCATTTGACATGTTTCCATTTGTGCTTAGATTTTTAGGAAGTGATCGGATCGATCACTTGATTCAAGCTGTTGATGAGATGAAAATTATTGGATGTTTTGCATTGACTGGTAAGTCCACATGCTTTATCCATTTTGAACCAAACTTATAACTTAAATCCTAGAAATTGGACATGGCAGCAACACTCAGTCTATGAAGACCACAGCAACTTATGAGCAATCATCAAAATCATTCGTCTTAAATACTCCGAACTTTGAAGCTGCAAAGTGCTGGGTCGGTGGTTTAGGAAAGACAGCAACGCATGCAGTTGTTTATGCTCAACTTTACACACCAGATGGACAATGTCATGGACTAAACTCATTTGTGGTTCCTGTCAGAGATCCTAAGAATATGCTGGTTTATCCTGGCATCATCATTGGTGATTTGGGTGAGAAAGTGTCGCTGAATGGCATTGACAACGGATTTAGTGAGTACTACATGACATCCTTATGTCCATTTGATGAACATTCTGATAACTTTACATCCAGTGATGTTCAACAACTACAAGATCCCAAAAGATTATCTCCTGTCTAAAACTGGTGATGTTAATGAAGCTGGAAACTTTGTGACTCAATTTAAGGATCCAAAAAAGCGAATGGGAGTATCCTTTGCAGCCCTGTCTGGTGGCAGAGTTGGAATCTGTGAAATTGCAACTAATTATGGAGTCATGGCGATAACAATTGCAATCAGATACGCAGCAAGTCGTAAGCACTTCGGACCTGAAAACAGTGATGTCGAATATCCAGTCTTGGAATATCAGTCACAACAATATCGACTTATTCCACATCTTGCAACAGTTTATGCCTTAAAATTCTTCTCGAACTGGATTGGACGGGAATATTTCGACATGATGAAGAAGACTTTTGAAGGCGAGAAAATCAGCCCTGAAACTGGAATGGAAATTCATGCAATTTCATCGAGTGGAAAGCCTGTCTGTGGCTGGATGGTACGTGACTTGATTCAAGATTGTCGTGAGGCATGTGGTGGACATGGATACTTGAAATGTGCACAATTGGGTGACTTAAGGAACAACAATGATCCAAATACAACTTATGAAGGTGAAAACAATGTGCTGATACAGCAGGCATCAAACTTCTTGCTTGCTGTACGTTCTAAAGGCTGGATTGCATTTGAAAATGCTTCACCACTTGGAACTGCTGCATTTCTTAAAGACGGTGACAAGATATTGAGTATGAAATGGAATTGGACTAAAGTTGGATGTGCAATGAAGCCAGAATGTAAGTTTTCCATAATCAGAAACTTTCAAGCTTAATTCCCGACTTTTTTTGTAGATCTGCTCACAACTTTCAACTGGATTTGTTCCTACATGCTGGAGAAAACATTCAATCGAGTCAAAATTCTTCAACAATCTGGTCAGTCAAGCTTTGATGTCCGCAACAATTCACAAACATTTCATGCTAATACTTTAGCTGTTGCCTACGGTCAACGTCAAGTTGTTGCTGCATTTTTAGAGGAAATCCATAAATTATCACCTGATTCAGCAGAACGTGAAGTTCTCACAAAACTTTTGTCACTTTTTGCTGCCAACTTAATATCCACAAAATACATTGGGGTGCTTTATGAGAGTGGATTTATAGCTTCAAATGGACCTAATGTCAATGACTTGCTACAAACTGGAATTCTTGCATTATTGACTGACTTGAAGAATGATGCAGTTTCTCTGGTTGATTCCATTGCACCACCTGACTTCATTCTGAACTCACCACTCGGCATGAGCGATGGCAATGTCTATAAACATCTTGAATCATACATATACCAAACACCAGACACATTTACACGTGCATCATGGTGGAAGGAGTGTGTTTATAAAGACTTTTTGACATCCAAGTTATGAGTTGGGGTTATGGGAGGTTCTTTGCGTTAAATAAATAAATTAATTTGAATTTTTTAAAAATGTCTTTAAATAATTTATTAATTTTTTTAAACGTTTACATCTTTTCTTTGCTTACAATTTATTAGCATTAAGCTTAAGCTTAACACCACAGTTAATTACCATGGTTTGTCGATTTGGTTTTTGTGATTTCTAAAGTGTCTTGTAAAATTCTTTATTATTTTATTAGTAAAGTGCATTTTTAAGGTGCAATGTCTCGTATTTATTTGTTTGTCTAGTCGTTTAAAGTTTTGGACCCTTGTGTAGATTTTGTTAGAATTTATGACGATGATCTAAAGTGTCAAATTGAAGATTCCAACAAAATCCAACCAAAGGTCACCCAACCGAACCCTAAATCTACATCTGATTCGGTGGTGGCTTAATCTTTTCGTACAAAAAGTCCTGTTTCTTCCCATTACTCATGATGTGCTTATTCTTCAAGAAATAAAAGTGATCTCTCGCGAAGTAATAAAGATCATTTTCCATCTGCCAGATCTTTGATTCCTTGATCTTAGCCTCAGTAGCTGGCAGTGGATCAATCTTTCCTTTTGTCTTCCTTAAGTGCGATTTATTTGAAGTTTTAAAATTTTCAACAGCACCAAGGAATAGTCTTGGCAATGATAATTCGAGCATTTCAATAAAGTCACCAAGTTCCTCAGTCAATCCAACTAAGAAATATTCATTGACTAAATTACGTTTGGCTTGTTCTAGAGCCCATTTGCTACCTGGCTCAAAACATTCACTGTGATGACCACAAAAGAAAGGAATTTGCAGCCACATATTTTTTGGATCACAATCGGGCTTTTTGAGCTTCACGCATTCATCGAAGCTCATTGTGTCACCAGAGCGATGTCGAACTAGGTGCGGTCGGTAATCGTCACCATAGCGAAGGAAGTAATAGTAGCTAACTAGTCGGTCGAGTGGCTTACGGATTATGTTTATGTACAGTGGCTTCTGTGGCATTGCGAATCTGAAATTGAGAGGAAAATGGTTAAGACTTGATCAAAGAATGAGCTACTGGATCACAAACTGAGCTACTTGATCACAAACTCAGCTACTAGATCACAAACTGAGCTACTTGGTCACGAACTAAGCTACTTGATCACAAACTGAGCTACTTGATCACAAACCGAGCTACTTGATCACAAACTGAGCTACTTGATCACAAACTGAGCTACTTGGTCACAAGTCGAGCAACTTGATCGCAAACTGAGCTACTTGATCACGAACTGAGCTATTTGATCACAAACTAAGCTACTTGATCACAAACTGAGCTACTTGATCACGAACTGAGCTACTGGATCACAAACTGAGCTACTTGATCACAAACCGAGCTACTTGATCACAAACTGAGCTACTTGATCACAAACTGAGCTACTTGGTCACAAGTCGAGCAACTAGATCACAAACTGAGCTACTTGGTCACGAACTAAGCTACTTGATCACAAACTGAGCTACTTGATCACAAACCGAGCTACTTGATCACAAACTGAGCTACTTGATCACAAACTGAGCTACTTGGTCACAAGTCGAGCAACTTGATCGCAAACTGAGCTACTTGATCACGAACTGAGCTATTTGATCACAAACTAAGCTACTTGATCACAAACTGAGCTACTTGATCACAAACTGAGCTACTTTATCAAAAACTTTGCCACTTGATCACAAACTGAGCTACTTGATCACAAACCGAGCTACTTGATCACAAACTGAGCTACCAGATCACAAACTGAGCTACTTGGTCACAAGTCGAGCAACTTGATCGCAAACTGAGCTACTTGAACTAAAGCTGAGCAACTTGATCAAAAATCGAGCAACTTACTTCGAAAAATCCAAAAACGCCATGTGTCCATGATAAAATGCCGGCTTCATCGCCGACCATCCAGTAATATTCCGCACAAATCTCATCTGATTTGGTAATGACAGCACATGATTGTTCCCCGTAACGTTAATATGTAGCACATGGAATTGATTCTTCTTACATAAACTATAAGTTAAATTAACAAAACTTGTCGATGCCGTTTTCGGTACACGATTATAAATCACAACTAAGTTCTCGTCGAAATTGTAGAGATTGCTATTAATGCTTTGAGTATTGAAAATTGGAAGGAAGTTTTCTGTTGATAAAGAAAAATGACAAATTAGGTATTTTTGATGTGGGAAGAAGAAGTTTTTGTCGCATTGATGATGCCTTGCGAGAATTTCGTCAGAATTTTTAAGACAATTTGAACTTTTTTCTTTGATTTTGTGCAATTTTGAGCTTAAATTGAGTAAAAATTTGCACATAAAATTGAGTTTGAAAATTTCTGACGAAAGTCATCGCAAGGGAAGCTTTTTGCATTTTTTGCCAACAAATCGCATCAAAAAAGACACAAAAAAATTATTGATTATTTCCATAAGCTTTCCTCATTCGGGTGTTGGTCACTAATCAGCACGTAATGTCCAACAACTTACCTTGCCTAAATCCACGATCTTTAAAGCTGAATGAGGTCCACAGAACGAATAGAACCAGCACAAGACTGGACAGGATTAACAAAATTAAAAATATTTTTCGATTTAACATCAACATTTCTTTTTTTTTGGAATTATTTTTCAGTAAATTTTTTTTTCTGATTCTATTTTTCTCGATTATTTCACTGCGTCCGCGTGCATTTTTGAGCTTTGATTGATGACTGCTGTGGTTGTGGACTTGTCGAGTTAATTATTGTGTCTTTTATCGCTTGAAATTTGTCTTTTATGGGAAAATTTATGAAAATAATTGAAGAGAAAAAAAAGATAAAGAAACTTTTTATTTGTTTTGTTCCGAATTTCGATGTGTTTCAATGTCAGTGTCAGGTGTAAAAACTGGAACATTGTTCATGTTTTTTGAGGCTGGTTTGTGGATTGGTCGATAGATGGAGCTGGTGTGATGTGAATGTGATGTGCTTTAGAGGAATGCAAAACATAACTTTACAATAAGTTAGGCAAAAATTTGATCAAAAATTAAAAAAAACATTAAAATTGAGATAATAAAAAAAATTGAAAAAATTCAAAAAAATTCAAAAAATTCAAAAAATTCAAAAAAAATCAAAAAATTCAAAAAATTCAAAAAATTCAAAAAAATTCAAAAAATTCAAAAAAAATTCAAAAAATTCAAAAAAAATTCAAAAAAAATTCAAAAAATTCAAAAAAAATCAAAAAATTCAAAAAAATTCAGAAAATTCAAAAACAATCAAAAAAAATCAAAAAAAATCAAAAAATTCAAAAAAAAAGTTCAAAATTTTTTAAAACAATTTCAAAAATTTCAAAAAAATTTATTAAAAATCGACAAAACTTCAAAAATGTCCAAAACATTCAAAATTTGCTTAACATCCACTTTCCATCAAAAAGAATGTCAACTTGACACCATAAACAAGATGCAGCTTGCCATCAAAGTGAATTTATATTTATCAATTTATTGCAGGTCATAAATTAAGCTTGGTACATCTGCAGCCATAGAAATTGCTAATTTTTGATGATATTAATAAACAAAAAATTGTTTTGATGGATTTACAATTGGTGGTTTACATTGGATTGATAGAAATTTTGATGGCTTTATTTTGAGTGACGATGGGAATGAGAGCAAGGTGGATGTAAATTCTGCTGCATCATAGAACCATCCACGCGTTAAAGCTAGCTCATAAATTACGACAAGATCAATATCAAATAAAAAGGCTCGAAAAATGGATCATTTAAATGTCTTTTAAATTGGTTTGTCGACTAAATTTGCATAATCAGTAGCTTGTTTGTCTGCTGTTATGAGTTTGTGATTGACTTTGAAGAAACTTTGCAACACTTTTTATTGATGTTTGACTTTTAAAGTTCAGATTGGCTCTTCTTTCATTATTTGGGGACGAGGATGGTGAGCTTGGGTGGGTACTGGACTGGTTTTAGGATTTCTAACCTCAAATTTGTTGTCAAGTTGTCTAGCTTTATACTTACTAAGATACAGCACATTTAAATTATCAACCAAAAATCCTCACATTTATCAAAACATAAATCTTCTCACAACTCCGCTCGCTTTCGATTTTTTATCGCATATCTTGCATTGTCAAATTAAAAATCAACCTCGGCAATGAATCAGAAGAATATTTAATAGATTGGAATTAAAACATTCACAGATTTATTATCCACTTGAGCTTTTTTCTTCCTTTTATCTTCTCAGCTAAGTGTCTTGTAGTTATTTGTGTGATATTTTTGAGACTTTTGCAGATTTATGCAAATTTACTTGTGTTTGATCGATGATTTATTTTGTTTTGAAATTTACTTAAGTTTAGATAGGATTTTTGAAACAAACTGCGCTTTATGTGGAAGACATAAAAACATTTTTTACTTGTGGTTCTTTTTTGAGTTCTTCGCAGTTTGAATTTTGCCACTTTTTTATGAAGTTCTGTAAAGAACTTTTAAGAATCGATTGCATATTTGTAAAGTTCTGGGCAAAAAACTTTTCGAGGTGGAGAAAATTTTAAAGGTTTCCTTTATTTAATTAAAAAAGTTCTGTTTCAACTTTCTGATCGTAAAACAGATTATATATATCAAACTCTCAAGTTAAACTCCATTTTTGCTTATAAAAAATTCTTCTTATTCCTCACAATTCGGTTACTTTTCATTTCTCATCCGAAATTCACACAACCTTAGATACCAGCAATAAACTGCATTTATAAATCTAATAAATCAGAATATCAACTATCGAATTGCCATCAAAAAATTGATAAACAATTAAAAAAGACAAAAAAAAATCTCGGCTTTCGACCTCACGAAGCAACACGTTTATTTTTTCTATTTTTTGTCGTCCATCTCATTTTTTAATAAATTTCATTGATCACCTTGAGACAATGTCTTGAGTGGATATTAATAATTTATATCAGAGCTAGTCGATGCTTTTGATTTGATTATTATTGTAGGATTTAGAGATGGTGATCAAGATGATGAGAGTCGTTTGATGATTTGATAGAGAATTTTTGGTTTTTGATGGATTGCTGAGCAGATTAAATGAGATTAGAGGACTCTGATAGTTTAAAACTTAGTCTGAGCATCACAATCTATTATCAAATGACTTCATAAACAAGCAGCCAAGCTGCAATCCTCAAAGCAGTCAAACAGACCTAAATCTCCATCAATAGACAATCTAAGGGACAAGAACAGGTTCCAACTAGCCAAATCTTACTTAATAGCCAATAAATAAGCCATAACCCAAAGAATTCAGCATAAAACTACATCATGTCCATCTTCAAACCAGTCTTGAGAATTTTCTCATAATAATTCACCAATAAGCTGTAAACCGAGTAAAATTGATTAGTCAGCATAAAATTTTCTACACAATTCTGAAAAATCTTCTGTAATCAAATATAAAATTTGAATTTTACTATGGCTGAAAACAGGAATTAGACTCGATAGTATTCAAATTAATTTTTTGTCACAAAAACCGAGACATTAATTTAGGCTGAATAAAAAGTAGGTAAATTAGATTCAAATCCTTTTTTTGTGATGATTCTGTAGATAATGTTCAAATATTTCATGATTCTGTGGCATTTTTAGAACATTCTGAATTGATTAAATTTGTTTTTTTTTTTTGTGAATAATTCGAATCCATTCTAAAGATTTAACTCGCTTCGTTCAAGGATGTCTAAAAATATTTTATAGATGACATAGTCATTGGCTGCGGATCATGTTGGACACACAAAAAATGTAGCAAATGCAGCAATAGTTTTTTTGGACACGTTTTTGAATTTTTAATTAATTTGATATTTTTGAGGTTTTTATTTTGTGAAATGCGCTTTATTCACGGGGTCAAAAAATCTAACTTGAGGTGTTTGACATTTGAAATGGCATTGCCACTTTTTTGAACTGTTTAGTCAAGAAATTTTTGAAATTGGTTGATTTGTTGAGAAATCAAAGCCAAAAAACTTTTCGAGGTGGAGAAATTTTCGCCATTTTGAATTTTTCGATATTATCATGTTGATTTCTGGAACATAGAAATTGAAGCATTTTCATCAATAATTTGTCAAGAAAAGCAAAATATATGCAAATTGGATGCATTTAAATGAATTTTTTTATGCATTTGAGCCGGTTTTCATGGACTTTACGATAAAAGCTGAGTAAATTATTGAATTATTAAAGGATGTCCCTAGTTGCTAACGCAAAATGAGATGTTCTAGATCGGCTAATAAATATAATTCACTTAGCAACAGCAAATATTGGTTAAAACAATCAAAAATAGTAACAAATCTTGTCACTGCCTTGACATTCAACAAATATATTGCAGCCTTCTTTCACTCTTGCCTCTGTCGCGCTGATTATCGATTATTGTTTGTTCAGATGAATCCGCAATCGCATTATTTAGCCATTGAGACTCATTTAGATAATATTTAGTGTCATCGGAATGAATCTTGAGATTGTTGCAACATTTTGCATAAAAGAGGATTGTGGACGTTGAGGTTGTTGGAGCTTCTATGATATTTTTTGGCTAAGCTTCGTATAATGTAAATTAGAATGATTTAGGAAAAGACAATCTAATTATGTAAAATAATTCATATCATCAAAGCTACCTGCTAGACAACTTAAGTTCCAAATATGTCTCGAAACAAGCTATTTACAAGATTCCTTCTATGTCAACAAGATCGTTAAAAAAAAAACTTACTTGAAACTGTCCGTCTTCTAATTTTAGCATAACAAGATCAACTAGACATGACCAGTTCTATATTAAATTTGAATATTTAGCCACAGTTTACAGCTTCAGCATGGCATAAATCATAAATCATTCAGTCACAATATAAATCTATTCATTTATGCGACCTTATAAATTGTTATGGGTGTCTGGTATGACGGGTAGATTAGGTTGATTATGGAAAATATTTAAGGGGGAAACAACATTATGGGAAATTATTTTACATATTTTATAACACGCTGGGAAGCTTTTCAAAACGGAATTTCAATGCTGTTTCATCAATTTTCTCAAAATTTAAATGAAAATCTTTATAAAAAATAATAAAATTGTAATTAAATCTTTTCCTCATCATGCTGTTTTCCCCTTGAATATTTTTTTAATTTAATTCTGGTTAAAAGTTTTAAGTTATAACCCCAAAATAATATAAAATTCTTAAGAATCTTCTCTTAACACATCCAAAATCTGTCATTAAAGCATCAGTTGATTAACAATTGCAAATAAAGTATCAAATTTTATTGATGTGACAAGATATCCAAGGAAGACATGACATATGACAATACAAAAGATTCAAAATGAGATAAAAAAATTTCGCTTGTTTGACAATTCATTAATGTGACTTGTAAAAGGAACATGAGAAAGGATGAGAGTTGAGATTGGATGATGAAAGTCACCTCTTAGGGATACAAATTTGCAAGTTATTGACAACTTTGCTTTAGCAGAACGCTTAATAAAGTTCTTTGCTGTAATATGATCCGCAGAATAAGTTTTTTTAATAACCAAATGACTCATATTACACAATCTAGCCTCAACTTTATCATAGAATTAACACAAAGAACACCATCTGTGAAAATCCGGTATGTTTGGCTATAAAATTGATCCTAGATACTCAATAAAATCATCAAACACAGCAACATTCTTACTTCATAAGCTTAACGCTTGTTCAAAGTGTCTTAATCCTCATCTAAAATCTAGAAAAATTCCATTTCACTGGATTCATCCATCAAAATTCGAGCATTATTTCAACACGTGTGAAACCAAATATACCACAAGAAAATAATCAAATATACACAAAATTATGGCAAATAAATACAAGAAACCACAAAATATACAAAAGAAGCTGCGACATCCCTACCAAAAAAAAAAATATTTTTTACGGTTCAATACAACCAAGTTGATGCCTTCCTCTCATCTTCTTCTCTATGTTAATATGCGAAAAAAAGAGCTTAAAGAGTAGAAAATGCGATGAGTATGTGCAGCATATGATAACAATTACAATCAAGTAGGGAAAGCATGAGGGTTGAGATGGGTGGTTAAGGCGCTTTTTTTGAAATTATTGACATTATAGCAAATATTTGCACCAATTTTGTGCGCTACATAAAATATATGCTGCATAAATACCTATGCTTATTACAAATTATTCAGCATTCAAATCAGAAAAACATGTCCGCCATTTTGTCTTCACCTCGAAAAGTTTTTTGGTGATTACTCGAGTAATAATCAAGCTTTAATTGTGTAAATTGGTTTATCTGACAGAAAAAAGTGGCAAGCAAAGAAAATAATAATTTCCAAAATATTCTAGGTTATGTTAATAGCAAAAAATTTAAACATTGTATTTTTAAAAAAAAATCTGAATATGTTCTCAAAGTAATGCATTTTGTCCATAGGCTTTATAGTATGTTTGCCCAAGTTGCCCATAATGCACCACAATCATCCAAAAATCACCGTTCAAGAAGAAAAAAAAACTGAGAGATTAACCTTGCTGTCATCACAGTGATCGGCTTAAGATCGACTCTTTAAGCTAAACAGCCGCGCTTCTGTTGCTATTTTGTGATGATTGTATTTGTCTCATCATCAATATCGTCATATCGATGATGTATGCATGCGACTTAAGCCTATAAAAGACCATTCAACATCGCGAATTCGCTTTAGTGATAACCGAATATTTAAGCCGATTTGATTTTTTTCCGTAGCTTGAAAAAATTTTTTAAACAATAAATCGAAGATACAGACGCGAACGAAAGTGAATTTTTATTTGAGAATTAAGAAAATTTCTCACCAAGTGCCATGAACACAATCGCGAAATGGATTACCGCGACATTGTGTCTTGTCGTTCTGTTCAATAGCAATTATGTGATAGCAAGTAAGTTCGATGAAGTTAAAATTTTTGATATTTTGCGGCTCCAAAAAAATAGGCTAGTGAAGAAATTTATTCAATTTTGTGGTTACGACAACTGGCATAAATATTAAAATTAATGTAGTCAAAACAGAGATAATTTTGCAATCGATATGAATATTTTGCAAAATAAATAAAATATTGTGAATGAATAATATTCAAGATGAGATGAATTTGTGGTTGACGAAAGGATTGAGATTTATGATGAATGAATTAAATTGTTGTGAAATTGTTGATCAAAGGACTATGACTTGGTTATATTATTTGATTATTGAGAAATTAATTTTTATGTAGTTGTGAAATGATCTTGGTGATCTTACTAAAGTTGATTGTTTTTACATTATATATTGTGAATGATGAAGAGTTTCTAGGTGGTTTGAAAAAAATGATTCAAATTGAGAATAAAAATCCATTTGATATTAAATTCATCTTAAAAAATTCTCCTTTAAGTCTGTTCTTATGTGTAGAAAATTCAAGAAAAATAACCGCCATTTTGTCTCCACCTCGAAAAGTTTTTTTGCAATATCTAGAATCTACATCAAATTTAAAACTCAATGTAAGGTTTTTCTGATAGAAAAAAGTGGCAAGCATAGTTTAAAGACTATTTCGAATTTTTCAGGTTATGTTTTAATTGAAAAAAAAACATAAATTTATTATTGTCAGTCAGATTAAGTCGGAAAATGATGCACAAGTTTAGTCCTAGTAATTTACTAAATCCTTAATCAAGACACATTCCACGCCAAGATCCAAATAATACCTAAAGCAACCTCTCTTCATTCACATCTTCTCCTCACAAATCCGCTTAACAATTTTACATTATTTAATTCACACAAAAAATAATCATTTCCCAAAAAAAGGCTTCTGTACAGATAAGTTAATCCATGCCTAATGCCTAATGCTAAATAATATTAAGACATTATAAATGTAAATAAATCATGAACATTAAATTTACACATAATTAACCTTGCGAATCGTATTTGACTTAAATATCAGCATTTGTTTGTCCCATCCGATGGATTTACTTCTGTGAGCTTTACTGATCATTTCCGAATATGACTTTGTGATTGATTAATGAGTTTCGTGTTTATTAATTAAGATATGAAGATGTGGATTTATTGGTTTGATAGGAAAATTAGGCAGATTTTGATAAAATGCTTAATTTTAGATAAAACTGATGTTCAGTAGGATAAATATGATTAAATATTATAAATTACCGTGAAATATGATTAAAAAGCATAATTTTCGAAGGGTCGACAAGCTTTTCAATACTAATCAAAGATCCAACCGAAAAAAAATGTCAAAAATCTCTTACAAGGCTATTCCATTTGTATTGTACCATAAAATATTTATTCCATCACGTAAGTGAAACATCCAATGATTAAACATTCCGAAAAAATGAAATCATGTTAACCTAAAGCAATCAAAATCATCGCGCGCAAAAACACGTGTCGTTACTTTTGACATAACCTTGCTACCCTTCTCAGATTTAATTAATTGTTGATTGGATGACAGGTTCAATAGGTTGAAGTTTGTTTGTTTCTTGAGGCAGATCATTGAACGAGAATTTTGTTTAGATTTTGTGTGGAGGTCAATGGTTGAGGTTGTAGATTGGTCAGAAGGTAATAGAGGTATTACTGTGAATTAGGTTACTGTTCTCTTAAAGGGATCATATCTTGGATATTTCTTTGAGGTTAGCTAGTGTGCTTATTGCAAGCTTTGCTCTAGATACCAGGATTTGGAGATATTCAAGAAGATATAACTTAAATATGCTTTGTAATCATCAGTTCTATTGAAATCTTAACGTTCTTAGGGTTGAATCTATAAGTGACCTTCGAACTTCACCAAAGAATCGATTGATGTTGACCAGTTGCATGATTCAAGTCAACTGTTGATACAATCTTTATTAAATTCCACTATATTCACTTAAAGCTCTGACAATCACTTTAGACACCCCTCAAATCAACATCTGGAACAGAATTTTCCAGGAACTTCATCTAAAGACACCGGAACAATCAATTAAAACAAAGAAAACCTTCAAACAAGGACCACCAAATACTAATAATTTCACAATTAATTCCTTTCCTTCATCGTATTAAAAAGTTATCACTCAATAAATATTTCCGTTCATAGACAAATACAGCAAAAGCTATAAATTTATAATCAAAACCCATAAAAAAATATTCAAAAAGTCAAAGTCATTTGTTCGAAGTAGATGCGTGTAGATTTAAATGATATAGCTCACATCACAATGGTTTAACTCGTCAAAAATGATGTTTTTAAGCATATCTGGTATCACACGCAAGACGTAATGCGTTTAAAATGTGAAAAAGAAGAATTGTTGGTTTTGGCAAGTAAGGAAGTTATATGATGTGGAAATATAAGGCGCATTTTTTGTTTAAATCATTTTTTGATAGCTTCTAAAATGCTGGCTTGAGTAATGTCAACAATTTTTGTCTTTTCTCACTCTTTGCTAAACAAATGACTCGTATTTTTATGAATAAATAACAAACAGAAGTAACAGAAGCGTCGCAAAGAAGATTGAAGGCAAAAATCCGAAGCTTTCCGGTTTGTTATTATCGCTAATATTCAAATGATATCTCAGTTGGCTGTGTAAACTAGTAGCTACAATGCCTTGACATTCCGATTGATGAATGAAATAAAAAGATTGGAAATTAAATGTATTTAGATGGTAAAATATTTAAATTGGAGTAGAGAATGACATGTTCGGGTCTTTGTTGTTATTAATTTGGGTATGGGATTGGTTAAGGGATTATTAAGGATCAGGCGCGTAGCCAGGGTCTTGTCTTAAGAAGGGGACAACACCCTCCTGGCTACGCGCCTATTAAGGATCACATCCGTTGATTAAACACACAATTGGGGAATGTTGTTCTTGTTGAATGATGAATTGGAGCTTACTTTAACTGACTATGATTTTTGACTGGTTTCTACGGCCATTTCAGATCCTCAACCCTCAACTAAGTTGAGATTCTTGTCATCGCATTTCCATACAAGCCCAATCCAAAAATAGAACTTAGTCACGTTTCAATAATTAAACATGAAAAATTGGTTTACTAATTGCTAATTATCGGATTAATAAGGTGGATTACCATGAGTATCTCTAATTAAGAAGCTGATTAAATGAGAATTTAAATGTCATTAGACTCAGTCTTGAAATCAGTTAGCTTGATGCTATAACTTTGAATTTGTCATCCCTAAAAATGTTTTTTGATTGCAATTTTCAAATAAAAGATCAATAAAGCTGAAAAATTTGCATCATTTTTCAACTGATGGGGGATCAGGAGTCATTACTGAGGAGTAATTAGACACCTGGCAACATTGATTGATCCACAGTGTATCCTGTTAGCAGAAAAGGGCAAATGTTAAATTTCTATCCTGTTCAAGGATGATATTAAGTATTGGGAGACTAATGAAACTGTGATTCTGTCAAGCCAACTTGTTCAAGTGATCCTCACTTCCATCTGTGACTCCAACTCATCTAATGAAGGTTCATACAGCTCTCCCAACTCTCAAATCCACCAATACATTCCAATCCACAACATTATCATTCAAAAATCCTCAACAATACCAATTTAGTGTCCATAAATAGGAAGAACTTAAAATAGTCAAGTAAAAAAAAATTCCAACCAAATTAAGCAATAGACATCTATTTCCTAAAACAAGAAGAAGGCACAAGACGATCTTCAAAGACGATGTGGATCAAACAAGTCTTTTCATTCAGCCTGAAACTTCTCGTTTTAAATTAATAATCTCATCAGCGTTAATTGCTCCTTGAGATTCTTCTTGCTTCTGTCGCGTTAATTTGAGCATGAAGCTAGAGAATGTTGATACTGTTTTTTGGTTTAATGAATAGAAAAGAGCAGATGGAGGAACACACAGATAAAAAAATTTAAATATTCTGAATTATGAAATAAAATATTTGAATTAATCGCTTTTGGATTTGTGACAAAATGTATGGAATATACAAATGTTGCGGTTATTTACTATCTTATTATATCCTCATTCAGTAATATCGATGTCTCGTATTGAGTTTTCATTGAATTTAATAATTTGCACGTGGATAAAAAATGAGTTGCGAATTTATTGCTAAATTGTTGGTTTTTGGATGGTTTGGGAACTGATTTGAGGTTAGGGATGAGTTTTTCGGGGGACAACATGGATGCAAGACCTCTGGTGAAGTCTATGCTAACCAGGCGCGTAGCCAGGGGAGGGGGATTTGGGGGACAAATCCCCCAACGTTAACAAAAATTTGTTCATTTTGCTAGAAGTTTTATAAAAAAAAAATCATAAAAATCTCCCCTTTCTTGTGAATGTTCCATATAAAAATTTTTGCCCCCCCCCCCCTCTTCAAATTTCTGGCTACGACCCTGATGCTAACCCTAATCAGCCGTCCAGATGCAGACAAACCTACAATTTCAGGATCTTGTTGTCAATTTCGCACAAAATCTACTTACAAACCTAATCTTCAACCCCAGCCTCACCCAGACCCAGCTCCTCCTCCCCCACCCCTTCCCCTTTCTCCCCCCAAACACAAGCCATAAATCAAGACCCTTACCAAAAATCATCAATAATCTATTAATAAGTCAGTAGCAAAGCACACACAAAAGTCCTCAAATATTTCCGACTCATTCAATGAAAGCAAATTGAAAAAAAAATCGCAACATTTACATTTTGAGTGTTTAAACAGCACAAGAAGAAGATGATGCTTGACTTGAAATATTGAAGACTTTTTAAAATTTTTTTCTAAATGCTTCTTAAGCTTCTCAAGCACGTGAAACAGTTTAATTGAATTATTTTTTTTGTGGTTTTTTTTTGAGATGATTAATTTTATTTTTTTCTGAGGATTTTTGAGTGTCGCTGGAAATGGTTTTGAGTTTATAGCGGAGTTTTGAGTATGAAATAGAGATTAGTAGGTTGATAAGAATTGTTAATGAAGCCTTGAAGCTGCT